CTCGCCAGAATCTGATTCTGTATCTAATTTTCCATCATCTGTTATGCAAGGAAATTATTATACATGCATGAGTACCACAATATCATAATTTGACTGAACAAAAGTAAACGCAGAAAATATTTCTAATATCAACTCTGAATGTTTCAAATACAACTTACCAACGATAGCAACATCACAAGTTCCTTCATGAAACTTGTCTTTCAAATATTGGACGACTACCAACGCTTTAGCTCTCTCTTGGATATTTGAATTCGCACCATTAAACTGATAAATCTTTTCCTTGGTATCCAAGATAAACACATCATCATGATTCAGTGATGACCGAGCAAAAGGAATCTACACAAGAAAAAAATATAAGCTCACATACATAGTACACACTCCTGCGAAGAGATTACAACACTTTCAAAGATCTGCACTAAAGAAAACCTGCTTCAAGTGGACAGCACGTTTCCCTTTGCAGGTATACAATCGGGTTTCAAACTCCTCCTCCTCGGGTTTTTTAAATCCAGAGGCAACACCACCCTCTAGCGGTATAATGCAAGGTTTGAAGTAAGACAAGAACTTGTCAGATTCATGACCTTGAATTTCACGGTGTTGCACAGCTCGGCCTCCAAGAGCTGCATCAAGTTCAACTGTCTTCACAGCTGCTGTTCCAGCTTCATCCTGGAATCATCAACCGCAGATTAGTCATGACGACGACTCACCTTTTGCTTTTCTTCTAAAATAAACAAAATGTTAGAACATAATATATTGCTATCATGCCAAAAAAAATTCCGAAAACAGATACCTGGCTTGTATCTTTACCAATCCAAAAGTGTATATCAAATAGATAAGCACCCCCCTTGTTCTGTGTTGTCTGCACAGATGAAAGATAAACATGCTCAGTGTGAAATATAATAAAGGGGATATATTTTATACATATGATCAGACAAGAAAGCATGTTCTTCTGTTCTGTAAACTGTCTATTGAACAGTGGAAGAAATCCCAAACCTGCAATACGATGTAAGTGTCTCCCATATAGAACTTTCCATGTTCAGACTTGGGCACTAGAACTGGCTGAAAGTTTTCGATTCTCCAAATTTCAGTACCTCTTATGAAAATGTTAAGCTCAACACCTCAGACAGCAGTATAACATTCAACAATACCAAGAAAACTACAGTAGTGCATTCAAAAGCGACACCCACAAGAAATTGCATTTTTTCCTCTTTGTACTTATATTCATCAGCAAGAAACAATTCCACTGCTCATCTAATACTAAAGCAAAAAGCGGGAAAAAAAAATAAAAATTGTGAAGGGATACGGTTTCTGCCCAGCTCCTTGAAACGCAGGATCCAGTACTTTTGTTGACCCAGACATATTGTGTATAATGGTCAATCTCTTCCTTCAAGTGAAGATACATAAACTACCTGCCAAGAACATAGCACAATTGGACAAAACAAGAAGGTAAGAGATTGTTGATGATGAATTTTTATCTGGCAATCATTCAAGAAATTCGGAAAAGGATACTACAAAAGTAAAAAAGTGTGTCACTTTTGAAAATTTCTTAGGCAAACAAAACATAGTGGTGACGTTATACTAGACGGCTTGATCAGTGTACCGTGTTACTTGATGAACTACTTGTTCTTGTTTCTCAAAGGCTATAAGCTCCATAAGACCAAACTTAAACGATTCCAAGGAATTAACCAAAGCTGACACAGAACCGAGAATGCACGACCACATCCATTACAAAACCAAACAATTGAAGCAGATCGAGAAACTCCCGATTCGAGTAAAACAAGCAGGGATCCATTTTACGAGCATGGAAGTTAAAGTATGAAGGGTAATTGAATCGAAAACCAGCTGATCCATACAAAACCCATCGTACCTGAATAAGATAGATCTCCGAGTAGCTCTGTGAAGGAGGAAGAGATGGCAAACAGAAATGGAGAGAGAGAGAAATCAGGAGCAAGAAAAGAAGAAAAGGAAAAAGGGGAAGCGAAAATTGAATAATTATTGAAAGGAGATGTGCGCTGTGTTATAGCTAGCGTCTCTCTCTAGTCTCTCCTATACCTTTTTCCTCCTTTGCTTTTGCTTTATCCAATATTTGGTTTTATAGAATCGAGTTTCTTGGAGATTTTTCTGATTTACAGTATGCGTAGACGAGGCGTGGAAGACGAAGAAGAAGAAGAAGGAGACGGAGGTTTGAGGAAAAGACGAGTGATGATGATGATGATGATGATGATGATGATGATACTATACAAGTTTTTAAGGCAAGATCCGGTCGTGATAGCTTTCCCTTATGTTTATATTTTTCATTTTATATCGTCAGCAATGTTTTCTCTTAACCTTGTATTTACTTTTGTAGTATCCTTTTTATACTGGAAAACATATATTTTGGGAGTCTAGTAATTCACATCATGCTAACATATTTTATAAAGTTTTGAAAAAACCGTTTGGACCGGTAATCTACAGAATAGTTCAACCAGTCAACAGAAAAAGTTTGAATCATATTGTAAAAATAATAATATTACAGTGAAACTCATCATCATTTCAAGCGACACTGGGTCTCTTTTCAAAGGATGCATCACATCAAATTTTATGCCTACGAAGTGTACTGTATAATCATACAAATACAAAATTACTTTTATCTCTTTTTTGTCCGGGACCGGCATCAATTCTATTTTCTTTTTGTTCAGAGGCTCAACAATATTATTTTAAATATAGAAACAGCCTTATTTGATTATCTTAGTTTTCTCAGTAGAATATTCAAGCCACATGTATATATTGGTATTTATTGTATATATCTCTATAATATTGGTTGGTAGTTTTAGATTTTTAAGTGTCTTTTTAAAGTTTTGTTTTTGTTTCACAAATAGTATCGTTTTAGGGTTCCAATGTAAATTTATAATAAAATATCCAATTTTAACCTTATTATTTTAATATATTAATTAGAAAGAGATAGTTATTTAGTGTATTTATTAGGGATAAAAAAGACTTTTTATTAATTTTTTTAATTTGTGTGAAAAGTGTCAAAGTGACATTTATTTTGAAATAGAGGGAATATTAAAGAAAAAAATTAGAGCCTTACGTGCATAGGTGATGACGGTGACCAGATCTCCGCCGGTGCCGACCAATTAACCTGAGCCAATTTTATATACTTTTGCTAACCTCACCATATATGTTAATTATAGTGCTATATATCATCAATATATAACATCAAAGAAGCAAAAAGCCAACTCATCATGGAGGCCATACAATGACAACTCAAAAGACAAAATTACAGAATGGTCGTTTTCATTACTCATGCAGTCAAAAACATCCATATATACTTTGAATACATAATTTGAATTTAACGTTTGCTTCTTAAAATAATTAGTTATCTGTTGTCGGGTCATACTATAAAAAGTTTTTTAAAATAATATATATTTTGTTTAATAAAAAGTTATTGTTATGATAAGGTCCCTATATGTCCAGGTGGATAATATTTTATCCCGTGAACCTCAAACGGGATAAATTTAATAATGGATCAAATGTATTTTATGCATAGAATATTCACCTAAAAAGAAACCTTAGCCACCATAAACAACTTCTTAGATTCAAAGTCAGGTTCAATGGTTCAGAATTATCTTTTTTGTTGCAGAAGTTTAAACGATGGAAGCTGGAATATTCTTCTTTGGAAGATAATACAGGGACTCATCTTATTGCTAAAAGTGTAACAGAGGAAAACAGAGTTCACTCTTATGTGGCAGCTTCTCATCCTCGCTGGCTAAATAATCTCTTTGTTAGTGAGAGAAGGTTTCACTCATATTGATTCTCGCTCCTTAAGCTGGTTTCTTTTGTTTAAGTATGTTGTTTCAGTCTTTAGTTGGCTTTAAGTGGTTGTTACGAGGGTAAAGCAGAGTTATTTTTTGATCGCTTACCTGAACAAATTGCAAATTTGTAACTGGGTTGGGGTCGCTTCTTTAGGACCTTGTATTGTTTCTTTTCTTCCCAAAGTTAATATTATTACAGATGAAAAAAAAAGATTCAAAGTCATCCTAATTCCTAAGAATATTATTATATATCATAGGAATTCTATAAATTAATAATATTAGAATTTTAATATTTTATTAATTTATAGAATTATTAATTTATATAAAATAAATTGTTTATTAATAATTATCTAAAAATAATATGTTCTTTAATAAAATTAGAAGTAAATAATAAAAATGTTTCAATTTTAATATGAAAAACAATAATATACTCATATTTTAATAAATTATTTATATTATATTTATTAATTGATGATATATAGATTTTCAAAAAAAAAAATATTAATTTATTAATTTAAATTAAATTTTGAACCGGTCCAATTCGGAACGGAACAAAATTACTAATCTATTTATAGAAACTGCTTTGCATTTGGGATATTAATGAAGACTGCATTATTTTCTATTTGATTTTACGTGTCTTTTGCATGTGTTTTGGTTGTGTCTAGAATTTTTTTTATAGAGTTGTGAGTTTCTCACCTAGTATCGCCGAACCCTCAAGACTTCTGCCGGAGACTTGATTGGAGTGTGCATCTCCCTAGGATGGTAGGAGTTAGTTTACTTCTTTTCACGATTTTTCCATCAATATACCAAACCTATTACATGAGCTTAATGAGTTCGGATGAAAATCACCGATTAGATTTAGCAATCAACAACATAACAAGTCAGGAGACATAACATACCTCCAACTTTCCACCTCCTTCGAGCAGTGGTGGAATGTCCTCATTCATTGGTGTGCTTTTTGAATTGTCCTTTAACCCAACGCCTTGTTGCTTAAGTAATGCTAGACAATAGCAAAACACCAAAGTAAGTCAGGGCTAGGAGAACACTAAGTTCTTTATTTATTAATGGTTTGAGTATCAAATTAATCTTTACCAGCGACTTTTCCTCGCCCTCCTTCTTCGCTAGCAGGAGTTTCAATTTTTTTTGGTTGTAAGATCCAATACAGATTTAACAGCTCACATTTAACTATCTTCGTTTACCATATGTATCTCAAGCAAACATTTTCACAACCTTTCTTTTTGTTAACATTTTTTTGCATCTTTTCAACATTTTAATCTTGAAAAATTAGAAACATCAAGAAGGAAAAATTATATGATGATTACATGGAAAAATATTACATAAAGAGAAGCAAAAAAAAAAAAAGAATCGACGAAGACATTTTCGTATAACACAAATGATAACAATCTTCTGTTTCTAACAAACCATTCATTGCTGCAGCTACAGTATTTATACTCTTTGTTTCGAATCATACCAATTCCATCAAAAGTGGATCACCTTGGGCCATCTTTTGTACCAATTTGATGAAATCTTGTTCGCTCGAGATGCTCCAAGGATGAACCGCGGGTGCTTCCGCAGAGTACAAGCTCAAGGAAGAGTTAAACGAAGCTGGTTCTCTCTTATATACCATCGAACCAAGAACCGGGTCAAAATTCTGAGGCGAATCCATCGACAGGAAGAACACAGGCAGAGCCACTTTGTAATGCAAATCCATATCGCCCACGAGATTAACAAGATCGCTAAAGTCAGCAACGAAGCGTTTAGGGACATAGAACACTTCTGAGCTGCATACCGTTAACACTGTTTCATGGCTCTTCTTTGTAGCTTCCTTGTAATTGACTTGGAAATTAACCGGCATTGTACCGACAATTTTCTTAACCAATTCCAACTGAACCGAATACCAATCGGAATTCCCAGCTGATTTCACCGTCGTCCATGACTCAGTCACCTGAAAAGGAACAACTCCATGTATGTTAATAAAACCAAATCCAACCGGAAAAAATCGAGATAGACTACATAGCAACTTGATGAGAGTACCTTGTCTGTGGTCCAGAGCTTAGTTTTGTCGGCTTGAAGTAGATTCCAGTAATTGAGAACTGTATCATCTTCAACAAACAAAAACCCGTCTGCGCTGCTGTACCGATCGAATATCTTCGGTAGACGCCTGAAATATATATATATATATATAAGTAACACACAAAAATTAAATTTAGCGAGCTCACATTGTGAAAGAATGAGTTGAAAACCGAGATTATAGAGAGAAGTTACTTGTAGATGTGATCGAGTTTAGCTTCTTCGACGTAAAGCTCTGAGTTTTTCCGAGACGATAAAATGACAACGGTTTTGAATATCCGACCGTAGAGCAACCTCCATTCAAGAGCTGTCCGTTCCACAGGTCCGTTACAGAACATAACAAGCACGATGTTCCCGAAATTCTTCCTCCACTTGATCAAATTCCCGATTTCAGAGCTCACTGTGCCTATCTCCTCGACCCCGAGGTGAACCGAAGGTAGCTTTCTAGGAACAAACTCTTTTCTGTCTCCATGACCGATGGTTGCTCGCGGCCGATCCAGTTCAAGTGACATTAACCGAGGCTGCTGGTATCCTACAGTAAGCAGATCCTGTAACCAAGCAGCTGTGAACTTCACATCGAGTTCTGTCCAAAAACCTTGCTCAGCCATAACAAAGCTCAAATCAAGAATCGTCTCGAAGAATCTATGCTTATCTGATCTCCAAGCAAGCAAGAACTTGATCAAACGACCTACATTGACATGGAGATCCTTCTCATCCGAGAAAGGGTAAGCTTCGACTCGGTCATACCGATGAACCGTTGGTGGATAGACAGCGACATAACCACCAAGCTCCCATAGAAGCCTCTGTCCCCAGTAACCTCTAATCACATCCGAAGCCATGGAACTAACCGAAACAGGAAGCATCAGTCCCCAAAACGCCGAGGAATGGTATAGCGTGTTGAACGAATTCACAGGCACCATCATACCCTGAGGCAACGCCACTTTAGGAGAATGCTCATCGAATCTGATATCAAACGGCTCGAAAGTCGTCTTCCTGGTGAAGTAATAGACAGAGTCAACATCCGGTAAGCCGTTGGAAACCCCTTGCTGTATGAACTGCTTGCCACCGAAAACCTCAGTGTAATACTCTTCGTGATTGATCTCGCCTACGTTCTCTAACGGCAAACCTCTAGGCCAAACCGATCGTTGCCCGAAATGGATATAAGGGTTCACCACAGTTCGATTCGGGTTCTCGTGACTGTACTGCAAGATTGGTTCTTGCCTTGCGTCTTCACCTACCAACTCTACATCGAAATGTTTCCCGAGATCTCCATCGATCACTTCGCCGCGATCGTCCGCGTCGTAGATCTTCTTTGCGCCGTGCTGGATCGCGAACAAGTAGCCGACGCTTTTGCGCACGAAGGAGTCGTAAGGCAAGTGATCCAAAATCCGGTAATTGAGCTCGGCTTGAGCATCGAGAGAGAGAAAAATCGCACCTTTGAGATTCCAATCTTTAGGGGTTAAAGAGTTTCCGATCGCTAGAACTTGCCATCCTTTGATCTTCACCAAACCCTTGAGCTCCTCCGTCGGGTACTTGGTCACCGACACCACGATCCATTTCTCCGTACGGAAATTAGCGTACGGGGAGGTTTTGTCGGAAACGATTTGGATCGTATTCCAGTTGATTTGAGGCCGAGTGAGAGACTGAATCGACTGAGTTGATTGGGACTGGAAGCAAAGGAGAGAAGCAGTGTCGGTGGTGTTGTAGAGGAAGAAGAAAGCAGCGACGGTGACAACGAAGAGGAAGAAGACGAAAACTCTGTAGACATTGTCGGAAAACCATGAAGAGAAATCTAGATTTCTGGGTTCAGCGATTCGGTGGCTATGTCCGTGAATAGAAAGTTCTTTGATCCGAGATTTTGGCGGCTTAGGAGCCACACGATCCTGAACCAACATCAGATTCAATCCCCGAACCTCCAAAACCCCGAAACCAAACTCCGAATCAGAGATACCAAAACAAGTCACAGCGAAAAAGATAGAGAGCGAGAGGATTAGTGTAATTTCTGTTCCCCGGAAAACAGAACAGCGACTTGTTGTCGGAATTGGAGGTTGCTTATGCTTCAATTCAATGCAAACTTGCGAAAGCGAAGTCGTTCGTTGAGCTGTGAGGGTCAACGTCTTCGTCAATCTCTCTTTTTGGGGATTTTCTTAATATTTCCTTCTTCTTTTTTGGTGTTTACGTTTTGATTACTGAACTCACTGATCTATCCTCCTTCTATGTACAAAGAGACAACTAAAGAAGTAATTGGTTGCTGATCTGTAGGACCAGACAAGCAAGAATTACAATCAATTATTCTAATTTGCATTTATGTTTTGTTTAAATTATCTAAATTATTTCCTTAGTAATAAATTTCTCCATTTCAAAGAAGATGTGGCAGATAAAGCATCAACGTATAGACTACAGAGACCAAATATTATGGCTTTCAATAATCATGGTTAACATAACAGCAAATCATAAGTTTTCAGTGAAAAGTTAAATATAATCGGAGAATCTATACGTATTTTATACAGTGTGCATACATGGTTACTCAGTGAGAAACTTCAGATTATTGCTCAACGATGTATTAAATCAGAAGAATACAAGAATCAACAACACTTACAAGATATACAGTGAAGAAAGAAGAGACATATCATGCATGCTGTTGTCTCTCACCAATAGTCTCCACATGAGCAAGTTCCATTCTTGAAATGATGAAACCTCCTAACATCTCTCAAGATGATTTCTCTGTCAACAATCTTTGAGATGAACTTTGTAGCAAGATGACAGTCATTGCAAACCCTGAGGTTTTTAGCCACCCTAATAACCGTACCAGGCGATGTGTTAAGTATCCCAAAGGCAATTGCAAGCTTCTCACTGTGTCCACAAAGCAAAACCTCTTTTTCATCTTCTTCTACATCGTGAAGCACACAGGATGTGTCAGGTACATATCCTTCTTTTCTCATTCTCTCCCACAAGGTCTCCAGATATCCATGGAGCTTTTCGCTTTGCGGGTGTGATGAGTCTCCGGCTATGAATTTATGTACTTCATCGCCATACTCGATCCAGCTACATCCAGGTTCTTTTCTCACGCCTTTCTCTTTCATTTCTCTCCTTACCTCTGTTGCTTTATCCCAGAGGCCTGCTGATGAATAGATATTGGCAAGTAGCACATAGTGACTAGCTACATTTGGTTCCAACTGAATGAGATTCTGAGCAGCGATTTCTCCAATTTCTAGGTTATTGTGAATCCGGCAAGCACCTAAGAGGCTACTCCAAGCTCCAGCTTTGTCGAAACCAAGAGGCATCGTGTTCATGAGCTCATACGCTTCTTCAACTCTACCAGCCCTTCCAAGCAAATCTATTACACAAGCATAATGATCTGAGCTAGGTTCAACCCCGTAGTCGTTTCTCATATTGTAGAATATCATTAACCCTTCATCCACCATGCCTGAGTGGCTACAAGCTGCAAATACTGAGATGAATGTAACCTCGTTTGGCTTTACTCTCTGAGCCTTCATCATTCTGAGCAGATCTATGGCTTCTTGCCCGTTTCCGTGCATCCCATTAGCCATTATAATCACATTCCAAGTTATGACATTTTTCAAAGGAATCAGATCAAACACTTTCCTCGACATGTGTAGGCAACCGCATTTTGCGTACATGTCAACTAAAGCGCTTCCTACAGCCACATCGGTTGCCAAATTGTTCTTAATAGCGTAAGCATGGATTTCTTTGCCCTTTGCTAATGCTGAAAGTGCAGCACAACTAGGGAGGATTGTCATCAGAGTGATGGAATTAGGTTTCGGACCAGCTCGGCTAACACCTTCGCTCGCTTTTCTTTCAAGGTTTTGCATCTTGTGAAGCACAACAAGCGCATCCTCGTGGTATTCTGAGAATACATAACCCGTGATCATCGTGTTCCATGTAACTAAATCTCTATCTTCCAATTTACCGAATATCATCTCGGAGACATCGATCTTCCCCAGCCTCGAATACATATCCATGAGTGCATTCTGCACAAACCTGTCTCCGTCTAGACCTCTTTTCACGACAAATCCATGGATCGCTTCTTTTCTGGAGAACACGTTAGAACGGACACAAGCAGGGACGACACTTGCCATCGTGGTTGTGTTAGCCAGAAGCCCCGCACTTTCTTCCATTTCAATAAACAGAGACAACGCTTCCTCGTCATGCTCGTTCTGGGCATACCCAGCGATCATAGCGTTCCAAAGGCCAATCTTTCTATCAGAGATTCCATCAAATACTCGACGACCGCTCAACACTTGCTTGCAATTGCAATACATGTCAACTAAAGCACTGCCAACAAAAGAATTCTCATCCAGAGAGCCGTTTTTCAAAGCGTAGGCATGCATTTCTTTCCCTGTGCGCAGCAACTCCAAGTGTGAACAAACAGGAAGAACACTTGAAATAGTGAACCCATCTGGTTCAACACCTTTGAGCACCATTTCACGCAGATACTCCAATGCCTCAAGAAACTGCTCGTTCTGACATAACGAGCTCAGCACAGTGTTCCACGTGACCAAGTCACGGCCTTCGAAAGTTCCAAGTAAGGTTTTGGAATATGCTAATTTTCCCAGTTTACCGTACATAGCGACCAACGTGTTGATGATAAACGAATTCAACTCACCTTTTCGCAAACTATAGGCGTGAACCTGCTTACCCATCACCAACCCCTCGTCGATACGCAGATTCGAGCAAGCAAGAGCCACACTCACCAAGGTAAAGGAGCTAGGCTCCACGTTTTCATCCAACATACACCGAAACGCCTCTAACGCCATTTCCCACTTCTCAAAGCTGCACAGTGAAGAAATCATAGAGTTCCAAGAGACTTGGTTTCTCTCGGAGATTCTATCGAACACCTTATAGACAGCCCCGAAATCTCCACACTTTCTATACAAATTCACAAGAGTATTAGCGACAGTCACGGAATCCACCCCGTAGCCAAATTTATACACATGGGCGTGAATCTGTTTTCCCAAATCCATGTCCTGAAGATCGGCTACAGCCTTCAGCAGAGCAGGGAAGGCATAATTATTGGGTTTGATACTGAAAACAATCATGTCAATGTAACTCAAGACGGCTTCACGTAGCAAACCGGATCGAACTTTCGACCGGAGGGAATCAATCCACCACTCCGGAGAGCGTGACTGAGAGACAGGTTTCGAAGATGCGCCATCAACGCCGTCGGTGACTACCTCCGCCGTCGCAGAGGTTGGTGTGGCGCGTAGAAGATAAAGAGGTTTGTGGCGGGAAAAGGGAAGCGGGTGAGAAGGATACGGGAAACAGACGGGAGGGAGAAGGTGAAGGTGAAGGCAAGAGGACATGACATCAAGATTTTTCTCAGAAATGTCTATCTCTGTGACTCAGTGACTATGTGACGGTGAGTCCAAAAGAATGTATATGGGCCATAATTAGGGCTTTTAATGGGCTTTAACATAAGGGATCGCCGATCATTGTTCCGCTCTATTCAATCCCACTGGGTATAACAGAGAGTAAGTGAGTGAGAGAAAGTAGAAAGAAAGAGAGAAAGAGTGGAATTCAAAAGGAAATCATTCATACCATCCCGCCATTAGCAGAAGCTCAGAGAAAGCTTCTCTCGGAAGTAAAATTGGAGATGGCGGAGTTTCCTTCTGCGATAGAGACAACGGTTGCTTCATCGCTTCTCCTCCTTTCGTATGGGCCGGCGTTCTTCTCACCTACAAGGTCGCATCGCACAAACAATCTGTTTCAATTTCTGTGCTAATTACGAGCTCGCGATTTCAGATCTGTGTTATCTTCCTCGTTTTTTTTCCTGATAATCGTCTTGGGTGATAACAGGTCGGGATCTGTAGAGGAATCGAGCTATGTGAGCAAGTGGTGTGACGAAGGAAGCTCGAACCTGAGCTTGATGTTGGGATCTACCGGATCGAGATCGTGCGGCTCCGCTCTGTCCAGCGATGGTTCGTTTGGGAATAGCGACGATCGCGGATTCAAATTCAATTACACTGGAGATCGATTCCATCTCATGGATTTCAAGGTGCAAACTCTTTCATCACGCCTCTGTTTTTAGATTATTGGTTTGGCTGTTCTCTAGATCTGCAATTGTTCGGAAGAATTTTGAACTACTGGGAAATTCGATTGACTAGCATATTCTAGATTTTTCCTTCATCCGTTTGGGCTTTAGTTTTGATTTTACTGTTCGTTCTTAACCTGAATGATAATCGCTATCTCTTAAGAGTGAACATCTCTTTAACCGATTCTGGAGTTTTGAATTTCGAATAACATGTAGATATCTTCTGCTCTCTGGTAGATTCGAACTCGCGAGAATTTTGATCGACTAGTTTTTTTCTGGATTTTAATTGTTGATTTCCTCTGTTTGAGCTAGATTTTGTATGTTACTGTTTTCGAATTTCGATCCAAAGCTGAATGATCATCGCTAGCTCTTATATGTTTTGAAATTCTGGATTGATGATTATTTTACCATAAACGGACCATCACTGGAATTTGAAAATTTGTGAAATTCATGTCTACTGTTCCATTTGCTATGCTCTGATTTTAGTAAGAAAAAAAAACTCTTCCAGAGACGTAAAAAGTTGGCTTAGCTGTGAAAATGTGACGGAGCTAATGCATATTTCAATGTCCGGTTTACGCAGACAGCAAGAAAACGCCGCTCTCAGGTCATCTGGGGATCTTTCAATTCTAAGCCAACACATTTGATGATGGACTCTGTTTGTGAGCTCTCCACATGCTCCGTTGATTCCAAAGATGAGTCGTCATGCTTGTCAACTGGTTCAAGTGAAGTTTCCAGCATTGAAAGCAGAATCAAACTCGGAAATCAGATAAGTTACAAGAAGATGAGAGTAGACGAGAAGAAGAGGAAGAAAGAAAGTAGCAGATCGAATTCTATACGCCGCAGAGCAAAAGACATCTTGGAGTTTCTTTCCTCAGCCTCTTCTTCTGAAGTTCATATCCGGCAGATTCTCGGCGATAGCCCTGATACCAGCAAAGCTCTCAGAATGTATACTCTACTTCCCCTTCCCTCTCATACTAAATCACACAAACATTCTATCCATAAGTATGCTTCATTTCTTATATAAGCAATTTATTTTCAAGCCTCTTGTGCATGCTGGAGTCTACTAGAAGATAGTTATAGGCTTATAGTACTGATCAAATAATCGTAACCTTATGAACTCGATATCCTGATGCAGGTTGTTGAAAATGGAGGAAGTGAAGAGGTTTGGCACAGGAGGAAGACTTGATCCCTATATTTACAAGGTATGAAACTCAACTATCATATTCTTCATATTATGACATGAGATATTTGATTTGATCAACAAAAATAAAAAGAAGACATTAGATTATTTTAATGAATACCTTACAAATTGTTTGAAACTCGAAAGCTACACAAAAATTTCCCCTGTGACAGATATATATACCTTACAATGACCATAGGTTCCTTTGCCTCCTTATTTTTTTTTTTTGTAGATTGCATGAAAAACTAAGACATTGCTGGAAGCAGGTATGAGTTATATCCCTTTGCAACCTTATGGTAAAACACAATATAATGTTGTCATGACACGGATTAGGGAAATGAAAATTATATATATAGGTAAATATATATGGTAGAGGACGCTGGAAGTATAAGAAGAGGCTCTGTTACATTATACCCAGAAATAACTATAAAATTTAGAGCCAAGTTTAGTTAAGACATCATGTTTGCTTGATTGTGTGAATCTCAGACTTGGTTTTCATTGTGAGCCAAAAATGGGTTGATGACTAATCTTATAAAAATTCCATCGAACTCTGTTGGTTACAAATCTAACAAATGTGATTTTGCAAGAAGTTTTAAATCTATTTAATGAGCAAAATCATCGATTACACTGATAAGTCAATAAATCACATCAATTTGATTTGTTTACTTTAAGGAAACAAAAGGAGGACGACAGTTTCTTTAATAAGTAATTCCAATTTTTGTATTTTTAGATATATGTAAGCTAATTAAAAGATTTTTTTTTCTTTTTCGTCTAAATAGATTTTAATTATATGATAATGAAATAAAAGTGTATATATATATATATATCCGAAATTTCTATATCAAAAAATTCATCTAAAATTATAAATCTAATAACTGCCTACACAAAACCAACTGATATATGTTGGAAAAACAAAAAACATCAACTGACAATTGTAATTTCCTGTAACAGTTAGATTTCTCAAAAAGTTCAAATTCAAGGATGATCTTTACAAAGCCAAAGATCCCTTATTTATACTAAAAAAACATGATCTCTTATTTATACTAAAAAAACAAGATATGCTTGTATCTTTCTAATCCTAATCTCTTATTTACAAAGCCAAAGATAAATAAGTTGTAGTTATCTTAAAATTAAAAGAAAACCAAAACAAAAGCCTAAATAGACGAAACTTGCATAACAAGGAAAAGTCTTTAATGAGCTTAACGAAAAGCCCATCATTGTTGAGGATGCGCTGCATCATTAAGCTTATTCTTCTTCACGCTTCATTCGCCTAAAACAAGACACAGATCAATGAGAGGTTCTACTTTGTTACCAAGAACCAAAGAATCAGGAATCAAATTCATGTACTTGTAGGGACCGTTGGAGTTAAAGCCAGCCGTGTTATTGCCGGGTCCTGGTGGGTCTGGAAGGAAAACCCGAGAAACTTCAACATTCTCAAATCCTTTCTCATCACATCCACCAAGTTGCAGCGCCTTCTCTATTGCGTATTGTCCGTGAAGAGTAACTAGAGCTTCGCTATAAAACGCAACAAAACAAGAACAAATCTTTGGTTAGCATTTGATAACATGAGAGAGCTGGGAACAAAACTCAAGAGCAAATTGGGAGGAAGGAGCCACAAACCTCTCGAGAACACCTTTCCTTTTTTTTTGAACATGAGCCGTCCGGACTAATCCACATTTAGAGAAATGTCGAATCAGCGTTCTCGTGGCATCACTCTCACAAAGCGAAGTGTCATACCCCGTAACTAACATACTAATATGATTGCAGAAGATGTTATATATCAACATGACAAGAACATATCTTACAGACGATAAATCTTCAAAACACAATTTACCTGCGCCCTAGCCCACCGTCTACGTCTCTCGTCCGATCAAACATATGGTCAAGGTGTTTGGCGTGAAACGGGTAAGCCTTAGTGACAACCTTGTGCCCTCCCATGTACTTTCCACTAAGTTTCAACGCCTTCTCTTCTGCACCATCTCCCCGAATATACATCAAGGCAAATCTGTGAAACAAATACAAGAGTGTTTATTGCAAAATTGCATTTTTAACTTGAAAGCTGACAAAACCCGATGAAAGACGCCACAAACCTGTTGAGACGACGGGGACGACGGGTTTTCAATCTAACGTATCCGGGAAGAAAAACATGTATCACCTCTCCACATGAAGCGAAATGTTCTCTCAAAGCGGCAACGACATCATCGCCAGAGAGCCACGTGTCGTATCCCTCAACGTAAATCCTGCTTATCATGCTACTGCAATACAGATTTGATTTCAGGTGAAAATATTATTAGCATGGCATCTTACAGATATAGAGAGCTCAACTGAAGCAAGAAAAACAAATTTTAACCTGCTTTTTCGAAGATCGTTCAATTCCATATCATCCTACGGTACAAAAGATCTAATCAGCATTTTAAATTGGGAAACAGAGATTAAAGAAAACCACAAGGGTCGAAGAAGAATATACTTTCATGGCGGATCCGTCCATGGAGAAGATGAGACTGCTCTAGGTCTTCGGGAGCGCAATAAAAATAACAAATATATTTTAGGGATTTAGGTCTTTCTAGAGGCTGTCTAAGAGGAAGAAGGTATTTATAATCGCTTTTTCTTTTTCTTTTTCTTCTTCTTTTAATTATTATTCTGGTTTGGGGGCCTTAACTGTTAAACCTAAAAACAAACGTTTGGGTCTTAAATTTAGTTAAGGCCTACCCTAGGCCCATATAGTCATAAACATTTGTATGACCATTAGCAGGCTGTGTGATGTATTGGTGCTCGATAAATATTGATGATGATGACTGATGAGCTTATAATTCTTTTTTCTTCTTATAAAGTTTATCAAGTGGTTCGGATGAGTTCATCTACATGCACTTGTCATTTTACATGTGCGTCAGAAACTCGGAGCAAGAACACTACAAGTAACCAGCGAATACATTTACAAGAGTAAGAAAATTCTGAATTTCACCGTATCTTCATAGAAAATCCAGTGAAATTACAACAAAATTAACAGTAACATCACTGGATAAAAAAGGGGGGGGGGGAGAATTAGTCTATGAAACAGTAACCGGGAGATTTTGAGAGGTGTAACGATCGGTTTGATTCGGTTATGGATTTGCTGCTACACCATGTTTGTTTGATTGTTCGGACTTGGTTTTCATTGTGAGCTAAAAATGACTAGTCTTATAAAAATCCCATCTAACTCTTTTGTTACAAGTCTAACAAATGTGATTTTGCAAGAAGTTTTAAATCTCACTAATGAGCAAATCATCAATTACATTCAATATTTGTATTTTTTAGGAAGCAAAAGGAGCACGGATAGTTTCTTTAATTTTGGTATTTTTTTAGATATATATATAAGCTAATTAAAAAAATTAATTAGGTTTTAATTATATCATAATGAAATAAAAGTATATGTATGCCCGAAATTTCTCTGTCAAAAAATTCATCTAAAATTATAGATCTAATAACTGCCTACACAAAACCAATTGACATATGTTGGAAAAACAAAAAGGATCAACTGACAATTGTAGGAAATCTCATTTTCACACTTAATTACCACTACATGACACGTTCCATTATACACTTAACACTTTGTTGAATAATAATAACAAATTGCATCATTCTATTTTTTAAAAAAAAAATATAAATTGCATCATTGGCTTAAGCTACGCTCAAAGTCCATACGTTACAAATAAAATGAAAGTCCAAAAAAGTCTTAAAAAAAGTCCAAAAAAGTCGATGATAATAGTCCATCCATCGAGACATATGCTTAAAGTAAACGCTTACTTTTCAAGCGTCTTTTGCGGTTATGCCGCAGTCAAAAATACGCGGCGACTGTTTGGTGTAGTGACGACCCGCTCTGACGCGGATTCATTAATTTCCTTTTAATTACTAGAAAGTATAAAAAGGAAACGTGAAATAAATTTGTGAATTTGTAATCAAATTTTTTTTTTGGAAAGGAAGCCGTCAAGAAACGCTAAAGCGATACCTAAAAAAAAAACGCTAAAATTACATTTTTGAATAATATTTTCAATTTTCCCTAATTTCGACCCTAAACTTTTAGAAATTGATAAACAGTCCAAAAGGTTTTCAATACATTGCAAGTTAAACCCTAATCTTGTCTTCATCTGGTATTTAATATTTATGTATTATAGATCTGAAAATAATCATCTATGATGAATGGTAATGTGATGAATGTCACATCTCCCATAAACTTAAAGTGAAATTACAAGGAGATATAAAGCAAAAACAACCTTTTGAGGGGCATATATGAAATAAAGTAGAAAACGAAGGGACAAGGAAAAAATACAGAAAACAATTATAAAACCCTCAAAATAAGAAAGCGGAGGACTGTTCGCGTTTCCTGCATCCCTATAAATTGGACACAACTTGGAAACTCATTCACCATTGTCTCCGTCTCTCTCTCTCTCTCTCTTCAAGAGAAAGGGAAAAAAAAGTAAAAATAAAATAAAATAAGAAGAAGATCTTTCAAAAAATGGGGAAATACGCGGAGATGCTGGATGCAGGCGTGAGAATAGCGGCGAGGTTTCATTCTCACTGTCCTCAGACGGCGCGTCTCTATTACCATCCTCCTTCCGACGGCCACCATCATCACGGCGTCACGGATCTAATCGGAGGTGGAGGAGTTTTTGGTGGTTCGGGTCAAGATTCGACCGGTTTGGTTGGTGGGTTAGGATCTGGAACTGGTGGATGTGGTCTCAAGGCTCCTAATGGGTATGAAGACGCCAGGGATCTCTTGTTATTCTCTGTTGTTTGAATGATTTATCAGAAAAAAATATAGAAATATTATAATTTTTTGGTGGGAGGAGAGATTTAATGAGCGATGTTTGAATTCTTTTTTTTTTTTCCTTTCTGTTTTATTATTGAGAAAACTGTTCTTTGTGAGGTTTTGTGATACATTTAACAATCTCTGGATACCAAAAATTTCTGGAGAATATTATTGGATGTTGATGAAAACACCAAATTGATTATTTTTTTATTGGTTTGACTCCGTTTGGTTTTTTAACTTCTAAATTTATTGACGAAGCCATTTGCCTTTTGGAATGATTCCTTGCTTACGTCTGCAACTTTGAACTGGTCTAAATGTTTTAAATTATTTGCAGTTTTGTTTATTCTTGTCGGATCCTTGAGAAATTATTATCGATATTAGATGAATCATTTTATTCATTGAACCACTCCCAAAGATTCTGGAGCCAACAATGGTTCGCCGAATTTGGACAATACACCATCTTATAAGCTGTCCCAATGCTTCACATGTGGACCTGAAGAACTGAATAAACCCAAGTACACAACAAAATAAGCTAATCAAAACCAATAACTATCTGGTCATAATACATGAGTTGTTTCGTATTAAACTAAATGATTGAAGACACCTTGATTCAACGATTCTTGCCTTCGTTCGACAAAAGCTGCAACTTTCAATGTGAAAAACTCTGTTTTGTTACAATTGATCAGATGAATAGAGAGACACATACACTGATATACAAACATCTTTTCTGGTATATGAGTCTTTGTGTATACATATATCCTTGTGAAGAGTTTGGGACCTCCTCACAGTTTCAGCTGTCTACATCCTTTCAAAGTTCCGTAAAGAGGCTGAGACTTTCTGAAACCAACAATCTCTTGGATTTCTATGAATGGTGACGCAACTTTGTCTTTGTCCGATGCCATTTCCTTCAAATGCTGGCTTCCATAGACACATATGCTCAGAGATTTCTTTTTGGGTGCGCCAACTTTTATGTATTCGTCAAAGAAGTCTACCAGTTCTTCCTTCTTTAGCTCTCTCAGTGCAGCAACCTAACCACAAAACAAACCACAAGGACCCATGTTATTGGCTTGAGCTAGTCTGAAAGTGTTTGAACACTTTGCTGACTACATTGTGAAAATCAGAGGTTCTCTGTTCAGAGATAGCTACAAAGAAAGCAAGAGCAGTTTCTCGGATTGAAAAATGGAATGAGTGTGTTATTATACGGTACCTCTGCATCTCTGCGGTTGAACTTGAGTGTCCCGTTTTGAATCTCTCGCCAGTAAAACAAAGATTCCTCGTTCAAGTTCTTGTGTTTTTCAAGCTTCATGTCTATTAAAGCTGTCACGTTGCTCTGAGGAGAAACTTATCCAAGTTAGTACGTAGCACTACTTTGGTATACAGAATTGAATTGCATTGCAGCAACCAACTGTTTTTCTCCAACAACGCAAAAGGTGGCTTTTAATAACTCGTACAGCCATCTCACCTTGAATTCCTCATCGCTCATCTCGTAGAGTTTACTCTCCAGGTCCTTGAGTAGTGACTCGACCCTTGAATCAATATGTGCAGGACCCTATTAACGATAAACTCAAAAGCCAATTAAAGCGAGATGCATTAACTAGAAAGTGGGGGTTATGCAAAAGTTCCATGGCAGGCTGGTTTGGTACCTTAACGGAGGACTGGATAATGAACTGTAAACCATAGACGCCAGAATCATTCCTGTTTTGCAGAAAAGTGAACACTTCTATTTATGTATCAACAAGAACTCAGGGGAATTCTAACATTCCATACCTCTGAGAAAGTGAAGTGATGTAGCCAAGTTGCTCGACCGTTCTAAGCTGGTGAAAAGTGGCTTGCTTTGCAATAAGAGCGAAAAGCTCAAGTTTAACGTTCATGGAAAATTCATCTTGATGAACCTGTTCTTGCCAAAACGAATTCCCATTAGCAAGAAAAACATAGCCTCCGCAGATACATTTTAAACTCAAATTTGAAGTACCAAGATCTATAAAATTGATAATCTGGAGGCTGGCATACCTGAATATAATGCAGCAGGGCAGAGTTTTCATCATTAGGGTTTGATCCTTTTTGACTGTATAAGTATTTATTTCCTTTCTGAAGTTTTACAACCCTTTTTGTCAGGTGCTGGGAAGGAAAAAGCGGTCTGCAAATGGGTTTTGTGTCGTTACAAAGAGCATCTTCAATATATTTCACCATTGACTCGGCTTCACTATTCCCAACGTTTCCTGAAAAATTTGCAACACCACACAGTTTCCAAGTTACAATACGAAAGGACTTAGATAACACCATTTGATAACAACATTGGATAATGTTGTTTGATACCTGCTATATAGCAATCGAAAAATGTCCTTGATAACATCATTGGAACGAACTTAGCCAAGTCTTGAGCTTCCAAATGAGAGAGAGCATCTACTTCCTCTGTCCATGGCCAGGCCTGATCATGTAATACCAGTGAGCAGTAATACTTTGCTTGATGATATGGTTGTCGGAATTTGTAATTTTGGTATGCCTTTGTCACCATTTCCTATTTACAGGAATTTCAGTATTACAGCTGATTGGATTTAACAGTTAAGATTTCCTTAGTAATATTGACAGTAAAAGAGGAAGAAGGATGGGTTACCTTGATAACGGAAAACCTCTCAGGTTTAACTTGGAATTTCGCAATCATTTGAATGACAGCTTCTAGCAAAATCCTCAATTTGTGATTGAATCCAGAAAGAGAGAGCTGGAAAGAGAAGGAGGTAATAAAACATGAAAATGTGTGGGCAGAACATGTGGTGAAAAAGATCAGAGTCCTTGTACAAAACAACAAACTCACCTCAAAACCATTGTCTGATAGTCTCAGTCCGTAGTAAAGACCTGCTTTCTTGGCATAGTAACCTGGAAGATAAAATTGAAGAGTTTTCATGGGATGATATCTTAGAGAAACCCATAATTGAGAGTAAGAATAAACACGAGAGAAACTTACCACATTCATTCAAATAGTCCATCAGCAACCGCATAAAAACATCCGTAAGAGCTGCAGTATCAGGAGATTTGACTGCAAGGGGGCAGTTGAATCTATCTTAACATATGCCTTTGGTGTGGAAAATGTTGTCTCAGGGTTGTACCACAATCTTGAAAAGAGTGTCTTCCTCAACAAAACAGGTAAGTCGTTCTGTTCCAGAAGTTCCTGTGAGATGACTTCTTCACAAATCACTTTAAAAGAGAAAGCTGTAACTAGAGTGGTGGAGCCGAACCTTGTCTTTAGCATCATTTAATGAAAAATCCGTAGGAATAAAGACATTAGGTGCTGGAAGATGCAGGTTTACATCAGGGACAGACTCCATCCACTCCTGAACATTTTCACAAATCAAAATTTGAACTCCCTCCAGAGTCACATAAGGAGAAGATAAAAGTGTATCTTTTAGGAAATTAACATATCAAAAGCTAACCTGAATGGTGAATTTGTTAATCTTCTCAAGAGAATAAGCAGTGTTATACCATGGTTCAACCTTGTCAGTCTGTCCTTCAAATTTCTTTGATTCCCAAAAGATTCTGCAAAATAAATGGCATTAGATTCTTTGACAAAAAGGAGCTACATGCAGATTCTAATAACAAGCCACTCTCGAGCTTGGCGAATGTTTCTAGTAAACTGTAGGGAAATAATGCAATATTGCTAAGAGATGCATTACAAGAAGAAAGATTTACCGAACATTAGTAGGACAAAGCTCATCTAGAACCTTTTTTACAATAGCTGGATTGAATTTTGAAAGCAATGATGATCCAACCAGCCAGTCCTTGGTCGGATATATCTGAAACATAGTTGCATAAGCGAGAAAGAATATTAAGAAAAAAAGTGGGTTTGTGCTTTACAGATATAGAATTTCTAAAAATTCAGTCACGAGATCTAATTTCATATGTGAGCATTACTGAGGAGGAGATCGTAAGAGAGGTAAGCATCTATTCTATTTAAATGGGAATTAAACAGAGTATCTTCATAGGACATTATTCACCTGCATATTTGATGCAATATCCACGGCATAAGAAATTGGCTGTGTCTTGTCCTGATAATGAAACTTTGTCTCACAGATAGATGAGAGCTTCAAAAACAACAAAAGAGTCAATATGAATACTAGCAGAGAACAAGAGAAAAAAACATCAAATTATATCAGATAAGTAGCATAGGTCGTACAAGTTAATAATATCAATATACCTCATCAAAAATCCACTGGGAAACACCAGACTGTTGTGAAAGCTTAATGTATCTGAACAACAACCCTACAACTTGTTGCATATGCTCTGTAAACCCATCAAGAAATTGACACAAAAAAAAACATCTTCTTGAGGACAATATAGAAAAGAAAAAAGATGGTTAATTTTTTTTTAAAAAAAACAACTTATAAATAAGCCCACCATGACCAGTATCAGAAAGATCAATCGAAACCTTGAAAAATGAGTACTCAATAGTCCATTCTGCTTCAGAAGCAAACAGTTTCGTTGCCCAACCTGCAAGTATTCGGAAGAATTAAGCCAGAGTACTAAATGTAGAACTGCTACTAAACAAGTCCACATCACATATCAAGCAATTGAGCACAAGGCAGCCCAGATATTTTGCGTATTCAACCAGAGTGGAACTCTTCAAGGACTAAAGATGAACACTTTTCTAACCAGTGCCATTAAATTAAGGAACTGGATAACTCTCAAAGAACAATGCCAATGCGACTATAAGCAGGACTAGCTTCTCCTCCATGAAAAAGATGATGGGTACCATCTACTAAAACAGATAATGAGAGCTGCAGAGTAAAACTAGTTTTCAGCCAATCCCTTTTAGGTAGTTTTTTTTTTCCCCAAAGAAAACCTACCCAAGGTTTTTAAGGCATGAAACAAACTTCCTTCTCCTTCATGACCAATTAGATGACTAAGGTACCTGCATGGTGCTTCTTCATTATGGTGGATGCTAGGAGTTATAGGCCAAAAAATCCTCAGCTTATGACTTTGCTTTATAGGAACAGCCTTCACAAGAATCTGATACCGACCATATAAGATGCCACCTTAGAATCATTTGGGCATTAAATATATCTTCGTGTCAAAAATAAATGGTAAATCTGCAAAAAAGGAACAAATACCTGCAAATGGTCTGCAGTACATGGCTGACCAGCAAATCTAGGAACACCTTTGTTGGTGTTTCGAATTTCCTGGAACATCTCTTCCACTAGACCTTGAGTTTTATCAAGGTTTTCTGGAATACATCCAGAGCAAAGAGAAAGCCAGATGTTGATATTCCTATTATTATCTTGTGAAATAAGAAAAAAATAGAGTTTTGGGTTCGCTCCAAAACCTACCCTTGCCATAAACAACCAGATGCATGATGTTGGCAGAATAGTGTTGGTCATAGAATTTAAGAAGTTCACTCCTTGTATCTATTCCTCTTGCTTTAAGTCGTACATGAAGAGTATCCATGTTCCCTAAGCAAAAAATTGGAAGGAGAAACTCAAATGCATGAATGCTAATCAACAGCAACACAAATGGGAAGTAAGCTTTTATGACATGGACCTGTGCTAAATTTGTGATACGGATAGTCTTCTCTAGTTAGATGCTTCCCTAACTGTGTGATGACAAGGAAAGCAAGAGAAAACCATAAGTCAGAGGTTGAGTATTAATAACCAGACTTGTTCAAAGGAAATCACATTTTCATTAAAGATCAACAAATCATTCAATGGTAATACAGTTTAACCCACATAGCAGGGGAAAATACCTGGCGCATTCGCCGATCATCAGACAACAAGTTTTTCTGATTCTCTGCATGAGAAAGAAGTCATTTAGAATATTGTTATATTAATCAACCAATCTGCGACAACAAAACATTGGGAAAGTGAAAGCTAAACCAGAGTCGACAGCTTTAATCTCCCTCATTGTGGCATCAGGTGACATCAGGGGTTTGATAAAGAAGTGTGAAAATCTGGTTAAGAAAGAAATCCAACACTCTTATTAAAAAGGTAAGTGAAGATAAGAGAAGGTTGGTTTAGAAAAGAGTAAAAGAAGAAATACTCTAAAAACCTGTCCAAAGCCTCACAAAAACAGTCTGTGTTCACATCAAAATGGTAGTTTGTCCTTACAGTGGTTGTGTAAGCATTTGCGCTCCCTCCATTCTTCAAAATTATTCCTTAGTTTTGTTAAGATATAATCATATTGTATTGAATTAGTAGGACAAGAACATTACCTCCGTGACGTACTTCAAGAAACTATGTTCCTCAGGGAATTTTTCACTTGCGTAAAACAGCATATGCTCTGACAATCAACACAATCAAAGTGATTTTTGTTTGATTTCGAAACTGAAAAAAAGCTGAGAGAAATGGGAAAGTAGTAGTACCAAGGAAATGAGCAAGCCCATCGATTCCTTCCGGGTCCGAGAAGTATCCGACACCAACGTTCATCGAAGCAGCACACTAGCAGAGAGAGAGAGAGCAGAGACCGACGAAAGGAAGAATCTTCAGATGTTTGCATCGGTCAAAAAGTCAATTGTTAAGAAAAAGAAGAAAAAAATTATCACCTTGTCGGTCTCGGGATCGCTGATTATCAGCGCCACGAGCGAATTCTTCAGGACAATCCTCCGATACTCTCGCTTGTCCGTACGCGCCTTCAGTATCTCTCCACCCGCCGCCGATATCTCTTTTCCAACCGCCATCGCCGCCGTTCGATTACTTCGGCGTCTTAGGAAGAAAAGTCAACGCTTTTCAGTCAACAGTCTTTCTTCTATTTTTTATTTTTGTGATGTCTTTTTTTTTTTACAAATTTCATACAAGAACGGGGAAAGTATGTATATATATATATATATATAATGTGAGAAAACTCCATCTCTTTTAAATTATTTCCTTGGTCATGCTTCTTGCTTCCGGATTAGGTTTTGTCTACTTCAAGTCAAGTTAAGAAATCCTTGCTGCGACATGAGGATTTCTTGAAACTATTCTCAAGTGCCCAGAAAAGAATTGAAACTATACGTAAGTAACAAAGAGAAGAGGGTGTTTTAAAAGTATTTTCGATGATAAAATTTCTGTTTGCTAAACAAATCAGATGAATACAGAGAGATTCACACATGGAGTACAAATAATATCGGTTTGGTAAAATGAGTGTTTGTGTTGTGTAGTAGTATATCCTTGTGAAGAGTTTAGGACCTCCTCACAGTTTCAGCTGGCTACATCCTTTCAACGATCCGTAAAGAGGTTGAGACTTTCTGAAACCCACAATGTCTTGGATTTCTACGAACGGTGACACAACTTTGTCTTTGTCCGATGCCATTTCATTCATATGCTGGCTTCCATAGACGCATATGCTCAGCGATCTCTTTTTTGGTGCGTACATTTTTATGTATTTGCCAAAGAAATCTATCAGTTCTTCCTTCTTTAGCTCTCTCAGTGCAGCAACCTAACCGCAAAACAAACCCACAAGAAGCTGTGTTAATGGCTTGAACTATCTTTAATGGAAGACTTAGACGAAATTTGCATTATGGAAGATTAGATGTTCTCTGTTCAGAGATAGCTACGAAGAAAATGATCAATCTTTCAAGCGATTATTTTCTTTGCGGTTTGTCTTGTTACCTCTGCGTCTATGCGGTTGAATTTGAGTGTGCCGTTTTTAATCTCTCCCCAGTAAAACCAAGATTCCTCCGACAAGTTCTTATGTTTCTCAAGCTTCATGTCTATCAAAGCTGTTACATTGCTCTGAGGAGAAGGCCATGTCAGTTAGTAACCGTATGCATTTAGGTTGTCAAGTAAAATCTTTTAGAGGCCTCCTTGTACCAAAATAAATTTTTAAGTACATATGATGTATCATATCTCACCTTGAATTCTTGATCGCTCATCTTGTAAAGTTTACTCTCAAGGTCCTTGAGAAGTGACTCGACCCTCGAATCAATATGTGCAGGACCCTATTAAAGATAAACTCAAAGCCAATCAAAGAGAGATGCTTAACTTATACAAAGTCTGAGAGGCGAGACAAGAAGGTACCTTAACTGAAGACTGGATAATGAACTGTACACCATAGACGCCAGAATCAATCCTATTTTGCAGGAAAATGAACATTTTGTCTATGCATCAACAACAACACAGGAGCATGCAAACGTATAGGAAAAATCATTATGTACCTCCGAGAAAGTGAAGTGATGTAACCAAGTTGCTCGACCGTTCTAAGCTGGTAAAATGTGGCTTGCTTTGCGATGAGACAGAAAAGCTCAAGTTTAACGTTCATGGAAAATTCATCTTGATGAACCTGTTCATCGGCAAACCATGCCTTCATTAGCAAGAAAACCAAAGGCCAACAATAAGAAACCTTCTAAACTCACAAATACTCTCAAGTACCTGAATATAGTGCACAAGAGCAGAATTCTCATCTTTTGGGTTTGAGCCTTCTTGATGGTAGAAGTATCTCGTTCCTGCTCCAAGCTCTGCAATCCTCTTGGTCGGGAGCTGGGAAGGAAATAACGGACGAGAAATAGGTTTTGGGTCGTTAAAAAGAACATCTTCAATATGCTTCACCATTGACTCAGCTTCTTCCTTGTCAACATTTCCTGCTACATAGCACTCAACAAATGTCCTTGATAACAGCATTGGAACGAAATTCTCCAAGTCTCCAGCTTCCATATGAGAAAGAGCATCTAGTTTTTCTGTCCAAGGCCAAGTTTGATCTTGTAGTACCAATGAGCAGTAACTCGTTGCTTGACGATATGGTTGTCGGAATTTGCAGTTTTGGTATGCCTTGGTGTTTATTTCCTTTATTACAAGCATAAAAACATGGACTCAATATCTCTGGTAACAATGAACTGATCAAGAACAAATCTGCTATTTCAGAAAGAGGGAGGAGTAGTAGTAACAAGGGTTACCTTGATCACGAGAAACCTGTCAGGTTTAACTTGGAATGTTGCAATCTTTTGAATGATAGCTTCCAGCAAGATCCTCAATTTGTGATTAAAGCCAACAAGAGTCAGCTGCCAATGATAAACATTTTAGTGAAACATGAAACTCAATGACCAAAATCACATGGAAACGACAGAGTCCTTGTACAACCCCTCACCTGAAAACCATTGTCTGAAAGACTTATTCCATAGTAAAGACCAGCAGTCTGAGCATAATAAGCTGAAACATGCAAACAAGTACAAATTTGATGGAACAGTTTTGAAAATTTAACAACAAATTAGGAAGGCTTATTATCCCTTTAATCTTGTTTTTCATTCTTATAACAACAAATCTTTACCATATTCATTCAAGTAGTCGACCAGCAACGGCACAAAAATATTTGAAAGAACCACAGCGTCGGGAGAGGTGACCGCAAGTGGGCAGTTGAAATCCATCTTAACATATGCTTTCGGTTTGAAGAACTTTGTATCAGGCTTATACCACAATCTTGAGAATGATGTCTCTCTCAACAAAACAGGGAAGACTTCCTGTTACAAAACTTGATTGCGTGACTTGTAAGGTAACTGATTCATACGTTAAACTAATTAAAGACATAATTTGTAGATGGCACTGAACCTTATCTTTAATTTCCTTTAATGACAAATCAGTAGGAATGAAGACATTAGGCGTTGGTAGAAGCAGGTTTGCATCAGGTGCAGACTGTTCCCATTCCTGTATTTGTTAGGCACAAACCAAATTTGAACTTCTTCCAAAGTAAAAAAAAAAAAACTTAATAGGAAAGTTATTATTGAATCAAACAGAATATTAAACAAAACTGCGAACATAATTACAGAAGTAATATATCAAAAGCAAACCTGAATGGTGAGTTTGGTTATCTTCTCAAGAGAATATGCAGTGTTATACCATGGCTCAACCTTGTCAGTTTTCCCTTCAAATTTATTTGATTCCCAAAAGATTCTACAAATGTAATGGCATTACACGACGAGATTACTAGGCCGTGAGCAGTAAAGATTTCAATGCTTAAACTATATGTAGATTCAATGGACATAACACATATTTTTAGAGCGTAGTACGAGACAAGGCAAAAGAATACTACGTTAGGTCATCAGTTGCTTGTGCAGGAAGGCATTTCAGGAACGGAGAGACTTACCGAACATTACTGGGAGAAAGCTCATCTAAAACCTTTTGTACAAGAGCTGGATTAAATTTCGAAGGCAGTGACGATCTAACCAGCCAATGCTTGGTCGGGTATGTCTGGAGTATAATTTCGAAGCAGAAATAATTATATAAGAAGTTTAAAGGGCAGAAATTTTTTTATCACAAGTCGACTGAAAATACTAATACCTTCATTTTTGGTGAAATACCCGTTGCATAAGAAATTGGGTGTGTTTTGGATTGATAATGAAAATTTGACTCAGAGACAGCTGAGATCTTCAATAACAAAATAAAAGATGTATTTATTTCATGACACAGCTGAATCAATAAGAATACTAGCAAAATTCAAAAGCAGACAACAATATGGTACAGCCTAATAGTACCTCATCGAAAATCCACTGGTAAACACCAGACTGTTGTAAAAGCTTAATGTGTCTGAACAACAACCCTAAAACATCTTCCATATGCTCTGTATACCAAAGCAAGTATCAAAATCAAATCACACAAGAAACAATTTTGCGAGCTTTCCTTAGAAAACAAAAAAAAAAAACAAGAACAAGAACAAGAAAGAATACAGAGACCAACCATGGCCATCATCAGTAAGATCAATGGAAACATTGAAGAAAGAATATTCCATATTCTGGCCAGCTTCGCCAGCACTCAGTCCCGTTGCCCATCCTGTGCAAGTATTTAATATCAAGAATTAAGCAGTTGAGCACTTTTCTAAACTAATAGCTTCATGACAAAACCTAAGAAAGTGTTGTATATTATTAGGAGAATGAAGATCAAGCAAGAAACATCCTTAAGATTAATTACTACAGAGGAAACGTCATTTTGAATACCAGAAAAGAGAGCTTAAGAGTATACCAGAAAAGAAGCCTTACCCAAGATTTTTAAAGCATGAAACAAACTTCCTTTGCCTTCATGACCAATTAGATGACTAAGGTACCTGCACGGTGCTTCTTGATAATGAAGGATACTAGGAGTTACGGGCCATGAAACAGTAAGCGCATGACCCTGCCTTATGGGAACAACCTTCACAAGAACCTATAAACCAATGAAAAAGAAAACATCAGCAAACCGAAGAAACCACCTTATCAACATTATAGCATGAGGTAAGGAACAAATTAAAGACCTGTAAGTGGTCTGGAGTACACGGCTGACCAGGAAATCTAGGGATACACTTGTTGGTGTTTCGAATTTCTTGGAACAACTCTTCCACTAGACCTTGAGTTTTATCAAGATTTTCTGAAAAGAGAAGGTCAGATGTTAAGATTCTTATTATCATCTTGTGAAATAAATTTGGTTTTCAGGTTAGCTCCAAACCCTACCTTTGCCATAAACAACAAGATGCATGATGTTGGCAGAATAGTGTTGGTCATAGAATTTAATCAGTTCACTCCTTGTATCTATTCCTCTTGCTTCAGGTCGTACATGAAGAGTATCCATGTTCCCTAAGCAAAAAGATATCACTTTCTTAGAAAGACTGAAAAAAATTGGAGCCACTGACTTTTCTTGCGCATCACAGCAACAAGTCTAGTTTACATGAACAATGGAAACAAATTAAGAAAAGGTTAGAACATGAACCTGTGCTAAATTTGTGATATGGATGGTCTTCTCTACTTAGATGCTTCTGTAACTGTGTGAACGGAAAAGGAAAACAATGAAAAACTCAAGTTAGATGCTAAATATACATTGTCGAAATTGTCATATATGCAGGGTTTAGATGTAAGTACTACAAGTTCAAAGACTTTCAGTGCGCTAATAACTAATATAACACAATTAATCCAGATATTTAGTCTTGAGAGCAGAGGAAAGTACCTGGCGTAGACGCCAAGAATCAGACAACAAGTTTTTCTGATTCTCTGGATAAGAGAGAAGTCGTTAGCTAACAAACTACAACAGAGAAGCTATCAATGAATAGTGTAAAAAAATGCTAACCAGAGTCAACGGCCTTGATCTCCCTCATGGTTGCATCAGCTGACATAAGTGGTTTGATAAAGAACTGGGCGAACCTAATTAGAGCCAATAATAACATCCAACAACACAGTCAAAAAGACAAATCAAATTAGAAGGAAAAAAAAAAAAAAAAAAAAGTCTAAACCTGTCCAAAGCCTCATCGAAAGAGTCTGTGTTGATGTCGAAATGGTAGTTTGTGTCTTCACTGGATGTATAAGCATTTGTGCTCCCTCCATGCTACGAAAAGACAGTTCACTAATAATCACATCCCATTTTTCTCCTTTTCCAAAGTCTTCCTTACACTAAGATATGAAACCGATGCAAGAACATTAAATTATGATCCAGAGCTGATGAAGAAGAACATTAATTAACCTCAGCGATGTACTTGGAGTAACTATCTTCCTCCGGGTATTTTTCACTTGCATAAAACAACATATGCTCTGAAAACCAATAACAAGATGTTTACTCTCCATGGCCCATCAAAATCCACATTTACATGAAAGACTTCATAAAATCACTGTCTGATTATGGTGAAAATCATTTAACAAAACAAAAACTGGATTAAGAAAGTACCAAGGAAATGAGCAAGCCCATCCAATCCTTCTGGATTCGAGAACGATCCGACGCTAACGTTCATCGAAGCAGCACACTACAAAGTAGTAGACACAGATGAATCTTTCAGCTTCTTTCAGTTTCTTATCATCGGTTAAATAAGATGAGGAATCGAACTTAGTACCTTGTCAGTCTCAGGGTCGCTGATCAACAACACCTCCAGCGAATTCTTGAGAACTATCCTCCGATATTCTCTCTTATCCGTGCGTGCCTTCAGTATCTCTTCACCTTCATCCGCCGTCTCCGCCGCGTTTTTCTTCCCAACCGCCATCTCCGTTTTAGTAGTTGAGTCTTCTTCGCTGAGTCTTGGCTCTCTATATGTCCAAGTCCAACCACTCCCAACGTCTTTCTTTTATTCAGGGAAAGTTTTAAGACAAAGAAAGCTGAAATGAAAAGTCTACGTCTCACTACTATCGACGGTGTACGATTCTCCACGTCTTACAGATCCAACGGTCATTTTCTTGGTATAGTCAAGTCTTCATCCGTATTTTTGTCCACGTCTTTCTTTTTTCCACAATCTAGTGTTTTTTTAAGCCTAAAAGAAATTATCCAGTGTGCCTCTTACTAATTATGAACGGTGTATCTTTTCCCAAGTAAGAGAGATCTGACGGCCATAACGCTGCGTTGACCAAACTTTTAGCTCGTGCTGAGCAATCCCACCGTTGATTTGTTGGAGTATAAAAACTTTACAACAAATCAATGGATGCTACTCGGTCAAAAAGTCGTCTTTCTTTTTTATTTATTTTTGTTGAGAAAATATATACCCCTCATGTGATACTGATTTGCTTACCCTGCTTCTTGCTTCCGGATTAGGTTTTGGTTACTTCAAGTCAAGTTTAATTTGTTTTTTAATTATGTTTCAATGAAATATCGTCAAACTCTGTTTTCGATGATAAAACTATGTTTTCTAGATGAATACAGATTCTCACATATACAATAATATCGTTATGGATTCTCCTCACAGTTTCAGCTGGCTACATCCTCTCAACGATCCGTAAAGAGGCTGAGACTTTCTGAAACCAACAATGTCTTGGATTTCTACGAGTGGTGACACAACTTTGTCTTTGTCCGATGCCATTTCATTCAAATGCTGGCTTCCATAGACGCATATGCTCAGCGATCTCTTTTTTGGTGCGCCAACTTTTATGTATTCGTCAAAGAAGTCTATCAGTTCTTCCTTCTTTAGCTCTCTCAATGCAGCAACCTAACCACAAATCAAACCCCCAAGAACTATCTTTAAAGGAAGACTTAAACAAAATTTGCATTATGGAAGATTAGATGTTCTCTGTTCAGAGATAGCTAGGAAAAAAATCGATCTTTCAAGCGATTGTTGTCTTTGTGGTTTGTCTTGTTACCTCTGCGTCTATGCGGTTGAATTTGAGTGTGCCGTCTTGAATCTCTCCCCAGTAATAACTATTTTCCTCCGTCAAGGTCTTATGTTTCTCAAGCTTTACGTCTATCAAAGCTGTTACATTGCTCTGAGAAGAAGCTATTTTCCTCCGTCAAGGTAGTAAGTTAGTAATAGTATGCATTTATGTTGTCAAGTAAAAATTCTTGTACCAAATTAAATTTTTAAGAACATATGATGTATCATATCTCACCTTGAATTCTTGATCGCTCATCTTGTAAAGTTTACTCTCAAGGTCCTTTACAAGTGACTCGACCCTCGAATCAATATGTGCAGGACCCTATTAACATTAAAATCAAAAGCTAATTAAAGAGAGATGCATTAACTAATAGTACAAAGTCGTCTGAGAGGCAAGACAAGATCTGGTACCTTAACTGAAGACTGAATAATGAACTGTACACCATAGACGCCAGAATCAATCCTATTTTGCAGGAAAATGAACATTTTGTTTATGTATCAAAACAATGACACAGGAGCATGCAAACGTATAGGAGAAATCATTATGTACCTCCGAGATAGTGAAGTGATGTAACCAAGTTGCTCGACCGTTCTAAGCTGGTAAAATGTGGCTTGCTTTGCGATGAGACAGAAAAGCTCAAGTTTAACGTTCATGGAAAATTCATCTTGATGAACCTGTTCATCGGCAAACCATGCCTTCATTAGCAAGAAAACCAAAGGCCAACAATAAGAAACCTTCTAAACTCACAAAGACTCTCAAGTACCTGAATATAGTGCACAAGAGCAGAATTCTCATCTTTTGGGTTTAAGCCTTGTTGATGGTAGAAGTATCTCGTTCCTTTTCCAAGCTCTGCAATCCTCTTGGCCGGGAGCTGAGAAGGAGATAACGGACGAGAAATAGGTTTTGGGTCGTTAAAAAGAACATCTTCAATATGCTTCACCATGGACTCAGCTTCTTCCTTGTCAACATTTCCTAAAAATGAGACACCGCAAGGGCTGTAAGAACAGCAAAAGGGTTTAGAGACCAAATCAATCACGCAGCAAGGGATACATACCTGTTATATAGCACTTAACAAATGTCCTGGATAGCATCATCGGAACGAAATTCTCCAAGTCTCCAGCTTCCATATGAGAAAGAGCATCTAGGTTTTCTTTCCAATGCCAGGCCTGATCGCGTAATACCACTGAGCAGTATGACATTGCTTGCTCATAGGGTTTATCGCAGTTGAAATTTTTGTATCCCCTTGTGACCGTCTCCTATTACATGATAGGGAAGCAGAAAAGCATGAAATTCAATAACATGGCTAATTTAGAAAGTAGGAACAAGAGTTACCTTGATAACGAGAAACCTGTCAGGTTTAACTTGGAATGTTGCAATCCTTTGAATGAAAGCTTCTAGCAAGATCCTCAATTTGTGATTAAAGCCAACAAAAGCCAGCTGTAAATGAGAAACAATTTTAGTGAAACATGAATGAGCAAAATACAGAATCCTTGCACAACACCCCACCTCAAAACCACTGCCCGAAAGGTTTAATCCATAGTGAAGACCAGCAGCAAGAGCATAATAAGCTGAAACGTATAAAAGTAGAGATTGATTGAACAGTTTTCATGATAGGAAGGCTTATCACTCTTTCTATCAAACCTTACCATGTTCATTCAAATAGTCGGCCAGCAACCAAACAAACATTTCTGAAAGAACTTGAGCGTCAGGAGAGGTGGCTGCAAGTGGGCAGTTGAATTCCATGATAACGCATGCCTTTGGTTTCAAGAACTTTGTGTCAGGCTTGTACCACAGTCTTGAGAATGGTGTCTCTCTCAACAAAACAGGGAAGACTTCCTGTTCCAAGACTTGATTGCGTGACATTAGATAACTGATTCATACGTTAAACATTAAGATGTTTATAAGTTGTAGCTAGAGCGAAGTGATGAAACTGAACCTCGTCTATAACATCTTTTAATGAAAATCCGTAGGAATGAAGACATTAGGTGTTGGTAGATGCAAGTTTACATCGAGGGCAGACTGCACCCACTCCTGTAATTGAATTTAAAAAAAAAAAGAATATGAATTTGATCAACTACAATATAGGATTTTCAGTAAATTAGTAATATCAAAAGCAAACCTGAATGGTGAATCTGGTTATCTTCTCAAGAGAATAAGCAGTGTTGTACCATGGCTCAACCTCGTCAGTTTTGCCTTCAAATGTATTTGATTCCCAAAATATTCTACAAAATGAAAACTTATTTATATTCTTCTACTACACGCAACAACTACATGTACCTCCAAGATCTTAAAGATCATATGGCACTAGCTTGATAAAGCCAATGAGTTGTTCAGCAAAGGAACACATTAGGTGTATATTTGAAGAACAAGAGACCTACCGAACATTAATGGGAGAAAGCTCATCTAAAACCTTTTGTACAATGGCTGGATTAAATTTTGAAGGCAGTGATGATCGAACCAGCCAATGCTTAATTGGGTATATCTGAAACACAGTGGCAAAAATTAGCGACATAACATCATATAGGTGATCTGGTCATGCTTGATGAGATTACAACAGAGGTAAGCATCCATTCTACGTTTTGCTCGTTGTTAAAGACCAATTCATAAAAAGGTATGAAAGTATGATGCAATTACCGTCATGCTTGATGAATGCTCCACTACATCAGATATTGTTTTGGATTGATAATGAAATTCTGCCTCACAGATAGCTGCAAGCTTCAGTAAAAGTAAAATATGCATCAATCTCTATGTATTCTGAATCGATAGGACTAGTAGCAAGATTAAAAGCAGACAACAACAGAAGAGGTTGAAACGTAAAAAGTACATGTTGATAATATCAATATACCTCATCAAAAATCCACTGGGAAACACCAGACTGTTGCAAACGCTTAATGTATCTGAACAACAACCCTACAACTTGTTGCATATGCTCTGTGTACCAAGAAAGAAACAAAATCATAAAATATATAGTGACTAGACATAGATATCAAGCACACCTCGAAAGAAGAAAGATTGTTGTGAGCTTCAGTGAAACCCACCATGGCCGGCATCAGTAAGTTTAATCCAAACATTGAAGAAAGAATACTCCATATTCCAGTCTGCTTCACCAGCATACAATTCGGTTGCCCAACCTGAAAGTCATAGGAAAAATTGAGCAAGATTGCATATTAATAAGCAAGATTTTAATGGTTAAGACCCACACTTCAGTTTGAAAAAATAGGTATGGAACCATTTATGTTTTTAGTGCAACCTTTGTGACACACCAAAAAAAAATGTAATATATCATTTTGAAAACCAGAAATAGAGAGCTCAAGACTACAACTACTTTTCAATTTACGTTATTAGGTTGGCCCCAAGGGAAAACCTACCCAAGTTTTTTAAGGCATGAAACAAACTTCCTCCGGCTACATGATTAATTAAATGCCTAACGTTATAAGATGGTGCTTCTTCATAATGATGGATGCTAGTAGTTACAGGCCATGAAACGTTAAGCTCGTGGCCCTGCATTATGGGAACAGCCTTTACAAGAACCTGAAACCAAAGTAAAAACAAGAACCAAAGATACCACCTCAGAAACATTCTGGCATGAATCTATCTTCGTCTCCTATAAATACTAAAGATGAATAAGGAACAAAAACCTGCAAATGGTCCAGAGTACATGGCTGACCAAGAAATCTAGGGATACACTTGTTGGTGTTTCGGATTTCTTGGAAAATATTTTCCACTGTGGCCTGAATTTTATCAAGGTTTTCTGTAGACATCCAGAGCAAAGATATGTAAACATGTTATATATGTTAATTATTGTTTTGTTTTTCTGAAAGTTTGAGAAATTTGACTTTTGGGTTAGCTTCAAAACCCACCCTTGCCGTAAACAACCAGATGCATGATGTTGGCAGAATAGTACTCGTCATAGAATTTAAGAAGTTCACTTCTTGTATCTATTCCGTTTGCTTCAGGTCGAACAAGAAGAGTATCCATGTTCCCTAATCAAAAATATCACTTTCTTAGCACGAGAGAATAGGGCCACTGTTTTTCCTTATGCCTCACGGCACCAAATCTTGCTACATGAACATCAGTCAACACTTAAAATAAGAACATGGACCTGTGTTAAATTTGTGATACGGATGGTCATCTCTACTTAGATGTTTCTGTAACTGTGTGAAGGAAAAAGGAAGAGAAAACGTAAGTTCGATACTAAATATACATCAACAGACATGTGCATTGTCACATATGCAGGGCTTAGATACAAGGCATTATAAGCTCAAAGGAAACCTCATTTTTCTTAATAATGTACTTTTCCTTTATATTGAAGTACAATCCTTGAGTGATAAGTAACCAAATGGATAAATAGTATACAAGCAGAGGAAAGTACCTGGCGCAGACGGCAAGAATCAGACAACAAGTTTTTCTGATTCTCTGGAAAAAAAGAGAAATCGTTCAAGAACTTGTTAGGTTACAACTTACAACAGAGAAGCTATCAATGAAATTGTAAAAAAAAATCATAATTAACCAGAGTCGACGGCCTTGATCTCCCCTCATGGTTACATCAGCTGACATAAGTGGTTTGATAAAGAACTGTGCAAACCTGATTAGGCAATACTAACATTTTAAGAGTCGAAATAAGACAAAATTAAAAACAATTGCAAAATGTAAAACCTGTCCAAAGCCTCGTCAAAAGAGTCTGTGTTGACATCGAAATGGTAGTTTGTGTCTTCACTGGATGTATGAGCATTTGTGCTTCCTCCATGCTACCACAAAATAAGCGCATCCCAATTTTCTATACATTTAAGGAAAGAAACGAAACCGATGCAAGAACATATTCAATCATGATACAGAGATAGAAAAGTGTAAAGAAAACACCGATAGTGCCAAGCACTAGCCCAAGACCGTAATACCCGAGAGATCCGAAAGAAACAAAGACCCTCTAAGTATGAATAATAAGATGAAAGAACACTTAGAGAAAACTTGAAGGAACTTTAGAGAGAATAAGAGAACTTATGAAGAACACTCTTTCTTTATTTGTTCAACTTCTCTTATTTACAAATGATGGAGTAGTGGGCTATTTATAGGCTCCACTTATTACAAAATATCTTACAAACATTCTCCTAATCTCTAGAATTTTCTACAATAATATCTAGAATTTTAACTACAACATCTAGAATTATCTATAGAATTATCTAGATATTTAACTAATAGAATTCTCTAGAACATTTAAGAAAGATGATGATTTTTAGTGATGTTTCTAGAGATTCTAGAACTTGAGCTTAATTTTAGGCCTAATCTAATAACTAATAATTATTTTATAAACCCAAAATTAAGCTTAACCCAAAATCAAGTTTAACTTCAATACTCCCCTTTAAACTTGATTTTGTCAGTCATCCCGAGCTTCGAGCAAAGTAACTCGAACTGACCTTTTGGTAATGACTTGGTGAAGATATCTGCAACGTTGTCCTCGCTTCGAACTTCCAAAGCTTCAATTGTCCCATCAAGCACCTTCTCTTTTATGAAGTGATGCTCTAACTCAATGTGTTTAGTCCTCCCATGGAACACCGGATTATTGGCCAGCTTGATCGCACTTTGATTATCTCCATAAATTGCAATTGGCTTATTGATTGGCTCGAACAGATCTTCAAGGAGTCTCTGAAGCCAAATACACTCTTGAGCTGCTAGAGTTGACGCTTTATACTCTGCTTCAGTTGTAGATAACGACACCGTTGCTTGCTTCTTACTGCACCATGAGACACTTGTGTTCCCACATAGGAAAACATAGCCTGAAGTTGATTTCCGATCATCAAGATCTCCACCAAAGTCAGCATCCGTGAAGCCATAAAGAGAGACCTTGGCATTATACTTGTACACCAGACCCATGCCAAGAGTTGTCTTCACATACTTCAATATCTTCTTTGCCGCTTCTAGATGTGGCTTCCTTGGTGCCTGCATAAACCGACTTACAAGACCTACCGCGAAGGCAATGTCAGGTCTTGTAATGGTTAAGTATAAAAGACTTCCTACAAGAGAGCGATAAGGCCGAGGATCAGGTAGTAAGGACCCTTCATCGCGTTTAAGCTTTATGTTGACATCCATTGGAGTAGAGCGTGTCTTTCCTTCGTGTACTCCAAACTTCTCAACGATTCTTCTTGCATAGCTTTGTTGGCCGATGAATATTCCACCCTTTACCCTTTCCACCTCCAAACCGAGAAAGTTGTTGAGCTCTCCCAACTTCTTCATCTCAAACCTTATCGACATATCCTCTTGTAAACGAGTAATTTCTGCATCATCATTCCCGGTAATTATCATATCATCCACGTAAAGGAGAACTACCACGTGGACTCCTCCATTCTTCTTGAAGAATAGACTCGGATCAGAGTTTGATGCCACATAACCGCAGAACTGAAGAAACTGAGCAAGCTTTCCATACCAGGCTCGTGGAGCTTGTTTTAACCCATACAAGGCCTTCTTCAGCTTACACACATAATCAGGATGCTCTCGTGATATAAAACCAAGTGGCTGCTCCATCAGGATTTCCTTGTCAAGCTCTCCATATAGAAAAGCATTCTTCACGTCTAATTGCCATAACTTCCAACCAAAACTTGCAGCCAAAGATAAGAGAGAACGTACCGTAGTCATCTTGGCTACAGGGCTGAAGGTCTCATCATAGTCTTCTCCATACTTTTGAGAGAATCCCCGAGCAACCAACCTTGCTTTGAATCTATCAACGCTTCCATCTGTTTTGCGCTTGATCCGGTACACCCATTTACAAGAAACAGGTTGGGCATTCTTGGGTTTTGGAACCAAATCCCAAGTTTCGTTCTTCATGAGAGCATTCATCTCCTCCTTCATTGCGTTTTCCCACTCGTCAACACCTTTTGCTTCATCATAAGATGTTGGCTCATCTTCATCTAATGGAGCTGCAAAGTAGCACGAGAAGGTAGTAACAAACTTTGGATCTCTGAACCGAGCAGGTTTAATGATGTCCCTTTTAGGCCTTTGACTAGCCGTGGAACCATGATGTTCCTCCTCATCCTCCTCTTGATCAGTGCTCCCCCTTTCACCTTGCATCTCTTCTTCAGGACCTTTTTCTTTACTCAGAGCTGGTTTATCACTTTTGGAGGAACTCCCACCTTCTTGCTCAACTAAAACTTGAGGTGGCCCATAGAATGAGGAAACTTCATCAAAAACAACATCTCGAGACACTACGTACCTGTGTGTCTCTGGATCCATACACCTCCACCCTTTTCTTTGTTCGTCATAGCCAACGAAGATGCACTTCTTCGCCTTTGCCTCCAACTTGGTTCTTTGAGAATCAAACACATGGACGTAGCAGACTGATCCAAATATCCTGAGATGTTTCACTGACGGCTTCTTCCCATGAATCATCTCATACGGAGACTTCATGTTATTTGGGCTGAGTGGCATCCGATTTATGACGTACACTGCGCATCTCATGCCTTCCGCCCACAAGGCTTTAGGCAGATCCTTCCCATATAGCCAGCTTCTGCACGTCTCAGTTAGATGTCGAATCTTCCTTTCCGCTACTCCATTTTGTTGAGGTGTATACGGAAAAGTAAACTCTCTCTTTATTCCATGCTTTTGACAAAAAGAGAGAAACTCCTTGGACATGAACTCCCCTCCATTATCTGTCCTTAAGGTCTTGATTCTCCGACCCAGCTCCCCTTCCACGGTAACCTTGAATTCTTGAAATTTGGAGAATACTTCTGATTTTTCCTTCACAAAGTATACCCAAGTGTGCCGTGAGAAGTCATCAATGAACAGCAACATGTACCGAAACCCGGAATATGAGGGTGTTCTTGTAGGACCCATCAAATCACTATGGATCCTCTCCAACAGAGCACTGCACCATGAAGTAGAATTGTCAAATGGAAGTCTATGTGATTTTCCATATTGACAACCTTCACAAAGCTTTCCTTCATCTTGGATCTTCAGCTTCGGAAGCCCATTTACCAACTCCTTTATCACCATAACCTTTAGCTTAGTCATGTTTATATGACCAATCCGAGCATGCCATATAGAGGCATTGTCGTTTGTACTCATCTTCTCCACGTATGAGTTGGACGCAGATAAGACATATAGATCCTTAACCCGCGATCCGGTGTGAACCACATCCGCCTTTAACTCTTTAATATTCTTCAAGAATTTGACGTCTCTTGGGCCAAATAAAACGTAGTTACCTGAGTCTACTGCATTCACCACAGAGAGAAGATTCTTCCTTACTCCAGGGACATGGTATACATTCTTGAGGGTGATAGGGCTTCCATCTTCTCCTTCAATGACAACAGTCCCTTCCTTCTCGACCCGGTGAACTGAATTATCCGCGGTAATTATGGTTTCTTTTCCATCATGGCGCTGAAGACTAGAAAATAGCTTCTCGTCTCCGGTAATATGGTGGCTACAACCCGAATCCACAATCCAATCATTTTCAAGATTTTTAGTTGTGGATATACCTGAAGATGCAGCCTCCACCGTGAAGCATTTCCCCCATTCTTCGTCTTCAATATGACCTTTTGATTCTGCCATATTTATCTCCTTCAGCTTGACTCGACAATCCTTTTTGAAGTGCCCAAGCTTTCCACACCGGTAGCACTTGAATCGCTTCTTATCTCCAGTAGAAGATCCTTCCGGTCCATCGATGTTCTTTGCACCATCGTATTTGGATTTGGCTTTGAAGTTGTGTTGCTTCCGAGCTACAAAGGCGCTCCCCGAGTCATCATGGATTTTGACTCCTGCCATTTGCGTAGCTAATGACTCTTGCGAAGCTAGCAGGTTCTCGAACTCCTCCAAGGAAGGTTGTGTAGCCCATCCTTGAACCGAAGTCACAAACGGTGTATACTCAGGTCGTAGACCTCGAATAATATACCGTTTTAAACGTGCTTCGGAAATTGACTCCTCCGGATTTAGAGTATTAATCTCTGAGCGAAGATTCTTTACTTTGATGAAAAACTCTGAGATTGAAGACTCCCCCTGCTTTGCATTCGCCAATTCGTTCTCTAACAGTTGTAGCCGAGCTTCATTCTTCTTGTTGAACAACTGATCTAACGCCTGCCAAATGGAACTAGCGGATGTGCAACTTGAGACATGCTCAAAGACTCCCGAGGATATTGACCTCTTCAATGCAAACTCCGCCTTGGCATTCTTCCGTGTCCACTCCTTTGTCGCTTCTGCTGTCGCAGCAGCTCCCCTTGGTGGTGTTGTGCTACTGCCGCCGACGACATCCCATAAGTCCTCACTCACCAAGTATGACTCCATGCATGACTTCCATAACCGGTAATTGGATTGGTTTAGAATCTCCATTCCCAACCCAACAACGCGACCCATTGACTCCATACTTAGAGTAAATCTGAGATCTCAATTAATCCGATCTTGAAAAAGAACCAGATCAGAATGGCTCTGATACCATGTAAAGAAAACACCGATAGTGCCAAGCACTAGCCCAAGACCGTAATACCCGAGAGATCCGAAAGAAACAAAGACCCTCTAAGTATGAATAATAAGATGAAAGAACACTTAGAGAAAACTTGAAGGAACTTTAGAGAGAATAAGAGAACTTATGAAGAACACTCTTTCTTTATTTGTTCAACTTCTCTTATTTACAAATGATGGAGTAGTGGGCTATTTATAGGCTCCACTTATTACAAAATATCTTACAAACATTCTCCTAATCTCTAGAATTTTCTACAATAATATCTAGAATTTTAACTACAACATCTAGAATTATCTATAGAATTATCTAGATATTTAACTAATAGAATTCTCTAGAACATTTAAGAAAGATGATGATTTTTAGTGATGTTTCTAGAGATTCTAGAACTTGAGCTTAATTTTAGGCCTAATCTAATAACTAATAATTATTTTATAAACCCAAAATTAAGCTTAACCCAAAATCAAGGCAATACTAACATTTTAAGAGTCGAAATAAGACAAAATTAAAAACAATTGCAAAATGTAAAACCTGTCCAAAGCCTCGTCAAAAGAGTCTGTGTTGACATCGAAATGGTAGTTTGTGTCTTCACTGGATGTATGAGCATTTGTGCTTCCTCCATGCTACCACAAAATAAGCGCATCCCAATTTTCTATACATTTAAGGAAAGAAACGAAACCGATGCAAGAACATATTCAATCATGATACAGAGATAGAAAAGAAGATTGATATTAACCTCAGCGATGTACTTGGAATAACTATCTTCCTCCGGGTACTTATCACTTGCAAAAAATAGCATATGCTCTGCAAAAAAAAAAACGGGAGATGTTATTCTCCATGACTTGATGAATCACTAATTATGGAGAAAATCGTTAAACAAAACAAAAAAAAAAGTACCGAGGAAATGAGCAAGCCCGTCCATTCCTTCTGGGTCAGAGAACGATCCGACGCTAACGTTCATCGAAGCAGCACACTAAAAAGCAAAAGAAACAGATGAATCTTTCAGCTTCTTTCAGTTTCTTATCATCGGCTGAATAAGATGAGGAATCGATCTTAGTACCTTGTCAGTCTCTGGGTCGCTGATCAACAACACCTCCAGCGAATTCTCAAGAACTATCCTCCGATATTCTTTCTCATCCGCGCCTGGCTTCAGTATCTCTTCACCTTCATCCGCCGTCGCGTTTTCCTTTCCAAGCGCCATCGCCGTTCGATTACTTGGCTTGTACTCTACTTGGGCCTTCGTCTTGGCTCTATTCTATGTGCAACGTGTTTCTTTTATAATGTCAGAGAAAGTACGACGAGGAAACTGAGAGGAAGGTTTGTTTGAGTCTGCTGTTATCAACGGTGTATCTTCGCCAAATCACAGAGATCAACGGCGATAGTGCACGTCCGGTAATAAGATCTAATGACCCCCCACCGATGTCTTTTGTACTACCATGTGACAGATGTTATTTCATATGTAAAGGGAAAAAGATAATTTACATGTCTAACAATTTCAGTACTTATATAGTGAAAACATGTGTATCTAAGAATTATATTAAATCAATATTTGATAATAACTTTCGTTTCAAAAAAAAAATATATATATATATATATATAACAATAAATTAGCTAAAAATAAATTTTGTCAAATATTCCTTCTGTTTTTAAAAGAAACATTTATAGTTTTTATTTTTGTTTTACAAATAAAGATTTTTAAGTTTATCATGCATTTTAAGTAGTTAGTGATAATTAATTGTAAAATTCAATAGTAGTAATTGAATTACTATTAATTTAAAATTATTAATCACAAAATGATACATTTCTAGTTAAGTTTTAATATATTTTTGTAATTTATGTGGAAACTCCAAAACATGTATTCTTAAAATGAATTTTTTAACATTTTTTATAGTTTGTTAAAGATAAATATTTTAAGTTTTTATGTATTCACAAAATGAATCTCGACAGTAATGTTATTAGAGAGAAGGTAATTCTCTGCATCTTGGGACAGTACCCTTCTTCTTGACAGCTTGTAGTAAAAAATCCACATTTATATCTCATGGATACCTACGTGGCACTCTCAGATCCAACAGTAGCCTCTTCGAGTTACGTCATCTCCGTTATCTGAACTTTTTTTTCAACAACTTTGCTTCTCCTCTGCTTTTGGCCAACTCAACAATCTAGAGATTCTGCTTCTCTCGCTACTTCTAATGGCTTCCTCGGCCAGGTTCCTTCTTCAATACGTAACCTAACCAAATTAACCCAATTAAAGCTTCCATACGTAATTTAGTCCTACTTGTGCAGAATGTAACCAAGCTTTCATCTTTAGACCTTTATTATGACCAATTCTCTGGAACATAGCTTCTTCTCTCCTCAGCATGCATTTCTTGTCTTATCTTGATTTGAGCGGGAATCATCTCACTGGTTCATTTGATTTGAAATCCCTAATTCTTCATCTAAACTCGAGATTTTACTCGTTAATTGTGAATAACAAGTTAATTTATAGCTCATGTTTTCAAGTTAGTCAATCTCCAATATCTCAGCCTCTCTTTCATAAACAGAAGCCACGCAATTGACTTAACACTCTTCTCTTCTCCCAAATCTTTGACATACCTTCATCTTTACGGCGACAGTTTCACGATTAAGGAGGGCTCAAGAGAAACGGTTAATTCTAACCTTGGTTTATAATAGAAATCTTCCTCGAGACCATTAGGGTTTGGGCAATCCTTGGTCTTTCTAATAAATTACTTTAAATTCTAATGTTATTTAATCTTAGTATAGCTTTCAGAGTATTCTTATTTGAAAAGAATTTAATACAATCTTACCTAAAAAATATAAAGAACCAATTCCCAGCTTTTTTACTGTCATGTTGATGGAATTCATCAAAATCCATTAACAAAACTGTATAATGCTTTAAGATCAATCGTCCAAAAACTGTATAATGCTTTAAAACCATTCATCCATAAATTGTTAGCAAACATAAATTGTATATAATGCTTTAAAATCAATCAACCATAAACTGTTAGCAAATATAAAGTTGTATCATCAAACAGATTTTTTCCTACAATTAGATGAATACAGCTTCTCACATATACAATAATATCGTTCCGGGTTCTCCTCACAGTTTCAGCTGGCTACATCCTTTCAACGATCCGTAAAGAGGCTGAGACTTCCTGAAACCGACAATGTCTTGGATTTCTACGAATGGTGACACAACTTGGTCTTTGTCCGATGCCATTTCATTCAAATGCTGGCTTCCATAGACACATATGCTCAGAGATCTCTTCTTTGGTGCGCCAACTTTTATGTATTCGTCAAAGAAAGCTATCAGTTCGTCCTTCTTTAGCTCTCTCAGTGCATCCACCTAACCACAAAACAAACCCCGAAGAAGCTGGTGTTAATGGCTTGACCTAGCCTTAAAAAGTGTTTCAACACTTTGTTGAGTAACACTAACGAAATTTGCATTATGGATGTTCTCTTTCCAGAGATAGCTACGAAGAAATCGATCTTTCAAGCGGTTATTTTCTTTGCGGTTTGTCTTGTTACCTCTGCGTCTATGCGGTTGAATTTGAGTGTGCCTTTTTGAATCGCGCTCCAGTAAAACCAAGATTCCTCCGACAAGTTCTTATGTTTCTCAAGCTTCATGTCTATCAAAGCTGTTACATTGCTCTGAGGAGAAGGCCATGTCAGTTAGTAACCGTATGCATTTAGGTTGTCAAGTAAAAGAGGCCTCCTTGTACCAAATTAAAGTCTTAAGTACATATGATGTATCATATCTCACCTTGAATTCTTCATCGCTCATCTTGTAAAGTTTACTCTCAAGGTCCTTGAGAAGTGACTCGACCCTCGAATCAATATGTGCAGGACCCTATTAAAGATAAACCCAAAGCCAATTAAAGAGAGATGCATTAACTTATACAAAGTCTGATAGGCAAGACAAGATCTGGTACCTTAACTGAAGACTGGATAATGAACTGTAGCCCATTGACGCCATAATCAATCCTATTTTGCAGGAAAATGAACATTTTGTTTATGTATCAACAACAACGACACAGGAGCATGCAAACGTATAGGAGAAATTCTTATGTACCTCCGAGATAGTGAAGTGATGTAACCAAGTTGCTCGACCGTTCTAAGCTGGTAAAATGTGGCTTGCTTTGCGATGAGACAGAAAAGCTCAAGTTTAACGTTCATGGAAAATTCATCTTGATGAACCTGTTCATCGGCAAACCAAGCCTTCATTAGCAAGAAAACCAAAGGTCAACAATAAGAAACCTTCTAAACTCACAAAGACTCTCAAGTACCTGAATATAATGCACAAGAGCAGAATTCTCATCTTTTGGGTTTGAGCCTTGTTGATGGTAGAAGTATCTCATTCCTGTTCCGAGCTCTGCAATCCTATTGGTCGGGAGCTGGGAAGGAAATAACGGACGACAAATAGGTTTTGGGTCGTTAAAAAGAACATCTTCAATATGCTTCACCATTGACTCAGCTTCTTCCTTGTCAACATTTCCTGCTACATAGCACTCAACAAATGTCCTTGATAACAGCATTGGGACGAAATTCGCCAAGTCTTGAGCTTCCATATGAGAAAGAGCATCTAGTTCCTCTGTCCAAGGCCAAGTTTGGTCTTGTAGTACCAAGGAACAGTAACTCGTTGCTTGACGATATGGTTGTCGGAATTTGCAGTTTTGGTATGCCTTTGTCTTTTTTTCCTTTATTACAAGGATACAAAACATGGATTCAATAAATCTGGTAACAACGAACTGATCAAGTACAAAATCTGCTAATTTAGAAAGAGGGAGGAGGTGTTGTAGTAACAAGGGTTACCTTGATAACGAGAAACCTGTCAGGTTTAACTTGGAATGTTGCAATCTTTTGAATGATAGCTTCCAGCAAGATCCTCAATTTGTGATTAAAGCCAACAAGAGTCAGCTGCAAATGAGAAACAGTTTAGTCAGACGCATGAAACTACTCAATGACCAAAATACATTGAAACGACAGAGTCCTTGTACAACCCTCACCTGAAAACCATTGTCCGAAAGACTTATTCCATAGTAAAGACCAGCAGCCTGAGCATAATAAGCTGAAACATGCAACAAGTACAAATTTGAAAATTTAACAACAATTTAGGAAAGCTTTATCCCTTTACTCTTGTTTTTCATTCTTATAACAACAAATCTTTACCATATTCATTCAAGTAGTCGACCAGCAACCCCACAAAAATATTTGAAAGAACCACAGCGTCGGGAGAGGTGACCGCAAGTGGGCAGTTGAAATCCATCACAACATATGCCTTTGGTTTGAAGAACTTTGTATCAGGCTTATACCACAATCTTGAGAATGATGTCTCTCTCAACAAAACAGGGAAGACTTCCTGTTCCAAAACTCGATTGCGTGACTTTTAAGGTAACTGATTCATACGTTAAACTAATTATAAGACATAATTTGTAGATGGCACTGAACCTTATCTTTAATTTCCTTTAATGACAAATCAGTAGGAATGAAGACATTAGGCGTTGGTAGAAGCAGGTTTGCATCAGGTGCAGACTGTTCCCATTCCTGTATTTGTTAAGCACAAACCAAATTTGAATTTCTTCCAAAGTAAAAAAAAAAAAAACTTACTAGAAAAGTTATTATTGAATCAAACAGATTATTAAACAAAACTGCGAACATAATAATTACAGAAGTAATATATCAAAAGCCAACCTGAATGGTGAGTTTGGTTATCTTCTCAAGAGAATATGCAGTGTTATACCATGGCTCAACCTTGTCAGTTTTCCCTTCAAATTTATTCGATTTCCAAAAGATTCTACAAATGTAATGGCATTACACGACGAGATTACTAGGCCGTGAGCAGTAAAGATTTCAATGCTTGAACTATATGTAGATTTAGTGGACATAAGTACATAACACATATTTTTAGAGCGTACGTAGTACGAGATAAGGCAAAAGAATACTACGTTAGGTCATCAATTGCTTGTGAAGGAAGACATTTCAGGAACAGAGAGACTTACCGAACATTATTGGGAGAAAGCTCGTCTAAAACCTTTTGTACAAGAGCTGGATTGAATTTTGAAGGCAGTGACGATCCAACCAGCCAATGCTTAATTGGGTATATCTGAAGCATAGTTGCAAAAATAAAAGAAATTTAGGGTTTTCGCTTTAAAGATATAACTTCATATGGGTGATCTAGTAATGCTTGATGAGATTACAACAGAGGTAAGCATCTATCTATGCTACGTTGTGCTCGTTGTTAAAGACTTAAATCTTAAAAGGTAGCAAAAGTATGATACTATTAATCAAGAAGAATACAAAAATCTTAAAAGGTAGCAAAAGTATGATACTGTTACCGTCATGCTTGATGAATGCTCCTCTGCATCAGATATTGGGTCTGTTTTGGATTGATAATGAAATTCTGCCTCACAGATAGCTGCAAGCTTTAATAACAAAATATAAGATGTATCAATTTCTATGTCAAATACTGAATCGATATACTAGCAAGATTTAGAGCAGACAACAACAGAAGAGGTTGAATTAATCATAAATCGCAACTTAATAAAACCAATACCTCATCAAAAATCCACTGGGAAACACCAGACTGTTGTAAAAGCTTAATGAATTTATACAACAACCCTACAACTTGTTGCATATGCTCTGTGTACCAAGCAAGTATTAAAAAGAAAGATTGTTCAGTGAAATACAAATTATAAAGAAAACAAGAAAGAATACAGAAACCCATCATGGCCGGCATCAGTAAGGTTAATCCAAACATTGAAGAAAGAGTACTCCATATTCCAGTCTGATTCGCCAGCATACAAACCTGTTGCCCAACCTGCAAGTCATAGGAAAAATTGGGGTTAAGACGCACACTTCTGTTTGAAAAATAGGTATGGAACCATTCATGTTTTTAGTGCAACCTTTGTGACACACCAAAAAAAAATGTAATATATCATTTTGAAAACCAGAAATAGATAGCTCAAGACTACAACTACTTTTCAATTTACTCCATCTTACAGTAAACCTACCCAAGTTTTTCAAGGCATGAAACAAACTTCCTTCGCCTTCATGATTAATTAGATGACTAACGTAACAACATGGTGCTTCTTCGTAATGATGGATGGTAGTAGTTACAGGCCATGTAACATTAAGCTCGTGACCCTGCTTTATGGGAACAACCTTTACAAGAACCTAAAACCAATGTAAAAGCAAGAACCAAAGATATCACCTTAGAGACATTCTGGCATGAATATTATCTTCGTCTCCTATAAATACTAAAGATGAATAAGGAATAAAAACCTGCAAATGGTCCAGAGTACACGGCTGACCAAGAAACCTAGGGATGCTTTTGTTGGTGTTTCGGATTTCCTGGAAGATCTTTTCCACTGTGGCCTGAATTTTATCAAGGTTTTCTGTAGACATCCAGAGAAAAGAGATGTAAACATGGTCTCTATGTTAATACCTTTGTTTTTTCTGAAAGTTTGAGAAATTTGACTTTTGGGTTAGCTTCAAAACCCACCCTTGCCGTAAACAACCAGATGCATGATGTTGGCAGAATAGTACTCGTCATAGAATTTAAGAAGTTCACTTCTTGTATCTATTCCGTTTGCTTCAGGTCGAACAAGAAGAGTATCCATGTTCCCTAATCAAAAATATCACTTTCTTAGCACGAGAGAATAGGACCACTGTTTTTCCTTATGCATCACGGCACCAAATCTTGTTACATGAACAACAGTCAACACTTAAAATAAGAATTTGAACCTGTGCTAAATTTGTGATATGGATGGTCATCTCTACTTAGATGCTTCTGTAACTGTGTGAACGACAAAGGAAGAGAAAACTCGAGTTAGATACTAATATACATCAACAGAATTGTGCATCGTCAAACATGCAGCGCTTAGTTACAAGGCATTATAAGCTCAAAGGAAACCTCATTTTTCGTAATAATGTACTTTTCCTTTCAAGTGAACTACAATCCTATACTGCTAATAACCAAGTGGATAAATAGTATACAATTAACCGAGACATTTGTTCTTGAGAGCAGAGGAAAGAAAGTACCTGGCGCAGACGCCGAGAATCAGACAACAAGTTTTGCTGATTCTCTGGATAAAAGAGAAATCGTTCAAGAACTTGTTAGTTGACAAACTACAATAGAGAAGCTATCAATGAAATTGTAAAAAAATGCTAACCAGAGTCAACGGCCTTGATCTCCCTCATGGTTGCGTCAGCTGACATAAGTGGTTTGATAAAGAACTGCGCAAACCTAATTAGAGCCAATAATAACATCTACGAATTCAATAACACTGTCATAAAGGCAAGAGATAAAAAAAAAAATGTAAGTGTAAAACCTGTCCAAAGCCTCATCAAAAGAGTCTGTGTTGACATCGAAATGGTAGTTTGTGTCTTCACTGGATGTATAAGCATTTGTGCTCCCTCCATGCTACAACAAGATAAGCACATCCCAATTTTCTATATATTTAAGTAAAGAAAAGAAAACGATGCAAGAACATATTCAAGTAAAGAACAGATTGATATTAACCTCAGCGATGTACTTGGAATAACTATCTTCCTCTGGGTACTTTTCACTTGCAAAAAATAGCATATGCTCTGCAATAAAAAAAACGGGAGATGTTATTCTCCATGGCCATCAAAATCAACATGACTTGATGAATCACTAATTATGGAGGAAGTCGTTAAACAAAACAAAAAAAGTACCGAGGAAGTGAGCAAGCCCATCCAATCCTTCCGGGTCCGAGAACGATCCGACGCTAACGTTCATCGAAGCAGCACACTATCAAAAGCAAAAGACACAGATGAATCTTTCAGCTTCTTTTGTTATCTATCAATAAATAAAACTACAAGAGGAATAATCGATCTGAGTACCTTGTCAGTCTCAGGGTCGCTGATCAACAACACCTCCAGCGAATTCTTGAGAACTATCCTCCGATATTCCCTCTTATCCGTGCGTGCCTTCTGTATCTCTCCACCTTCATCCGCCGTCTCCGTCGCGTTTTCCTTTCCAACCGCCATCGCCGTTCGATTACTTTAAAGTGCTTAGAAAGAAAAACTTAGCTTATATAAAGAAATCTTTCTCTTTATTGATGTTTAGAAAATTCTCTTAAAACTAACACAAAGCTATCTTATTCTCTCTTATGTTTTCACTACAACTAGGTGATCACATATACAGGAGTAGATTTCCTTTTCTAATCCTATGACTAATAGGAAAACACACTTTTCCTTTTCTTTAAAGAACTAGACAATTTCCTTTTATGTCTATCTTGTCATTAACCGACATGTTAATGATATTTTGAACTTCAATCATCGAAGCTTTACCCAACATACTTGGCTTGTACTCAACTTGAGCCTTCGTCTTGGCTCTGTTTTATGTGCAACGTCTTTCTTTTATAATTTCGGAGAAAGTACGACGACGAAATTGTGAAGATGATTTTGTTTGAGTCTGCTGTTATCAACGGTGTATATTCGCCAGATCACAGAGATCAACGGCGATAGTGCAGCGACACAGAATTTAGCACGTGTGGTAATAAGACCTAATGCCCCCCACCTATGTCTTTTGTACTACTATGACAGATGTTCTATCATGTGTATTAAGAATTATATCAAATCAATATTTTTAAGGATAACTTTCGCTTCAAAAAAAGAAAAAAAATATATAACAATATATTAGCCAAAATAAATTTGTCAAATATTCCTTCTGTTTTTAAAAGAAACATTTATAGTTTTAATTTTTCTTTTACAAATATAGATTTATAAGTTTCTCATACATTTTTAGTAGTTATTTTATGATTAATTTGTAAATTTCAAAAGTAGTAATTGAATTACTATTTATAGAAAATTATTTATTTCAGCATGATATACTTTAAATATATTTTCTTAATTTATGTGAAAACTCCAAAACATGTATTCTTAAAAGGATTTTTTTCCTAGTTTGTTAAGAATAAATATTTTAAGTTTTTATGTATTCGCAAAAACAGTTATGGTATTAGAGAGAAGGTAATTCTCTGCATCTTGGGACAGGACCCTTCTTCTTAACGAAATTACCGTCAGTGAAATCGACGGAGCTATGATAATATGCTAAATTCAAACCATGCTTCAAGCAATGTTAATATGCTAAATCTACAACATAAGATAAGAAGATATGTGTGTTAATATGTATTTTCGTAGTTCAATATTGTTTGGTAAAAAAAGTATTTAACTTGTCACACATATCTTCTCGTATGGTGTTGTAGACTTAGCAACCTCGCATCGCAAATATGTCTAATTCAGTTCAAAGCAGTTCAAATACAAAGTGGTTCCAATCAGAAGCAAATATGTTAATCGGTTTGACAATCTAGTATATTTTTCTGGATGTATTATTCTCGTAAAAATGATTCCACGATTCATCCACAATCAAATATCGACAAACTCTGTTTTTTATGATAAAACTATGTTTTCTTACAATTAGATGAATACAGATTCTCACATATACAATAATATCGTTATGGGTTCTCCTCACAGTTTCAGCTGGCTACATCCTCTCAACGATCCGTAAAGAGGCTGAGACTTCCTGAAACCAACAATGTCTTGGATTTCTACGAGTGGTGACACAACTCTGTCTTTGTCCGATGCCATTTCATTCAAATGCTGGTTTCCATAAACGCATATGCTCAGAGATCTCTTTTTTGGTGCGCCAATGTATTCGTCAAAGAAGTCTATCAGTTCTTCATTCTTTAGCTCTCTTAATGCAGCAACCTAACCACAAAACAAACCCTCAAGAACTATCTTTAAAGGAAGACTAACGAAATTTGCATTATGGAAGATTAGATGTTCTCTGTTCAGAGATAGCTACGAAGAAAATTATCAATCTTTCAAGCGATTATTTTCTTTGTGGTTTGTCTTGTTACCTCTGCGTCTATGCGGTTGAATCGGAGTGTGCCGTTTTGAATCTCTCCCCAGTAAAACCAAGATTCCTCCGACAAGTTTTTATGTTTCTCAAGCTTCATGTCTATCAAAGCTGTTACATTGCTCTGAGGAGAGATTCATGTCAGTTAGTATGTATTCATGTTGTCAAGTAAAATCTTTTAAAGGCCTCCTTGTACCAAGTGTATCTCACCTTGAATTCTTCATCGCTCATCTCGTAGAGTTTACTCTCAAGGTCCTTGAGAAGTGACTCGACCCTCGAATCAATGTGTCCAGGACCCTATTACAAATAAACTCAAAGCCTTTTTTAAAGAGAGATGCTTTAACTATACAATGTCCGAGTGGCAGAGAGGCAAGACAAGTTGCGGTACCTTAACTGAAGACTGGACAATGAACTGTAAACCATAGACGCCAGAGTCGTTGCTGTGTTCAAGAAAAGTTATCAACAAGAACACAGGTGCATTCAAACATCTGAGAAATTCTTACGTTACCTTTGAGAAAGTGAAGTAATGTAACCAAGTTGCTCGACCGTTCTAAGCTGATGAAATGTGGCTTGCTTTGCAATTAGCTCGAAAAGCTGAAGTTTAACATTCATGGAAAATTCATCTTGATGGACCTGTTCATTGGCAAATCAATTTCCCTCAGCAAGAATACCAAAAGAATAACTCTAAGCTCACAAAGAGTCCAACTACCTGAATATAATGCACTAGAGCAGAATTTTCATCGCTGGGGTTTGAGCCTTCTTGATGATAAAAGTATCTCATTCCTCTTCCGAGCTCTGCAATCCTATTGGTCGGGAGCTGGGAGGGAAATACCGGACGACAAATAGGTTTTGGGTCGTTAAAAAGAACATCTTCAATATGCTTCACCATTGACTTTGCTTCGCTCTTGTCAACATTTCCTGCTATATAGCACTCAACAAATGTCCTTGATAACAACATTGGAACGAAATTTGTTAAGTCTTGAGCTTCCAAATGAGAGAGAGCATCTAGTTCCTCTGTCCAAGGCCAAGTCTGGTCGTGTAATACCAATGAGCAGTAAGACATTGCTTGTTCATAGGGTTTTTGGTATTTGTAATTTTGGTATGACCTTGTGACCGTCTCCTATTACAGCCGAAAAACATGAAATTCATTAAATCTGATAAAATTTCTTATTGGATGTAGTAACAAGGTTACCTTGATAACGGAAAACCTGTCAGGTTTAACTTGGAATGTTGCTATTTTTTGAATGATAGCTTCTAGCAAGATCCTCAATTTGTGATTAAAGCCAACAAGAGAGAGCTGGAAATGAGAAACAGTTTAGTCCGACATGAAACTCACCGAGCAAAAGACAGATGGAAACGACAGAGTCTTTGTACAAACCCACCTCAAATCCACTGCCCGAAAGGTTTAATCCATAGTCAAGACCAGCAGCCTGAGCATAATAAGCTGAAAACATACAAGTAAGAATCGACGCAACAGTTTTCATAATATATATAGCAAACTACAAGGGTTTATCACTTTAGAAATTGCTTTATCGGCGAATTAAAGAGCACTACAAGTATATTTTAGCATTCACTTGTCTTGACTAGTGTCTAAATATCAAATCTTACCATATTCATTCAAGTAGTCGACCAGCAGCCAAACAAATATATTTGAAAGAACCACAGCGTCGGGGGAGGTGGCTGCAAGTGGGCAGTTGAAATCCATCACAACATATGCCTTTGGTTTGAAGAACTTCGTATCAGGCTTATACCACAATCTTGAGAACGGTGTCTTTCTCAACAGAACAGGAAACATTTCCTGTTTCAGAACTTGGCTACGTCACATTAGATAACTGCTTTATACTGTACATTAAACTCTATAAGACATTTATAAGTTGTCAACTGAACCTTGTCTATAACATCCTTTAATGACAAATCCGTAGGAATGAAGACGTTAGGTGTTGGTAGAAGCAAGTTTACATCGGGGGCAGACTGCACCCACTCCTGTAATTGAATCAAATAGAATATAAATTTGATTGGAGTATAACCAACTATAACCAACTAATTTGATCTTCAGTAAATTAGGAATATCAAAAGCAAACCTGAATGGTGAATTTGGTTATCTTCTCAAGAGAATAAGCAGTGTTGTACCATGGCTCAACCTCGTCAGTTTTGCCTTCAAATGTATTTGATTCCCAAAAGATTCTACAAATGAAGTTAGCATTAGATTCTGCTACACGCAACTATATGTTTTTTATATTAACACCACACATCCGGGCCTGGAGTTGCTTAAAAGTAGATCTTCAAGATATTTAAGATCATATGGCCAGTAGCAATAAAAAAAAAATTTAGCCGGAACACATTAGGTGTATATCTAAAGAACATAGACTTACCGAACATTACTGAGAGAAAGCTCATCTATGGCCTTTTGTAGAGTAGCTGGATTAAATTTTGAAGGCAGTGATGATCCAACCAGCCAATGCTTAATTGGGTATATCTGAAAGATACTTGCAAAAATAACACAGAAGATAATAAATGAATTAAAAAGTGAAATCTTTAGCCACGAAATCGGGTTTTGGCTTTAGTGATATAACTTCATATAGGTGATCTACTAAAGCTTTATGAGATTACAACAGAGGTAAGCATCTATCAATTCTACGTTTTGCTCGTTGTTAAAGACCACTTAAAGTCATATATATCAAGCAGAGAAATAGATATATAAAATGCTTAAACGGTAGCAAAAGTATGATGCAATTACCGTCATGCTTGATGAATGCTCCACTGCATCAGATATTGGGTCTGTTTTGGCTTGATAATGAAATTCTGCCTCACAGATAGCTGCAAGCTTCAATAACAACAAAAGTTGTATCAATCTCTATGTAAGATACTGAATCAATCTATTCAAAGCAGACAACAACAGACAACAACAGACGAGGTTGAAACAGAAATCATACAAGTTAATAGTATCCATATACCTCATCAAAAATCCACTGGGAAACACCAGACTGTTGTAAAAGCTTAATGTATCTGAACAACAACCCTAATACTTGTTCCATATGCTCTGTGTACCAAGAAAGAAACAAAATCAAAACCAACCACTCAAGTGAGAAGAAAGATTGTTGTGAGCTTCAGTGAGATACAAATTATAAACAAAACAAAACAAGAAAGAATACAGAAACCCACCATGGCCAGCATCAGTAAGATTAATCCAAACATTGAAAAAAGAATACTCCATATTCCAGTCTGCTTCACAAGCATACAATTCGGTTGCCCAACCTGAAAGTATAAGGGAAAATTAAGCATAAATATTACAGAAGAAACACCGTCGAATTTAGTATAATAGAAATAGAGAGCTAATCTTTAAGGTTTCACGTGACTATTAGCAGCAATAGCTTATCATCCCCCAAAAATGTAATATATAATTTTGAAAACCAGAAATAGAGGGTTTAAGACTACAACTACTTTTCAATTAACTACCTCTTGCAGTTATTAGTTTGGCCTCAAGGGAAACGTACCCAAGATTTTTAAGGCATGAAACAAACTTCCTTCGCCTTCATGACCAATTAGATGACTAAGGTAACTACATGGTGCTTCTTCATAATGATGGATGCTGGGAGTTACAGGCCAAGAAACATTAAGCTCGTGACCCTGCTTTATGGGAACAGCCTTTACAAGAACCTGAAACCAAAGTAAAAACAAGAACCAAAGATACCACCTTAGAGACATTCCGGCATGAATCTTAGCTTCGTCTCCTATAAATACTAAAGCTGAATAAGGAACAAAAACCTGCAAATGGTCCAGAGTACACGGCTGACCAAGAAATCTAGGGATACACTTGTTGGTGTTTCGGATTTCCTGGAACATTTTTTCCACTATGGCTTGAATTTTATCAAGGTTTTCTGTAGACATCCAGAGCAAAGAGATGTAAACATGGTCTATATGTTAATACCTTTGTTTTTTCTGAAAGTTTGAGAAATTTGACTTTTGGATTCGTTCCAAAACCTACCCTTGCCATAAACAACCAGATGCATAATGTTGGCAGAATAGTACTCGTCATAGAATTTAAGAAGTTCACTCCTTGTATCTATTCCTTTTGCTTCAGGTCGTACATGAAGAGTATCCATGTTCCCTGATAAAAAAAATATCACTTTCTTAGCACGAGAGAAATGGACATGAGAGTGTGTGTTACATGAACATCAGTCAACACCAATAAAGAACATGTAGTAGAATATGGACCTGTGCTAAATTTGTGATACGGATGGTCTTCTCTACTTAGATGCTTCTGTAACTGTGAAGGAGAAAGGAAGAGAAAACTCAAGTTAGGTACTAACATACATCAACAGAATTGTGCATTGTCAAATAAGTAATCAAGTGAAGTACAATCCTTGAGTGATAAATAACCAAATGGATAAATAGTTATACAATTCACCGAGACATTTGTTCTTGAGAGCAAGAGAAAATACCTGAGTCATACGCCAAGAATCAGACAACAAGTTTTGCTGATTCTCTGGAAAAAAAAAGAGAAATCGTTCAAGAATTTGTTAGTCAACAAACTACAACAGAGAAGCTATCAATGAAGTTGTAAAAAAAAATGCTAACCAGAGTCAACGGCCTTGATCTCCCTCATGGTTGCATCAGCTGACATAAGTGGTTTGATAAAGAACTGCGCAAACCTAATTAGAGCCAATAATAACATCTAAGAGTCCAAATACACTAAGACAAAACTAAAAACAAATGCAAAGTGTAAAACCTGTCCAAAGCCTCGTCGAAAGAGTCTGTGTTGACGTCGAAATGGTAGTTTGTGTCTTCAGTGGATGTATAAGCATTTGTGCTCCCTCCATGCTACAACAAGATAAATTCGATAAGGAACATTCCGATGCAAGAACACATTCATTTATGATAAGAAAAGAAGATTGATATATTAACCTCAGCGATGTACTTGGAATAACTATCTTCCTCTGGGTACTTTTCACTTGCAAAAAATAGCATATGCTCTGCAAAGAAAAAAACAAAGAAACGGGAGATGTTATCCTCCATGGCCATCAAAATCCAAAATTAAATTCACAAAAACTGACTCAGCTCAGTGATTGAGAGTCCTGCAATGGAGGAGAAGGATTAAGAAAGTACCGAGGAAATGAGCAAGCCCGTCTAATCCTTCTGGGTCCGAGAAGGATCCGACGCTAACGTTCATTGAAGCAGCACACTATCAAAAAGCGCAGTAGACACAGATGAATCTTTCAGTTTCTTTTGCTATTTATCGATAAGTGAAATTCCAAGAGGAATAATCGATCTGAGTACCTTGTCAGTCTCTGTGTCGCTGATCAACAACACCTCCAGCGAATTCTCAAGAACTATCCTCCGATATTCCCTCTTATCCGTGCGTGCCTTCTGTATCTCTCCACCTTCATCCGCCGGCGCCGTCGCGTTCTCCTTTCCAACCGCCATCGCCGTCCGATTACTTGGCGTAGCTGAGTCTTCGCTGAGCCTGAGTCTTCGTCTTGGTGAGTTGGGTCAATTATATAATACTATGTGAGCAACGTCTTTCTTTTATTATCTCTGAATATTTCAGAGAAAGTAGGACGAGGAAAGTGAGAACTGTTTACTAATATCAACGGTGTATATTTGCCAAATCATAGAGATCAACGGCGATAAATGCAGCTCCACAAAATTTGTTGTTAGATGTAAGAGTAAATACTGTATCTTTTTTTTTATATCCTGTGCAAATACAATTTACTGTATCTATGAATTGAAGATGATGATATATACTGTTAAAGAATGTGAGTATTTTCTTTTCTTGTTTGAATGGGTGTCAAAACAAAACAAATAACAATGATACAATCAGACAAATACTGCATCACTTGGCTTCCATGGTTTCTAAGTTCTATGCTTTAGAAGTGCCACGATGATCCTTATCGATATGCTTCAACAGATCCACCGGATCACGAAACCCTCTGCTGCATTTTGGACAAACATCAACCGTAACTTTGCCACAATTCTGTTTCCCATTCCTCTGCTGCATCTTCTCTGGATGATCATCACTGCCACTCGCAAACTGTAACTTCTTGCTAATGTCGTTCCCGAGTCTGCTGATACTTGCTTCCGCAGAAGCCAAAAGACTAGACCATCTTGAAGATGATGATGATGATGATGCAGGAGCTTCTTTTGTGTTTGTTGTACTCAAGAAACCCATGAATGAGAAACTCGATTCAGGTTTCTTCGGTCCAGAACAACTATGGTCAGGTCCGAACCGATGTTTCAAGCAATGATCGATGCTGCAATCTCGACATTTAATTGTATTAGAGAAAGTAAGCAATTCTCTGCATCTTGGGACAGGACACTTCTTCTTCTTGACAGTTTGTTCGTAGTTTGATGGATCACAATCGGTATTCACATGTTTCTCCCAGGTGATGTTTGGATCTTCGTCAGGGTTTAACCGAACTCCTTTAGCACATAACGGACAGATCACCACAGTGACATCACCTCTGTCTCCTTTCGGACAACTGTGTTTCATGTAGCTACGATGATCCAAACAAAACACCTGCAACAAAGAAAAATAAAAAAGTTTCAAATTTTTGTTTAGCATCAAATTGCCGAGATCATTAGTGGTGAAATATTTAGACCACACAAATCAAATCAAATAATTTTCCTGTTTCTAAACCACATAATTGACCAGAGATTTAGGAAAATAAAAAAATGATAACGTAGAAACTAGCAGGATCTAAGAGATGGCATTGGGGTGGATAAATCATTTGCGTGGGAGATGATGAATGTTCTAAAAAGACGGAATTCGAAATCGAAGGAGAAAAGGAACCTGAAGGCAGCGATCGCAGGTGAATGGTAGGAAATCGATCTGCTTGCAATAATCAACGGAGCAGTGTTTCCCCAGATCTGGAAATTCCGGAGTCCCCATTGAGACCGAGATTTCGAAAATACAGGAACAATTTCCGACAAAAACCCAAAAAGGTAGATATATTGGAGGAAGATGCTCGAAGAATACGCGAAGAAGATTCGGAACAAGATCATTTATTCAACTCAGTCCTCGAGTTTCCGGGCAAAAGAAAACCCCAGATTCCGAGAATTTAGATGAACAGACAAACTCGCAGAACCGGGAAGAATTGTAAAAGGAAAGTCAACGTCATCTTCTTCTATATCAAAGTCAATCTTTCTCTGACTTTCTCCATACCAATATTTCGCTTTCTAACAAAAAAACACCAACCAATTAGAACTAAAACTGGGCTTAAGGCCTTATAAACATTTCAAATTTGGGCTCTCGGCCTCACTTGACTTTATATAGGTGAAGAGAATTATCTGTATTGTTTCCTTTTATCATATTTACCTAAAAAAAAAGTATTATGATAAAAAAAAAAACAAATATCAATTTTTTTTAATTTTCTTATAGATAAATTGGTAGTTTTTTTTGACAAAAGATAAATTGATAGTTTTATAGAGACATAATAACATTATTGAACTGACACACTGATATATATGAAAAAATAAGAAGATACAGAGATAAAACAAGATGAACAAACCCCACAGCACTATTGAAATGACCTGCCAAAACTTAAAGGGAGAAAAAGAGCCAAGGCCACATAAATCCAAATCAGCTATTAGTGAGTTCATAGATAAAAATGAATCTATAGATATATACATATATTCATGATGATCACATTTATTTTGTAAGAATAAATAATGTTTAATTGAGTCAAAGAGAGGCTACATAGAAAGACAAGAAGCAGACGAGAAGTGGCAGAGAGGGTAATTAAAGTGTGATGGGGACAACAAAACAAACACCTCTTCGTTTTAACCAAATGCATGTGATTTTTTGGTTTTACACACACTGAGGATAAATTGGGAATTGCAAAATTTAATTTTATCATATAAATTTCCACTTCTCTTTGAATGAACTATTATAAATTACTTATAAATTTGATTACTATATATTTTTCTTACAGTTGTGTGTATAGGCCTAGTTGTGTACATAGATAGAATCTTAGATAGATAAGAAAAAGGATAAAATCATAATTACAATTAGTACCATTATTAGTCTTTAAAAAAGTTCAAGACACAATGCTTTCGATTGTAATATTTGATTTTATTATAAAGTCGATCCATGTAATTATTAATTAACCACACTCTCCACTTCAACAAGTCTTTAACTCTGGCTCCCACAAGCTCACCTGAAAGGCTCACTCTCACTCTCTCTCTCTGTCTCTCGCTCTATCCCTCTCTCTCTCTCTAAGTTCTTTCATGTTCGGAGTCACGGCAAGACTCGATGACCAATTCGGCACCACAACCACACCAACCACCATATACGTGGATCCACCTTCCCAAGACCAGCCGAGTCACAACTCGGACCACCGTTCAATAGAAACACTCGTCGTCGTCTTAGCCGTCATTACCATTTTATCCGTCTTAGCCGGCGTCTTCGCCCGACTCTGCGGCGGTCGACATTTATCTGACGGCGGAGACCACGACATCGAAGGTTGGGTCGAGAGAAAGTGCCGTAGCTGCATCGATGCCGGCGTTCCCACCGTGGTCAATGCTCCTCCTCCACCTCCACCGCCACCTCCGGCGCCGACAGCAACAGTGGAGGAGCAGACGAAGCCAGCTACTGAAGAGCAAAGCAAGAAGTAAAGTAAAAAAAGGGTAAAACCACATTCTTCGATTTAGCTTTTAGCATTGTGTAATCTCATTAATTTTAAAGACTTTATGTACCTTATTCTACGGACACTGATTTACGAATTTCCTCGGATGTTTTATATTATTATTTGAAAGAACAAAAAAAAAAAAGGCAAAAGTTCTTGTCAACTTTTACCTATAAATCCGTTGAGATTTGAGACCAACGGCATTTTAGAGAAAGGAAACAAAAAAACCTCATCGAATTCTTTACATTTAAATTTATTTATTTACATTCAGATTTCATCAAGATTTTAATTTAATGGAATTTTAGTATGGTATGCCAAAACACAAGAGCTCGCTGAAATTAAGATAAAGAACTTTTAGTAAAGTAGGCCACAAAGCAAAAGAGCTCACTGAAAACTAGTTCTTTTGGTTAATTTTGGGATTTAAAAAAACTTACTTTTATGGTAAGTATATATTAACACAGCTATAATTATAAAGATTTTTCGTTTTCTGATTTTAGGGGCGTAGGCAGAAACTCGGCCCATGTGATTTGCACAACTTGTTCCTTTTTAGAAAATAAGAAGCTATTGTATTTGAATAATTCCACACCACTTTACTGGTTTTTGTATATCTTCCATCATTTTTAATAGTAGAACAAAATATTAGACAAACGATCTTATTTATTTATTTATGGAAATACAAACAAATAATATTAGAAATTATATATATATATATATATATATACAAGACAACAAATCTTTCGACTAGTGTATGTATACTCCCATATATATCTGTACTATTCTACATATGACATATATCAAGACTCAATAAGTAGAGTATACGGTGTACATGTACATACGTAGGTATATAATTATATTACATAATTAGCTAAGTAATCAAGTGGAAGAGCACTGAGGAGATACAGTGCCTTGATCCTTAACATTGGCATTTTTGCAAGAAGCTGTTCCTCCTTCGATATTCACGTTCTCAAGCACAATCCCTTGGCATGGATATTTCTCACTGCAATTAAACATTATCGCCACATCCGTTGCGCTCGTACCGGTTATGTTCCGGTACACCACATTGTTTACTTGCACCGCGGATTCCTACTCAACATATTCACATTTCAATACGAGTGAGGCTAGTTTCACAAAAACAGAATTCATAATTTTGTCTAAGTCAAATCATTCGATGGAGACAGTTACTTGTTCTTCGCATTTGTCCTTGTCGCAGTAGTTCTGGTCGATTATGATTGGATTCTTGACATTTTCCATACGAATATTTTGAAATTTAATGTTCTTGGCAGTTCCTGATCCTCCCTAATATCAACAATCAAGTGGATTGTTATTAACAATTTCAAAACAGACGGTGCAAATCCGAGAGATTTGTAAAAAGAGCTGTTTGTGAAAGTAAATATCAATCACCTGGTAAGTTTTAATTCTAACTCCATTATCAGTAGAAGAGAGCTTAGCACCATCTACATTAATCCCCGAGACATAAGCTTTCGAATTGTCATCCCCCAAACTCCCAATGCTTCACATCATAACAATTAAACAAAGATCGATATTAGATTATACATATATACTTATTTCTATTCATTTATAAGAACTATCAGATTAATCAAGAATAAGTTTTATACGGTACAATTTGGTAACACTTAGTTTAGAATTCGAAAAACGATATTTGGATTTACCTGATCCCGTGACCGGGGCCGCAAGTTAAATCATTGATTTGAACATTTTGGGATCCATCCTCAATGGATATGCAATCATCACCTATATAAAAAATGCGGAAAGCAAACGAAAACATTATATCTAGTTAATCAATACATAGTAGCTACCGACCTCAGTTCGAAACTTAGCAAGTCTTTATTACACATAAATACACCACAAACCCCAATTATACATATGTGGATCGTTACCTGTGCCAATGTCTGAATTGGAGATTCGAATGTTTTGTGTATTAGTGATGTGAATACCATCGGTGTTGGGACTATCGTCAGGAGCAGTGATCTCGACATTGTTGACGTTAACATTGTTGCATTTCTCAATCGAAATCTGAATCTGCTGCGCATTTCTCACTCTCAGATTCTTCACATTCAAATTCTTTAAGTTGTAGAAAGTAAGAGCCTGCATATGCATAAAACACACACACACACACATACCAAATTTATAATCAAACGTTCACTTAGTTTGTGCGTTAATTAAAAATATAATTCTATGCATATAGTTTTCAAAGAGAAATGGGTTGGTATTCTATTTCACATATGGAGCTTTCGTATTTGCGTACCGTTGGGGCTTTTGTGCATGGCTGCATAAACAAACAAACAAACAAAAAGAGAAAAACCAGTGAATATTAACATGATGACAATTAAATAGGTGTATCCTAATAAGTATATAGTATAAAATATATTTGTGTGACACAGTAATTGCCTAATTGGTAGACTATATATATATATATATAATAACATACCTTAGATTGGTCGATTTTGCATGAATTTTGCCACCAGATTTTTCCGTTGCCATCAATAATTCCCGTCGAGCCGCCATCCAGTGATAGATTGTTAACGTCCTCCAAGACAAGCCAATGGTTTCTGTCATTCTTATAATCAGATCGTTTTGTAGATGCTGATAAAGTGCCTAGGATCTGCATGCAGTTAATCGGTAAAAATATCAAATAATTAAATTTACTAACTAATCGAATATTTAATGATTAAATAGTCACAGAAAAAGTAAACCAAAAATTAGTACCTGAAAGTTACGTAAAGATTTGCATGGGCCTCTGAATCGAGTAGACTTAAGGAGATAAGTCTTTCCTTTAGGAATTAAGAAACTAGTAACTCCCTTTGTTGAACATGCTTTCTTCCATGCTTTCTTGAAGGCCTAATTACGCATATTTATACACCCATGCATGCATGCGTCATCAGTACAAAATAAAACATATCTATACATCTATAATTTGTTGAACAGAAAAAAATATACATTTATAATTTATCTGCTGAACTTCTGATCCGCGATCCGTAATTTTTTTCTCATGGAAACCCACAATTAATTTTTTGTAAGATAAAGTTTATATATCTAACATCGTCAAAATGTAGAATATACCTGAGTATCATCGTTTTCCCCATCTCCTTTAGCACCGAAATCGGTAACACTAACAGTTGATGATTCGGAAGTGGTTTTATCGGAGCTTTTCAAGGTAAGAACGTCGTCGTCGTCGTTCTTAAGTTTGAGTAAGCTATCGGATTCGAAGCTTCCATCTTCATGACCATATCCATCATCAACGTTGCTACTCAAAGCTTCGCACCACGAGAGCATCAAAAGAACACATAAGAAGATAGCAAGAAGTCCGAAACGACGAGCCATTTCTAGTTTTCGAGGATAGAAATAATGGGTATTGATTCTTGTGAGTAAGATAAGACTCTTTGCCTTTTTTGTGTGGGTTTTGTAATATGAAATTGAAGAAGTAGAAGGTATATGTGTGTATTTATAGGCAAATTAAAGGAAATCAAAAGTTAGGCTTATTAAAGTATGAATGGCGTTGGAGGTATGGAGAGAGATTGAGATTGATACGAAAACATCACTTTAAGCTTCGAGCCGTACCTCTTCTCTCCCTATTTTAATTTATATTTAGTTTATTATTGTTTTCTTGATTGATAGAGAGATTTACATTTTTTCTTCTTTTCTTTTAGAAAAAGAGTTTATTTTCATCATCATATACCATTCGCAGTAACATTTCATCATGTGTAATTACTGAGCTAAGCAGTCCGTGATGTATATCCATACATAAATATAAAAAGTTGAAAACATTTAAGCAAAAGTGATAAGAAAACGTCGTCGTCTCCTGTCTCTGAAAGTTCGGTATTAGTTTTGGGTCCCTTTTACTCTTTCTTTCTTTTTATTTTTGTGTTAAGAGGCTGATATTACCGTTGTAGTATCTTTTAGGAAAACTTTCAGAAGAAACAAACATCATCATCTTTCTTTGTTTCACGTATTTAATCACATTGTTGTTTTAATGTTATTTAAGTCTCATATTTCTCGGCTTTGCATTGCATGCATATATAAATTCAAGAAGTTTTTCCTCGGATTGAGAACCAAAACATATGATGATGTAGTGAAGATTCCATTAATTCTCGAATTAGAAAGCTAGGATTTAAATGAACCGTCAGTGTATATTGTGTAAAAATACCAAACTCATATTAGAATTGTAAAAAACGTAAACGGCACTAGAAATGCCTAATGTAATGAGTGACAAATTATGTTACAATAACGAATAACGATATACTTCAAATCAGCATGCATGCGACATGCGAGCATTATCTATTTTGTTGCTAAGCAGTTAACAAGTTTATCTTTGGGAGTAATTTTTAGTATACAAATCAATAGTGCCATATGCTTTTTTCATAAATGGAAAAAGTCCCAAATGTTGAAAAATATTAGCCTCAACTTCTTTAACCACACGTCTCATAAATTTTCGTATGCTTGATTAGTTTATAAATATAATATTTATCAAAACCTTACAAAATCCAAAAATATTTCAAGAAATAAACTCATAAAACTTGTTAGATTCAATAACTGCGATTATGACCTAGAGATTTGAGATCGAAATAAGACTTCATAAAATTATTCGAGAGACCAGTTTACAAGTTGAAAAAATACATTAAAGTACATGTAATAGTTTAAATGATTAGGTGAATCGTTTTTCCGTTCTAAAGCAAAGCAAACTGTGAATGGTGAAAAATAAAGCGCAATCCTTTTTAAAAATTATATTTCTAAACATTTTTAAAATTTATTGTAAATCTAAACTCAGTACTCCTAAATCATAAAACATCTAACTTTTATTAGAACTCAAATCACTATAAATGTTTGATTGATTATATAGTCTATATATACTCTAGATCTCGTATTTTCTATGTTAGTTAGTGGTTCATTGTGATCTATATATATGGCGTACCGAAAATATATATATGATCTACGTACATATTGGATCGTCTGTATATCTCGTCAATGTGTATAAATATTGTTTTTTTGGTAAAAATGTGTATAAATATTTTCGTTAGCTAAAACAAATATTATATCATTTAATTTGGTTTCTTAATGTAATCATTAAAACAAATTATAGTCCTTACGGCTTCGAGTAAACCTAATTATAAATATACTACAATGCATGGGACATCAAGAACAATGATAAAGACTTAATGCCCATACATCTATATTCTTATCGATTAACAACCACAAAAGATCACGTAATTACCCGTTACATATAAAATGATCACTTTAAAATGTTTTGTGATATATAATTACCAACTAATATATTATATATGTACATTTATACGTATGGTGCGAAGTTTGCTTGCGAGACCTAAAGGTATGGTCGAATAAAGTCTTTTGGAAATTTATCTAGTCATTGTTATAACTTCGCCCTAATTATTGCTTCCTTCTTTGAATTTTTTTCCTTGTATTTTTCTTAATTAATGGTTAGAATTCAACTTGCTCATCGTTTTCGTGGATGTCAATATTTCATTTTACTTTTTATATTTTAATTACATGGTGTCGGTAAAAGAGCAAAGATAGAAAAGACATCCACGTTTGAAATTGAATGCTTTGGGGTTTCGTCTTGCGCCGTATGTATGTATATTGATGAGCTACCTAAGGTTTTCTGATTTAAATGCTAAGAATAAGATTAATGTCCTTATCGATGTAAATGCTTAAAAAAAACGGGAACATAAACACAAACATGAGTGGTTAAACAGGAAAAAAAAACGTTTCAGTAGTTAATAATGTAAAAAAGAAACCCATGATGTAAATATATAGAACTTCTAACGAATACAATATTTTTATATTCTATAAGATTTAAAAGTTAAAATCGCAAATTTTGACAAATACATAACGATATCTTTTACATTAATAATTACTATTTATTAAACATATATTGCTAAATATAAATGGTCACAAGCATCAAGTTCAATTAAATTTCGCATAATTTTTTTAAAAAACCAAATAAAATAAAACAACATTTTTGTAGAATTGAACATGCGGCCGATACATTCCATTAGCTTATAGTATATCTGAATTTTAGAAATAAGCTTTTGATCTTGTGATAACTGAAATTTTGTATGTGTTACGAGTTACGACATACTGATTGAATTACGACATACGGGTTGAGTCGTCATCGATATCTAATATGGATTGTACTATATATAGTTGATGTAATATGCATATCTTTTGCTGTGAATAGTTAGTTATGTTTTTTGACAAACAAAAAAAATAGTTAGTTATGTTTATCCAGCATAGATGAGTAAATGAATTTCGACGAGATGATTATGTAATCCATGAAAATTTTGTTGTTAAAAAATAATGTTTCTGTTAAATTCGTTGGTGCGAGAAGCATTGAATGTGTCACAAAGTTGATGATCGTATAACTGACTTGTCATCATTATTCGAATTGACCCCTCAAAACCACGTACTCTCTCTCTGGAAGTTTTGCCTAACTCTTTCTATCATCATCCTCTTCTTTTGCATTTTAAAAAACAAAACACTATTAAGTGTATATATATAGTAATAGAGTTTCGGTTTGTAGATTTATTTGGCTAGGAGCCTAAGACCATTTGTGACAAATCGCACCACCAATTCTAAGAAAAAGGTACTTAGATTTAATGCCTCCATAATAAACCATATAACCAGAATTTTATTTTGACAATTTTGCTTGTGGTTACCAATGTTCTTATTAGTGGGAACAGAATCAGAAGTTCAGAACAGTAAAGAAGACACTGGAACATTACACTAAAAAGGTCCAATTTCATTTGTGAGAGAGGTGGGAAAATAGTGATTTAGAAAATAAAGAGCAAATTATTTTAAAAAGATATATTATTAGAACATAAACTACAGAGAGACACTAGTTCCCTCACTTAACGAGATTACAATCTTATTACATGCGAAAGATACTACTACTAGAACCATTTCCTAAATTATTTAATAATCTTAGTACAATATGATGATTTCTTAAACAATCTAATGCAATATGATGAAGAATGACCAAAAATTTAAAGTAGACAAAGCATCTGTCCACTTTAGACCAGAATCTCTACACGCCATCTGAACATTTCCTCCCTCGTCACCGGCAGATTCAACGTCACAAGCCCAACCTCCGCATCGTACTCGAAATCAGTCTCGGTGTTACCTACGGCGCATCTCAGGGGACGCTGAGAAGAGTAAGCTCCAAAACGACCACAACCTCTAACACTTAGAGATATCAGAGCTGTTGGAGAACGGTTATCACTGAGCCCCGAGGAGGAGGAGATCTCTCCATCGAAGAGTTCCGGTTTCTTGTCCGTCACGGGACTGATCTCCATGGAGTCGATAGCACCACTTGAGTTGAACATGTCCACGAGTCCGATCGGTGCGAACGAGATGTTTGCAGTGATTTCCTGATATAAGAAAAAACGATTTGTCACTTTCATTCGTCTACCGAAATTTCAGCTGTTTTATATTATATAAAATTACTAAAGACGTACCTTCAAAGGAGAGATGTGGAAGAGTTCATATTCAAGGACTTTGAGAGTGAGAGGGATTGATGCACCCTTTGGTAGTCGTACAACTTCCCCTGTATATAACGTAATCAGACTCATGTTTATTTAGCAATCTTCTGTAATGTTCCGAGTTTTTTTTTATGTACCTGATTTATAACAGTAGACTATTGAATCTCCGCTCCAATCAGCACCAGCCACTTGAGAAATGAGATCAGCATCATCAGCACGGACTGAACCGGTGAGCGTACCGGGAGAAGTATCATGAATCCGGTTCTTCTTCGTTTCCTTGCACCAACCAGCACCTTGGCAGTTGAACACACCAACTATTCCAGTGAACTTGTTCATGTTCCATATCTTGAGCAAGCTGATTCCATCTCTAGCTGGATCAGCGAATAGGCAGTCACGGGTAGGCCTACCCGGAAGCTTCGCACGAAGAACTGATCCATCTGGAAGAACAAGCTTCCTCAATAGATCAAAGTTGTGGTTTCCTGGCTTATCACTGCTCATGTAATTTCACAAAAAAACACATCTCTGGTTAAAACCTTAAACATTGCTAAGACAGAACAAAGGGTAAAAGATGAGGGTAAGGCTTTTTACCTGACATAGATTGCGCATCCACCTACTGCACGCGCTGCAGCATGGTACTCTGCAGTTGGGTGTAGACTCTGAAAACAACAAAGCTTCCGTTTATAAGCGAACTCATTTCATTTTAGGCTTCTTAAAGACGTAAATCTTTCTTTACTTACATGGAACATGTCCCAGTCAGGTTGCATGAACTCCCCAAGGAAAAGAGTATTGTATGCAACAGATGCGATGTGGATGGTGTGAGAGGCAGGGTCTCTAGGGTAGTAATCATCGGACGCTCTAACAATAGCGGTCTGCTTCGCGCTGTATATCCCATCTGTGTTGTGACACATGCACGAGATGCAACCGTTGTCTGTAAAGTTCCGGGCAATGGAAGCTTCTAAAGCTTGGTGGTAGCTGCGAGTGAGAGAGACTCTCCCGCCAAGACCAGCACCAAGAGTTTCGATGATGTTCTGCACATCGACTTTGACTCCGTCTATACCACATGAGGCCAGGTAGGAATGCAGCTCGTTGTAGAAGTTGAACACTTTCTTGGGGTTGACTAGACCGAGACCGTGAACAGCGAGGCTGTCCATTACTATGTCTGGTTGGTTCCCTAAGACACCTGGGGACTGAACTGGGTAGGCTAATGCGCTGTCGTAGTGTTCCATTCCAGTGGCAGCGGGTTTAACTCCACCCCAGTAGCCAGCTAAAGCGTGCCATGCATAAACTTGCCTGTTAAATAAAAAAGGAGTTAAGCCTTGTAAGTATGCAGATCTTATCAATCAGCTTGAAAATCATAAAGTGTTACAACTTAAGAAGAGAGGACATACTTCACGTTATGGCGCTGCTTTGCATTATCAACTACGCTCTTTAGCCCTGATACTTGCGTGTCCTTTTGATCAGTCTTCTGAAATTTTGCATTCTCCTTGATACCAACAAGCCTAGTAGCGAACCTGCATAAAGTAATATTTCAACATCGAGCTTAACAAGTGACAACACCCCTGCTTATGAACTAGAGACTCGACAGTTGCAAGCACTTTGATTGAAACACATTAAATCCAATTTTCATTTCACCCGCTTGATTTTTGCTTTAAGATGCATAACAACTTAGTGTTTAATACCAAGAGAATCTCCAGCGTAACAACTATAGGATATCCTCAACGTCGAGCTTAACAGGTGACAACACTCACACCCCTGCTTATGAACTAAAGACTCGACAGTTGCAAACACTTAGATTTTTCTAATTTTCATTTCACCCGCTTGATTTTTGCTTTACGATGCAGAGCAACCACTACAAATCTACCGGACAAACTATGGCTTCATAATGCTCATCTACATGTATACAAAAGCAAAAGAGTAAAGAGATCTTACTGTGCTCCTTCCTGGACAACGCAGTTTGCATCTTTCTCTTTGTTTTCTATTTGTTGCCAACCATCATCTATGATCAGAAACCTAGGAGGAGTACCTCCCTCTGAAAGACTGCAACAAAACGACAACGCATGAGAGACTCGATCAACTTTATACAGCTTTGAACAATTACCACAATATTAACAATATGTCGCTCTATGAAGGTATATATACCTTCTAAGGCCTTCATCAACGCCCTCGGCAGTCACGTCTGTGTAGAACGCATCCCATGTACACCAGCCAAACCAGTCTAGGAAAGAAGGCAGCTAAACAAAACAAAGAGGAACAAACATGAGGAGATCAAATCAAATCAGAGTGAGCTCTTTCTCAGTGACCAGAACCGTATAATCTTATACTGACCTTCTTCTTCTCACGATGATGAAATGTCTGCATGTGTCTCTCTACAGCCCTGTACATAACCAAGGATAACCATGCGTTAGTTGAGTACACATAACCTTTTACATCAACGAAACTTGAAACAAAACGTAATATTTTTGGCAATTTCTCAAAAACATACTTTACAGATTGCGTGATAACTTCAAAGGGGTTGGTTCCAGCATGAACATAGACAAGGTGTGTTCCCTGGCTAGTTTCGACCGCCTTGTCTCCTGTGAAAACAAAATATCAGTTTCTTGGGTCTCGAAGTTGTAAACACATACCTGCAAAAACTAGTTCATCTTACCGCTCTCGAGGCAAATCTCAATCTCGTTCTTCTCGTTTCCTTGAAGAACAGCTCTGAACTGGCCTTCGAGCAGAGGGAGAAAGACGGTATAAATAGTCGGAGCATCAACCCCATTGCCTTCAACCTCGTCCTTGCTCTCCAGTAGCATGAACTGTGTCTCCAAAGGAATGTCTTTGCCACAGCTTCCCATCCTCTGAGTCATCCACCATAGCTTAAAGCGGAAACAACACATGAACCGAAGACCCCTGAAAGATTCACAAACAACAATTAAGCTCCAACGAATATCATCAAAAAGAGACCTTTATTTCCTCAAATCACTGAGAGTTTTTGGTACTTACTCCAACACACCAATCGGGAACACATGAAGACTCTTGCTTTGTTCAAACGTTGCGCCTATAAAAGCCCCGGAAACAAATCCAGCACCCGTGACCGGAGTTAGGATGATGTTGTCGGGGATTTTGGTCAGTATGGTCTTCCCTTGAACAACGAGGTTGTCGTTCTGGACAGAGATATTTGATGTGATCGTCATCTTCTCAAGACAGCTTGAGTTTAACTGATTCACAAACAGATAATCCACAAGTTGGTTAAACAGATCCTTCGAGTGGACTTTTGCAGAATAGGTCCTACTTTTTCAAAATATTCGAGATTGTATTTGATTTTACTACAGCGACCAAAAAATAACCTGATGACAATTTTTTCTTCGGAACAGATTCTGATTAAAAATTTCCAAAAATGGATTATGAATCTAAGAAGCAAACTGGAGATTTCAAATCTCTCTCATCTCAGTTTTTTTTTTTCTTTCCGGGGAATAGCAAAGGCAAGTTCCAATTAATGACAAGAGAAATAAATAAAAATGACGTAAAAATTCAGATCAAACTTGAATCTAAAAATGAGAGGGAGTACTCACCGGATTGCTTCCCGGAGTGAAAGAGCTCGCGGTATTAGAGAAACAAGAAGACTCGGAGCAATATATAAGAAAGGAGAGATGAACTCAGCTATGCAGAAGCAAAATGTTGCTTCTACAAGAGGAAGAGAGAAGACGGAATCGCCGCCGAAAGTGGTGGCTCCGTCAATGGGAAATGGAAAGAATTCACGGGTGAAAGAATCGAAACGGTGTTTGTGGCATATGAAGGTGGCGGAGAAGACCGGTTTATATATGCGAGGAGATTTGGGAAGAACCGTTGCGATGTTGCCACGTGTCATAATAGCTTTTTCCGTGGTGATTGAAACAAAGTACTTGAAAAATCATGATATTTTTGAATCAGAGACAACTCATTGAAAAAATAATTAAAGTATTACTTTTTTGTAACTATATAAATTATTACTTCTGTTCTTCTTTTTTTTTGCCACCTAATTTTACTTTTCTTGTTTTTTTTTACATTTTAATATCTCTTCAAATTTTATACATTAGCAGCAACAAAGTACCTATTTTCCCCTTCTCATCACTAAGTTGTAAAAAAAAAACAATAATATACCATATATTTTTTAAACAATAATAATTGTGTATATATATAATATATATACTACAATATGTTTTTTGTTAAATGTCAATTAAAATGAAACGGAGAACATGCTATTATTTTAAATCTGAATGTTGATATCATGGCTGTTTCAAGCTGTTGTAAGAATTCATATTAAATATCGAATCAAATCTTAAAACCAAACTATATAAATCGTAGTAAATCGCACTCTTGGGGCAAATCATAACAAAACCCAAATGTACAAGAAACGTGTTACGTTGTTTCATACGCGTCATTTAAAATATTTCCCTACTTGAATCGCGTGTCTTATTGAAATGCCAGTAATATATATATGCATATAATCACCGATTCACCTTATAAGTTTTAGTGTTTTACACATCTTTGATTAATACTACTTATGATATTTTATAATGATGACATATTTGCATTGCTGATCAAATTAAAAATCTTACGGACTAAGTCACGTCAGGAGTCTGGTGCAGTAATTTTATAGCACATGGGCGCTACTCAGGTGTTCTTGAATTCACAAATTTGGATCTTTATTTAATATCTCCAAACTCCACCTGACAATGCACATATGTCTTCGAAAATGCGTCATACGTAAAATCGTCTAAGATATCGCTACAAAACATTTTACATATCGTTCTTATCGTAACATAACATCATTTCATTTCTAATTGTCGCTTAATATATACTCTCTCCGTTTTATAATAAGTGTCATTCAGAAAAAATGTATATATATTATAACTGAATGTATTTTAAATTTAATATATACAGATATATTATAGATATATTTTCTCCAAATAACACTTATTATAGATTATAGGATTATTAGATAGTGAGATTTTTTTAAATAATACTAAACAGATATTTTTCACATTTCAACTTGGTTTCGTTTTACGATATGCTTATCCCAAGAAATTGATGACGGACCGGTCGGGCCGGCGGCAGCGACTGATGACTGATGTCTGAACCGACTCTCTAATAAAGTTTGGGTCAGTTCAAAAATATATTAATTTTATCACTATATATATAAACTTTTCAAGAAAACGACGTTTGATACCGCCCGAGACTATCAGTTTACAATAAAAACACATGTTCTATGTTAATATATCGTTTTAGAGCCTTTTTATTTCTTCTATTTGAGAAGATAATACGACTTGTGTCTTTATTTGTGCTCCTTTGCGGAGCATATCAAAACAACGTAGACCATAACACGCACCCACTTGATGTCACAATCCTTATCCACTTATCTGGAACCACGTGTGTGGTCAACACTTGATGACTCGGTTTAAACCGGATTGGTTCACTTGGCTGCTCTTTTGTACTAAAAGCCACATATTAATATTTTTCGTTATGGATAATATAGGGAACGGCAAACGAATATTGATAAGAAATTCTTTGTTGATAATATTGTTGAAGAATGTGATATATATACGTACGTCCGTCAATCTGTCGGTATGGATTATAAGATATATGAAAATAGAGTTTGATACATATGGACTCGTTGAATATTATTACAGTTCGTATTCTCGTATAAACTATATGCTTTTGTATTACTTAATTTAAGTACTTCTAATCAACGATATGGTCCATATTCATGACTCCGAGTATCAAATCTTCACTTTTTAAAAAATAGAGTAAATATTAGTTAGTGTAAGTGATTGTTTTTGTTTATACAAAAGTTATTTAATTTGTCGAAAACATATTAGAAACTATGACTCAGTCACACAGTGACTGTTTAAATCTTAAATAAGTAAGAGTACTGGATTAGAGATGAGAACAAAGGCGAAATCCGGCCGGGTGCATGATTAGTAAAAGAATAACAAGAGGGAAACGTGTTGATCTGAATCTGATCGTAGGATACTAAATATATGGGGGCATAAAAAAAGCTTTAACCAAAATACTTTGAAAATTTGTTTACAAAAATTTGGGTATTGGGATTTAATGGTGCACATGCCCCCATAATGTATACGTTATTTACGTTCGTCTGTGGATGAACACGAGCACACATTTTTTTTTAAAAAAAAAAAACGTATGAATAGGAAACGTTAATATTAATTGTAATACTAGCTAGTACTTACGTTACCAGTTGATACTGTAATTAAATCGTACCCAGATGCAAAATACTGTGTGAGTGATTTAACACTATACATCATAATATCATAGATTGAATAATCTCATCGCATTCAGTCATTCACAATAATTGGCATTAAATTCGAATTAGGAGTACTTTTTTCCCAAAATAACAAAAAGAAACACACAGGGGTCAAATAAAAGTAGGTGAAGTTTTTCTGTTTTCGCAAATCAAACGGCGCAAGTGGGTCCCTGCCACGTAAGCTAGAGTTCATCAAATGCGAAAAGATGAAGATCTCCCACATTGATATCAGTTCAGCATGTCATTGTCTATTCGACTTCTATTATTTACTTAGGTGTGTGATACGATACGATTGTTAATTTTGTTGGCTGCATGTAATAACTTTAATACTATGATTACTTTAATGTTAGCTATAATCATGATTAATATCCTTCCAAAGCATATTGTTGTTTACTACAATGTCTACATCGGACATGTGTGTCGTTCGTGGACCGCTCATCCTCACACCTTTTGCATGATTGATTGTTTTTTCCTTTTTAATAATATTCGGTAAAATACAAAATTGCCACGTAAGTCTTCCGTGTCGATGTTTACTATGACGTGGATATTTGTTATACGTTTTAACCAAAAACAATGATTTGAGTTATATATATTGCCTTTTTGTTTTGTGATTGTGACCAAACAATAGATGTCAGTGATGATGATGATCTTCATCTTTCCGAATGCTATTGTATCCGTATCAATATCATGAACATTTGTAAACTCAGCTATTAATAAAATGATTTAAAGTTACTGCTTCCTAAAAATCTATGTTACAAACAGTTTATTTTATATGGAAAAGGAAGAATATGCTTCATGCTACTTTTATTTGCAAAAATAGTATTTTTCATACGGGTGTTGATTTAAGTAATTGGTGTTTGTATGCATGATGACAATAATATAGACGACATAAAATTTAGTCTACTTGTATTGAGATTCGATTCGGCGATAAGCCAATAACGACACTACTGTCTATTGGTCTGAACTTCTGTGGACTAATGATAATATATGGTTTGAGAATATTTCAAGGCCATATGATATTTTCGTATATATCTTTTTACAAATTTTTGAAGAGGTTTTTGCTATTGTTAAAAAAGCTTTTGAAGAGATTCTGACAAAGAAGTGAAGACACAAAGTCGTCGACCCTGAAAAAGAAAAAGACCATGATTTACCCTGCTTTTTAATTTTTTTTAAATATACTTTAATTTTCTTAAAATATAATAACCGAACTTTAGGTTGTGATTCGAATTTGCTCATCCTGTAGTTTGTAAACCAAAAACTCCCATTGTCAAAAATTTCCTAACCCATCTGCTGAATGAGTTTTTGAGGAGATCGTCAAGATTTGTAATGTTCTTGATGATTGTGCAACTATACACTTTTTGTTTCAGAAACGTAATAGTAAAAACGAAGTTCAAATTAAATACTACTATATCATATATAAAATCTGACATCTGGAATTCCCAGAAAAGAAAACATATTCAATCTCTCATATAATTCTTGAATTGTTATATAAAATTACAGATTATCACAAGAAAAAACTGATGATAATCTTTCATCCACATACAAAATATACAAAATATCTACACACAGCCACATGCCACACTCTTTTGTTCTCTCTAGATTCCCAAAACCCGCTCGCTCTTCAGCCAGAAAAATCAAACACACAATTCGTTACAATTTATATGCCTAAAAAATCATTTTAATCGTGGTGTAAGAAGAAAATCCAAAAAGATAAAAATAAAGAAATGAAGAAAGATTTTGCATCCCTTTGATTCAATCTTCCAATGCTATTTGTCACAGATTCAAGAGTCTCTCTCATCTTGCATCGCCATTGACCTGCAACGATGTATCTTGCATCAGTTTCAGACTGATACTGTTAAACCGTTCCCTCGAGTACTGCCTCGAAGCTTTTCTCCAGTCTGTTCCTGTTTTCATCATCGTCGCAAACTCTTCGTAACTTATTTTACCATCCTGCAGAAAAAAAAATGAATTTGATGATGTTTAGTTGTTTCTCAAAACAAGTTTCAACAATAAAGAGAGAGAGAGAGAGAGAGAGAGTAAAACGGTGAGGCTAATCAAACCTTATCAGTATCAACATCTCGAATAATGGCATCAACAACTTCTTCGCTGGTACCAACTTCATCAGATAAAGCTATCCTTAACTCCTCTATTTCGATATATCCGTTATTGTTTTGATCGAAAAACGCAAACGCTTTCTTGAGATGCTCGTCGTTGCCCATTTTCCTAAGATGCACCGATATGGCAATGAACTCGTCACAGTCCAAGTAACCATCTTTATCGATATCTCCCTGCAAAAAGATAAATCCACCAAGCTCAGTGAATTGCGTATATAACTTCAAAGCAGGGCACTGGTAAGTAATGATATATAAAAGCTTACAGCGTCCATCAAAATTTGTAAATCATCTTGGGGAATGGTATGACCAAGTTTCTGCAACCCGATTTTGAGCTCGTCGATGTTAATCTTCCCTCTTTGGCTTGTGTCCATTATTTGGAACCCTTCTCTTATGCCAGAAGCTTCCTCATCTGATAGATGCTCAGCAATAACCTATCAAGAAAACGTGAAAGAACAAATTAAAAAATATTGCTTAGGCTTTAAAGATCACAACTTTTTTAAGGAGTGTATATATTTTACCCTGAGTGCTCGTTTCTTGAGCTTGTTCATGACAGTGAACTGCTTCAGCCTTGCCCTTACTGTTTCCCCTAATGATACATTGGGAGCTGTCTTTGCGTTCTGTAACCACGGATGATCTGCGCAAAATGAAGCAAGACCGGTTACTACTCTTTGCCTGTCTCAGATTCCATATCAACAGCATAAACAAATTGCATCATTAGAAACCATGAAACTATACCTAGCACTTGCTGAGCTGTAAGACGACGCTTTTGATCAGGATCAAGCATTTTCCTGATAAGGTCTTTTGCATTTTCGGAAACCTTGGGCCATGGGTCCCTTCTGAAGTCCAGTTGAGATCGAATAATTGCTTGTGCAACTCCTTGTTCAGTTTCTGAAAACAGGAGGAGACAAGGTTCATTATTCTTATGATCACCTTCAAATACATCCCTCTAAAGGAACATTTGCCACATACGGCCACAGAAGAAAGGGATATACAAGACTGACAAAAAACTAACCTGCCCAGAAAGGAGGGACACCACAGAGCAGTATATAAAGAATTACACCTGCGCTCCAAATGTCAACTTCTGGCCCGTAGTTACGTTTTAGAACCTCTGGAGCCATGTAGTACGGACTCCCAACGATTTCGTTGAACCTCTCGCCTTGTAGAGGAAACAAAAAGGCACGAGTCAAGACTACTTTTCATACACCCTAAAGGAGTAGAAAACAGAAAGGGGGAACCGATCACAAATACCTGGTTTGAAGAAAACAGAGAGTCCGAAATCAATCGCCTTTAGAGGTGCAGTCTCCTTCTTGTTTCCAAACAAGAAGTTCTCGGGTTTCAAGTCCCTGTGCATTACCCCATGCTTATGACACACCTGCAGAGATCACATGTAAAACTTATTAACCTTCACATCTTAAAAAATCACTCCCCAAGGCTTTACCTTTGCATAAATCCAAAATACACAAAATGTCAAGAAATGTTTTTTCTTTATAGTCTCTATGCAGAAAACAGAGAGTACCCTTCAAGCAAATGCTACATTCCAACAATGGCCGCTCCTATAACGTTTGAACCAAGAGTTGGCCATTTCAAATCAAGAGGTAAATAAACAGCAAAAACAGTGACGAACCTGAACAACTTCCATGATGGTCTTGGTCACAGCAGCAGCAGCTCTCTCGGTGTAATGCCCTCTCGCCACGATCCTATCAAACAATTCACCTCCTTCACAAAGCTCCATAACCAGATGCACGGCGTGCTCATCCTCGTAAGTCTCCTTCAAGGTGACGACATTGGGATGCTCAGGCATATGCCTCATGATCTCGACTTCCCTCCTAACATCCTCTATATCAACAGCCGTCCTCAGCTTCTTCTTCAGGATCGATTTACAGGCGAAGACCTCGTCGGTTTCTTTGTCGGTGCATAGATACGTGACGCCGAATTCTCCACGGCCTAGCTCTCTCCCCAGCGTGTATTTCTGCTCGATCTCGCGACCTGTTGGATCAGTCAGGACGATAAGCTTAAGAGCTCCTCCTCCGCCTCCGCCGCCGTGGTGGAGACCGTAATCGATCGAGAAAGGGTTTTGCTTCTTCCTTCCCTTTTTCGGCTTGTTGTCGTTCTGAGCCAACGATCCCGCCGTTCCGCAGCAATTACCCATGATTTCAACACAGAGAAGTCGATTGACCGATCAAATCTCTCCAACGCGAAATTCGAATAAGAACCCAAATCAAATCCGCCAAAGCTCCAGAGAATGGACGAAACTTAGGTGCAGGAGGTTCACGAGACAACTCCAGGAAAATGGGAAAAATCAAAGGATAGTACTTGCAAAGAAATCTCGAGGAGACGGATATATATGAGAAAAACGAAGAAGAAGATCATAAAAGTGGGTGGAAATTCAAACGCGTGAAATCGAAGAAGAAGAAGATGGATCGAACCAACGTCAAATTTAATTTCTTTTGGGGTTGATAAATTTGTTCGATATATTGTTTTTTTGAAAAATCACAAAAATTTAAAATGTAAAAAAAAAAAAAAAAAAATTGGGAAAATTACAGAGAGAGATGATGGAAGGAAGGTCAAAAGAATCTTCCCTCCCTAATCTCTCTTCTCCAGCTCTATGATTGTTTTTCGATTTCTGTTTTTTTTTTTTTTTATTGATTTTTTCTCTTTCTTCTGTTTATTTTTATTTTTACTTATTGCAAAACTTATTATTTTTAGGACATTTTTCACTCCATTACCTTCATCAAAATGCCTTTAGAGACTTTTATACCCTCAGCGGTAACAAGATATTACAACATTTCCCTTGTAAAGAACCAACTTGGGAAGGGTGTTCAAGTCATTTGACAGATAAAAATAAAAGCGCGAGAGTGTCTGTGTCACGTTCTAAGCTTGGAATTCTGAAACACCAAAAGAGGTAAAACTGTAAAAATATAATTTTTGTTATTTAATAAAGTCAAACTCGGCGATTTTGATTTTTTGACCTTTTTATATATCTCTTTCGTTGGACCCAACTAACAATATTTTATTTATTGCGACCCTACCAATAACCAACAATATACTAATTGAAAAGATGCCCATATTTGATAAAGATATACTATTATTACTTTCAGTTTAATTTTTGTTCTTAAACTGTAGACAATATGTTGAGATGGGAATATGATTAGTTACTACAGATTACAAGAAAAAAATGGTGTATAAAACGTTTTTAATAAGGAAAATACCTTACTTCTAAGTTAGAAGATACAACAAACTAAATATTAAATAGCATAGTCAACGGTGTAGGAAAGAAGAAAGCGAGAGGAAGAAGACTTTGTCAAATGTGGTAGATTTATTTGAGATTTAAATAAAACTCGATGATGATGAACCTTTCCTTAATCCTTACATCGTTACACGAGTGTTTCTGTTAAATCCTAGTCAATTACTTATTTTAATTTGTTTACTTACATTAACATAAAAAAAAGGTCAGTTGTCATATAATAATTAGGCAATAAACTGGGATATTTCTATACTCTGTTTTTAGAAAACTCTTTGATCATTGGTTCAATGCAAAAGACTCGAGTCTTCTTACCATCAATTATTTCATACAAGTGGAGAAATCAAAACAACATGTAAGACTTAACTTTGAAAGGCTTTCCCTCTGACCATCAACAAAAAAATACATAAACGGGCTCTCTAGGCCCATTAAAATATGCTGATAGAAGCCCAGATTATCTCTAAAAAGAGTAAATCACGTAGCTCACATTTCATCCGAAGGCTTTAAAAGAGCTTTATATGAAATGTCTAGACAACTACTCCCTCCGTAAATTTTAAAACATTTTATTTTTACGTTACTTTTTTTACTTTCCAATACAATTATACCAATGAAATAAAAGTAAAAATAATATTTAATTTAAAATATATTAATTAAAGCTAAAACATCAAACATTTAAAAACAAATATAAATCATAAAACATCAAACAATTAAAAATGGAGGGAGTATATGTCAACAGTCCACTATTATATATAAACATTCCAATTTTATAAGAAATAATATGATAGGAATGACAACAAAAACAGTTCATCCTAATCTAATTACAATATATATAAAATATATAAATTCAAAACCACGCAACTCAGAGTTGGACAAAATCCCCCAACTTTTTGGGTTTCTAACTTTTTTTGTAGAAAACATACAATATTCAATTTCCTTATTATAGCTGTCACATTCTATTATACACACGTTGATTCCCATCAGAAAATGGTCCGTTTGTAGCATAATGCATATATGGAGTATCTAGAGAAAATATGATATGTAGTGAGAAGTAGCTTAAGAAGCTATAGCTAGGAGATAGAGAAGAAGGAACGTTTGGCCGGAGGTCGTCCAACGGCTCTCATGAGATTAGAGACTTCAAGAACCCTAGCAACCTCCGTCCCTCTTTTTGCTTCCGCCGTCGCTCTCCTCTCCTCCGCCTTCCTCTGAGCTTTCGCCACTTTGTTTTGTGTTTTCTCCATTGCCTTTGCTCTCCTTTCTTCCAATTTCCTCTGCATCTCCACATCGTCATCAACATTTCAATATATATAACAATAATAATTGATGAAAGACTGATAATCAATTAATTAAACCGCATTAAGACGTTTTTTTCTATGTATTACAAACGTTGATCCATGATTATGGCCTAACGTTCCAACTTCACTAAACTCTACAGAGATTTATTACTTGATCTGCTTACGTTGCGTTTTTATTCTTCAAGTGATTAATTCCACTAGCTGACTATCATTAGTGTTTTAAGGAAAAAATTGAAAAGCAAAAGGCTCAATATTGGAAACAGAAAGAATTGTTTTATGTCTTTGTGTTTTAACTTTTAATCTTGCAAACATATTTTCTTACAACAACACTTTAACCCATAGATGTTTTGTTTCGATTTAAAGCAAGATTTATGAGTTTTGACACAGTGTATAACTAATAACTAACCTCGACTTTCTTCATCCAAGAGTTAGCTTTATGGACCTGCTCGTTCAACCAACCGTTAATAACGGCGTCTTGTCTCTTAAACCTATTATTAATCTTAGCCACCTTCGCCGTTTGCCACGCCGTTATTTTCGCATCCACCTCCTCTCTCCTCACACTCTGAACTGACGCAGTCGTCACCATCCGATTCTGACCACCTGATGACGTCGTCGTCGACACAATATTGTCCGAACCGGTCCGGTTACCGTAACCGTCCGGTACAATCGCCCACGGATTTGAATCTTCCTCAGGCGCCTGATGACCACCACCATCTTCTTCTTCACCGATCCTAGCCAGCTCGTTTATCGCGTCACGATGACTTCCCGACTGGTTATTTCCGTTGTTGTTGTCCATGGAAGAGCCGGCGATGACTAGAGCGTTGAATTCTCTGCTAACGGTGGTGAAATTCTCGCCGGAAGAAGAAGCTCCGTCGCTAGAATTCATCGACCTCGAGGGAGACAAGTATCCTCCTCCCCTTTGTTGTGGCCGAGGAAGCTCCGTCGTCGTCATCGCGTGAATATCTCTTACAACGGTCTCCGGCGGCGTAACGTCCTCCCGGCGATCGGAAGCATCCGTACTTGTGTTGGTGGTCTCCGTTGACCTATCTTGACCGTACAAAGTCAACATCAGAGTTGTAGTAGTAGTACTGGACTGTAATTAGATGCTGAGCTCTGATATTTTGATTAGAGACGATGGGAAGAGAAGGAAGAAGGTAGTAATAAATAATCAATGATTATGACTTAATGATTCGGGTAACGAAATTGTTTACATGAGAGGTAAAATGTTAACAAGTGTTAAGTCCTTTCCATGAGAGCTACGTTCGTCCAGTAAAATAAGCGACTGCATTTACTTATTTTTATAAGGACGTGTTCTCTATCAAGATATTTAGCAAGAGATTAATTATATAAATTGGTGGTCATTATATATACTTGCTTGAATTAATCGTATTTCACCTAATTTCTGTACAGTTTATTTTTATTTTTATATACTATTCAAGAGGATCGTCAGAGATACTTGAAAGAAGGCATTTTATCACTGGATAGTGTTTCTTTTATACAGAAAATAAAATAATACATTATGAAGCTTTCACATTGCAAATAGAGGTTTTTTATTTCAATCTTGGAAATGAAAAAGCAAAATAAACAATCGTAGTGCAAGGAGTGTCGGCAAGAGAGGACCTACCACGAACATGAGATAACGCTTGTGGGCCAATCTATGGTAACACGTGTCTTCTTGTAACAAAGGTTATCTACGTGGCGTCAAAAGAGTGGTAGCGTGTCCCCGCCAAAATAAGCTACACACGTCAGCTTTCATGAATGTGCTCGGGAATCCCACTAGGAAGTCGCCACGTATTACATGTCATTCACATTTATATTTGTCTTATTACTTTTTCGGTTTTTCGTTTATATTTTGTCTTGCTAAGTACTAAATTACTAATTATATTATTTTCTAGTAATATTCTCATAATTGATATTCGCCGAATGAAGAAGCACCGATTATAAAGTTTGTGTGACAAGGGAGAGATAGACTCGAGAAAAATATAAAACTTGTTGCGAATGGTAAAATTCGGGTTCTTAGATTTCTAAAAACGTTGGGCCAAGGTGGGCTATTAATTATCACATTTGCAGTAGAGCCCAATCAAGAAAACCATATCATAGATGCATCATCATGTAACGAAGCTCGATGTGATTTATTTTTTTAGGGGTTGACATAACCATATAATGAAACTGACGGATACCAATAAAAATTAGGATTGTTAGAAACTTGTCAATGTAACAATAAAATCAAATCGAATGCTTGAATCCAACGTTGGAAACACGTTAATGTTAGTATCCATTATGAGACCAAGTCCTAGTCCACGACGTTGTCTCTCATACATTCATCTAACACTAGTAGAGTCTCTTGTCAACGTAACAATAAAATCATCTATTATTGGTTTATAAGCAATTAACAAAATTCTTTGGTGTAATTATCAAAGATTGAAACTTTGAATATAAATTCAATTGTTTGGATTACATAAATCGTATTTTAGTCAACTAATATTTAGTATTTTCTAAGTTAGAGTGTTTCAACTTTCTCTAATTAAATACTTTTTGGCCACCAAAAATTTCGCAGCCGTTCGAGTCTGAGTCTGACCAAACTCGATTGACACGCTACATAGCCGATGGGTTTCACACGTCTTTGGTTTAATAATTGATTCGTAAAGTGTTGAATGATCTCGATCATGGATAAATATTCTTTACCCAAATGGTCATAGTGGGCTCGTCTTTGTACAGAGAGTGTTGGAATAGCCAAAAAGAGAATGTTAAAATACAAAAAAAAAAAGGATGAGGACAAGCTTTGTTTTTGATGTCCTTATCCACTTTTTTTCTAATATTCAAAATTGGAGGATGATGGTTTGGTCAAAATCATGTCATGTTTGAATTTTTTGTGGACAATATCCCATGTTTCTAACCAAAAGTACAAATACCATATGATATTGTCTAACATTATTGGTCCAATTTCACTTGTTACGTAATTAAATTAAAATGTTAACGTCTTCCCTACGTTAATTCACTATAATCCTCTTGTTTTAGTCGTCTGAAACTCTTTCAAATTCTACCCATTTTGGCTTGTCTTCCAAAAAAGTTGCTTTAAAATCATATCCATGATTTGTTAACCCTTAAATGTTTTGAATAGTGAAAATGATTGTATACTATCAACTATTTTCGTCCATACTGTAGAAAACTATAATTAAAATGTATTAATATTAAGGTTAAAGCACAACTTTAAAAACGCAAGATTCATGCATACTATTTGTTTCTTTGTTTATAGTTTTTTTTTAAAGTTTTTCTCATTTGAAAATGGTGCGGTCTCAGCAGACTCTCAGTTGAAGTTTTTCTCCAAAACGATTATTTATTTTTCGTTTTGTTAGCAAAACCTTTTAATTAAATATTAGTATTTCATAAAATCACAAAGTTAAATTAAATCTGCAGATAAAACATTCAAGTTAGCACTATTATATAGGCACAGTAATGACCACACGTGACGTAGAGACATATTAAGATTAATTATATTTGTAGACCATAATTATTGTAAGTGCATCAAAATTACAAAAGTTTTTTTTTTTTAAAGAGAAATAGTTGTTGTTTTTCCGTGAAGTTAGCACCACTTAAAATCTCAACTTTATTTCAACCAATACGTATAATCTATAGTTGACACAAATTTCAGGATACTATTAATTAATCCCTCGTATCTCTCAATATAAAATTGTTTGGTAGTATTAAATAAATATAATTGTAGCAAAAAAATAAAAATAAAAGAAGGACAATTTTCTCCAAAAAAAAATAATAACCCGTGAAAAAATCAACATAATTTTTGTTTTAAAACTTTTTATGTCTTCACTATAAACTTTATAGAATCAAAAATCAAAATATTGATGATTATTTATGAAAATACCCTCCCAATAATTTATTTTTAGTTTATCTATCTATAATAAAGAAGGGCGCCCGAGATTTCCTAGAGGTAGCTTTCCTCACACCGTCACGGCCGCTTGTCTCCAAGTTGTCTTGGGACTCGTCGACGATGCACAGATACATATACATATATATATTCTTCGCGTAGCCGAACGAGAAAATTCCAGAGAGATATCGATTGCCTCAAAACTGAATCTTGTTGTTGTAAAAAGCACCCAAACCAAAACTTGTCTCTCAATTCTCTCGTCTGCTCACTTTTTTTCTTCATAATTTGCCAATATAAATACACATCCTCTCGTCTTCTTAGGCCAATTCGATCCAAAAGCTTTCGTCTTTTCCTCAGCGTTTTCCGGTGTTCATATTCGAGGTAAGGAAAAATTGTTGATTTGTTTTGTTTCGTGAGTTTCCATTGCTTTGTGCTGAGATCTGTGTTTACGTTTTCAAAGTTTCGTGTTTTATTTTGATGAATCTGCATTTGGGTTTTAGACTGTTTATGCAGAAGACAGGAAAAAAGGTCTAACCTTTTTAATTTGATATCTAGAGAAAATAAGTTATATGGTCGTTTATTTGTTTTGATCTCTTATGTTGTGCTTGTGCCATTGCTCAGGCTGAGTTTTGCCTTCTTGGAAGCATAGAAAACCTCTATGGTGAGCCTCTTTTTGGCGCGATTCATTTCGTTGCTCTTCTTTGTTCATATCATTTCTCACATTTTTTTTTTTTTTTGGGATTATTTTGATTTCTTGTTAATAGGGAGAAGCACCAGCTTTCTTTGTGGATCATCTGGAGAATGGACACACCAATGGGTTTGGTGTAAAATCCGAACCTAAAAACAGAGATACGTCAGTCCAAATCGGGGATCGATCCGTAAGCCTCTCAGTTCGATGTTTTTAGAATGTGAATCTGTTCTTGATTCCTTGAGCTTGGTTTTTGATCTTGAGGTTTTATCTTGGCAGTACGTGATTGGTGGAAATCATGAAGGCAACCCATTGTTCCTTGGAGTTAAGATTCATGACAGAATCACTAACAAATGGTGAGTTCCTGTGTTCATTAATAAGATTTTGACCTATCAATTTTTTCCATTAGTGTGAGATCTTAAGGATTTGAAGTCAATTTGGGTGTGTTTCAGGTCGAGTCCTACTGTTCTTGGAACAGGCCCTAAACCCTGCAAGGGCTACTCTGCCATTGTTCTCAAACAAGGTCGGATTTTAGTTATCAAAAAAGGTTCAGCTTCTGATGACTCTATATGGTTCCTCGAGGTTAGTATTTTAGAGATGTGAATGTTGGTTGCATAGAATTTTTGAGTGTTCTGATTCTCATATGTTTGAAAACATTTTGATAATGTTGTAGGTGGATAGTCCTTTTGTTCGGGAACAGAGGAAATTGTTGGGAAAAGAGGTTGTTGCTTGGAGTAAAGGAGTGAGAGGAAATGCAGAGAAGCCTATTGTTATCAGCGGTCCTTCTGGAGTTGGTAAAGGAACGCTTATAGCGATGCTTATGAAAGAGTTTCCTTCAATGTTTGGGTTCTCTGTGAGCCACACAACTCGATCTCCGAGGTGTATGGAGAAGAATGGTGTTCATTACCATTTCACTGATAAAACTGTTATGGAGAAAGAGATCAAAGACGGGAAGTTTCTTGAGTTTGCCTCTGTTCATGGTAATCTATACGGAACCAGCATTGAATCCGTCGAGGTTGTAACAGATTCAGGAAAGGTAATAATAAAAAGATCATCTTTTGTGTCATCTCTTTCATGCTGTTGATCATCAAAATGATCAGATCCGTTTTTGTGTGTGTGTTTAGAGATGCATTCTTGACATTGATGTCCAAGGAGCGAGGTCTGTGAAGGCGAGCTCTCTTGATGCCATATTTATATTCGTATGTCCTCCTTCAATGAAGGAACTTGAAGATCGGCTTCGTGCCCGGTAAAAACCAGACTTTTACCATATGAGTTGTTGTTTCTTCAGATCATTAAAGTTTCAAGGAGATTATCCTCAAATTTCAAATTCTGAAATAAAAACAGAGGAACCGAGACAGAGGAGCAGATCCAGAAGCGGCTTAGAAACGCTGAAGCAGAAATCAAAGCAGGGAAATCCTCAGGCATCTTTGGTCATATTCTGTATAATGACAACCTCGAGGAATGCTACAAGAACCTTAAGGTGACTTAACGCGCCTTTTTGTTATGAAAAAAACTTCATCTTAAACCACTTCGATGATAAACAACAATGGCTCTCTGTTTCAGAATCTATTGGGGATAAACGATGACGCTCCTGTGAATGGCGTAGAAGGTAATAAAACAAATGCCGAAGAGTCTACACGCAATGTATACTACTTAGGTAGGAAAGGAAGCTTATTGGTTTTCTTTTCTTTGTGATTGATTGATTAAAGCAGTAGAAGGGATCAATCTTCCAAAGGAGCACGCTGTAACAAAGATGGAAGATAAGATTTTGATTCAAGAAACGGGAGAAGCAACCAAGAACAACATGTAAGAGGATTCAAACTGATTAATGTTCTCGTTATTTTTCCCATCCAGGTGATCTCTCTAGAGTTTTCTAATGAACCCTCTTTTGGTGGAGCAGGATCGTGTTGGATTTATCTTCTATTAACGGGGGAGCACCGGGAAGAACAAGAGGGATCGTTCTGGACACGGTTAAGTCCAGTTAACAAAGAGTCTATCCTTTCTCCGCTGAAAGCTAAAGAGGGAAACATTTTAGATGATGATGACGATGAACATTGCTCGTTGTTTTTTTTCTTTTTTTGACTGAAAATACTTGAGGGCTTTTTCGCGGTTGAAAGGTTAGTTGTTATGCGTTCACTAGATAGGCACTGATGATGATGATTATGGTTATGATGATTCAAGAAAAGGCATGATCTCTTCTGAGAGAATAAGATTTGTTTTGTTCCTTTTACTGAAAGTATTTTGTTTAATCTAAATCTCGAAAGGATCTATTCTTTTGGTATTATTAGGACATAAAAAGTATTAAAAAAGGTTGAAATCGCTGCAATGGTTTTTCTTGAGATTCTCCAACTCGAATAGGACAGACAGAGAAATTAATTTGGAATATTTGGGGATATAAAAGATTGATCCCACACAACAGTGTTTAGTATTCGTACATGCATGACAGTTAGTGCCAGTTTACAGTTGAAAATGAGCCAATCAAGTAAAAGCAAAGCATCTCTCAATAAGAGAAGAAGACAAAAAGCTATTATAAGAAAAAGAGAGAGCAACTTGTTGTGGGACTTTGGAGTTAAATGGGTCGTTGAAAGATTGCAACTTGCATAGATTCGTGGGTCCAAAAGTCGGTGACAATGTAATTGAAGGAAGCTTCGTTGTAGCCTACCCAGAGTGTTGCTTTGCTTGAAGAAGATGTTGATGATCCATCTCTCTCTCTCGTCCTGCTCCACCACACACTTGTCAAGTGACACTCTGTAATTTGTATTACCAAATAGACGCGCGTGGCTCTCACACGCAGTTTAAGTATCTTTCTGGGGCCAACCCATATCATATACCAGTATACCACAGCAGAGTGACAGAGGTCGTTTATGTTTGGATTCAGTCATTCAGCTGTTCTCGATTGAGCCAGACCACAAAGGAGAAGATGATATTGGGCTAAAAAGCCCATGAAAGAAATTATGTGAAAACTCATCCTACTGTTCAGGACTTGGTACTTGTTTCATACCTGAAGGGATGATTAACTATGATACAATTGTTTCATATTTGTAGGCATGATAAACTATGATACAATTGTTTGAAACTTGCAATGATGGTAAGCATATAGGTGGAGGGGAAAATTGATGCATTGTCTTTACAATTTTGTTAAAGCATGTTATAAAGTTTTTGACTATAAAACAATCAATCTAATATATATATATATACATAAAATTTTGGTTTAAATCCGAAAATTAAAATCGTGTTCTAGTTATCTTTTTATTTTAGCAGGTTTTTGTATTGACATTTTTAATACAATCTACATATGATTAATTATATTTATTAAAATATTATTTTGTATATATTGATATTTTAAAATAATATATATAATATATGTATATGTTCAATACTCTTTGCAAATTTATTGACCATAGTGACTACAAGGGTCGTGAATGACTTGACTTGCCAAATTCTGGAAGCCCAGTCTCGTATCTATGAGAAAAATATTATCTATGACGGTATTAAACTTAGCAACATTTTGTTGGATTCATCAAAATATGTGATTTTGGTTATGGTTAGATTTTCAATAGAATTGTTTTTGCCGATAAATAAATGATAGTTGTTTCTATAATGATTGTTTCAGGTGATACAAATTCTTACTAGTTAGATTCTTGAAAGAACAATCTTTGTGCAAATTTTTGTTAGTGGAAATGTGAATTTTTTGTCAAAAACCACTTGGGTATATAGCCTTTTTAATTTCTGTACCTTACCAGCAAAGTTCTCTAAGGATGTGACTCAGTAGGTACTTTAGATATAAGTTTGCATGCAGCAAATGTATGTATATTTTTCTTCTCGTTCTCAAAAGTTTTTTTTTGTTTTTCTTATTATACTTCTTATGTATAGTTTTGGGATTGTGTTCTTTGAGTTTTGGCGTCTTTTTGAAATCCTTTCGGAGAGAGCCAAGACCTTGACTAATTGAGGAAGGAACGTGTTACCTCCTGATTGGATATCTCAAGCTTTTGGTGTCTCCAACAGCTTCTCGGCATGAACCACTCAGAAGCTGCAGAAGGGATATCCTTTGTTGATGCATGGTAAACGGATGTTGAAACCCTTCTTTACTCTTGTTTTTAATCGGGAGCCATTTGTGTTTGCATTTCGAGTTCGAAATGGACTCCATTCACTCCCATGAAAAACAAAAAGAAAATGAGTAAGGATCATAAAAGATGAATTTAGCAGAGCAAAGTTTGAGTTTAATGAAGAAGACATGGAAACATACTTCTTTCGACTTCTTCAATAGGAAGCTTCAGTTGACTCGGTGGTTAATTTTACAAAGATACATACATATATGGTTTTAGCTATAATCAAGGTCGCAAGCCTAGGGAGCTTCGACTTGTAAAAGATCTCTCAAGTGATGCACAAACTTTTGGTTCTCATGTTCAATTAGGATGCAACTCAAACCACTCTCTAACATGGAATTTATTTTGCTTCTCATGAAAAGTATACATGTCCATTCCAGTACTGCCTGTGCTCTGGTTTATTTGAAATGTTAGGATGATTAAGACTCCAGATTGTATTGTAAGTGGACAATATTGAAAAAATGCAGATTCCTACAGGCTCGTTCTTGCCCTCATGACGGAAAATGTAAGAATTACAGCCTTGTGTGGATACATTTTCTGGAAGTTGCTTGTTTTTGCCAAGCCTCTTCCTTCGAATCAGATAAGATAGTTTCTTCCAAGTAACAGACGCAGAAGCAGTAACAGAGCCAATCCAAAGAGAAATAAAAAGATTCACTCAAACTACAGTCCTTACAACAGCTTATTGTCTCCAGAAATGTAAACTTTTCGAGACAAGGATAACCATAGGCAAAAACTGCCAAAAAGACTGATACGAAATGATCATATACGTTCATGGCACAGATCTGACATCTTAATGAGCAAACATTGGCATTCTCAAATACAGAAAAAACTCAACTTGATATTGATGATCAACCACACATCTATAATAGCAAAAACTATCCAGTAATCATAGTACCAGCTCCTTCATCAGACATAATCTCATGAAGCAGAGAATGTTGTCTCCTTCCATCGATAATACTCGCCGTCTTAACTCCTTGAGCAAGAGACCTTATACAACACCTAACCTTTGGAATCATCCCACCAGCTACTTTACCATCTTCAATCATCTTCTTCACTCCTTTTATGTCAATCTCCTTCACCAAGCTGCTCGGATCCTCCTTGTTCTCCAAGATTCCAGCCACGTCAGTCAGCAGAATCAGCTTCTCTGCTCCGAGCGCCGCCGCGAGCTCTCCAGCCACTGTATCAGCATTGATGTTGTAAGCCTGACCGGCTTCATCGGCGGCGACTGAGGCAATCACTGGTATGTAACCGTAATCCACGAGTGGACGCAACACGTTTGGATCTACTCTTGCAACCTCGCCGACGAAACCTAGCTGAGCCGAATTGGGGACGGGTCGTGCTGTGAGAAGACGACCGTCGTGTCCCGATAGCCCCACGGCCGTAGCTCCGGCGGCGTTAATGAGCGAAACGAGATTCTTATTGACTTTTCCGACTAGAACCATGGAGACGATCTCCATCGTCGTGGCGTCAGTGACGCGAAGCCCGTCGCGGAACTCAGCTGGGATGTTGAGTTGTTTCAGGTACCGGTTGATATCGGGACCTCCACCGTGAACGAGGATCGGACGAAGACCGACGCACGCGAGCAGAACGAGATCGCTGACGACAGAGGCTTTGAGTTCCGGCGAAGTCATGGCCGCGCCGCCGTATTTGACGACTATGGTTTTCCCGCGGAATTTCTGGATAAACGGTAATGATTCTGAGAGGATCTCCACTCTGTAATCCGGCGAAGGTGCATTTTTGGTTTCCGTTGAAGGCGGTGCAGAGACGGAGGCACTTACCGATAAACCTAGACGCTGATAATACTTGCGAGACGGAAAGCAGAGAGATGGAGGAGATTTGGGGATAAGTGATTTCAGAGGATTGGAAACGGAGAAGGAGAAGGATTTGGGCGGCGCATTGGATGCTACGGTGGCCATTTCACAACCTACCGGAGGAGGAGGCGGCGGCGGCGAAGATACTGAAGCGAGAGAGTTTCCTCAGGTTTTCTTTCAATCTAATTTATGACAAGAGTATATGAAAACCAATGACTATTATCCACGTGGACCGGAGACTCAAGACTCCGTCGTAACCCTAGGTTGCTTAAACGACGCCGTTAACAGTTTCTTCCGGTCGTTCCTCATTAAACCGAAAACGACACCGTTTTTTCTTCGGCAAGTGTTACGACGGCGTTTTATCTTGCAGCGGGAAATGCAAAGCTTTTTGCTTTCATTCTTCGTCGTCTCCGGGGGTAATTGCAATCGGAATTGCCGATTATTCACTAGCTGAGCTGGAGTGAGATGGAGCGATTGGAAGAGGAACTAATACGAAGATCAGAGCCAGAATCTCTGGTTTCGGTCACTGTAGGTAGGTTCATGAGTACGCTTCTCTCGGCTCGCCCTAAAAAGCTACGGGAGTCTATTTCCCGCCTCTCTCCTGATTCTCAAAAGGGTTCATCAGGTAAGTGTTTGCAAATATTTGTTGTGTGTATATATTTGCTTCTTATCGGACGAATTTGTAACCTTTCTGTATTCGATGGCTGCGTTAGGCTCCGTCGATGAAGCACTCTGGTTTTTGAACAAGTGCGTTAGAGACTATTCTGAGAGAGACGAAGCGGTGGATGAAGTTCTTGTACCCATCATCGAACATGTATATTCTTAAACCCTGCCTGATTGTTGGAAATGTCCCGTCTTTTATCTTGTCTGTTCTTACGGGTTGGTTTCTATACTCTTTTTCTGTTTTTGTTTAGACATTAAGGTTCAAGGATGCTAAAAACAGTAACCCAGCTATGATACTTCTCAATTGGCTATTTGAAGATGAAGTTCTCTTTCAAGACGTTTCAAGAAATCTTTCGGAAATCATTTCGAGGAACGAGGACAGGTTTTTAGCGCTTGGGTGGTGTTTACTTATCCGAAGTCTTGTAGAAAACACTGGTGATCAAGGTTTTTGGAATGGTGAGCAACATTGTTACTATGTATTCCATACCAGTTCTCTCTCTTGGGGGAAAGAAAAGGCTCTTCTTACTCTGAGCTCACTTGATGTATCGTTATGTACTTATTGTATAATTTTCTCTGTTGACAGGAATTAGGGAGAAACATTCTATGTTTGTGGAGATTGTTTCATCTTGCGTGCCTCACTTGTTGATGATTGTGCGCAACGGAAGGTATATGACTTTTTTTTTGTCAGTGGATATAAATTACTCAAATGAGTATGTTCATGTGGAGCAAGTTTCTTCACTCGTATGCATTGTCCTTTCCATCTAGTTCTGAGCTGTTGTTTTGTTTAGCATTTTGCAGGATGGCTATGAGGTACCCTCTCGTCTTTCTGTTTCTGCTGCCGATTGCTTGCTGTCAGTTACTGGTGCCTTAGCAAAGACGGATCATACCCTGGTTAATAGGCCGAAGCCATCAGTTATTACGGGGTCACATCAACCAGTTGCTTTAATATCTAATGCTAGTGAGAAGAAGAAAAGGCATGTTTCTCAACCTGAAGACTCCAACAGTGAGACAAATTGTATACTGTGGAACCACCTGGAGGAGCTGACGGGCCTTGTAGAGTGTCTCTTTGCTGTATGTTCACTTATCCATTTAAATATGCTTGATCTGTGTTTTACATTTTGAAGTGATGAAGTTGTCCAATATATGAGACGAGTAATTTTGACTAGAAATTCCTTCCAGTGGAACAGAAAAACTCGACCACTGCATGCTAAGGGGTTAAACAAAGTGCTGAAATGGTTAGAGGAGTTAAAAGAGCATCATGGTGGCTCTCAAAAGGAGGCAGGTCTCTGACTAATGCTGCCTATCCTTGTTCTTTTCCGTTTCTGTTTCTGATTCTTGCTTTTAATGTTTTTTTTGTTTTTGTTTCATATTTCGAATCCAGGCACGGAGCTATCTAGGGGTGGAGCTCTACTGCTCTCTTCTTGTTGGAAGCATTACAGTCTCCTGCTCCACATGGAAGATCAGAAGTTCTCAAAGATTAGCAAGGAATTGCTGGAGCAATATTTGTCTGGTATTAAGGTTAGACATTATCGACAAGCTTTTTGGTTTCACAATTTTGTGATAGGGATAAATTATATCATACTGTAACTTTATACTACCTATGTGTATCTATTGTGTCCGTATGTGAACCTGCTGCATATGTTTAAGTTCTTTAACCCATTTTTCTCTAAGAGTCGACAGATATATTGTCATTACCATCTACAGTTTTTTTTTTTTTTTTTGTTAAGAAGATAGCAATAACATATCGTAGAGCCTGCTTGAAATTTGATGGAATGCGCTTGCATGGTATATGAGTAAGATTATTTGCTCCGGAGTCGTTTAATTCACCCGGGAAACCTATATAAGCTACAGAGAGATAAGTTGTAGATTCAATATTGGCAAAGGGCAGCTTTACTAGCTTTCTGTCTTACTTCTGGTTAATGTTGTCCAATTTAATTGGGTTTGTAAGAAGCTAATAGCATTAAAAATGATGCAGTACTGATTTTAATGCTTCTTTAGCTTTATGCTCTCTCTGTTATCAGTGTGTTCCAAATTGATTGGGTCATTCAGAAGCTAATAATAATAAAAATGCTGCAGTATTATTCCGAAAGTTATCCTCAGGGATGTGCTGACACCAAGACTGGTGGTATAGAGACACAGAAGTTTTTCCTCAATTGTTTATGCCTTTTGTTGAGTCGCTTTGAGGGAAAGAAATTTGAGAGTATACTATCAGAGTATGGAACGAAGCTTGTGCCTTGTCTTCTACATCAGGTATCTTTACCCATTTTTTACAGGAATATCTCTTGCAGTTGTATAGGCTTTTCTGACTCTCATAAGCTTGGTTCTGCATTGCTGCTACGATTATATCCTAATAAAATTAATCGTGAAGGATAATATATATACTCATGTGATCGTCTCAGTACTTACATCTTCTTTTGCCTTTGAAGCTTCGCAGCAACAACGAAGAGATATCAGAAGGCGTTGTTGGTATATTTAAAGCAGTTATCTCGAAACTACAATCTCAGTCTGGAGACAGCTTCTCTGATACAATGTGCATGGACGTTGTGATACCATCGTTGCTTTACTTTCTTGATGAGAGGGATGGCGCGGCCAAAGCTGTCAGTGTCCTCCTGGCAGACTATTGTTCCAAGTATGTATATTCGTGCTTTCCTGTTAATGCTAAATGCCTAAATCATAAAATTAGCTTTTTAGTAACCAGTCAGAGTTCCTTGTTTGTCTTCTGACCTAAAGAAACATTCACCAGAAATGCAGATAATGATTCTCTCAGTGAAGTTCTACAACGCCTTGTTGCTGGAACTACTGCGCAGAGGCTGAATTCTATGGATGTGATATCAGAAGTAATCCTTATGTCAACAGATTCAGTTCCTTCTCATATTCCCTGGTATACAATCATTTATGGTTTTCGTTTCAGTTTTCTCTTTCTACCTTTTCTGCATCTTCTTTAGTTCCTTGACTTATAATTTGCATTCTCATGCCCTCAGAAGTCAGAACTCATTTTCTGCACTTTATTTCAGGAAAGATATTGCGGACTGCTTGTTAAAGTGCCTTGGAGACGAGGAAACTTATATCTGTGAACAAACTTCAGAGTTGCTGAAGTCAATTGGTTGGCCTTCTTTTCCCTTTGTATTCAATTCTTTAGGAGAATTTTCTTTGTGGCCGTTATCAATTTCTAGTATTGACAATCTTTATGCCTTCTATAACCTCTAGATTTGGTCTTTCTTCATTTTATAAGATGAATTTCAAATAGCTTGCTGAAAATAAATCAGTGTGTTGTTAAAAGAAAGCTTCATTTTATTTTTTATTAATTAGATGAGGAAACTTGTAAGAGTCCAAAGTTTATAGTGTCCAAGACTTGTTATTCCATATCTAGATAGCAGCTAAATTTCATATTATAACATTTATTTTCGGCGTTCCCATAGAATCAAGCCATCAACTGCATGTTTTTTTTTTCTCTTCCAGAGCCATCTTTCGTGCTACCAGAATTAGTGACACTCATTTATTCAACCAATGGAAAAGTACAATCATCCGCTACCAAAGCCTTGCTTGGTGTCCTTCAACATCAAAAGGAGGACTCTGATGTTATATGTATGTTGCTGACCTGTCTTAGGTATCGTGCTTTGTCTCCTTTCTCTTTTTCTCCCGTGTATACATAGTTGTTTGTTTGTTCCCATTTACCCCAAGTGAGAAACGCACATTGTTCATAGGTTAAGTTTCTAAACATACACTTACAAATGCTTCACATGATATTGACCAGCCTATCCCTATCGGATTTGGTTTTCTATTCTGTTTTTGCATTGTATCCTAAAATTGAAAGGTCCTTTCTCTTCTGATCTCCACTTTTATGTATCTAGTAATACTCAAGCTTTGGAAACTTCAGAAAGTAATGGACATCCCACGGAAGGTATTCAATTTCTTATCTCATTACTACATAAACCACATGCTATACCCATAACTTGTGATCATAAGAAAATATGTGCTAGTTTGATGCTGAATTTCTAACTGGGCACTATCAAGTTTCTCTCTGGCGAGCGGATGCTCATCATTTTCTTGTACTGTTGTAGATTCAACTTTTGACAGTGATCGAGTGCTAAAACTGATCCCAGAATGGGCTAAAAGTGTAAGTACAATCTTACTAAATTATTTGCCATCTTCGAAATGAAATCAATTTTAGTTTCCTAAGTGCTTTTATGGGCACCATTTGCAAACTATTTTTAGCACTACTGGATGAAAACTCAAACCTAAACTTTTAACTCTGAATCTTCAATACAAATTTGACGGCATTGGTTGTTCCTTTTTTCCCTTCCAATTCCCTTTACCTTTTGATTGAAATAAAAAATTTACAGGTTCAAAACTGGGGCTCACTGATCGGACCTTTGCTCGAGAAGATGTTTTTGGAGCCATCCAATGCCATCATGGTTAGGTTTCTTAGCTGCATCAGTGAACATTTGGCTGATGCATCGGACATGGTCCTTCTGCACGTACTCTCACATATGAAGGAGCAAAACAAGTAAGTAAAAGTTCTATTAAAATTGTAACAACTCATGTTAGAGCAATATACTCACCATTAATCTGATTTTCATGGTAAGAATGACTTTTTAAAAAAGTAAAAAGCAATTGTATAATATTGGTCACCAATAATGTCCTTTCTTTGGTAGGATGGATGAGAGCTTTGTATCCAGATCTGATACTAAGAGTTTCATCGGCAAAACTAAATTGGAGAATTCGCTATTTGACCACCTTTGCCCATTACTTATATTAAGGCTGCTTCCCCAAAGAGTGTTTGATGATATTGATTCCTCTACAATTTATGGCGAATTCCTGAGGGGAGACTCTGTGAATGGTATGTTTTTGACCCCTATGTCAAATTGTCAACTAAATTCATCGCATAACCTTCTTTGCATAAAATTTTGATTACTGGCATGGTTCAGAGAGACAATCTCAGAGTTATTTCACCATATATTTTTTTCTCTTCATATTGTATTTATCAGAGTATCGAGACATCAAGTTTGAGGATTCTCAATGCATCGCTGCTTTCCTTTTGGAAAGGTTATTTTACTCCACAGTGATCATCAAACGCCATCTACTTTATTACTTATTTGATATCTAGCGATCTAACTCTCACTTTTCAGGGCATTTTCTAAGTTCGAATTTGATGAAGTTCGGAAACTCGCAGCCGAGCTATGTGGACGTATCCATCCCCAGGTTTTCACTGGTTCCTTCTCAACCTTATGGTTAATCTTTTGTAAATGTTTCAATATGTCCTTAGCCTTTGATTTAATGCGCTTTAATAAGCATATGTTATGTGAAACAAAGGTAAATATTTATAACCAAAGAATCAAGAGTAGATGCTCATGAATAAGTTTCTTCTCAAGTTCACTGTGATTATATAATTTGTTTTACCTAGTCTCTTGCTATCTTTATGAGAAGGCAAAGTACACACGAAATTTCCACACGAAATTATAAGTTCTGTTACTGAGCTGCATTAGATATCTGAAAATGTCTAAATCCTTGACTTCAGTTTTATTAAACAACAGTTTAGCTTACTCTTCATTGGCAAAAGTTGTAATATGCTGGCACTTTGATATAACAGGTGCTATTTCCAACTGCTTTGTTGCAACTTGAAAAAGCCACAGAGTTGCAAGACAGCCTCAAGATCAAAGCTTGCCTATTTTCTATATGCACATCCCTTGTGGTAATAATTTCATCTTTCGTTTTGTATATGTGCCTCTGCGGTGATCCTGTTGTCACTTGTTTGATGCGTTATTGATTGAAATATATCCGTACCTTACAAAGTTTCCATCGCTTGCAGGTACGGGGCAGTGAGTCTTTCTCACACACTGTGACACCTAAGATCAGGAAAGTCCTGGAAAAGATTTTGCTATGGCCTTCTGATGAGGACGAAAGTAAGACATTTGCTACTCAGCTTTTGTTACTTTTCTTCAGTTTCTCACTTCATGAACACTTATTTATCCGTGCAGTTTCCAAAGTACAACACGGTTGCATAGATTGTCTGGCACTGATGATATGTGCTGAACTGCAACCTCTTGAATCATCAAAGACACCCAAAGGAGCAAAAATACGTACAACAGGCAACGACACATCTGGTTAGTATTGTTGTTGTTGTATTTCCGTTGTTCTTATAATGTATATATTTAGTCCAGACTTGCATATAAATTATATCTTGATCTGTAGGTGTTGATGCTTCAAGTAATTCTGTCCTAGATTACACGATACATTGTCTAATTGAAGACAGAAGTGACTGCTGTTCTGTCCCCAAGCCGTATATTGAACACTCAATTGATGAAAAGCCCCTTCCTATTCCGTTTCGTCTATGCATGGCAAATGTTCTCATCAGTGCTTGTCAAAAAATTCCCGAATCTGCCAAGAAAAGTTTTGCTCGGAAAACTCTTCCGCCTCTTGTTCCTTCCCTCAAGGTACTTTTGACTGCTTACACTCTTCTCGGGTTAGGTTAAATTATATTGTTTAGTTTTCAACAAAACTCGTGAATGCGGTTGCAGTTCATATCTGCGCCTGAGGTCCGAGCAGCTTGTATCCAGGTCCTATTCTCGGCCATGTACCATCTAAAGTCCACACTTGTCCCTTTTTCATCTGATCTACTGAAACTTGCCCTGAGGTTTCTTGAGCAAGGATCCCAAAAGGTACCGAAAGACATTCGAACTTAATTCCTAACATGTGAACAAACGTATGGAAGTAGACAGAAAAGCTTTGCTCTCGAGTATCTTACTCATAGAATTGTCGTTTTCGTTCCACACGGAAGTCACATTATGCCCATGATATTGTGTAGGAGAAGCTGGCTGGTGCAAAACTGATGGCGTCACTGATGGCGAGTGAAGACGTGATACTGGAAAACATATCAGAGGGATTGCTCGAAGCAAGATCAGTTTTGTCCAAAGCATCTTTGTCAGATCCTTCTCCAGACGTACGTGAAGTCTGTGCTAAGTTATTGGCATGTATTACGCCCTCCTCGTAATGTCTTTTTCTCCATTAAGATCAGATTCTATAATATTATTTTCTTTTTTTTCTTTTCTAACTTTTGTTTTGCGCTCACGTGACGAAGAAGTCGGTGTGATATGTACTATGTAGTATGTATCAAACCGATGGCCCTAATTTTTTTGTAAATAGTTAAACTACGTTAAATGCATAGACCAAGTAATTTGATTTGTCACTAGTTTAGACCAAATTCCGTACTAATTATGGGACCTGTATAAGTAATGGATGTTCAAACTGTTTAATATTGAATTGACATACATATTTAATATTTTCAAGATTTTTTTTTTTGACAATTACTAAAATGATTTGGTTAAGCAAAGGAGGGAGACCAAGTTTACAACACAAGAAATATTTCCAAGTTTCATAAATAGCATAATATCTAATTTTACAAAATTATACATGTAACGTATTCAATAATTACAATAAAAATGGTTTCTAGCTTGGGTCGACACAGTAAATCTCGATTACAACTGAAGTACTGCAAATTCTCATAGTCGAGTATGAGCATATGATCAAATAAAAATAGTTGTGTTATTGTTTTTTGGTAGGGATTTTTCAGTTGAACAAAAGAATTGGTCTAGGATAATCACTTTTTTTTTTTTTTTGGTATAATCACTTTTGAATAGTTAAATGGATTTTAAGGGGACATGTGTTGAATTAAATGTGAACGTAATCAGGAATGAGCATGGGATAAAGATGAAGTGAGCGGCGCTTAAATCTGAAAATCTCGAAAACACTTAAAAAAACTTCAATCTTACGATCGAACACGTGATTCTTGTGTGTGTTGTGGCTCGTGACCTCTGCCTCTCTTTTCTCATGTCCCTCCAATTCTTCTCCTCCTAAAGAAGACAACGAAAAGGATAACAAAAAGAAAAAAAGATTATAAAACACAAAAGCCTTAAAGTGTCTCAAGAAAAGAATCATGGGATCCTAATTTAACTTGTCTCACTATATATCGCTTTTAACTTAGTAGCTCTAGCTAAGTTTATAACCGAACTTAAACCGAATCAAACAACCTAAATCATTTTTTTCATTTAACTATTCGACGACTAGTACTGTCATGCTTTTATACCAAACAAAACTGAATTTAACAATGTAACAGAACTGAGCTAATCGATAAGTATGACTGGAAGTAGATGATAAGATTTGGCATAATTACTGTTTGAAATGTAGGGGACATCTACGTACGAGGATTTATTTTTTATTATTATACGTAGAATTAGATTTAATAATTGGAGTTGAAGATCAATATGGTTAAAACAAAAAAGACTCTTTTTCCGACCAAGAGACTTTTTTTTCTTTTTTTTCCTGAAAATAAACAGATGATGAGAAAGCAACGGTCACATGCGCGGGTGAAAAAAAGCAATTCTTTGGGAAGTGAAGGGAACCGTGACAATATTTAAACACTCAATTCTTTCTAAGCTCACCATTATCATATTCATCATATCCTCTTTCTTTCTTCACTCTCAATCTTCTTCCTCCTCCTCCGCAACAGTACAAATGGAGAAACCATCCTCAATGAAACAATGGAAGAAGGGTCCTGCTCGTGGTAAAGGCGGTCCACAAAACGCTCTTTGTCGGTACCGTGGAGTCAGGCAAAGGACGTGGGGCAAATGGGTGGCTGAGATCAGAGAGCCCAAGAAGAGGGCAAGACTCTGGCTTGGCTCTTTTGCTACTGCTGAAGAAGCAGCCATGGCTTACGATGAAGCCGCGCTCAAACTATACGGTCACGACGCTTATCTCAACTTACCTCACCTTCAGCGTAAAACGGTACCTCCTGTGAACAACACTCAGAGGTTTAAGTGGGTGCCTTCGAGGAAGTTCATCTCTATGTTTCCTTCTCGTGGCATGCTTAACGTGAATGCTCAGCCTAGTGTTCACATTATCCAGCAAAGACTAGAGGAGCTCAAGAAAAACGGACTTCTCTCTCAATCCCATTCATCTAGCTCTTCCTCCACCGACTCCAAAACTCATACCAGCCTTGTTGATGAAAAGACCAGCAAGGATGCAACAGACAAGATGTTTGGAGGTGGTGATGATGATGATGATCAGAAGAAACCAGAGATCGACCTGAACGAGTTTCTTCAGCAGATGGGGATCTTGAAGGATAAGAGCCAAGCAGAAGCAAGTGAAGTAGCAGAGTGTCACTCCACTCCTCCCTGGAACGAGCAAGAAGAGACTGAGAGTCCTTTCACAGCTCAGAGTTTAAGCTGGGACACGCTTATTGAGATGCCAAGAAGTGAAACCTCGGCTATGAAGTTCGACTCCACCAACTTCGAAAGCTATGATTTCGATGACGATCTTGATTTCCCTTCCATCTGGGACTTCTGCGGAAACTTAGATTGAGTGAAGTCTACTCACTGTGTAGATCAGATTCAGAAGTACACATTATGGTTTAGGTTTAGCCTAGTGTTTTTGGAATAGTGTAACATGGTAGCTGCATGATATATATGCTCAGATTGCAGCAGTCTGTGCAGTACAATAAAATGAGTCAAGTGTACTTCTGAATATGAACGAGTTGTTCTGTTTTTTTGGGGATTATTCTTAATCAAGAATATTTCATTTTTTTTTGTCAATCCTTCAACTCAAAAGTTAAAAAAGAATGTTGTAGCGAAAAGGATCTCTTTATTAATGTATAAGGAACATAGCAAGATCAAACATGAAAGCGTAAACTTCAAGAATTCAAACAAACTCACTGCTTAAACAGAGAATTCCTCTTCATTCCAATATAAGAAACAAGGCAAAAGATACACATCAGTCAATTCCAAAAGCGAGTAATAATTTCCAGTAACTTGATGCTTCATCAATTTTGGAAGTCTTGTGGAGGAGACCAAAAAAAAAAAGCCTAAACCCTAGAAAATCATTTATATATAAGGGCATCACGACCAGGCCCAATACCAATGTAATGAATGGGCACACCCACGAGTTCTTCAATCCTCTCAACATATTGCTGTGCAGCCTTTGGAAGATCAGAGTAATTTCTGATGGCGGATATGTCCGTCTTCCATCCAGGTAAGACTTCATACTCGACCTACACACATTTTCACACATAAAACAGAGTTATTTATCAAGTACCAAGTCCTAGACTATAAGATGAAACTCTGTTTTCAGATACTACATATGTCAGAGAAGAGCACTTACTTGCAGTTCTTCGAGAAGACGAAGATCACCAGGGAACGATTCAACACGGGTGCCATCACTCTTCTTATAAGCCACACCCAGCTGGATTTCGTTCAGGTCCGAGAGTACATCAAGCTTGGTGAGATTAAGCGATGCAAATCCATTGATTTGGCAAGAAAATCTCAACGCAACAATGTCGAGCCAGCCACACCGACGAGGACGACCAGTTGTTGTGCCAAACTCCTGTCCAGCCAACCTAAGAAGGTCACCACCTGGGCCCAAATTCTCTGTAGGGAATGGGCCTGAACCAACTCTTGTAGTGTATGCTTTCACCTGACAAACACAGATCATCACAAATGCTTAACACATCTCTTTCATTTTACACGTTAAAGGTTCTTAAAATAGTAATTTTCAAAATCTATGAGTGAACATCAAGCTTACCACTCCAATGAGATCACCGATAGCTCTGGGAGCGATACCAAGACCTGTGCAGATCCCACCGGCCGATGGGCTGGAGGAAGTAACAAAAGGGTAGGTACCAAAGTCAATGTCCAACATTGTAGCTTGACCACCTTCGACCAGAATCTTCTTCTTCCGAGAGATTGAGTCGTTCATGAAATGGACAGTGTCAGTTATGTAAGGCTCCAACCTCTCAGCGTATCTCTTGTAGGCCTCGACTTCTGCCCGGAGCATGTCTGGAGTATACTTGAACCCTTGAAACCTTGCGGCTGCATCAGATAGCAGAAGGTCGAGCTTCTGAGGCAAAGTTTCCATGTGCCTGAGGTCACCCACTCTAATACCATTCCTGATCACTTTGCTAGAGTAGGCAGGACCGATTCCTCTCTTGGTTGTGCCGATGAACGACTTGGCGAGCTCGGATTCCCTGAGCCCATCGACCTCTTGATGGAAATCGAACAACAAGTGAGCACGATCAGAGACCAAGATCCTTCCTTTACAGGAGACGCCGTTGGACTCAAGACCATCGATCTCTTTGAAGAGACCTGGCAAATGCACCACAACGCCGTTGCCAATCACACAAGTAGTATCCTCGTTCAGTATACCTGAAGGCACAAGGTGAAGAGCAAACTTCTTCCCCTCCGAATTGTATATAGTGTGTCCTGCATTTGCTCCTCCCTATCGTTCCCAACATCACAAAAATTCAAACAAAAACGAAAACTTTAAAGTCAATCAGGAGCAGAAATCGAGCAGCTCTTGTCATTCAAATTCAATTCAAAAGTTTGCAATTAGTCAACAAACTACTACTAATAAAAGCTCAGCTTGAATTGAACCCAGATAATGATTCGAATCCTTAAGATTATTGAAAAAAATCACAAGAATCTGAGGAGAAGTGAGAATGTGAACTTTACCTGACAGCGAGCGACGATGTCAAAGTGATGGGCTAAAATGTCAACGAGCTTGCCTTTACCTTCATCGCCCCACTGGCAACCAAGCACACCCGATACTTGACTCAGTGATCCAATTCTTCCGAGAGACTCAGTGGCGGCTGATTCAGTGGTAACGCTCAGTGACGCCGAGGCAGCCGGGCGTTTAGCAGAGCAGGCGACGAAGCTCCGAGGGTGGTGAATCGGAGGATAACGGCGGTGATATGGACCGCCGACGGCGAATCTCGGATTGGATTCGAGAGAGAGGGAAGAGAGAGACATCTTTGAACAGAGAGAGAGAATGAGAGTCTTAGGGTTCGCCGGCACTCGAGTATGGGGAAACAGAAGACCTTTTTCAAACTGAGCTCAGGTGAATCAAAATGACCATTTTGCCCTCCACATGAAATATGTTCTCACAATGAACCGGTTTGGCTCGTTCCAAGAAATTAACGTCAAACCGATAAACCTTGATTTAGTTTATAGTAACAGATGTGAAACCAAATGTTTGGTCCGGTTCGGTATATCTTTGTTGATGCACATTTATAACATGAGAACGTACAGTATTTGGGAAAATTTATCCCAACAAAATATGTATAGTATTACTACTACACATATCAGTTTACTATTCTTTTTGTTATTTTTTTAATTGGAAATTATGTATGATTTTTTTAAAACCAATTGAAAATTATCCCCAAAAAAAGAAAAATATGTATTCAAAAACTGCGTCTTTTGTTTACATGATATGAGTGATGGTGTGAACGTGTACCTAATACAAAACCCAAGATTATTCCGTTTCAAAAGAATCGATGGCAGTGATTATGCCAAGTATGTGTATGTATGCTTCTGCAGCTCCTGAGGGGTATTTACTTCTGAAGACATTCTTGAGGCAATCCGTATTCTTTAGTCCGGTTCACCAGCTGATCTCGTCTCCATGGATCGTTGTGTAGCTTATAATGCAGAGTCTGTATGAAAGTAGCAAAGATGTCGTCGTGTTTCAGTCTAGAGAACTCAACAGCCCAGTCTTCTTCACGTCCAAAACTAGCTTTCTGTCTCTCTGCTTCGAGCAAAATCGAGTCTCGGAACAAGAATCTTTGCCAGATCTTCTTTACATTAGCCAGCCTGAATTGTATCTCCGTTTCATTGAATCCCTGTGGCAGATTTTAGAGCAAAACAAATGAAGTGAGCTCGAGATTAGGAGCAGTTTTGTTACAAGACTAAGAAAGAGTAATGAAGTTGATTACTCGGAGAGTGTTTATGAGATTTGGAATGTCATCTTCGCTAACACGAACCGCAAAGCTTTCGTAGTTGAGCATGTTCTCATAAGGCAAGTAGATTCCGTCCTAATATAAAGACATCCTTGTAATATATATTCATTGTTGAAGTTTTGGGAATGTGGAGAATGCGGTAAGTTCAAGGTAATACCTGAATGATGACTGGGACACATCCTTGTAAGATACTATCTTCCATGCGACCACTCCAACCATCTCCAGGGAACACACCACAGAAGATTGAAGTGGCTATGTCGATGTGGTAATTGTCAGAACGTAGTGGAGTGACAATGACATCGTCTGCGTGCTGCTTCCCGAGCTTCCCTTCTTTGTTAGGGCTCGAACCAAACTCTTCTGCTAGCTTCTGCCTGATTCCCATGCTATACCTGCATTGGATGTCATTGGTTGAATCACAGCTCGGTTTTCACTTATTGATTTCAACATGATTCTTTAAGCAGAGACTTACGAATCCTCTGGTCTTCCCTTTTCATAAGCAGGTCCAAGATTCCCATTGAAATAAAACAGTGTCTTCCGCTTCTCCCGTGGCCTGTGTAACAAGGAAAAAAAAGACAAGAAATTTTCATGTTTTTGAGTTGTCAGAGATATGACTGAAGAAATGTCCAAAGAACCATCAGAGAATTTATACCTCGCCCAGTAATTGGCGCGCATTGAGAACGGGTCAGGGACTTTCCAAGCAGGAATCACGAGATCTTTGCGAGGGTCAAAGCAAGGATGATCTCCTCTCCTCTCATCAGATATCTGATCCCAGTTATCAGCATAATAAGCTGTTGTTGAATGGTTATGCTTAGAGTTGGTGTTACCCCAATGAACTAGCATCATGCTATTCCATATCTCTTTAGGAGCATAGCAAGCACCTTCATCCCATGAGAAAAACTGCCCTTTTCAGGCGTCAAATGTTTAGCCACACTAGTGTGGAGAGATCCGTGTAAAAGATCAAGTAACAAGCTATGGGATGTATGCATCATCATTACCCAAATATGGTCTCTCCCAGATGAGCGGTTCCAGTATGGATATTTCTCAACGATGTGTTCATAAGCTCTTTTGTAGAACTCTAGCGTGAGTGAGCTTCTTAGTCCAGTATGATTCTGCAAGTAATAAAGACATAGACAATATATATATAAGCTTTAGAGTTTCTGAAAGCAGAGAGAATCACAAAGGTGTGTTTCTTGACCCAACCTGCATGCTAAGGTGAGGTGCATCATCAGCACGAGTTATAATGCAGGAATCAAGAACAGGAACAAAGAAGTAATCCGCCTCTTCTCCATTCAGTGTACGATGAGCGGTGGCCAAAACGTTCTCATAGAATGCCATCTTCGAAATTAGAAGAGGTCAAGAAGGGGAAAAAGTTATCTTTCAATTCAAATTCAGGAGAAATTTGCTGAAATATCTGGGGACTGGACTCAAGTTTAGTAGGAAACCTGGGAACCATATAGATAATCTGTCCATATCGTTGCATTCCTCTCATCATAAATCCTATTAACACACTCAAGCTTAAAATGCCGGCCCTGCAACATCAAATTCCAAATCCAAACAGAGGAGATTTAAAACTTTGTCATGAAAAGGCTTAATTAACTTTGGTTTATAAGAGAAATAAATGTTTGGATAGTGACCTCAAGAAGTAAACTGTTGAAGTCTGGGGGTAGGTCATAGATGTATATAAGAGGTCTCTTTTTCTTCACCACTGCACTTAGATTACTGAGATTTCCAGGGACGTTTTTATCGCTTGGAACTTCGAGATGTGCTGGTCGAAGCCATTGTGGCCACTCTCCAACCGTCGAGAGAGTGGATGGAATACTACAATCTGTTCCAAACCAGCCTTTCTCACACTGAAACACACACACAGAGAGTTTGAAAGATTTTGACTAAGAATATGCAAACCTCCTCGTACCAAGATGATAAGCTTGTGACAGTGGATACGTTATTTTACCTGGCAGAAACCTCCCCTGCATTTGCCATGTCCAGAGCACTGATTAACACAGGTGCATTGCACTGGCACTTCGCAGAACCGTCCCCAAAGACAATCATATTTACAGTCACATTCCTCTTTGATTTGCACCTTTAAAGCATACGCATCTTCTGGATCCACGTTACACCATCCTTGTTTGCTACTGTTTGTTGTTAAAATATCCAAGTCTGGTTTCGACCAATCTGTCATCTTTGGTTCTTCAGGATTCACTGGAGAACTAAAAACATGTGTGTTCTGTTAGAGTGATTTGAGAAACAATAAGACTCAAGAGCAAAGGAACTTACTTGATTTGAAATCCACATGACTCTGGCGCTGGACGATTAGGATATTTGGTGCCTTCCCCACAAAAGCACATCGCTCTTGTGGTATCACAATGTCTAGAACAAATCGAAACAACCCATCGACCATATGGCATCTCAGGTGTTTTCTCATAATTGCAATCTAACCGCAGCTTCTGCGAACAATCTTCGCCTACACAGAACCGGTCAAAGTCGCATCATTTTAAGCACTATAATGTCAATGGTTGTGAAAAGAGACTCATTCCTGCTGTTAGATATTTTGCAGGATTGTATTTGACTTGATCATTTACAAAGCAATCAACTTTAAGTTTTAGAAGATTCAAATAGCATAAAATATACTAACCAGTGAATCCATGGAAGCAACGGCAAATTCCAAATTCATGGTTACAAACACCTTGGCCACTACAATCATTCAGACATTTCCTCCCACTGATTGGCTGCCCAAAAAGACACAACCTTTATGAAGAAATCGAACAAACAACATTGTTTCAAAGATGCCAAAATGACAATACTTTACCTCAATGATGTCAACTTCTTTGGCAACTGCATCACAACTTGAAAGCCATTGTCCGATCTCGCCTTTCCATGAGGCATTTCGATAAACTACTGCGCCGTGTAAGTCAGCAGGAAACCGGCGATCAAAGGCAACAACTGGTTCACTTGAGTCCTTAGTCACTCGTGTGGTTGATTCGTTACTTTGTACACAGAGGTTCTGAGCTTGCCTTACACTAACAGAATCAAAAGAAGGCACCACAGGGCCAAGAAACAGATGAACGAGTGAAACCAGAACAATCACAGAAGCAACAGTGGCTATCTGAGACCATGACCACTTCCATTTCTGGTGATTAAACATGATCTTCAAATAGTAGCCCAAAGTTTTGAAGTTTTCAAATTTGACCTCCTGAGTCACAGACAAGACATGATTTAATATATAACCAGTTTGACACTAAAACCCAATTTCTCACGAAACAGAAATTCAGGAAAGACGATTAACAAAATGGAGATTTTACAGAATCGTCAAAGAAACGGAAAGGTTAGGGAGAAACCATAATTTACAAGTCGGCGCAATTATTAAAATCAAAAAGAAAACACAGTAAGCTTTGACCGAATAACAATGGAGTTTTCTAGCTCCATGACAAATTCAATTTCAGACTCGAAATGCAAACACAAATGTCTACCAATACCCATTGAAACCGACTAAACACAGGAGAATCATGGAGAATTCAACAGCTGTTCCCATGCATTAACAGGATCCAAAACGGTGGATTTAAATGATAAAAATCGAAAACAGAGCTATATAAATAAGCTAAATTACAAGAATAACGGCGAATGAGACAGAACATTTTAAGAAAAATAGAGCGACAAACAAAACTCACCAGCTCTGAGGGAAAACGCCATGGGGGTTTACAACTAAACTCAATATGAGGATTTATATGAAAATTAATATTTGAATACTAATTACTACTGTATAATAATAATTATGCCTCTTTGGAGATTTGTAATTATTAGAGAGAGAGAGACGGCCACGAGCCACGGGGATCTCTCGCTGGCCAGAAGAAGGAAGAAAGCAATTGATTGATTATGGAAGTGGTCGTCGTGTGCGTCATGTTCCACTCTTCTCTGATTAATTTAATTACATTTCCTAATTCACCGTCTTTCCGTGTATATAATCTCCTTAACCGATTCTAAACCCGGTTTCTTTTCCATTTTTTTCTTGGTTTACCACAATTTTTACTTATTTATCAAAAACTAAACCAAGTCAAAGCAAACTTGATTTCAATTTGTGACTATGTAAAACAGAGCTGTAACTTGGAAGTTGGATCATCTTTATATCATTAGATTTATAAATTCAAATTTACGACGAAGACAACACCGGTTTGGTTCCGTCGAAGAGCATTTTTTTATCAAAAGTGTTCCGTCGAAGGAATAATAATTCAGGTGGGCGTTGACGGCTATGGGCAAAACGGTAAATGTGTCTCTACCTATTTATTTTAATCCTCGTTTCGTTGTCTGAGAAAAGACCGTGGTGGGTGACGCACTCTCTAACGGACGATTGCGTAATTTACCAACTTATCCCCGGTGATGGTAGTAATGTGTCGCTTTTTTGGAGCATTTATTATTTTATTTGTTTTTAAAGTAAATAATTGAAACTAGACTCACGTGAGTTGCTAACGTCTCGCTTTATCATTGGCTAATGATCTCACCGAAGAGGAAGACTCTGCAAAATTAAAAAAAAAAAGTCTTCCCTTTGAATATTCATCTTTTTATCTTTCTTGTTCCTTCGACAATTTTTATTTTACACTATCTTTTATTTCGTTGGATCTCACATTTTCTATATTCAAATGCTATTTTTGGGACACATACCAATACACTCTCCGTTCCATATTGTATGATGTTTTGGATTTTTTATTTTGTTCTATAAAGACTGATTTTCTACATTATATTTAATATATTTCTATTTTCAAAACAAATTTTTTGGTAAAAAAATATAAAAAATTAGTATTAAATTAATAAACAAACAAAAAGTACTTTAAAAAAGTAAATAATTATTGTTTTTTTAATATCTGTGAAACATCTAAAACATCATACATTCCGGAACGGAGAGAGTACCATTTTAGAAAAAGTCATTAAGTTCTATTATTTACACACAGAACTATCATTTCGTAGAAACTGTAAAAAAACAAAGAAAAACAGACAATTCATACTCTTCTATTTAAATGGGGTTTAGCAAGTTTTGAAATCTAATTGCTAAATTTTGCTCTCAACTTGTATAAAGAGAATGTGTTAAAAACTCATTCAAATTGACAAATTCTGCCACTTTTTCAATCAACCAATAAAAATCTTTTGACAGAATTTGTTAAGTTGTCGCCATCCACCATAAGTCGTTGTTAATAATTGGTATCTAGATTGAGACAGAAATATTCCAATTGGAAAAAAATGGAGAACTCATTGGGATGAGGTGAAAACGTGAGAGAGTTTTGAATGTTATAATAAAGAAAATCCGTAAAATGGCGATGAGCATGAGACTGTAACGTTACTGGAGGAAACGATTATTTTTTCAAACCTTGTTTAATTAATGGAAGTTTACTTTAAAGCTTTTATTTTAATGTTACGGTGAACTCAACGAAATACCGCTGGAGTATATTCCACAAAGAAGGCTTCTTCGGCCTAACTTATGTCGAATTTTGTTCGATATAACTTTGTTTCATTTCCCATAAGATTTTTTTTTTTTGAATATGAACAGCTCATAATTCTAATTAAACGTTTCATTGTCCTTTTCAAAATAAACAAGAATTTGCAACCCCTTGGATATTTTTGTAAGGAGCAAATTAGGATTATATGTTAGTGCGTGAAAAGTGGACGAAAGATCGATAAGAGAGTATGAAACCGAAACACACACACACACACACTAACGTAGAGATCACACAAGTCGGTCTCGTGGTCATGAATGGAACTAAACACATTCTTAAAGCATTTGGTCGAACACTTACCTTATGCAGATGCGTTTCTAAGTAATATCTTTAGTTCCTTGGCCACTCGCACCATTTTTGGGACTTCCCCTCTAAGACCGATGCATCTTTCTGAGAGGACAAGGAAAGCTTCCATACGGCAACGCTCTTGGTCTGAAACTTGACCCATCTTCTCCATCAGATTTGTATCTACGATCTCGTAAAGCCTTCCCTCTCCGATGGATTTCGACAAGCATCTTGGGAAATTCCTTTTCGATAAAGTTTTCCAATCTTTCCGACCATAAAGCTCACGAAACCTCTCTTCTCCCGTGAGAAGCTTCTGCATCAAGACTCCAAAGCCGAACGCATCGGTTTTCTCCGAGACTACGCCACTGGTCATATACTCATCATCAATGTAATCATACGCTCCCCTTACGTAACCAAGCTTGACAAACGTTTCCCCTAGCGGAATCGAGACGCAGTTGGAGAAATCGCACAGCTTCGCGGCCCCATCTTCTTCTTCGTCCAGCAAGATATTCCGAAGATCCATGTTACTGTACACGAAGGGCCTTGAGAAGGCAGTGTGGAGATAAGCTAAAGCAACCGCAATCTCCTCTGCTATCTTTATCCTCTTTTGCCACGACACTAGCCTTTCAAGATCTACACAAGAATATCGTTTCTTTTCACCGTAATAAACCATGACTGGAATCTCAGCCTCGAGACAACATCCCACCAGTTTCATGAAATTCTTGTGACCACTCACCATCGATGATATTGCTATGTCTCGGACCTCGGGGCAAAAACCTCTAGGGTTAGAAGGCTGCGCGCGCCATAGTTTCTTGACGATGATCGTGCGATGGTTATCCAGCGTACCGGAATACCATCTCTCGGAATCGAGTAACTCGGAAACGAGATTACACTTGCAGAAATTGTCGGTGGCTTTGAGGATTTGAGCAGCGCAGAAGAATTTGATTGGATTAGATTTGCCATCGCAACATTCGATGAGCTCTTTCAGTAATATCTCCCCTCTCACGCCTTCGCCTTCTCGTACTAAACTCTGTTTCTTAACAACTGCTACTGACTTCTTCTTCTTCAACCAATCCATCTCCGCAACCTTTACTCGATTATGAAAAGGTAATTTACTTTATGACGCGTCTTTGACCGAAAAACAAATAATGACACGTAAAGTTGGGCCTAACGTAGATAATTTGTTTTCTGGCCCATTTACGGGTATGTTCCATTGCGTACGAAAATACCACTTTCGGTGGAGGAAGAAGAAGCGTTTATAATAAATCTGTTTATTGAGTAGTTCTTAGGCCACTTGTACCATTTTTGGAACTTCACCTCTAAGAACGATGATGCATCTTTCTAATAGAAGGAATAGATCAAGAGTTAACCCTAGAATCCAAAATAGAATAAAGAATACGTATGCACCAAGTAGCCTTAGCAAGAGTGAAAAACGATTCTTATCCCTCGTCCACGTAATCTAAAGGAGTTACATTTAAATGATTCAGGGTGGGTGACCTTTCAACTTATAAAGGCTTCCATTGCATTTACATAGGAATCGTAATTCGAGATTCTTGTTTGATTTTAGAGGAATCTTCATCAAGATCAATGGGGAAGCAATTTGATACGAAAATCACATGGGTTATAAAAAAATTCCCCTCTTTGCAATCGCCGGAAATTTATTCTGATCATTTCCTCGTCGGTGGCTGCAAATGGTAAGAGGAAGACAACTAGTTTTTCAAGTGTTTTCTGTCATCCATCATCCATGTGATGTTTTCAACTTGTTCTCTATTGTTTTCATACCTCTTGCAGGTGTCTTAGTGTCTATCCCAAAGGAAATAAGGTTGATTATTTGTCCCTGTTTCTCGAAGTCGTCAATCATGGATCATTGCCTTCTGGATGGAGAAGACACGCTCGATATCGCCTAACCATATCAATCAAAATTCGGATAAAAACTGTCAACTGAGTGGTGATTATTTCTTTTAAATGCTCCCTTTACATAGAGTTCTCCAACTTTTAATGAATCTTTCCGAGTTCTGTTTTATGATTTTACAGAATCACAACAGTGGTTTGAGGATAAAACTAGCAGCTGGGGTCGTCAATCCGCTCTTCTCCTTAGTGAACTTCATGCCAAAGATAGCGGATTTCTGGTAAACGGGGAACTCAAAATTGTTGCCGAGGTGGCTGTTCTTGAAGTTATTGGCAAATTAGATGTATCTAACGAAACTTCAACAACAATAACGCAAGCCATGGATGTTAATGGGTTTCAACTTCTCCCTTTGCAGGTAATACATTAAGATTTTGTTACCAGCTGTGTCACTGTGTGTGTGTAGATATTTAAGCCACAAGAGAACATGTTCTGTTCTATAATATGTTGCTTTTGATGTTTTTACATCCGAGAAAAATGCTCCCTGATATGGTTTTGCATTATGAATCGCAGGCCAAATCTGTGAGCCGTATGTTTAAAAGACACCCAGAGCTAGCATCTGAATTCCGTCCAAAGAACCCAAATCTTAGGACAGCTTACATGAGTTTTCTACTCGGTCTGATTGAGACTATACGCCAGTCGCCTCACGAGCTCTCCAAGGATGATCTGTCTGATGCATACACTGGACTGGGATTCATGACTGATGCAGGGTATAAGTTGGATTGGTTGGAGAAGAAACTTGATGAGCTGTCTGAAAAGAAGGAGAAAGAGCAGGCCAGTGAGACTCGGCTGCGAGGAATGGAGGAAGAGTTGAAGGACTTAAAGGACAAGTGTTCAAACATGGAGGCTTTGGTGAAGAAAGAGAAGGGAGAGTTGTCGGCTGCAAAAGCTTCTCTCTCATTCGATGATGTTGTTTAATGTTCTTCATGTTCTTAAGGGACTTTGAGTTTGGGTCTGCTTGGGTTTCTGGTCTGTTCGTTAGCAAATCTTGGTTTCGTTAGAAGACTCATGTCTTGGAAGTTTCCACAATGTTGTCAATCTAACTACTCTTTAGGTTTCTATTCTTTAAAGGATTGATCATATTCTTAGAATATAGAAGATATGGAAAAGGTTTGATTGATTACAAACAGGTGAGATTAAGATATTTACTATTAGACGAATTTCTCTGAATGGCTTGTGTATACAGCAAGTGACGTGTGAGTCAAGTGTCATTTTCCTCAATCGCTCCCAATCACATATAATGAAGCGCATGTGACTATCCTACATGAATGCACACAAACGATCTTACATAAGAAAGTTGTAACTAAACTCAACCACCCTTCTTTGTTCTTTGCTATCCATGTTTTCCCCTTTGCTGCAAAATATTCTGGAGAATATTAATAAAGCGGTGAACCAAATGCAGCTAGAAATAAATAACATGAAGATCAAACCTTTTTCATTTCTTTATATTACAAGAAAATTTGGTCAGATAGATCAACCACTTCATCAACAATATTCTTTCGAACCTTCAAGCATTTTATTATTTTTAAAACGTTTGAACTTTACTTTAAAGAACTTTCAGTGTTAAAGAATCAAACGTGTTGTGTCTCATTTTTAATTTATACAAACGGAAGATTCTTACACTTTACAGCACACATAAACAGTCTGAACCATGCCAATTACATGTGAATATAAATGAATGAAATCCACACATAAATGAGAAAAAAGTGAACTAGAAAACTGAGAAAACATATGGAAGAAACTAGTGGGAGACTTAACTTGAGTTTTGATAATTCATGTAATCGTTGTAACATGGTCTTAATTCGCCCAAGTTAAAGATGTTGCTTTGATACATCGTGATTTAAAATATGAAGTGATAAGGTATTTTTGCAAAAAAGAAAAAAAAAGAAGAGATAAACCTTTGCAAATTTTTAATAATTTTATGTTTCCCGTTTGCCAGATAAATCACAGAAACCATAGATAAAGACAAATATATCATTTTTACCACATGCAAAAGGAACGACATGGAAACTAACTCCTCAGTATATATATATATATTATCATATGAAGCAAATGTTAAAAAAAAAAAGGAATATTATCATTTGCAATATAAAAATTATTAAAATCATGGTTAAGTTAAAAGTTTGATTAAATCAAGTAATGCTAGTGTAGTTGAGAATTGCTCTGCATATTTTACACCACAGTTCAATTACCTTCTTGGGCACTTAGGAATTGAAATCGACAACTTTAGAGTTGGTCGATATAGTAGAATATAAGAGATGGGGGACGTTTTGAATTATGAAGACAAACTGAGGGGCTAAAGTCGAATAAATAAGAAAAACGCTCATTCCGTGTTCGAAAGTTTCAAGTGTCCTCGTGATCATCTCCGTATATATAATCAATTCCAATCAATAATAATAAATCCGGTAACACTGAAACATTTTCTCAATCGCTCCCAATTTTATCTGCTTCCCATTAAATCGCAAAGTTAATTTTGCGATTGTTTCTGGTTGGCTATTTATTTTTCTTCGCTTTTTTAAAATCCTGCAAGTTGTCTTGGAATCTGGGTGTGTGTGTGTGGGTGAATTTCGCCATTGGGGGGGTCTCTGTGAATCTAGAAACGAGCTTGGGGTTTCATACTCGCTCATCAGCTTGGTGAGGCATTTCCATGGCGATGGCTGCAGCTGTTATTGTGCCTTTGGGCCTTCTCTTCTTCATATCTGGTCTCGTTGTGAATCTCGTGCAGGTGGGTTTTCTGATTTTGAGGCTTTCTATGTTTACTCCTTCCTTTCTCTGATTCGTTTCCGGTGTTACTCGTTTTTAGATTCCACAGATTCCGTTGATGTTCTGCACTGTAGATCCTCTCCTCTTTTTACCTTCTTCGAATTGAGTCACTGCTTTTAGGGTTTCCGTCCGCTGAATGGTTTCTTCATATCTGTCGGTGCTGTTAAAGTTTAAGAGTGTGTGTGTGTGTGTGAGAGAGAGAGAGAGAGAGGGAGAGAGAGTGAGATAACACATACGTGTCTACGCATAAGAGTGTTGTAAAGTATCGATTCCTTCAGATTTATGTTGGTTCACTAGACGAAGATGCTAAATTTCCTTATTTCGTTCGCTGAGAATGTTTGTCTCCGTCCTCCGCCAACAGTTTCTAAGTTTTTGGGCTTGAGGAAGGAATCTTCATATCTAAGTGTCAAAGAGCCTTCTCTCTGAACTTTGCTTCAATTTTGATGTTCACAACGTTTTAATTTCAGGCAATTTGCTATGTCCTCATTCGACCCCTGTCTAAGAACACATACAGAAAAATCAACCGGGTGGTTGCAGAAACCTTGTGGTTGCAGCTTGTCTGGATCGTTGACTGGTGGGCAGGAGTAAAGGTATATTCATCAACTCTTTTCGTATTTAGTAATCTGATTAGGAAGCAAACCTGTGCCTGCGTATTCAAGTTCGTGAATTCCTCTGAAATTTTTTCTTTTTTTTTCCTTTTGCCATAGATCCAAGTCTTTGCTGATAATGAGACTTTCAAACGAATGGGTAAGTTTCCTGCTTACTGAGAATCAGAATATGGAAGTCGTATATACATATCTACGCATCTGTAACTTCAGTGACTGTTCTATACTTTTCTTCCAGGTAAAGAGCATGCTCTTGTCGTTTGTAATCACCGAAGTGATATTGATTGGCTTGTGGGATGGATTCTGGCTCAGGTACATAGTTTAATCTCACAGTTTCATGTATAAATGGGGAACAACTCAAGACTTCTTGGTGACCAAGCTTGTGAATTTGCAATGGACCCTGTGTTGCTTTCTAGTTTCTAGTGAATATTGATTCTCTTATGTAGAAGGTTACAGTACTGAATTACCCACTGATGAGATAAGAGAGAATATAGTATTGTCATATTTGCTCTAACAGGCTCCATGTTATGCTGCTTACATCTTTTAATGTATCGTTTCATATTTTATTTCCTTGCAGAGGTCAGGTTGCCTGGGAAGCGCATTAGCTGTAATGAAAAAGTCTTCCAAATTTCTTCCAGTATGTGAATCTATTAGTTTACTGCACTGCTTGCTAGATTTTAAAGAAAGTTGCGATCTTTAATTTCATTTCTCAATCTCTGCTATAAGTTAGAAACTTGATAACTGGATTTGGGTTGAGAAAAAGACCATTGCTTTAGTTTCATACACTTCTTTTTCTTATTCTACTACATACTCTCAAAGGATTCATAACCATAGAATTGTCGCACACTTTCAGGTCATAGGCTGGTCAATGTGGTTCTCGGAGTATCTGTTTTTGGAAAGAAATTGGGCAAAGGATGAAAGCACTTTAAAGGTATGGGTTTATATATTCTGTGCAACTCATTTAGTTGTGCTCCTATGTAAAACGCATAGAAGCCTGAAAATGCAGAATCTTCATTTCCCGGCCATGAGTTATGTGTGTTTATCTAAATTTACAGTCAGGTCTTCAACGCTTGAACGACTTCCCTCGACCTTTCTGGTTAGCCCTTTTTGTGGAGGGAACCCGATTTACAGAGGCTAAACTTAAAGCAGCACAAGAGTACGCAGCCTCCTCTGAGTTGCCTGTCCCTAGGAATGTGTTGATTCCTCGCACCAAAGTAAGTTGTATTATTTTTCTTTTTGCCAATTCCTTGGGCAACTTGATATCTTCACTGTGACCTTTAACGAGCAAAATGATTACTATGATTGATCCAGAATCTCAATGCGTCGTCTGGATCTTTGTAGCCTTTATATGTTGATCTGTTTTATACTTACGCTTCCATCAGATCGACTCGGTGTTTGATAATGTGTTTTCTGCTCTAATTACTAGACTTGGCTTGTATTTTTTATTCCAGGGTTTTGTGTCAGCTGTTAGTAATATGCGCTCATTTGTCCCAGCCATTTATGATATGACGGTGGCTATTCCAAAAACGTCTCCGCCCCCAACGATGCTAAGACTATTCAAAGGACAACCTTCTGTGGTAAGCAAGTAAAAATATGAATAGGTCTTCGTTAAGCAACATGCACTTTTCTCATAACGAAGTTCATAGTATTCACTTTATTATCCATTTTCTTCTCACTGCAACTGAAACGAATACAACCCTTTATCTTGTGGATTGCTGTTTTTTTCCTTCCATAACGTGTAAGCAATCATAGGGCTCATCGCATCCCAAAGCTTTTTGTAACCCCTGACCATTCCCCCCCAAACCGTTGCTGCTGGTTTCAGGTGCATGTTCACATCAAGTGTCACTCGATGAAAGACTTGCCTGAATCAGATGACGCAATTGCACAGTGGTGCAGAGATCAGTTTATGGCTAAGGTAAAGATTATGGATTTAGTGATTGTTCACTATTCAGTTCATTGGCAACATACTTGGTCAAGATTCAATAGAGAGAAGCTAAGGAAAAAGTTTCATTTTTAACACACACTCTCATGTCGTCTATGTGATACAGGATGCACTGTTAGACAAACACATAGCTGCAGACACTTTCCCCGGTCAGCAAGAACAGAACATCGGCCGTCCCATAAAGTCTCTTGCAGTGAGTCTCTAAAAACATTCTCTTGTGTGGACATCCATAAATTCACAAACCCACAAATTTCTTCATCTTTTTTTTTCTCTTTTCCAGGTGGTTCTGTCATGGGCATGCCTACTAACTCTTGGAGCAATGAAGTTCCTTCACTGGTCAAATCTCTTATCGTCATGGAAAGGAATCGCGTTATCGGTTCTTGGTCTAGGAATCATCACTCTCTGCATGCAGATCCTGATCCGCTCCTCTCAGTCAGAGCGTTCAACTCCTGCCAAAGTCGCTCCAGCCAAGCCAAAGGACCACTCGGAATCATCTTCCCAAACAGAAGTGGAGAAGCAGAAGTAAAAGCTTGATGTAACAGATGAAACAGCCAACACAAGAAGAAGCGTGTCAGTTTTGTTATAAGAAACAAGAAAACAAAAACCAAAAAAAAAAAAAAAACTCCCAAGTGAAAATCCCTTAATGTCATCGATTCCGTTTTGTTCAGCTACACCTACTACTACTGCTTAGCAGCCTATGTCTCTCTTAGTCGATTGATGTATAGGGTCATGAATCATGTTCAAATCAACGATTTATCCCTAATCTTTTATAGACCTTTGGGGATTTTCTTCTCAAGTGCATAGGCCTTGTATCACTTTCTACTATTAGATTCGAATTTGGGACTTGATCTTTAGACTTTCCTTTTCGAAATCAGCTTTTTTTTTCTTCCTTTCTTATTGGATAGTGAAGAATCATTAGACAGAATCTATTATTGTAAGAGGTTCATGGACAATAAATGTGATATAAGAAAAATCAGAATTTTGTTCATGGATGTTGCTTGATGATACAAATTGGGTTATGCGGCAAATACACCGAGAGAAAAATATAAAAGGGCTTTTTTAAAAAAAAAAAAATTATAATCGGTGTATGTATGTAATATATACACAAATTATTTTCATTAACCCTAAAACCCTTGACGCCAAGTTCGAAAAAAAAAAAAAAACCCTTCAGTCCAGGTTGGTCGCGCCGCGTTCTCTCACTTCAAACTCCGATTAAAGTCCGGTAGAGTCAGTCTCATAGCAGAGAGATTGATAAACCCTAATTGTCTCCACTCTTGCAGAAACCTAAATTTCGCGAAACTCAGTCAAACAGATTACACACAATCAGAAGGACGCAATGGCTAAATCTCAAAGCATAGAGGTTTGTTTGAGTTTTCGATTTCGTTATTGTTTAACATGGCGTCCGAGTTCTGTGCTTTTCTTCTCTTCTTCTTCTTCTTCTTCTTTTTCTTTGGATTGTTTAACTTATGCTTTCGAGGATTTGGTTTCTTCAGGGAGCTTCCCAGGTGGTCGAGTCCGTTAGATTTGGTATCATGACAGAGCAAGATGTCCGAAGAGAAACTGTTCTGAAAGTTACAAATCCCGTATTACTCGATAACGTTGAGAGACCTGTACCTGGTGGTCTCTATGATCCTCTAATGGGCCCTTTAGATGATAGAACAGCGTAAGTCTTCTTCAATTTGTTTTACTCTCACCATAACTGGCTTTTAAATAGCTTGCCTTTTTTTACGGATTTTTTTTTTTATCTCGGCTTGGAAATGTTATTAGTTATAATGGTTATGGATCTTTTATAGTAGATAATAGCTACAGATGATACTTTATTTCTCTGACAATGTTGTTTGTTGTGGTAATGTTTAGTTTTGTTTGCTTAATTTAAAATCTTGGTTCCTCTCTTATTGCAGTTGTAAAACATGTGGTCAGCTCAGTCTTGTTTGCCCTGGACATTGTGGACGTATCGAGCTTGTCTATCCTATTTACCACCCTCTGCTTTTCAATCTTCTTTACAATTTTTTGCAGAGGACATGTTTCTTCTGTCATCACTTTATGGCTAAAAAGACCGAGGTAATCATATATTTTATATGTGTGTGATGATTTTTGTAGAGTTGTCTCTCACTCGCACTTGCTAATTTGCTTTCATGCTCCTTTCTCTTTCTTGTTTCATTTTTAGGTTGAAAGATGTGTCTCTCAGCTGAAACTCATCATTAAAGGTGATATAGTTGCCGCTAAGCAGCTGGGCTCCGAAGACAATGATTTATCAGAGGAATGTGAAGGCTCTGACATGGGAAAGCAGAGATGGACGTCTCTTCAGTTTGCTGAAGTCACTGACGTCATGAATAAGTTTATGAGGTTGAAATCTAAGAAGTGTGAATCTTGCGGCGCAAAACATTTTAAACTAGAGAAGCCTATCTTCGGATGGGTTCGAACGGTATGTCCTCTTGAATGTTTTGGATATTCTAGTATCGAAATTTTGTTATGCTCCTTAATATCAGTGAAACTTGTGATATTCCTATCAATAACAATCTTTTTAAACAGGTAGGTATGAAAGGATCCGCCATTGGAGCTAATGTAATTCGAGGGATTAAGGTAAAGAAGTTCGCTGGCGATGTGGAAAATCCCGATGAAGGTGATGACAGTGGTATCGATGGATTATCAGAAGTTGAAGATGTTGCTATAAAGAAAAGAGGAAAATCTTCGAAAGCAGCTAAAGAGTATGGAGATCACAGGGATAATTCTAAAAGAGACCTTTTGCCTAGTGAGGTTTGTTTCTGATATGTTTTAATTATATAATCAGGCACGACCAAAAAATTTCTACATTTATAATGTCTTGATATTATTATACTGGTTTCAGGTCAAGGAAATCTTTAAAGGTTTGTGGGAAAATGAGCATGAGTTTTGCTCCTTTATTGGTGATCTTTGGCACAATGGATCTGAAAAAATCGACTATTCTATGTTCTTTTTGGAGAGTGTTCTTGTGCCTCCTACTAAATTTAGAGCTCCAACAAAAGGAGGCGATAGCGTAAGTAATTCATAAACGATACTTTTTTTGGCGCTTCTATTTCCTATATAACGTTTGGAGTTTATGTTCGCTTTATAGCTGTTGGCTCTTACGATTATGTTTCTTACAGGTTATGGAACATGCTCAAACCGTAGGGCTAAATAAGGTCTTACAAGCTAATATAGCCCTTGGGAATGCCCGTACTAACAAATTAGACCAATCCAAGATCATTTCCAGATGGATGAGTCTTCAAGAATCAGTCAACGTCTTGTTTGATAGCAAAACTGCCACAGGTTAGCTTTTAGCGCGTTCACTTGTTCTCGGTGCATCTATTCCGAAGAGTTTCTTTCTTTTTTTTTTTAGCTATGTGTAGTAACTGGCTGCCTTACTATTTTTTTATATTCTTTCTTGTATTGGTGTAGACTGACTATAATGGCTAATTCTTTTTACAGTTAAAAGCCAGAGAGAGGGTACTGGAATATGTCAATTGCTGGAGAAGAAAGAGGGTCTATTTCGGCAAAAGATGATGGGGAAGAGAGTGAATCATGCATGCAGATCTGTGATATCTCCAGATCCTTTTATCGCTGTCAATGACATTGGAATTCCTCCTTGTTTTGCTTTGAAGTTGACGTATCCCGAGGTATGATTTCATGTACCAGTAAATTGTACTTGTAATCTTTCAAATAATTACTTACCAGTAAACCTTTGACTTTGAATCCCACGCCCCGAGAGGCTTATGTTTGTTTTTCCTGTAATGGATGTCAACGTGTTGCTGCAGAAAGTGACTCCTTGGAATGTTGAAAAGTTAAGGAAGGCTATCATTAATGGTCCTGACATTCATCCGGGAGCAACACATTACTCTGACAAAGTATCTACAATAAAGCTGCCTTCTACCAGAAAAGCACGAATAGCAATTGCAAGAAAACTACTGTCCTCACGAGGAGTCACTACAGAACTTGGGAAAACTTGTGATATCAACTTTGAAGGTAAAGTTGTCTATCGACATATGGAAGATGGTGACGCCGTCCTTGTGAATCGGCAGGTGTGCACACATACTGTTTTATTTCATTTATATTGCCTATTTAAATGTTTCTTAAGTTTTGTGAGGTCCTTTACTAGGCAATTTCGGAAAGTGTCGTGGAAATTGGTTTCTCAAACTTGATAATCAAGCATTACATTTGTGTTCTTTCTTCAGTATTAATTGCGGTTTCAGAATTGTCTGTTTGGTCGGTGATGCCTGTGCCTGTGTCTGTGTTAACTGTTTATTTAATTACAAGTATTGTCATGGCAGCCAACATTACATAAACCTAGCTTAATGGCGCACATAGTCCGTGTTTTGAAGGGAGAGAAAACACTTCGTCTCCACTATGCAAATTGCAGGTAGACTCCGGTGATATAGATAATTCTCTACCTTGTCTGCACTCTCTTTTTCAAATTTCCATATCTTGGCTGATCTTCCACATACATTTTCTTGTATCTCAAGAGTGACTTAAAAAATTACTTTGGTTCTAGTACATACAATGCAGATTTTGATGGTGATGAGATGAATGTGCATTTTCCGCAAGATGAGATTTCACGTGCTGAGGCCTACAATATTGTCAATGCCAACAACCAATATGCCAGGCCTTCTAATGGTGATCCACTTCGAGCTTTAATTCAGGTTGTACATCCAAGCTATTTCTTCAAATCCTTCTAATCATTTCACGAATTGAGTTTTTTACCAGTCATATTTATCGACCTTGCATCTACTTAACAGGATCATATTGTCAGTTCCGTGTTGCTTACTAAACGGGACACATTTTTGGAGAAAGATGAATTTAATCAGATTCTCTTCAGTTCTGGCGTGACTGACATGGTACTCAGTTCTTTTTCTGGAAGATCTGGCAAGAAAGTCACACAATTAGCTTCTAATGTAGAACTATTGACAGTCACGCCTGCTATTTTGAAACCAGTGCCTCTTTGGACCGGAAAACAGGTAATCATAATATTCACTGCTATTTTTGGTTATGTTTATAATTTTCTTGGTTCTCTATCCAAGCTGGTCTTCCCCCATATGTGGCTATGTGCCTTGGTAGACAAACTAGGGATACATGAGTAGTCAGTCAATAGATAACATTAGGCGTTTAAGGTATGCCATTCTCGTAAGCTAATTTTCTGGTTATACTTCTCTGCTAGGTTATCACTGCAGTGTTGAATCAGATTACCAAAGATCACCCACCATTCACCGTAGAGAAAGCTACCAAACTTCCAGTTGATTTCTTTAAATGTAGATCAAGAGAAGTAAAATCTGAGAGTGGAAAACTCAACAAAAAGAAGCAAGACTCTGACGAGTCATGGAAACAGGATCTTAATGAAGATAAATTGCTCATCCGGAAAAATGAATTTGTCCGTGGTGTGATTGACAAGGCTCAGTTTGCAGACTATGGGTTGGTTCATACAGTGCATGAGCTCTATGGTCCAACTGCTGCAGGAAATCTGCTTTCTGTTTTTAGTCGCCTCTTTACTGTCTTTCTTCAGGTTTGCTTTCATGACGTTGATAATTTATTTTCATTTTGTTACAAAGTTTGCATCCTGAATCTTTGTTTGAACATCTTTCAGATTCACGGTTTCACCTGTGGAGTTGATGATCTTATTATTTTGAAAGATATGGATAAAGAGAGGACGAAGCAACTTCAAGAATGTGAACAAGTTGGTGAAAGAGTACTCCGTAAGACCTTTGGCATTGATGTTGATGCTCAGATAGGTATGTATATTTTGCGGCAAATCATGTACTCCATTCCATTGATGTGTCCATGCTTGCCAACATGCTCGTTTGTTATATTTTGTAGTTTATCAAATAAATAAGCTCGTATTACTGTCTTGCCTGCAGATCCTCAGGACATGAAATCCAGGATTGAACGAATTCTTTACGAGGACGGGGAATCCGCCTTGGCATCTTTGGACAGGAGCGTCGTAAGTGAGCTCAACCAGTGTTCAGGCAAGGGGGTGATGAATGATTTGCTGTCTGACGGGTTGCTGAAAACGCCTGGAAAGAATTGTATATCGCTGATGACAATATCTGGGGCTAAGGGCAGTAAGGTGAGTTTGTGCTTTAGTATAGTCATTGTTGTTGGTTGTTCAAGTCCGCATTTTACAACATCTAAAAGTTGGATTGTAGCTCACATGTTTTTAGACCTTCCATTTTCTTCTCTTCTGCGGTTTATTAGCTCATGCCACGTTTTCCAAACTATAAAGTTTTTTAATTTTTTGAGAAAGAAGATAAACAAGCTGGTTTCCCAAAATACAGATAGCTTCTTGTCAACAATTTGATATATTTACTTCTCTTCTTTTTTAATGGATCCCGTTAGTGTTGCAAGTAAGTTTAAACAACCTTCTCTCCATTTAACTTGGTGATTTATACAGTTTGGTGGTGACTGCAATTATCAATTTTTGGGAGGCTAAACTTAATCATTTGTTTCTATGTTGTCGACGTTGTGCAGGTTAACTTTCAGCAAATCTCTTCACACCTTGGCCAGCAAGATTTAGAAGGAAAAAGAGTTCCCCGAATGGTTTCTGGGAAGACATTACCTTGTTTTCATCCATGGGACTGGTCCCCTAGAGCTGGGGGCTTTATTAGTGACAGATTCCTTAGCGGCCTTCGCCCCCAAGAATATTACTTTCATTGCATGGCTGGACGAGAAGGGTTAGTAGCACTTTTCTTTCTTTTTTCTTTACTCAAGTTTCATTTTATTCTTGAACATGTAAATTCTATGTTTCCTACTATTAAGAGTTTTTCCAAAAATTATGTAAGTTTCTGTGTAAAACTTTTACTTGTGCTGTATGATATTTCTGTCAAGAGTCGGTCAGCATCAGCTGGATTGTCATCTTTGTTGTTAACACTTAAAACATTCTGGTTTGCAGGTTAGTTGATACTGCAGTGAAGACATCACGTAGTGGGTATCTGCAAAGATGCTTGATGAAAAATCTTGAGAGCCTAAAAGTCAACTATGATTGTACTGTCCGGGATGCTGATGGGTCCATCATTCAGTTCCAGTATGGTGAAGATGGCGTGGATGTTCATCGGTCTAGCTTCATTGGAAAGTTCAAAGAGATGACAATAGTAAGCATTCCTTTTCAAACAGTTTAGCCTTTTCCTTATCTGCTCTTGAGAAACTTACGTTGTGTTATATTTGAACGTACTCTGGTTCAGAATCAAGATATGATCCTCCAAAAATGCAGTGAAGACATGCTATCTGGATCCAGTAGTTACATAACTGATCTGCCTATTACTCTTAAGAAAGGAGCTGAGAAGTTTGTAGAGGCAATGCCTATGAGTGAACGTATTGCTTCTAAATTGGTGAGACAAGAAGATCTACTGAAGCTGGTGAAGTCAAAGTTCTTTGCAAGTCTCGCCCAGCCAGGGGAGCCTGTAGGTGTACTTGCTGCCCAATCTGTAGGAGAGCCATCGACACAGATGACGTGAGTTATTTTCCTTTCTTGTGTTGTGCTCTTGAATCCTTCCACCATTGCAAATTACGAACTGAATCACATTGGTACTCAGATTTATAAATCTTTGATATCTAAAATAATACGAGGATGCTTGTAGCTTTTGCACCCTTCATTAGATACTTGCTTATAGAATCTTTTCCTATGTCATTCTACAGGTTGAATACCTTCCATCTTGCTGGGCGTGGAGAGATGAACGTGACACTCGGAATTCCGCGTTTACAAGAGATCTTAATGACTGCTGCTGCAGACATCAAGACGCCTATTATGACTTGCCCGTTGCTGAAGGGCAAAACAAAGTAAGCTTGGCTTTAGTTATACTTCTTTCATCAATAATAACATTAGAAAACAGGAAAAATACTTGATGGGTAGTTTGTCTTATACAAAATTTTAGGATAGTATTGTTTGTGATTGATATATAATATAAAGTGTAAATTTTTTGGCATGTGGTTGTCAACATCTTGGAGATATTTGACGTTAGACCATTCTGAACTTCTACGATCTGTCATTTGTGCAGGGATGATGCAAGTGCTATTACTGATAAGTTGAGGAAGATTACAGTGGCAGATATTATAAAGAGTATGGATGTGTCTGTTATTCCATACGCAGTTCATGAGGATGAAGTTTGTAGTATTCATAAGCTTAAGATAAAACTGTATAAGCCAGAGCATTATCCGAAGCACACTGATATTACTGAAGAAGACTGGGAGGAGACGATGACGGTTATGTTTTTGAGGAAGCTAGAAGACGCTATAGAGACTCACATGCTTTTGCTTAATAGAATAAGAGGCATAAAGACTGAGAAAGACACCAATCCAAAAGCTGGAAATGAAACCGATGGTGATGATTCTGTTAGTGGAAAGCAGAGTGAAGATGATGATGATGATGAGGGCGATGGTACAGAGGTTGATGATCTTGGTGCAGATGCACAGAAAGAGAAGAATCAAGCAACAGATGCGGTGGATTATGAGGAAAACTCTGAAGATGAGAAGAACGAACCTTCGTCAGTTAGTGGAGTAGAGGACCCTGAGACGGATAATGAAGCTGATGACGCAGAAGTTAGCAAGGAAGAGAGCCCAGAACCGCAAGAAGACGCAGATGTTGGCGAGGAAGAGACTGTGGAACCGCAAAAAGAGGTAAAAAGTGTTAAAAAAGGGAGTAAAAAGAAGAGACAGAGATTTACTCGAGGTAAGTCCGACAGACATATCTTTGCGAAAGGCAAGGGAAAGACATTTGAGGTCCATTTCAAGTTTCCTACAAAGGAGCCTCATATCTTACTTTCTCAGGTACCCTTTTCTTAAAGCTAATCATTTATTACTCTTATGACTCTGATGGCTAAGCTCTCATTTTAGAGGTAAGTTCATTCATTTTATTTTTGACATGCAGATTGCTCAGAAAACAGCGCAGAAGGTTTACATCCAGAATTCTGGGAAGATCGAACGGAGCACAGTGGCCAATTGTGGTGACCCTCAAGTGATATACTATGGAGACAACCCGAAGGAGAGGGAAGAAATCTCCAACGACGAAAAGAAAGCCTCACCGGCTCTCCACGCATCGGGAGTTGATTTCCTAGCTCTCTGGGAATACCAAGATAGGCTTGACGTGAGGTACTTGTACAGCAACAGCATCCACGACATGCTCAAGACTTTTGGAGTTGAAGCGGCAAGAGAAACCATAATCAGGGAGATAAACCACGTGTTCAAGTCATACGGTATCTCGGTGAGTATCAGACACTTGAACCTGATCGCAGATTACATGACCTTTTCGGGTGGATACCGTCCAATGAGCCGTATGGGAGGAATTGCAGAATCAACTTCCCCATTCTGCAGGATGACATTTGAAACAGCGACTAAGTTCATTGTCCAAGCAGCTACGTATGGAGAAGTTGACAGGTTAGAAACTCCCTCTGCTAGGATCTGTCTCGGCTTGCCCGCGCTTTCTGGAACCGGATGCTTCGACTTGTTGCAGAAAATGGACCTCTGAGATTCACAACACATGTCTCTGAAGTCTGATGCAATCACTTGGAGGTTGATTTTTGTCTGTCAAATCCTTAAAAGTGGAGCCTAGTGCCCAATTTTTCTTAGTTTAATATTTTGTAGTTTGCTGTTTAACCATATATGGACTCCACGTATCTGCCGACATATTAAGAAAACTTACGTTTGGAGTGCAAGAGCTGCATTTTCTTTAGTCCTTAGTGTCGTTTTGATCTGATTTGATGTGTTTTACTTACGATGCATAAACCTTTTTCTACCCAATTGTAGGGGTGGGCATTTCGGTTTAAGTTCGGGTTCGGTTCGGGTTTGGTTCAGTTTGGTTAATTCGGTTTTATAAATATTCAAACTGAACTTAACCAATATTAATTTGGTTTGGTTTGTGTTCGGTTCGGTTTATGTATGGTTCGGTTTACTTTGGTTCAATTTGGTTTTTAAATTGGTTAACATAAATTAATTTATAAAATATAAAATAAATAATCAATAATATTAACAAATCGAGCAATATAAAGATGTAAATATAATAATTTAAATAAATTTTTTAAATAAATATGAAAATATGATTATAAAATTTGATATTAGTTAATTATAAAAACTTATCATTAATATTGATTTGATATTATTAATTAATAATAAACATAATGGATTTTAGTTCGGTTCGGTTTTAAACCGAACCGAACCGAACCATTCGGATTGACAAAACTCTAACCGAAATGTTTTGGTAGAAGTTATGGTTCGGTTTGGGTCGGTTGAAGTTCGGTTGGTTTGGTTCGGTTTGATTCGGTTCGGTTTTTTTGCCCACCCCTACCCAATTGTGTTTAGTACATAAGAGGAGAAACATCAAAATCTAAAGTCTTTGGAAATTGTACATTGAAGTTGTTTTCCTTCCACACATTCTGATTTTGAGTCCTTTGACGATATAAAGAGTAGGACATCTTCTGCATCAATTATTTTTTAAAGAGAAGAAAAAATGTTTGGAGAAAAAACACAAAACACAAGAGTGGAGAAAACGACGACGTTTTCTTGAGACTGCCCACTCGTGCTGTCTTGGAAGTCTCCCACTCGTAAGTGTTGGTCAACCCCCTCCCGACATATCTTTTATTACGTACTCTCTTCTCCTCAGCTTAAAAAAAAAAAAATTACTTATTCACTGCACTCATCATGATTATCATTTTTTTTTTTACAAATTCTTTAGTTTTTCATATCAAATGTCAATTATAAATATAGTATTAGTTGATCTAGCATTGGACGAGTTTCATCCCACTCAGATCGATGTCCTCTATCGCTGCAAAAATGCTTGCATGTTTCACTAACATTTGCTATTTCTTTCCCAAACCCAAGAAGATTCATATTTTCTTTAATGTTCGATCCCTTTATACAATGTAACATTCCGAATTCTTGGGTTTAGTATCTTCGTTTATGGGGTGTACTCACATAATGAAAAAATTTCATCTTGAACCGAGTTTCTTGGATTTTGAGTGATTTAGTACCGTGGATTTTCAATACTATGAACTAATTAAAGGTAACAGTGTATATAAAGTTGTTGAAGTATGAATTCTGAAAAGGTGGTTAGTATTAATATACTAATACAACCAAAAAAAAAGGTTTTGGAAAAGTAAACTTTTGATGAGTTTGGAAAATAGAAGGCAGAAAACGAGATCAAGAGTTATATGTTTGGAATTTGAATGTTTTGTAAACAACGATTGTGATTTGAAAATTAATAAAATGCTTATCAGGCGAGAAGCAAAAGAAGAATTTGGAAAATAAAGTCAAGTTTATGTTAGAAATAAAAATGAAAGGAATCAATCTTTTATGAGGCGCGTTTCGTCGGTCATTAAAAATGTCACGATAAAAATAATAAAATAGGCGACATGCCTACGTGTGTCCTGAGTATATGCAACGTACGTTTTCTATTTGTATTTTTTGGGTGGAGATCGTAAAAAGTGCTTGTAATGAGGCTGCGGTGCGTCAAAATTGTTGTCGTTGCAGATTGTATACATTGTAAAGGTGTACACGCATCAAAACTAGTTTGGCGTTGAACATTCAGTGAATGAATTTTGGAGTTTTTAGATCTGCGTATTTGTGAATAGTATATTGAATTTGGGGTTTGTATATGGACTTGATTCAAGAGAATGAATTGTAAGAAGAAAAATTTATCGATAACTTTGTCTCTCTATTTATAATTATGTGCATTCCTTTATCTAGCTTTTTGATTCTTAAAACTAAAATCTAGTTCTAACTTCCAAGTCAACTTCAATTCTTGAAGGTTAATCCAAGAACTATATATGTGCCAAACCTATATATCGGTAATTAAACTAAGGGGCTCAAAGCCACATAACTTTAAAATATGTTGTTGTCAAATAAATTCTGCAATGACCAAGTTTGCGTATCTAGTAAAATCGATCTTTTTTCTTCAAATCAGTAAAAAAAAAAATATTATATTATGGACTCTCCATTAACTATGACTACCAAAACTATTATATAAGATTATTACAATAATTGAAATAGAATCTTATATTAAAAGGGTGTTTCAACATGCATGGACTGTTATGATGCCTGACAAAAATAAAACATAAAAAAGCAAGTGAAAAGATACAGAATGTCTACTTAAATCATTGGAGTAGTTGAGTTTAAATTTAGTTATTTATCAAAATAAAAATAAATATTGGTTAATGTTTAGATCATTAGAGCATTTCTTTCTTGCTTTCTTGAATTTCACTAATTTTCTCGTATGTGTACCCACCAAACAAGAAAAGGTGGTCTAAAGATTTTATATAAACTTTATTTGAATGCTGCACTCATTTTTTCCCTCCTTTTATTAAATATTCACCCTTTTGCTTTAAAGGAAAAGCGAAAGTTAGAAATTTAACAATATAGCCGCGATGTTTTAGATATAGAAATATGATTATATATCAAATAATATGATAGTTTAAAATGATAAAATACGCTCCTATATTTATCATAACAAATGATGAGAATAATTACTAGATGTCATGAGTGTTGTGTGTGTATGCGATCGTGCATATGTATATAAGCATAACTATATCAAAATAGTAGGTAATATACGCATTAGGTGAAGCCTAGAGTTTGTGGTACACTTACTTTAAGTTGGAATTGTCCCAAAAAAATTTAGTAGCTCACTATTTCTCTTCCAAAATGTCCCCACCAACATATTATATACTAACCGGCACAATTAATTAGGGTCTAAATTGATAATGGAGAAATAGTCGAGCAGAAGAACATAGAACAGATAGAACAAATGTGGTCAATTCAGGAAAAAAAAAATGAACGAAACAAAAGAAGTAAAACAGTGATTCAAAAAAGCATATTAGCAATGAAATTTCAACTATTTTTTTTTTAAAAGATAAAATTGATATTGAAATAAAACCTTTTTGATCGACAAACTAATTAATCACTACAGTTATTCATTACTTTTTCTTTAGAAAACAAAATCTTAAACATTAAACTAGAGACGCTTGATTGTATTCCATTAACTATTTTGTAAATGTTTACAACCTTTGGATCTTAAATCCGACTCTTATTAAATAAATTGAGAAAGAAAATAAAGTGACATGCATAATCTATCGTAGTTAATCTTAAATATGAGAACTATATCCACTATATGTCTTCATGGCGGACCCAAATGATTAAGCTACTAAAAAAAAAAAAAACTTTTACTGCATATATGTCAGTGAAAAGAAAAAAAAAACAAATGACCACATATGTATTTATTGCGGTTCTACCATTTCAACCTCAGCAAACAGAATCACTATTTAAACCTTTAGTCGTAGTATCGATAAAACTGTTTGAAATAAGAAACATCACATGCAATATAATGTTCTATATAGAATTAATGGTGTCATGACCCGACACATAAATTTTAAAAATTATCATATATATATATACATAAAACGTCACATCCAAAATAAAACCTAAGCACAAAGAGGGGCATAGAACCATGGTGATGCCTTCTCTCTCCTTCTCTGTGCATATAAATGTGTGTGTGTATATAAAGCACATATACAGAGAGTCACAAGAAGTGAAGAAACACACATACAGATAGTCACAAGGTGTGGCTTGTGAGGGCCCAGCCTCTTGTAGAAGGCCCGAAGTCTTTTTGTGTTGAAAGTCTACTCAGTATGATCAGTTCTTACCTACTAAGACCAAAATATATCAATTCATATATATATAAGAATGTTTCTCTAGTTACATGCTAAGACTAACCATATATATTATGCTCTAAAAGTTAGGTATTTTCCATGATCATATATGTAAATTATTACTTCCAAGTGTTTATTATATTATATTTATTTATCTTTGTTTTTTTAATGATCTTTTATACTGTATTAGTCTTCTTAAGTATATATTGGTTAAGTAAGGACGAATATGATAACCGCTGCAGCGGTTATGAAAAGAACGGTTAGAAATAATGAAGTTAAAAAAAAATAGCAAAAATAAGATGATTAAATTAAAAATATAAAGTAAATGCTGGTTGTTATAATTATTAGTAATCAATAAGTGAATGAACAAAAGAAATGATATAATAATAAAATATATATAAATCATGAATTTTTTTAAGAAATTCAAAATTACAAACAACATTTATTACTAATCATTTTTTGTTAAGGATTCCAAAAATAAAACTGTATAGTAAAAGAGATAAATAGAAAATTATATCATGAATTACATGTCTTTCTAATTTGTTCATAACTATTAGAGAATAACCGTTCATTTCATTCGTCCATGTCAACTGTCCATTTCATATATCCATTTGATTGAGAACTAAAGAAACGGTTGAACCTTCAATCATCTTAAAACGCATCAAATCACATTACCATATAAACAACTATTCCGACTTCAATATCCATTTCCACTCTTAGGTAAACTTAGCCTAAAAGGAATAGCACCACAAATTCCATTTCTTAACTAATTATGAGAATCCTCTGTAAGTTTAACATCAAAAATCTAGCATTAGAAAAAGAAACCTATATAGTATTATTTTTGCATAGTCGATGAATCTAATATGCAACCTAATAGTTTAAACTTTTAATACAGCTTACTCGCGTGCTTAACTAATAGATAATGTTATGCTAAAAAATAAATGTGGATTGTTAAGTGTTTAGTTCGAAAAGTAACCTGGATTGATTGTCATTGTGAGTCTTGTGATCGTAGAAATGAAGCTATAAGTGTTAAAGCTACAACTATTTTTTTGGTAAAAATGGTTACTGCCTTTAATACTCTATAGCCATAGTTTAAAGAAAACAAAAGTCAGCAATTATTTGGGGATTTTGAATTTTAAATGAATTCATCAACATTCTTTTAACGGGGAAATCGTTCCTATAACTTTTTTGCTGCATATATATATCACATTAAAAAAATTAAGTAATTAACCATGAAAAAAAGTATTTTACAAGGATATTATTCAACCAGTATACTATCAAGGTATATACTAGCATATTCATTTTCAATATATATATACGAACTATTGGTACATGTAAATGCTATGCTGCAACCGATCAAGTTGTGGTCATGCGAATGTGTTTAAAATAATGAACCGGTTGGTCGAATTAAAGATGAGGTCGAAGTCTAATATAGATGTTACTGGTGAAAATAGTACTCATGTTTATAACCTACATATATTGCCAAAAAACAACATTACAATTGCAACAGTGAACATGAAATGTTCTTCGTGAACATGTGGTCCGTTTTGTCCATAAATAGTGTCGTGATGGATATTTAAAACCAAATTATGTCATCACGAAAAAAGAAGAAAAAAATACTAGTGTGGCAATAAATTAAGATCACGATGTTTAATATAATCTTCGGAACTTAAATATATATATATATATATAACCGATTACTCAGAGAAAATTGATTTATGTTTTTCCCATTCACGTTTCACATAGATTTATCAAGTATTGGTTTGAACGGACAGAAGGCTAGAACATCCTAATTCCATATGAAAATGTATATTTCATTTAACGTTGAGGAAAAAAAATATCTAATATTGTATATGGATTTTACATAAATATATTTACATTTGTAATTTTTAAAAATACGATAATTTAGCTCACTTAATATTAATATGCATCTTGTAAATCATTATAATCATTGAATAGAGCGACTCAATTCTCAGTATTGTAAAACCTTAAAAAAGATTGGATTTTTGAATTTTAAAAATTTATTATCTACAAATAAACTATACTTTATACATAACACAAGCTTGTGACTAGCGACTGATTCCTCACGTTCTAAAAACTTTCAAAAATATCAGATATACACTCTTTAATAATTTGCATAAATGATAGCGCTATAGGTGTTTGAACTTAAAAACTCGCATACAATTTCTGAAGTCATTGATCAACATCTCAAACATGAATATAGTTCTACTTTCTACCATGATTATTTATTCCACTTTAATTGTTAAACTTCAAAACGATAGAACTGCATTTCGGGTGGCTAAAAAACACACAATTCCACATAATCAACAAAAAAAAAATCATGTGCTTAATTTATTCGACCGACTATGATAGTTTTCTGAGACAAATACATTTGTCCCGCATAGTTTATTCGACAAATGTTTCATTTTCACTTGTTCATCTATTTTTAATGTTTAAATGTGTTGTGTTGGTGTGTATAATAATATAGAATTATATAGATAGATAGGTAAAGTGGAGAAGAAAGAAAAGGAACAGTGAGGCAGGATCTGCGGTGGGGATTTGGACATTCAATGATCTTTACCGTTTGAGGGAAAGCCGACCATTGATGCGCACACCAATGCATTTGCTTCCCCATTTTTTCTTAGATAAAAATCTCTAATATACTCCAAACAAAATGGTATTAGTAAAAATATAAGACTTTTTTTTTAAAGTTTTATGGTATGATTAAACATGCATGTAGCATAGCAATAGACAATCACAATCCCAAAAGCTTAATTATTGCAAATACATTTCAGTTTTCTCTAGGGTCCTCGTACTTGATTAGCAGGTTTTATTTATTTTATTGAATTCCCATGTGTGTTCTCAACCTTTTTTATATTATAATTAAATGTTTATGATGAGGACATCCATATAATGTGAATGTATATTCTAAAACAAATCTCAAACTAGCAAAAATCTGGGACACTAGCTACTTCAGTTTTAGCACAACACTCACAGATTCTTATTATGTAACTAAAACTTTTTTTTATAGATTATCCTATATATTTATTATCTTAATCACTTATTTATAATTTATATAATAATAGTATCAACTAATATATATATATATATATATAAATGTATAACATCAATTATTATAATCAAAATAAATATTAAACTTATTTATATTAACTGATATAAAATATTAATATAATTTATTGCAATATTGATACAAATAATTATAGTTAACTTTTTCATCGTTAAGTATATAAATGATGAAAATAAAAATAATATTAATAAATAAAATTACACACCTTATTTTCATAATGAAATAGTACCATAATTTATTTATTTTTGTTGATTTTGTACCACTAATTTTAGTTTCTGAATCATTTTAATAAACTATTGATAAAAATATATAATTGGAAAATAAATCTTAATGAAAACATTGCTTTTTGTTTCTCTTGTAAAAATGTTCATCTGTTCCTAAACTAAAAGCTGTGGTAAGTTCAGAATGGTATCTTAAATTTTTGCTCTTTTATGATTATTTTATTTAATATACTCATAAGGTAATACAACACAACTTTGATGTAATAAATTCATTCATATAAATGTATTTATTTATTTATTTCCGACTAAACATCATTCATTCGTTCATATATATTTCGATATTAATTCTGTAACTCTTCCTTAAATGTATCGCGTTTAAAAAGTAAGTCTCAAACTGATAAGAAATGGCATTTTTCTAGAAAAGGCTTTTAAGATAAGAAATTTTGTTTGGGATGGGAGCCAGACTCCAAAAAGCAGTGACATTATCTTTGTATGATGTCTCTGCACCTCATATGCTTTATGTATTTTTGTTTTTGCTTTTGTTTTTGACAAATATATACGTAGTGTATATTCGTGTTTTTATAAATATAATCCTGTTTTATTCATACTGGATATAAATAAATACGAATTATTCCATACAGCCACTGTTTATTAAGATCGAGTAGCTTTTTGTTTTGTCATATTGGCTAAAGATTACCTTCTTTGATGCATGGGCTCTTTTTTTTTTTGCGGAATAATATTATATATACTCTTCAACCTAGGTAGCCCTAATCCAGCGGCAATGGCTATTGATATGATATTTACTTACATTTTAACCCAGGTGTATGACATTGCATCCATTGTTTTAAGTACACAATCCACAGATGTGAAATACTTGCAGTACTTGCGATTTTAATATGGTAAATTGTTGATACAAATTTGTTATACAATGAACACAACATTAGGGCCTGTTCCTATAGATAGACCTCATAATTATCCATATTATTAGTCAAAATAAATGTATGTATAAGTATAACTATAAAAAAAAAATAAGAGGCTTAGAGTTTCGCCTAGTTTTAATTAAGAAAATTACGATAAACAAATCATTATATTCAAGCATAGTTTCAATCTTCTTCTTTTTTTTTGCCAACCATAGTTTCACATTTTTTTTTTGTTCAAATTCATAGTTTCACATTAAAGTACGTGAATTGAGATTTGAATAATGCCATGCGAACAAAATTTATTAAGTATAGTGAATTTCATGTAAACTGCCTGACAACTTAATCAGGTCTAAATTTTGTAAACCAAGTTCTATTTTAACACAACCACCAGTTAAAAAAATTGTCTCAAAATGTTTTAACAAAGAATAAGGACCTACATATCTGAATGAAATAATTACTTTGCGTAGACTAATATTCATTCGTATTTGACCTGCTCTTTTAGTTTTTTTTTTCTTCGGTAAAGTCTGTTTTTAGTTTGCTCTCCAAAATTAATAATCTCTCTCTCTCTCTCTCTCTTCCCATCCCATCGCAATCTCCATCTCCATCTTCACCTCCATCTCTGTCTCTTCTTGTATAAAGATAATCCCACAAGACTAAAAACTATTCTCTTCTCTTACTTTCTCTCTCTCTCTCTCTCTCTCTCTCTCTCTCTCTCTCTTTCTCACTCTTCACCATGACTGATCCTTATTCCAATTTCTTCACAGATTGGTTCAAGTCCAATCCTTTTCACCATTACCCTAATTCCTCTAGTAACCCTTCTCCTCCTCCTCCTCCCTCTTCCTTCTTCTTCTTTCCTCACTCCGGCGACCTCCGCCGTCCACCGCCACCACTAACTCCTCCTCCTTCTCCTCCTCTCCGTGAAGCGCTCCCTCTCCTTAGCCTCAGCCCCGCCAACAAACAACAAGACCACCATGACCATAACCATCTAAATCAAGAACCACCTTCAACCTCCATGGATGTTGACTACGATCATCATCACCGTCAAGATGATCATACTCTCGATGACGATGACCATGACGTCACCGTTGCTCTTCACATAGGCCTTCCAAGCCCTAGTGCTCAAGAGATGGCCTCTTTGCTCATGATGTCTTCTTCCTCCTCTTCCTCGAGGACCGCTCATCATCATGAGGACATGAACCACAAGAAAGATCTGGACAACGACTACCCTCACGGAGCCGCCGGAGTAGGAGAGGATGACGATGAAGATTCAGTCGGCGGCGACGGCGGATGTAGAATCAGCAGACTCAACAAGGGTCAGTATTGGATCCCTACACCTTCTCAGATTCTCATTGGCCCTACTCAGTTCTCATGTCCTGTTTGCTTCAAAACCTTCAACAGATACAACAACATGCAGGTTCTTAACTTAAACTCACACTAATCCATATATCCATCTGTATTTATGTATGCATATGTTTTGAAGAGTTCGATTTCTTTTTTTTTATGTGTAAATCGACTTTGTTTTTTGCATTTTCCAACTGAAACCAAAAGGTAAAAACCAAAGAAAATTTGTTTGCTCACTAAGTTTCCTCGAAAAAACAAGGAAAAAAAGTTTTCACCTTTAATCGGTAACTGTATATATAGATACATATACACAGTGTTTCAAATCAATCAAATGACGTGTCTTTACTCTCTGATGCATGAATAAATCATTGCATTACAAAGAACCGAGAGACTTGAGACTGTGAAGTCTGAGACTCAGATTTAACAAGACAGTAAATGTTCTTTATGTCTTTAGTACTTTCAGAGTCTCTGTGGTTTTGCTGCTTTTCTCTACAATATTGGCAAGTGTGTCATCCTTTTTTTGTATGAGAGTCTTTTAATGTCTAACGTGTAAAATAACAGTATTCGCCATACAAATTCACATACCGATATTCAATTAATATACATAGATTTATGTATGGCTCAGTTTCCTCAATTTATGAGCTTTGATAAGATCTTGTTTTGAACATGAGCTAAGCATCTTGCTTTCTAGTTTCCCCTTGAATTTTTTTTTTTACCTAATTAATTAGCATGCATTTCATATCTTACTGTTAATTCTTTTTGGTTTACGAAATCTATTTCTATATTTTATTACATTTCAGCATTTGTGTAACATCTTTGCTAGATAAAACCTTATTGTGTTTTTACATATGCTTCAAGGGTAGTCTACGAATGAATCTATGGATGGTCACAACGAGTAATCATAGCATCTTATAGTAGACACAAGTTACTAGAATGGCTATAATAGACGTATCATAAGCTAAAGTTTCAAGACTCATCCTTCATGAACTTTTTGAACATATAAACCATGTTCAAACCCTATGTGATCATATATATATATACATGATTTCTTTTTTTACAGATGCATATGTGGGGACATGGATCACAATACAGAAAAGGACCTGAATCTCTGAGGGGAACGCAGCCAACCGGAATGCTGAGGCTTCCGTGCTATTGTTGCGCACCGGGCTGTCGCAACAACATTGACCATCCAAGGGCAAAGCCTCTCAAAGACTTCAGAACACTTCAAACACATTACAAGAGGAAACATGGGATCAAACCCTTCATGTGTAGAAAATGTGGAAAGGCTTTTGCGGTACGAGGGGACTGGAGAACACATGAGAAGAATTGCGGTAAGCTTTGGTATTGTATTTGTGGATCTGATTTCAAGCACAAGAGATCTCTGAAAGATCACATCAAGGCTTTTGGAAATGGCCATGGAGCTTATGGCATTGATGGGTTTGATGAAGAAGATGAGCCAGCCTCTGAGGTAGAACAATTAGACAATGATCATGAGTCAATGCAGTCCAAATAGCTTTTATAAATTAGTATAAGTACTTAGTAATTCGGTATATATATATTAATTATAAGAATACCTAAATCTATGGACCAAGTTTTGATGGAGGTAGGGATTTCTAAGTAAAAGCTATATCATGTAATTGATCATACAAAAAAACGAATCAAGATCACTTGGGAATTTTTTTACATTGTATCTCTAGTTTGGTAGTTAAATTTACTACAAGACAATGTAGAACTTTAACTAATGAGGTTGTCCACGAACAGTTTCTATTTTTGTATATAATTGTTGGCATTAATTTACTTTTCATTTCGAAGGAAAATAAGCCATAATCGTTTGAGTTATATTTGTTAGGATAAAAATACTAGTTATAAAAGTAGATGCGATACATTCATGCATGCATTATGCTAAGAATTTTCTCTAAATATACTATATTCTATATCATAATGAATATTTGCAAAATTTTATTTGAGTAATAATAGATTCTAGTTTTTTATTCCCAATAGATATTTGTTTAATTTTCTGGTGGAGTTCTCTTCAATTTATTTTATTTTATTATAGTAGTTAAATCATTCTACTTAATTGTGTAGTGACATTATGGAGAATAATGAGAGAATGGACACTAGAGAATCCTACTCAAGTGCTGAACTTTCTTACATAAGATGATAAAATTGAAAGTTAGACATTAAATACCATACTTCATTTATTTATTTTTAAATGATGTGATGATGCTACGTACGTCTGTCATATGGTTAAAAATATTATATATGTGTGTAGAAGTTTTTTGTGTTAATTATCTATCTATATTTTTTTTTCTAATAATCAACAGTTAAACTACTTTAGAATTTTATTGTACCGTTTGCCAAATACAGTGCCTTGTGTTAATTGAAAGTTATAATACTGAAAACTTTAGCAAAAAAATAAAAATAAAGAATTTGGTTATCTTACTTTAATTACACCAACGCGAAGAAACTCATTAATTCGTTGATTTTCAGTAACTAGGGTGCCAAAATATTTTGTTTTCAGATTGTACAAATACTATATATATATATATATATTTAAAAGCTGTATATTTTTTTATAAAACTCTTAGTTTGTATAATTTTAACTACTTTTAAAGATTTTAATACTCAAATTCAAATATATAACGCATGAGTAACTGTAATATATATATATATATAACTGTAATGTTATTCAATCAAAAGAAAATATTGGTTTCTAGTATCTGATCTATCCTATGTACTGATGTTGGAATTAATAAATACCATATGAATTTTTCAAATTTTTAACGTAAATGCAGCCTATTAAAACTAGTTCTTTATCTTACCAAGAAAACAAATTATAGTACTGGAGAGTAAGTGATTTAATTGTTATTGTAGTTACAGTTTTGTTGGTAATGGAGAATTCAAGATCCAATTTGGATCTGATTGTGTAACTAGCTAGGATTACAGTTAAAGAGAGGCTTTTCTTCCTGCAAAGAGCTTTTTCAATATATGCTTACTTTTTTTTTTCTCCTTTTTTGTCAGTGGAGAGACATTTTTGCTCGTTGAAGGAACATTAATTACACCTCTTAATTTATGTATACAATTTATACATGATTCACTTTTAAATTTTCTTAATTTATGTATACAATTATACATGATTCACTAGTAAATTTTATCTTAAAATTTGAATACAGCTGATTTCTCTCGATTGGGGCATATATATGAATTGACCTAATATTTTCATTGATTGTATAAATGTATGGATAAACAGTGAATATTCCTTTAGTGCTGTATATGCATACGTATGCATGCAGTCATGCATATACACTGTGTGAATGTACATGAAGATGATGATAAATGGGTGAAGAAGGGGCAAAAAGCAATGTGAAGGAGAGTGATAAAAAAAAACAAAAGAGAAGAGAGTGGAGCCCTAAGGGTGTGATGGGTTGGGCAGATTTGGGAGCAAAGATTGATGGTATCAACAGTTCTTTTCTCTCTCTCTCTCACTCACTGTTATTTGATTTGACATCTCATTTTTCTTTGACCATCTCTCTCTCTTTCTGTCTCTCTCTCTTTCTCTCTCTCTCTCTTTCCACACACTCTCACACAAATGACTCAACTTTCATAACTCCTCCAATTAAAAACCACATGCTTGCTTCTTTTGTATTAATTTCATATTCAATATACACATCTTTTTTCATAATGTACTTGAACCAAATCTAGAAATGTTACACCAATTGTATACACATATTTGTCTAATGTAATTTATAATTCTGGTTATTCTTAAAATCAATTTCGATGTAAAATTCAGATCAATTGATGGTTTTTTGTTGTCAATCATACATTATTAATCTTACCATTGAATGACATGAAAACATGAGGATGAAAATATGCACAAAGCCCATTTCGTAGTGAATGATGTATATATATACAGTATAATTGTTTTTTACAGTGGTCACAAACTGCAATCAAACAGTAGAAAAACTGAAAAGGTTATAAACGCACATATTTAAATTATGTAGGATTCAGACAACATTTATTACCAATCAATTTCCTACCACTTTGTTGGGAGAAATAGACCATCCCTACCTCTCTTCCTTTGACCCATCTCATCTTCCCAACACTTCTCCACATTTCTATACCGATGTAACATTTATATTGGTATATAAATAAATAAAACCATATTGAATGTTAGATCATCTCTTACATGCGGTAAAACGTAAGTCATGCGCATGCGTTGTTGACAATTCACATGTAAGTAGTGGTTAGTGAAACTTTTCGCTAGTCGCTTACCATAGATCAAGTTTCGAAGACAACGTTAACATTCTATATACGGTAGAAAATCTATGCATTCAAATTGTCACTTTATATTTTGTCGGAGTCTATGTATTATAGTTTAATAATAAAATAATAAAAACAAGTCCATTAATAGTCTATATACCACTATGCTAAAAAAACATACTGAGTTAATATAATAGTATAATTATTAAAATAAACCATATGATAACTAGCTAAATTTGTTTAACAGAATAAGGCTTAATTTAAATTTAAATTTTTTCAACTTATGAACAAATTAAAGCTGTATCTCAGTTTCTAATTTCTTTAGAAACTTAATTAAATCCAGTTAAGGGTCTACATGCACATGTTTATCAGTATATATTAAAATACATAAAATTACAAATACTTATAACATAAAGATAAACGGGAATTTAGTGATATAAGTACTTGTTAAAAGCTTTCGAATCTCGAAACTGAATTGTTCTCTGTGAGTGTGCACATATCTAAAAGACATTTTCAAACTCCGAGCAATATATATTTGGATTTTTCTTCTGTTGCCGGAAAGAATCCGGACATTGGACTTCACTTTCTTCGGTAATTAGGCATTTATGCTGTTACATTAACTAAGTACATTTATAAAACCTAAGTTTATACATTCGTTATTTTAACGTAGACAAATGTTCTTGTCTGACAAAAACTTAAATAAAAGCCGTAAATCATGCTTTTTAAAATCCCGAAGCTATATTACGTACATCCGTTAAACGAAGTTTTAATTACTTTACAATTTCCTATGTTCATGTCGATAAATGCAAATGTGTAAATTACTAGTAACTCAAATTTATTTAGTATCTTTACTTTACTGTTCATATTCCAAGGCTGATCTGAAGGAGACAGCTTTGTCTGCCGTGGCTCAAATCTCCATCTCCCACATTTAATTTAATTTATTGGACACACACGTACGTACAGTGTTTATATTTGTGTGTTTTTTATTGTGTAAGGAAAAAACTTTTTTTTAACGTATTCGTTTTGTCTATTTATATACGTAAGATCTAACGAAATCGTTATTCAAAGAAAAATATAATTAAGTAGTACACATAAAGAAGATTAATGTAGCTATGTATGATTTTCGACAACTTTGTTTGAAGGAGGCCCCAACATGCAAAGGAAAAAAGGAGAAAGAGGCCAAATTGAGCTTGACTCATGATTAATCACGGGTACCTCAAAAGAGAAAAAAAAAGAAAAAAAATTAAGTTATTATCTATATTCTGAAGAATAATTGTAGTAATACAACATACTATATCGTAGCAGAAAAAAAATACAACGCATCTCGATTATTGACTATTTAATTTTTTTTTTCCTTATATGCATCTTAACTAGTACTATAATGCATTTTTTGGGGTTAAAGTAGTATAATTCAATATGATCTATATTATACAAAAACAAAGAAGAAAATACAGAAGGGATCAGTAATATGTAGGTACGTTGTGCCTTTTAAAGAAGGGGAACAATATTCTAAAACTGAGATTTAAATTATCGTTTAATTTTTCACTCGCCTAAAACTTTATAAGATATTTATTCTATATATCTACATGTAATTTACTAGTGTTGTTATTTCTAAGTGCTTTAATGAATATCCCTCCGATCATAATTTTTTTTTTGTTTAATGTATATCTATATACTATCATTTAGACCATTTCGTGTTTTTGGATTAAATCTAAACAATTTACAGGTGAATCAGCTGAAGTTTTTTTGTTTGTTGTCAAACCATCTGATCGCCTCCATTAAATTAGTCGAGCGGTATCGAAACATCTGATGCTATATTAACAAAAATAATATTTATTTGGCAAAGAAATTATGATATACTGTATGCTTTAAAACATTTTCTTATCGTTACACGTATATAATATATTATATAATCGTTAGAGATGAGGTCTCGTTGGCTCGTGATCATTGTCCGAGCGTGTTCTTTTGTCCATATTCTTTATTTGATCAACTTTATTTTTTCTACTCCTGTTAAAGCTATTTGATCATCATGCTTGTAGATTCTCCAAGTTGTATGTAGTGTTGGGTTTCTTTCACCAGCGAATATTATCCCAAGGAAATATAAAAGTTTAAGAAAACAATAATATTACAAAACACTTTTTCTATCATGTTTTATTTTTAGCAATATTAACCTTTTAAACAAAAACAAACGATACTGAAATTAAAATCTTATTAAGGGGAGCTTCCAAAGCAAAGATTTCAGGCATATATACGGTGATAATATAACTAATTATAGTAAAATTGATAGATACAGAAATATCGCTAGATTAACACTTATATATTTTTTTTTTGACAGCATGGGTTTATTCAAGTTATTGTCGCATAAATCGTATATATAGATATAGGATTATATAAAAGAAATCTAGATGGTTTAGTATCAATGACATATATATTGAATATATAGAGAAAAAAAATGTTTTCAGAAGTATCATCTCTACACAAGCGGACAAGCACACATATATGCATAGATACAATACAACCACAGTGTGTGTTAAGCACTGAAGCTAGAGGGTGAGATCATCACAGAACCAAGAGGCAGATGTTACCAGGAAAAACAAATGGAAAAGAAAAAAAAATCATATCGGATATTATTGGTGGTTTTTATATATAAGCAATATATACATATGTTTATTTATATGAATATGATTGGACATGGCATCGACTTTTGTCTTTCCAATTACTTTGAGGGGAGATTCTATTTTGAGGTTAACATAACTCCTAAGAAATACCCACACTCTATTCCCCATTTCCCAATTTTACCCATCAACATTAATAGTACTCCCTAAAAGTACACCTATACATATAATCTTTCCTACAGTATAAAAATAAATTTTCTACTCTCGAAATTATGACAAATTAACAAAAGTGTTAAGAAAGGAGTATTTCAATTTTTGTTTATCAACAATATAAATAGTTCATCATCAAATCATTGTAAATTTTGGTATTTTAAAAGTTCATCGTGTGAATGTTTTATGGAATTGAATCGTTTTCTTTCTGAAATGACACTTGCACAAAACAATTCACCTTCCAGACTTAAAAGCTACAATAACTATTACGTATATCTTTGATTAGACTCGATAGAGTCGGACCGAATATAAACATATTTTGTTTTGATCAAAAATATCATCACGAGAAACCTAACAAACTTATTGCACTTTAGTTTTTAGATGCTCGATCGATCGGATGATTGATATCAATTTCAGCAAGTGGAATTTTGGTCAACTTAGTAACTATACATTTTCTATTAGTAGTGTTTATTTTGACAACCAACCAGAAAATGGACCACATAACATAAGTAAATTGTCAGTGAAGGTATTTTCATTCAGGTACTCTTTATTTTATGAACAGTGGACTTTGATAAGAGGAGGTCTGTTATACTCTCTCTCTCTCGTAACTATTTTTCCTTTTTAATTTTTTTTTTAATTTAGTCGTTTATTTTTCATCTTTTGTCTTTTATTTTCAACCCTCTCTTTTCTGTCTGCAACAATGTGCTTTAAGTGAAATGTGTCTTTATCTCCTTTCCCATACCTCCTTTGTTTTTCTTTTTGTTCGTTTACTTTTCAGAAACCAACCAAAATCAAAAGATGAATTTCTTACTGTTATTTAAAAACAATTGACCAGATTTTCCTTTGGTATGGTGTATTCGGTTATGTTATATTAGTTTTCAGTTTTATAATTAAGGACATTAAAACAATAAAATAAAGAGGAGTACTATGTACATATGTATGTGTGTTTCTAGGGTAATTCGGCCATGTTGAGATTAAAGATACACAAACTATTTTATTTTATTCTATGTATGTTTATATAATACGACAACTGTTTATTAGTAAAACTACGAACTAGTACTCACCATGTGAAAAATACGACTGTGTTATATGCTTTCTTTATACGCCTTATTCAATGTATATAGTTTATGACTTGCAAATAGCAATTTGTAATCCAAAGTGCAGAAACGAAAGAAAAAAATAGATTCATAGATTCCACAACAAATCACACAGGATGATGAGAAAAAAGGTAAAGCTTTACATCATATAATTTACATGTATGACAAAACATACATTTTACATTTTACTTGGGATACGTTGATATATGCTCTGTGTACTCTCTTAATGATTTACTCATTACAATATTGATGATTAAATGTTTATTATTGGGTTTCGAAAAAGAAAAAAAAAACTAATGTGTAGAACAAACCTGCAGATCATGCTATAATACATTTGGTTTGACTGGTTTTAGTGGAGAGCTTTTATTTCAAAGGTATTCATTTCGTCCTTTTCTATTTTTGGTTATATCACACTTCTGGTCATTAAACTCTCGGATCAGAGGTTAATGTCTTGTTTTAAATTTAGCTATGATCATAAACAGATGATTTGTATATACTCCCTCCGTTTTATAATAAGTGTCATTTGGAGAAAATGTGTCTGCAATGTAACTGGATGTATCTGGATGTGTTTTGAGTTTAATACATCTAGTTACATTACAGATACATTTTCTCCAAATGATACTTATTATGAAATAGAGGTAGTATAGATTATAAATACTGCCTATTGATACCCTTATTACTAAAAAAATCATCATCAATGCACACCCAAAAAATGAATCGTCTTATAGTTTTTGTGTTTGTTATTGCAATGTATTTCAGGTTAAATGAAGCATGCAAGCCTCAGCATATAATAATTATAAACGAACTCGGTCCTGGTCGTGAGCTCAAGTGTCACTGCCGTACCACAATCAACAACTGCGATGATGGAGAAACAATTATACAGTTCAATAAAACTAAACTCATTGAAACCGTGGACGGCTATGACGTAAGATATGGTAGGAGAGCATGGAAGTGTATGCTTAAGCACGGAAAATCTCCTGTAAAGTTTTACGACATTGAAGTTTACAGAGGAAAAAGATTAGATAAATGTGGCCAGTTACGCATATGGAGTGCTAGAGATGATGAAATTTATTTTAAAAGAAAGTATTGGTCTCAATTGGGACATGTACTCAATTGGAATACTGCAAAGTAGTAATTCACCTTTTTTTTTCTTGCTAGAACTATTTTTTCTTTTTTGTGCAAATCCTAAAACTATCTAATACTCCGTATAAGTATATGTACTTCTGCTGCTATGAATAAAGCTACAAGAGTGAAGACAGTAGTTTAAATTAATTGGTGTAAGAATAAATAACAACATTGTAATAATTTGGTGATCAGTAATAATTTAATTTATTGATAAAATAAAAGAAAATGTACGTACAGTATGTCTAGGTATATGTGGTGATCAGTAATAATTTAATTTATTGATAAAAAAAAATCATTAATTAAGAATTTTGGTCTTGGAACTCATAAGAAAAGGGTACCTTCACGTTGGGATTCATATAAAAAGCCAAAATACGAGAGGGATGGGTTTATGAATTATGAGGAACCCCATACTTTGCAAGAATTTACCTATCAAAGGGGAAGCAATCAATTTGGAGATGAAGTGTATGTCGATCTTCTAAACATTCCATCTCTAAAGTCAAAACCCTAAATTTCAGTTCCAAAATTGATTGTTTTTTTCCCGATGCATTCACGTGTCATGGTGCATGGTGATGATACATAGTATGCCAAAAGTAAGTAATTCACTTGTGTATGTATACCCTTTTATAGGAAGTTTTCTCTGAGTATATATATATGTTTAACCAATTTTTCTCTGAGTATATATATGTTTAACCAATATACCACAATGCATGGTCACTAACCTTTTCTACTACATCCCATTGATAACATTCTGAGGTATTTGTAATTTCAGAAACAAATTTGCTGATTGTCGCTGTGTCATAAACTTTTATACAGTCAAACGATTCAAAGGCCTTATTAACAACATTGGTGACTTAACTAATTTTTTTTTGTTAATGTTAGAATATTTATTTGGTTAATTCAAAGAAAAACCAAACTAAAAACATAACTCAAGGCCTTCTTCTATGCAAGCGAAAAAGTGAGTCCATTGTCCCCTTCCTTAATTTCATACATCATGGGCCGAAAATGTTTTCGGAAAGTTCCCATCTCAGGCCCAAATAGAATATAAATGGGCCTTCTAATTCAACTCATTTTCAAAGGCAAAACATCTTTTGACTCTCTCTGGTCCATTTCGTAGACCTTGACACGAGCCACGACCGAGTCACCAAGTTGTAACACGTGTAGTTATTGATTACAGTTCCTAATTTAGATACGCAACAGCAAGATATCTAAGCCACAAAGATTCAAGTTGGGCCCCCATAAAGAAATCTTCCACAATTTGATTTAAAACTGTCTTAAATCCATAAACATCATTTTTGATTTTAAAGACAAATAAAAGCGTTTCATATTTCTCACTTAACTGATTCATGCTTCCTCTTCAAATTTCAAAATGGAAAAAATCGTAACCCCGAGACTTGATCTTCCTCTGTTTCACCTCCCGAATTCCCGGAAACCCACTTCGATTTCGTCTCCGATTCTCCGATTATCGAGCTTGAATCGCTATGGGCTTCACAAGCAACGGTCTCGTCTTGCATCGTCTTCGCGTCCAGGGCCCCAAACAAAGATCGATACTGATTCAGAGAGCCATGGTGTGATAATGGACAATACCGTTGGAAGAAGATTGCTCGGTTTAGCCGCCGCCGCTGCAGTAGCGGTTTCTTCGTCGATCTCCTGCGATGCTCCGGCACTCGCTGAGTCTCTGACTATCGCTTTCCCCATTTCACGCGCTCGTGAGGTGATCGAGCTTTTTTTTTATTTATTGAGCTCTGTTTCTTTAACGTCTCTGAGAAATTAGGTTTTTTTGATGTCTTGTTAAGGTGACTACAGTACAGAGAACTCTTGTTGAAGCATGGGGTTTGATTAGAGAGACATTCGTCGATCCCACTTTTAATCATCAGGGTATTGTTAAGATTTTGATGAATTTGTGGGAGGATTATGTAGATTGATTTTTTGATGAAAAGTGTTTATATTTTGCAGATTGGGATTCTAGGTTGCAGCAGACGATGGTGGAGATGTTTCCTCTTAGATCAGCAGATGCTGCTTACGGAAAGATCAAAGCGATGCTCTCTACGCTTGGTGATCCCTTTACTCGAATCATTAGCCCAAAGGTATTTTGCAAATTATGATTCCTCCACCAATGTGTTTCTTTACTGTTTATGGGCCATGGTTTGAAGTTGGTTCTGTCTTAAAAGACACTTCTTTGTGACTCTTGCAGGAGTACCAAAGTTTCAGAATCGGTAGCGACGGAAATCTTCAAGGCGTTGGCCTTTTCATAAACTCAGAACCAAGAACAGGTCACCTGGTTAGTGAGTGACCAAGCACATTCTTTAGACCCAAAGTTTTTTTCATCTTTTTCTGTCAATATTTCATTTTTGAAGTAGATAGATGTTGTTTCATGGTATAGAGACCAATGTAGGTTGTTATGTCTTGCATAGAAGGCAGCCCGGCAGATCGTGCTGGTATTCATGAAGGCGAGGAACTAGTTGAGATAAATGGTAAACATTGGTCCTTATATTATCCCTACCCAACTATAGATTCCTGAAAATTGGCTATAACTCTGTTGTTTCTACATGAGGTTTTTCAGGCGAGAAGCTGGATGGTATTGATAGTGAAGCAGCAGCGCAGAAGCTGAGAGGCCGAGTTGGAACATTCGTTACAGTTAAACTCAAGAGTGTATGTAGTATCCTTTTTGCTCTTCTCTGTCGGCTTCAGTAACCTAAAAGAGTGTAAGTTATTGCTCTCTCTTGCAGGTGAATGGATCAGGGACGGGTTCCTATATAAGAGAGGTATTGTTAATGTTGTATATGTTGAGTTATTTCCGGTTAATTGATTACTAAGCAAGTGTCTCTTATATATATGTAAAGGTCAAGTTACCTCGAGATTACATTAAGCTCTCTCCGATAACAAGTACTATAATCCCACATACAACACCCGATGGACGTTTAGCAAAGACCGGTTATGTCAAACTCACAGCGTTTTCTCAGGTTAGTGATTGATGAAAACCGAAAAAAAGAAGAAGATAGTTCATTGATTTGAACCTTCCCATAGACTGCAGCGTCTGATATGGAAAATGCGGTCCACGAGATGGAGAATCAGAATGTTCAGTCATACATTCTAGACCTAAGGAACAATCCGGTAAGTTTCAGATTTTGATTTTTTTTTTTCACCCGAGTTATATCAGTCACTTTGTTACATTTTTCCCAGTGTTCTAAAAAACATTCACCGTATGTGAGAACACTGATTTTTCCTTAGCACTTAGCTTTGGACGTTTCCATTTCAGGGAGGTTTGGTTAAAGCAGGACTCGATGTTGCACAATTATGGCTTGACGGAGATGAGACTCTTGTGTATACAATCGACCGTGAAGGAGTTGCATCACCAATAAATATGATCGACGGGCACGCCGTGACACATGATCCACTCGTCGTGCTTGTAGGTGTATATATATAAGTTGGCTTGATGAACAAGCGATGCAACCTATTAGGTTCAGTAGATGCTTAGTTCCAAAATTTAAACAGAGTTGGGGTCTATATGTATTGTCCTAGTTACTATGACAGGTGCATGATAAGTGTGTCTCGATCAAATGATGAACAGGTGAATGAAGGAAGTGCAAGTGCAAGTGAGATTTTGGCAGGTGCTTTACACGATAATGGTCGAGCTATACTTGTCGGTCGTCGCACATTTGGGAAAGGGAAAATACAGGTATTGTATATACATTTTATTAGCTGTATTATGTACAAATACATAATTAGTAAATCTTGATCTGGTGAGGGTTGTATATATTTTCTGTGAATTTGCAAGAGCGTAACGGAGCTAGACGACGGGTCGGCTTTGTTTGTGACGGTAGCTAAGTATTTGTCGCCGTCTCTGCACGAAATTGATCAAGTAGGGATATCACCTGATGTACAATGTACCACGGATATGATCGATTCTTTGACCGGTGAGATACTAAAGAAGATGAACAGTTCAGCTCCATTGCTTGAAGCGGACTCGTGTGTTATGGTCGCTGAGCACGAACTTGAGACTCGACGATCCAATGGAACAGCATCTTGATGAGTTTCATCCTAAATTCTTAGGATAAGATTATGGTGTAGCTTGTATATATATATTGATAGTTCCATGTATAAAATCTATTTGGCACGTACTATTGTTGCAGTGTATACGTAGAATCGCTAAACTAGATTAGTCATTATATCTTTTGTAATACTGTTACGAGATATGAGGTCGACATACTCTTATAAGATCAAACAATGAAAAATATCTGTTGCGGATTCTCATTCATCTTCAAAATGTAGTATTTTGAGTTTTGTTAATAATACTGGAAACGACATTTTTTCTAATCATTTGATTTCGCCATTTTTGGTGTATTAATAAATCTGAGAAAGTAATCAACTAACAAGAAAAATATAAACAGAAATGCTAAAATAAATCTAAGCCACATATTGCAACGTTTATTACCGTAATTATAGTCATATTCATCGGTGGTTAGTTAATTTTGACAATCATAAAAAAAAACAATTCCTGATTTTACTAAAATTAACACGAGTTCCACACATATAAATCCCCCATCAACACCATTCATTTTCCTCAGACCTGCAAGAACTCAAAAAACACACCAAAAAAAAAACTAAATAAAAAGAAGAAAAATAGCCTTTCAGGTCTCAGCAATGGAGATGAAGAAGATCGCTTGCGGTGTGCTTTTCGCTGCTGCCTCCATGACCGCCGTCATGGCTGCGGAGGAAGCCGGAGCTCCGGCACCGGGACCCTCATCCTCCGCCGCGGCTGCATTACCGGCTCTTGGCTCTTTGGTTGGAGCTTCCCTTGTGTCCCTCTTCAGCTACTACTTGCACTAAGCTATATCTTCATTTATGTAATAATACTATCTATGTCTGATCTTATTCATTTCCTTCCTATTTCCATTTCACTTGTGTATTAATAAATCTGAGAAAATAATTCAAGAATAAACTCTCTCTTCTTCAGTCTAGTTTTTTTTGATATTTGGTTTTGAATCTGGTTTGCATCCTGAAAGGATTAAAATTGGGCACATGCAAGAGTCTATATTAAAAGAAAACTCCAACAAATATGTCATACTAGTTTCTCTATTATGTGCGCAAGTTTGTTGAGGCTACAAGAAAATTACAACGACAAAAATCTTATGCTTCACTGAATATTTTTTCCTACAAAGAGAAGAAACAACCAAGGATTGGGGGTTATGTTTGTTGGGCCTGTTAATGCAAACAAGGTCTAACCAAAACAAATATCAAAATTGTTTAGTTGACTTCATGAGGAAAGGAAACGAAGGTCGTCCTACAGAACCAGAGCCGACCAAAGTTGACTTACTTGTTCTTGTGTTTGTGGCTCTCTCTCTCTCTCTCTCTCTCTCTCTCTCTCTCTCTCTCTCTCTCTCTCTCTCTCTCTCTCTCTCTCTCTCTCTCTCTCTCTTTTTCTTTTTCTTTCCTGCGTCCATTCCTTAACAGTTAACAAGACCATCTTCAGTCTCATATTCTGTGTTTAGAGATGTTGCGTTTGTTCAGGAAGAGGAAGAAGAAAGAAGAGGAGATTCTCTTCCAGGAGAATGGGAGCTTATTGTTGGAGGAACTCATTGCATCTTCAGGAGGTATATACAATCCCATCCGTACGTTTTCTTCCCACCAAATCCTCCAAGCCACAAACCACTTCGACTGGAACTATGTCATCTCTGAAGACAGATTCGTGTGGTACAAAGGCCTGATTGAAAACAGACGAGTACTGATCAAGAAATTCCAAGACTGTTCCCTTTTCGACGCTGACAACTTTTACCGTGACATCGCTGTCTCGTCTCTGATGAGTAGCCATAAGAACGCTCTCAAGCTCTTGGGCTGCTGTCTAGAGTTTCCTCATCCCGTTCTCGTGTGTGAATACCCGGAGAATGGAGCTCTCAACTGTGTAAGACGTGCAAGGGAAGGAGCCACAAGGCCATTTCCTTGGAAAGTAAGATTGAAGATCGCTAAGGAAATTGCAGAAGCTGTAACGTATCTTCATACTCAGTTCCCAAGAACCATAATCCATAGGGATTTAAAGCTTGCAAATATATTCTTGGACGAGAATTGGACCGCCAAGCTCTCTTCTTTCAGCCTCAGCATACCGATTCCAGAAGGAGAGACAGGGGTAAATGATATGGCTTGCAGGACATCAAGCTATATCGAGCCAGATTACCTCAATACAGGTTTTGTCACAGAGAATGTCGATATCTATAGCCTTGGGATCATCATGCTAATTCTTTTGACAGGGAAGTCTGAATACACCTCGGAGGTCGCTGTTTATCTTCCTGTACTGCCTGTCTATGTTGGGAAGTTGCTGGATCGAGGTCTCTTGACTAAAGTGATAGACCCGTCGATGCTGGAAAGCGTGAGTGACGACGGCATCCCCGAGCATCTAAGACTGCAAATGGAAGCATTCATTGAGCTTGCTTTTAGATGTGTAAAATTCAAACAGGGAGAGAAGGTACTTCACATGATAGACGTTGCAAGAGAACTCAAGAAGATAGAGAAAACATACCTGACACCGCAAACTGTTCTGGTGAGACTCGAAACAGATCCGTCTCTTAGTAGTGAAGAGTTGTTATGATCTTCTCATTTTCGAGCTTTCTTTCACGACATATGTTGTATTCAAGAATCTGACTTTTCATACTTCATAATGCAACGATTGTTTTGCTTAGATATATGTAGACCAAACAACTGATACCACTTCTTTTGGACACCATATATGCTCCAATCTTCAGTTATGTTACTCCGTGAAGATATCTCAAAACATATCTCAACAGGTTCCTTAAGGATCTCTAGCTAGAATCTCTCAGAGAGGCCTCAATCCGCTTCAGTTCTTTAGCAACTTAGATCATCTTTGGTCTGTCTTCATCTCTCTCCTCGCAGCATCTCAAAGCCAGCACCACACACGCGTCCACCTGCAATTTTTGACCACTTGTGATGTCTTTCGCCATCTTTGGATCTACTACATCATCCAGGTTCCCATTCTCACATAACCCTCTCACATAGGTAAGAAGACCTAAGGGATCTCCATCAGATCCGGTGAACACAGCCGGTCTGCCAGTGACAAAAACCAACAAACAGATCCCGAAGCTGTACACATCAGTGTATTCCGTCACAAAGCTCGTGGCATGATACAATGGATCAAGGTACCCAAATGTTCCCAAAATTCTTTCAGCTTCTATTCTTGTTTTCCCTTCAGGGAGAGATATTGAGAAGGATAAATCAGACAGCTTTGCAGTCCAGTTCTTGTCCAAGAAAACGTGCATTGGCTTAACATCTCTATGTATGATGATCTTAGGGAAGGCCATTTGAAGATAAGTCACAGCATTTGCAATCTCTTTCCCAATCTTCAACCGTAGACCCCATGGCAACAAAGATTCCTCCCCGTTAACCGTAACACCTCCTCTCTGATTCAAAACCCCATTATCTGCGAATTCAAACACAAGAACCGGAAAAGGAAACTCGAGACAACATCCTAGCAGTTTTAGAAAGTTGCTGTGACTGCTCATCCGAGCCGACAAGACAATGTCATTGTAAACTTCTCCAAGTCTGTGTCCTGAAATTTTATCCTCGGAGAATCTCTTGACCATGTAAGACCTATCTACGATTCTACCTATATACCACTTATAGTACGCGTCTTCAGAGACAGAGCAGCTGGAATCGAAGTTATTGGTGGCTTGAAGGATCTGGGAAGAAGAAAAGCTGCGGATAGGAATGGATTTACCGTTACAATCAGCGATAAGTTCTCTTAAGAAGATGCTTCCGTTTTCGAAGAAGCACCTCTTCATCTCTTCCTTTTCCTTCTTTCTCCCAGACCCAGATTTCAGATACTGCTTCTTCATTGATTCCATAATCAATTTACTAACTTATGGGCAAAGATGATGAATTTCCTCCAGAGATTATCGAACCTTTTGTTAGTGAAATGAATAAAAAGACAACCTTTACGAAAACAATCTTGCAAAAGTCAAAATCGTTTCGGTGCGTATGAGCTCAAAAGAGAAAGGTTAATACGTGTTTGAATTGTATTGTTCTTAATACGTGTTGGTTTTGTTATTGGACCTTGTTCTGGGCTTCATGCCCATCTCTATGCTATTTTCGGCCTTAATAATATAAATGGATGGAAAAAGAGAGGGAATGGTATCGGTTTGGCGAGTATCTGCATGAGGCCCAGTAAAAGGTCCATATACTTGTGCTACAGCATTTGTGGTCTTCTCATTCCCAATCTTCAAACCGTATGCTCCAAGGTAATGGACTACTGATCATGTCCACCAGTTGTAGAGATCAGTTCTCTGCATACTCACAATCATTGTCTTCTCTAGCCCATCTTCTAGGCCCAAATATACATATTCATTAGCGGTGGAACGGTGGTCCTACAGAAAAACTAGAGCCAACCCAAGTTGACTTGACTTGCTTCTCGCATCTCTCTGTTTCTTTCTTGTGTCCCTTCTTTGGCAAGAGGATCATTGACCTCAATTTCCAAGTGAAAAGATGTTGTGTTCGTCAAGGAGGAAGAAGAAGAAACAAAAGAAGATCAATTTCCACAAGAACGGGAGCTTATTGCTTGAGGAACTCATAGCATCTTCAGGGGGTAAATACAATCCCATCCGTACATTTTCTTCCCACCAAATCCTTCAAGCTACAAACAACTTCGACTTTAGCTACGCAATCTGCGAAGACAGATTCGTGTGGTACAAAGGCACGGTTGAAAACAGAGCCGTGCTGATCAAGAACTACAAAGAGGAGCCCTTTAACTTTGCCGCTGACAATATCTACCGTGACATAGCAGTCTCATCGATGATGAGCAGTCACAAGAACGCTCTCAAGCTTTTAGGGTGTTGTCTGGAGTTTCCTAGTCCGGTTCTCGTGTGTGAATACCCGGGAAAGGGAGCTCTCACCTATATGAGTGCAGGGGAAGGCATCAAGCCATTGGCTTGGAATGTGAGATTGAAGATCGCCAAGGAGATCGCTGACGCTGTAACGTATCTTCATACTGAATTCCCTAGGACTATAATCCACAGGGATTTAAAGCTTAGAAATATTTTCTTGGACGAGAACTGGACTGCCAAGATCTCTTCTTTCAGCATCAGCATACCGATTCCGGAGGGAGAGTCAGGTGTAGAAGACATTGTTTGCGGGACAAAAGGCTTCGTCGAGCCCGAGTATTGCTCAACAGGTTTCGTCACTGAGAATGTTGACGTCTACGACCTTGGAATCATCATGCTAAGTCTTTTGACAGGAAAGTCTGGATTCACCCGAGATGATGATGATGCTAACGACTTTGTCCTATTGCCTGACTATGTTGAGAAGTGTCTGGAGCAAGAACTGTTCACCAAATTGATAGACCCATCGATGTTAAACAGCGCAGATAACGATATTCCTGATCATTCAAGACTGCAGATGGAAGCATTTGTTACACTTGCTTTGAGATGTATCAGATTCAGACCAGGAGAAAGCAGGCCTCGCATGATAGATGTTGCAAAGGAACTCAAGCGTATAGAGAAGCAGACCTGACGCTGCAAACTTCTCTGGCGAGGCGCTAAAAAACAGATTTATCTATCTATTACTATGCAGTCTTAGTAGTGAAAAATTGTACACGTTGAATGTAAAGAAACTGAATTTCTATTATTTGATAATACAAGGATTGTTTACTTTTAGCTACATGAAGTCTAATCACATATAATAGAAGTTGTGTATAGTTTATATTCAGAACAGAGGATCTCTTAAAAGTGATGTCTCAACCCGCTTGAGTTCTTTAGCTACATGGATCATCTTCGGTCTGTCTTCATCCCTCTCCTCGCAGCATCTGAGCGCAAGTAAGACACAAGCTTCCACCTGCAATCTTTGAGCACTTGTAATGTCTTTCATCATCATAAGATCTATTAGTTCATCGAGCTTCCCATTCTAAATTTATAATATGTTTTGAACTGATTCAATGTAAAATCAAATAAATTTATTTGTTTAAGGACATTGACCAATCGTGTATATAAAACGAATCAGTTCAAATTCGTTATAATAATAACCGTTTGTAAATGTAAAACGATATCAACTTAAAATTTGATAAATTAAATCATTTCTTTATGTTTAACGAGATGACATAAATTGATCTCATCACTTGGGACCTCCACAAGTGATGCTTGGATACTTGAAATACCAGTGGTCACTTGGAGAAGAGGCATTTACCAAGCTGCAGGTATGTCATATTAGCTACTTGCTTTGTCTGGGTTTATTCTCTTTCTCGCATTTTCCAGTTTCTTGCTTTAATTGGCCGTCTTGTAAATGAAATGTTGCTAGATTCTCACGAGGGAACTCTCACATTCTCAATTTGACATGCTGGCTAGTATGGTATCTCATGGCAGTGGGCACTTTCATGACGGGTCTATTCAAGGTGAACTCTAGTTACTTTTAACTGTCCAAGTGTAGTCAAACTATGTCTTAACAATAACACTTTAGTGACAATATATGCTCTTTTCCAGAAACTCTTGATGCATCTATGCTCCTAAATGGGCGTTATTCAATACGGCAGTGATGCCTCGTTATATTTCAAGAGGTTGAATTGCTTCTCAATTCATTGTTGCCGGGAATATTTTCATTCTATAGCTAATGCCAAAGGAGTTGATGATAGTTTACAGGTAAAGAGTGCATCCTTCCACTGCTTTTCCATGTTTCAATTCGTCTTTCTTTTACTTCAACTCTGTTATGTCACACATATTAAGTTCCTACCTTGCTATTCTACTTTTATACTTGTTTCAGTGATGAGTTGTTTTGCCACATTGGTGGTCTGTTTTTCTCGTTTGCGTAAAAAAGTGTCTTCCTTTATTTAATGATCAAACATTAATGGTTTGTGTATGAGCTTACCCTTTGAGGTATCTAATATTATATGTTAACATAGGTGATTGCTTTTAACAAGCTTGATCGAAGTTTTGCTTGTTTCAGAGTGACTTTACTTTGGTGTCGAATCTACTTTAACGTACATTTTAAGGGTAGAATGTTATGAACCAAAAGTGATTTGTTGACTAGAGTCTACCGTCTCTTTCAAAAATGGGAATACTGTTGACTAGAGTTTTGCTTGTTTCAGAGTGACTTTATTATGTTTTGCGTCTTCTGACGTTGTGGTTCAACCATGGAGCGGCTGATGTCCAAGCAGCATTGAAGGGAGGATTCAGTCATGTCCATTAACACATGGCTTGTTGTGTTGCCTCAAATAATTGCTAGGATACATTCAAATAATCGTGATGTCACTGTCAGGGAACTGATACAGTCTCTTCTCATCCGCATAGGAGAAAATCACTTACAGGTTTGCAGTTCTCGATTAATATAAAATCTAAAAACCACCTTCATTGATATTAGGAACTTATGATGTGAATTAAGATATAGAAATAAGTTTTGCACTACCATATTGATTGCAAATTTGCTTGCTTCCTGTTGGTTGGTTGGTACTAGAGACATTTTGATCTCTTTACCATTAATTGGAATGCATAATTTCTCTTTGACTATTTTTTCAAATGTTCGCAGGCACTTATGTATCCCCTTCTCGTTGCATGTACTTGAACCATTACATGAATTGCTTGAAGAAGGTGCAAGAAAGGAATGCTGAAAGTACTTGAACCGTTACATGAATTGCTTGAAGAAGGTGCAAGAAAGGACAATACGACCATACAAGAGAGAGCATTTATAGAGGTGCGGCCATTTTCAATACCGGTTTTGTAACTTGTTGTAGAAATTAGTGTTTTTCTTACACTTATTAGATCCTTTCACTGTGTCTTTGCGTTATTTGTGATTTCATCTTTCTCTAGCATAGAACTGTTCAGCATTTGCAGCAAGTGAAGTATTACTGTGTAGAGTATTTGTTACTCTGTTACTTTGTACATTCCCATATATTTCAGTAAATGTAGTGATGTATATTTTAATATCAGCAATTGATCTAGTGTATTGTTGATGCAGGCATACCGTCACGAACTAAAGAGGCATATGAATGTTGTATCAATTACAAGAGAACTGGAAAAGATGCAGAACTTACACAGGTAACTGAAAATATAAAGCCAAAATTTTAGTTGCGTTCTTGCTCATCATCTTAGCGAAGGACAGGAATTGACATGTTTTATGTTCAATTGTTTATCTTCATTAGGCTTGAGATCTTTACTATCACGTTTTCAAACGGATCGACCAACAGCTGGCCAATCTCACGACATTGGATTTGGAAGTAGTTATACTCTTTTTCTTTGCTTCTCCCTTTTCTTTTTGTCCCTAAGTTCTAATCTGACTGAACCATTACATCTTGGATAGTCTGTTTCTCCTGAATTGCTGATGTGCCGTGACTTGGAGCTAGCTGTTCCTGGAAAATATCTTACAGGTAACATATTAAACTGCTAAAGTTTGTCTCTGCTTTTAACCCAGACTTCCTTGCTTACATCCTTACTTCTGGTTTCTCTAAAACATTTTTCTAAAGTTATTTATCTTTTCTCTTTGAAAGTGAGGATAAGGAGAATAAAAATCTTCATGGGAGATGAAGAATATATGTTTGACGCCTCAAGAAGGAATCTCAGAAAAATAAGATATGTCATTTATTCTCTATTTTTTTTCCATTCATATTAGAATCTGAATTAGTTTATAATCGATTAAAGTTATATTAGTTATAAAACTAATCAAACATAGTATCTAGCCATTTGAATTCATTTGGCCGTTAGAGATTATTTATGATCAATCAGTTTTTATTAATAATAATAATAATAATAATAATAACATTAAATAAAAGTTGAATCTAACTCAAACATGAATTTTGATGTTATTATTTGTATTGTTTCAGGTAAAAAAAAATCTACAAAATAAATTCCACGAAGCAAAAGATGCCGAGAGAAGAACACTCCGAAAAAAGATATGTGTTTTATTCTTTTTTAAAAAAATTTATTTATTCAAATTAAAACCTAAATTAATTTAAAAATCGATTAGATTTACATTAGTTGTGAAACTAACCAGACATGCTATCCAGCCATTTAAATTCATTTGGTTGTTAGAGATTACTTATGTTCAATTTGTTTATACAACTAGTGCAGATCAATCGTTTTTATTAGTAAAAGTAATAATAATAATAATAATATAAGTAAAACATTAATCTAATTCAAATATTAAATCTGATGTTGTTTTTATATTGTTTCAAGTTAAAAAAAAAAATTCTACAAAATGAAAGTCAGAAGAAATACTGAAAGAAGAAAATTCAAAAAAAAGATATGTTTTTTATTTTTTCTATATTTTTTTTAGTATTCATTCACATTAAAACTTAGATTAGTTTAAAATCGATTAAATTTATATTAGATGTGAAACTAACCGGACATGGTATCCAGCCATTTGAATACATTTGGTCGTTAGAGATTACTTATGTTCAATTTGTTTTCACAACTAATATAGATCAATCAGTTTTTTATTTTAAAAAAATTAAAAATAATAATAATAATAATAATAATAATAATAATAGCAATACTAAATAAAATTTGAATCTTATCTAATTTTTTTTAATTGTTGCAGGTTAAAGATTTCTCAAATAAACATGTCACACAAAGAAAAAAAAAATTATCATCATTTAAAAAAAATTATAATTGTATTTGTTTTATAATATTTTATTTGATTGTTTTTTTTTGTCAAGTTATAATTTTTGTTTGTAATTGTTGGTCTTCTCTATATTTAAATTCAAATTTTCAATACAATAATCTGATATTAATTTAATAAATACATAATAAATATATATATTTTTATGTTTTTGTTGCAAGTAGTCTCTATTTATTTTCGTCTTTCATTTTTTCAATTAATTATCTTTATTAATTGCTTTTAAACCCATTTTCACTTGCAATGATTTCAAATTATTTTTAAATTTTAATATATTATAGATATCCCTGTCTTGAGGGATTTAAACCCATTTTCACTTTTCCTTCTTTCTCCCAGACCCAGATTTCAGATACTGCTTCTTCATTGACTCCAAAATCAATTTACTGACTTATGGGCAAAGATGATGAATTTCCTCCAGAGATAATCTAAATTTTGTTAGTGAAATGAATAAAAAGACAACCTTTCCTGCGAAAAAAATCTTGCAAAAGTCAAAATCGTTTCGGTATGAGCTCAAAAGAGAAAGGTTAATACGTGTTTGAATTGTATTGTTCTTAATACGTGTTGGTTTAGTTATTGGACCTTGTTTTGGGCTTCATGCCCATCTCTGTGCTCTTTTGGGCCTTAGTAATAAAAATGGATGGAAAAAGAGAGGGAATGGTATCGGTTGGGCGAGTATCTGCATGAGGCCCAGTAAAAGGTCCATATACTTGTGCTACAGCATTTGTGGTCTTCTCATTCCCAATCTTCAAACCGTATGCTCCAAGGTAAATGGACTACTGATCATGTCCACCAGTTGTAGAGATCAGTTTTCTGCATACTCACAATTATTGTCTTCTCTAGCCCATCTTCTAGGCCCAAATATACATATTCATTAGCGGTGGGACGATGGTCCTACAAAAAACTAGAGCCAACCCAAGTTGACTTGACTTGCTTCTCGCATCTCCCTGTTTCTTTCTTGTGTCCCTTCTTTGGCAAGAGGATCATTAACCTCAAATTGTGAGTCAAAAGATGTTTTTTTGGTCAAGGAGGAAGAAGAAGAAACAAAAGAAGATCAATTTCCACAAGAACGGAAGCTTATTGCTTGAGGAACTCATATCATCTTCAGGAGGTAAATACAATCCCATCCGAACATTTTCTTGCAGCGAAATACTTGAAGCTACAAACAACTTCCACTGGAGATACGAAATATTCCGAGGAAGATTCGTGTGGTACAAAGGCACGGTTGAAAACAGAGCCGTGCTGATCAAGAACTGCACAGAGGAACCCTTTGGCATTGAAAACTTCTACCGTGACATAGCAGTCTCGTCGATGATGAGCAGCCACAAGAACGTTCTCAAGCTTTTAGGGTGTTGCCTGGAGTTTCCTCGTCCGGTTCTCGTGTGTGACTACCCGGAAAACGGTGCTCTCACCTCACCCTACATGAGTGCAGGGGAAGGCATCAAGCCATTGGCTTGGAATGCGAGATTGAAGATTGCCAAGGAGATCGCGGATGCTGTAACGCATCTTCATACTGCATTCCCTAGGACTATCATCCACAGGGATTTAAAGCCTTCAGTCATTTTCTTGGACGAGAACTTGAGTGCTAAGCTCTCTTCTTTCAGCCTCAGTATACCGATTCCGGAGGGAGAGTCAGGCGTAGAAGGCATGATTTGCGGGACAAACGGCTACGTCGAGCCGGAATATTGCGCGACAGGTTTCGTCACTGAGAATGTTGACGTCTATAACCTTGGATTCATCATGCTAAGTCTTTTGACAGGAAAGTCTGGATTCACCCGAGATGATGATGATGCTAACGACTTTGTCCTATTGCATTCTTATGTTGACAAGCTTCTGGGGCAAGGACTCTTCACCAAACTGATAGACCCATCGATGTTAAACAGCGCGGATGGCGACGTTCCTGATCATTCAAGACTGCAGATGGAAGCATTTGCTAAACTTGCTTTGAGATGTGTTGGATTCGTACCTGGAGAAAACAAGCCTCGCATGATAGATGTTGCAAAGGAACTCAAGCATATAGAGAAGCAGACCTGACGCTGCAAAACAGATTTATCCATCTATTGCGCAGTCTTAGTGATGAAAAACTGTAATGATATTCTTCTCTTTTCGAGCTTTCTTTCATGATATACAACGTTGGATGTAAAGAAACTGAATTTCTATTACTTGATAATACAAGGATTGTTTATTCTTAGCTACATATAGTCTAAGAAAATGTAGTAGAAGTTGTGCAGAGGTTATATCAGAACAGAGGATTTCTTAAAATGATGTCTCAACCCGCTTGAGTTCTTTAGCTACCTGGATCATCTCCGGTCTGTCTTCATCCCTCTCCTCGCAGCATCTGAGCGCAAGTAAGACACACGCTTCCACCTGCAATCTTTGACCACTTGAAATGTCTTTCATCATCATAAGATCTATAAGTTGATCGAGCTTCCCATTCTCATGTAAGCCTTTCACATATCCAAGAATACCATCTAGATAACCATCAGATTCTGAGAAGTAAACCGGTCTGCCGGTGAGAAGAACCATCAAAAACACTCCAAAGCTGTACACATCGGTATATTCTGTCACAAGCCCTGTTGTAAAGTACAATGGGTCGAGGTAGCCGTATGTACCCAGCACTTCTTCAGCTTCTACTTGTGTTTTTCCCTCGTCGAGCGATATTGAGTACGACATATCGGACAGCTTTGCGGTCCAGTTCTTGTCCAAGAAAACGTGCATTGGCTTAACATCTCTGTATATGATGATCTTAGGGAAAGCCATGTGAAGATAAGCCAAGGAATTTGCAATCTCCTTCGCAATCTTCAGCCTCAAACTTAAAGGCAATAACAATTCCTCCCCATTAACCATAATACCTCCTCGACTATTCAAAACTCCATGTTCTGCATACTCAAACACCAGAACCGGAAAAGGGAACTCAAGACAGCATCCTAGTAGTTTAAGAAAATTGTTGTGGTTGCACATCCGGGCAGACAAGACGATGTCTTTGTAGACCTCTCCTTCTCTGTAATCAGTAACTTTATACTCGGAGAATCTCTTGATCATGTAAGATCTATCTTCGATGACACCTTTGTACCATATGTAGAACCCCTCTTGCGTGACAAAACAGCTGGAGTCGAAGTTATTGGTGGCTTTAAGGATTTGGGAAGAAGAAAAACTGCGTAGGGGAATGGAAGAAATTCGTTATCTTATTTATTTTATTTTCCTTTCCTCGTTAATTTTTCAACATCAATCAACGAAAGAAATTCGTCTTGAGAATTGTTGAGTCAAAGTCTTCCCTTTGAATCCTTCCATGCTCCCTCCACTTCTCAGCTCTGTATGTTGATGAATGCTCAGAAGATGAACAACTGAGAAACAATATCAACGGCTAAGATTGTTGCAAGAGAACGGGAATGTCTTCTTAGAAGATCTCATCGAGCTTTTGCAATGGTGCCAGCATGAGATTCATTTGTCAGAGATAAAAAATGTTCACGGTTTTGAGAAACAGACAAAAACATTAGACAAAAACAGACAACCTAACAGTATAAGCTCGGCCAAATCGGCATGAAGTAAACAGTACAACAGGTAGAACACAGTAGTAAAGTATTAACCCTGAGGGTTGAATCTGCTATTATGAAACAGAGTAATCTCTTCTTCTGGGGTTATGTATGAATTACAAACCTTGGCTTTATATTCCAAGAATAGAGAAGATCTCTAGGTAGAATTTCTCAGTGATGTCTCAATCCGCTTGAGTTCTTTAGCAACTTGAATCATCTTTGGTCTGTCTTCATCTCTTTCCTCGCAGCATTCCAAAGCCAGCACCACACACGCTTTCACCTGCATTCTTTGAGCACCTGTGATGTCGTTCGCCATCATTGGATCTATTACTTCATCCACCTTCCACTTCTCATAAAACCCTCTCACATAGCTAAGAATACCCTGTGGATATCCACCAGATCCAGGGAAGACAACGGATCTGCCAGTGATAAAAACCAACAAACAGATACCAAAGCTGTAGACATCGGTATATTCCGACACAAACCCCGTGCTGTTATATAATGGATCTAGGTACCCTAATGTTCCTTTAACGCCGTCAACTTCTATTCTTGATTCTCCCTCAGGGAGCGTTATGGCGAGCGAGAAATCTGACAGCTTTGCGGTCCAATTCTTGTCCAAGAAAATGTTTGTTACCTTAATGTGTCTGTGTATGATGATCTTAGGGAAGGCCGTGTGAAGATACGTCACAGCATTTGCAATCTCCTTTGCTATCTTCAACCGTACACTCCATGGCAATACAGCATCCTCCCCGTTGACCATGGTATCTCCTTGCCAATTCAGAACTCCAAGTTCTGCATATTCAAACACAAAGACCGGGAAACTAAACTCGAGACAGCATCCAAATAGTTTCAGAAAGTTGTTGTGGTTGCTCATCCTAGCAGACAAAATTATGTCGTTGCAAGCCTCTCCATCTCTGCGTCCTATAACTCTATACTCGGCGAATCTCTTGATCATGTAAGACTTATCTTCGATGATAACTTTGTACCATTTATAGTCCCCCTCTGCGGTGACAAAACAACTGGAGTCGAAGTTGTTGGTGGCTTTCAAGATCTGGGAAGAAGAAAAGCTGCGTATAGGAATAGATTTACCGTTACAATCAGCGATGAGTTCTTTTAAGAATTTGCTTCCGTTCTCCAAGAAGCACCTTTCTTCTTCCTTCTTTTTCCTGGAAGACCCATATCTCAGATTCTGCTTCAACTTCATCACCTTCGATTCCATCTGACAAATAACTAGTTTTTTGTGCAGAGATGCTCACAGTTTTCCTCTTAAAACAAGAAAGACCTAAAGGAGCTTCTGAGAAAAGTCAATATTTATCTTTCTGAGAGCATACGAAGAAAGTATCTTTTCCCAGTCCCTACGCTGAAGTTTCCAACTATTGACTACATTTTGAGTCCAGTTTACTGTCACTTGACTTGACTCATCACCAACGAATTGGTAAATCTTATATAAACAAACAAAAATATTGTTAATATGAAAAAGGAAATACATAAGGATCAATTCTGGGACTGTAAAAACAAATTTCATTTAAGACTAACAATTGTCAACATTGTAACACTTTGTTTATTGGGTATTAGTTACAGTTGGAATGTTGCCTCAAGTTTATCTCATATGCATCCACAAGGAAATACAAATCGCTACGAGAGGCTCCCAAGGACTTATTATACTAATCTTTAAGATTCTCCCATGAGTTTATGAATATTTCAAGAACAGAAAAAGATCTATTTAGTCTTATTTACCTCGCACCAGCAAAAGTATCAACTTAGTGATCTCTCAATCCGTTTGAGCTCCTTGGCGACATCGATCATCTTCGGTCTATTCTTCACACTCTTCTCGCAGCATCTGAACGTTAACTCCACAAACTTGTCCACCTGAGATCTTACAGCCTCCGCAATATCTCTCACTCCAACCCGGTATATGGTCTCGACAAACTCGCCTTTCTCTTGTAAGCCTCTTACGTAGTTACGGATATCGATGAAGCGCACATCTGATCGAGGAGCCATACCATGTCTTCCAATAAGAAGAACCATCATAAAGATTCCAAAGCTATAAACATCAGCATACTCTGTAACGATACTTGTTTGGAGATACGAAGGATCCAAGTATCCAGGCCATCCCATCACTTGATCTTCCATTTGGGATTTCCCTTCCGGGAGAGTTAGAGCAAGCGAGAAATCAGACAGCTTAGCAGTCCAGTTCTTGTCCAAGAAAACATTCATGGGAGTTATGTTTCTGTGCACAATGATCCTGGGGAACTCCGTGTGAAGATAAGTTACTGCATTTGCGATCTCCTTTGCCACTTTTAATCTTACATCCCAAGGCAAGAACTCTGTGTCCTTGGAACCGATACCTCCTTGGTGGCCTAGAGCTCCGTTTTCTGCGTCTTCAAACACCAGAACCGGACAAGGGAACTCGAGACAGCATCCCAATAGCTTCAGGAAATTACTGTGATTGGTAACACGAGCAGATATGACAATGTCGTTGTAAACAGCTCCAATTCCATCTCCATCTCCTCTGACTTTCTCCTCCGGAAACATCTTGATCATGTAAGATCTGTCTTCGATGCTACCTGTGAACCAGGTGAAGTAAAGGTCACTAGTGACATAGCGGCTTGGGTCGAAGCCATTTGTGGCCTTGAGGATCTGATCGGAAGAAAAGCTTCGGATAGGATTGGTTTTGCCGTTGCATCCAGCAATGAGCTCTTTGAGAAAAGTGCTTCCATTGTCCAAGAACCAGTGTTTCCTCCACTTTTTACCATTATTTCTCCAGAACTTCATGATCTTCTTCGGATCAATAAAGAAGTGATTTTCCAGCCTAAAATGTTGATGGTAGTCAAAGTTGCCTCCTGGTGAAGATAAAACAGTATAATAATAGTGTTGAATCTGAAGCCATTGAAGTTTCAGAAAGTCAACTTTTTCAGCCAACAAGTTTGAAACCCATTCTATGGCACATGTAGTCTGAATGACCAACACCGATCTTTCATGACTTTCAACTTTTGTAGCTTGTTCCCCAAACAACGCCTCGACGCTAAGAACTAATCCTCAGTTCGACACGGAGGTTGTATCTAAGAACCTAAAGACGACATGACGACCAATACTCAAGCTTTCAACAGTCGAGTGATCTTTCTATCAGCTTAATCTCTTTCGCCACCAAAATCATCTTCGGCCTGTCTTCATCCTTCTTCTCGCAGCATCTCAGTGCCAGCTCAAGAAACATTCTCATCTGACCAAGCCTCATGCCGTTCGAACCATCCACGAACTCAACAGTCTCTCCTCTCTCCTGTAGATCCTTCACGTAGTCAAGGATATTACAATGAACCCCACTCGACCCAGCGAAAACCGCTGGTCTTCCAATCAAAAGAACCAACATGAAGATTCCAAAGCTGAAGACATCTGTGTACTCTGTCACTAAACCCCTGGAGAAGTAAACCGGATCTATGTACCCGAAAGTCCCCTTCACTCTGTCTTTAATCCACGACTTCCCCTCGGGGAGTGATACCGAGAACGTGAAATCAGTCAGCTTCACCGTCAAATTCTTATCCAAGAAAACATTCATTGGCTTGATGTCTCTGTGTATGATAATCCTAGGGAAAGCCGTGTGAAGATACGTCGCAGCAACCGCAACCTCCTTCGCAATCTTCAACCGAACATTCCAAGGCAACGACGTACCGTCCTCGCAACCACCACGCTCGTTCAAAACCCCGTTCTCTGGGTATTCGAATACCATAACCGGAAGGGGAAACTCGAGGGAACATCCCAGAAGCTTGAGAAAGCTACTTTGATTGCTTACCCGAGCTGATAAGACGATGTCGTTGTAAACCTCTCGCAAGCTCTCTCCTTTAAACGATGACTCTGTGAAGTTTTTGATGGCGTAAGGCCGGTCTTCGATGACGCCCTTGTACCAGGTGAAGAATCTATGACGAGAGAGATAACGACTGGGGTCGAATCGATCCGTGGCCTTGAGGATTTGATCGGAAGAGAAGAACCGGATCGGGTTTGAAATTCCGTTAGAGTCGGCGATGAGTTCCTGGAGGAAAGTGCTTCCATTGTTGAAGAACCATTCGCTCCGCTTGTCCTTCGCCTTCTTCCTTCTCCAGGATCTCATCGTCGAGGAAGATTGCAAAAAATTATAATTTTTGAGCTGAAAATGGATAAAAGATACTATTTTTATTTTATTTTATAATTCTTTGACCTACTCAAACGTTCTAGATATCTACAAACAAAATCAATCGATGTTAAAAAACACAAACAAAATCAATCATTCACTTTTACTTCACGGAAAGAAACCGTCTTGGGTCGAGTTTTTGATATTCTGAGTCTCTGAATCTTCTTCCACTTCACAGCTCTGTATACTGATGAATGATCGGAAGATGAATTGGTGGAGGAAGAAGGCGAAGAAGGACTCAGAAGCAAATCAACGGCTGAGATTGTTCCAAGAGAACGGCAAGGTCCTCTTAGAAGATCTCATCGAGCTTTGCAATGGCAAATCCAACCCGATCAAGACTTTCTCTGCTAACCAAATCATCGAAGCCACCAACAATTTCAGCGAGAGTAACCACCTGATTCGGTTCGAGTTTATGTACAGAGGTATGCTCGAAGCCCGTCCTGTCCTGATCAAAAGAGCCATATGGAATTTGTACACGTCTGATACATTGCAAAAGATCTGTCGCGACATAGCGGTCTCGTCAATGGTGAGTGGTCACAAGAACTTCCTCAAATTGTTAGGATGCTGTCTTGAGTTTGAGTATCCGGTCTTAGTTTGTGAGTACGCAGAACGTATACCTCACATTAGTCCAAGTTTGGGAATGCTTTCTTGGGGGTTGGGAATGCGAATTAAGATAGCTAAAGAGATTGCGATTGCGGTTTCTTACCTTCACACCGCGTTCTCAAGAACGATGATCCATATGGATGTACAGCCTTCTAACATATTCTTGGATTCGAACGGGACAGCAAAGCTAAGTGGGTTTTGTCTCTCTGTCTCAATTCCAGAAGGAGAGACATTTGTTAAGGTCGATGCTGAGAGAGTAGAAGGAGTGTTGGATTACCTAGAGTATAACTATGTGACGACTGGTGTAGTCACTGAGAACACCGATGTGTTTAGCTTTGGCGTGTTGTTGCAGAACCTTTTGACTGGAAAGTACGGAGTAGCTGATCGTTGCAAGGGTGGTGATGAGAGTCTGTTTGAAAATTTTGAATGCGTACAAAATGTGATGAACCTGAGGATTTCAGATAGGGTATGCAAGTTTGTGGAAGAAGGAAGAATCTTTGAGATATTGGATCCAACAATGTTGGAAAGTACGAGTGATGATGAAACCGCAGAACGAGAGAGACGGCGAATGGAAGCAGCCCTTATGCTCTCACTCAGATGCACTGGTCATAGAGGTGAAGTTCCAAAGATGATGGAAGTGGCAAAAGAACTAAAGAGGATTGAGAGATGGAACAGAGCAGAGATGTCGTTGTAGACTTTATCTGGTCAATTTTGTAATAATAAAAAGATGTGGGTCAAATTGAAATATCTAATTGTGGGTGTAGATTATATTTTGTGAACTTAGGGAGTCAATTTGTTATATTTTAAAACCCTGTGGGTCAAATTAAAATATTTTCGGAGCGAAGAAGAACAAGTAAAAATAGCACCTTTGCTCTCTGCTGCTACAGTCATCATCTCTAATGGGGAAGAACAAGAAGAAGAAGAACAGATCAGATTTGAAGAACGGAGCGATTCTATTAGAGGAACTAATCGCTTCCTTCGACGGCAAAACCAATCCGATTCGTTGCTTCTCCTCCGATCAGATACTCAAAGCGACCGACAATTTCTCCGAGAGCCGAGTTATCTCCAGTTGGGGATACTTCATCTGGTACAGAGGCGTAATCGAAAACAGAGCAGTCTCGATCAAGAAATGGTCGAGCCAGAACCTCTCAAGCTTCACGGAGGCGTATCGCGATATCTCCGTGTCGTCGCAGATGAGCGGACACAAGAACGCTCTTAAGCTCATAGGTTGCTGCTTGGAGTTTGATCTTCCGGCTTTAGTATGCGAGTACACAGAACACGGACCGCTCAACAGAGACGGAGGAATCTCAAGTGGAGAGGTTCTCCCATGGAAAGTGAGGTTGAAGATCGCGAAAGAGGTCGCGAGCTCCGTGACTTATCTCCACACGGCGTTTCCGGAGACTATAATCCACCGGAACATAAACCCGACGAACATTTTCATCGACGAGAATTGGACGGCGAAGCTTTCTGATTTCTGGTTCTGTGTTGCGATACCAGAAGGGGAATTGTATGTAGAAGACGATGTGAAAGGGGTCATTGGGTTTGTCGATCCAGATTATTACTGGACAATGAAAGTTACAGAAAAGGTTGATATTTATAGCTTTGGAGTTGTGATGTTGGTTTTGCTGTCTGGAAGAGCTGCTGTGTTTAATGGACCAGGGGAGACTCATTTGTCGCTTAACGATCATGTCTCTGAGATAATGGATAAAGGTGGGTTTGAAGAGATTGTTGATAAAGAGATATTGAATGTTTCGTCTGGTGATGAGTTGGTTCTGAGACGGTCACAGGTCGAAGCTTTTCTTAGACTAGCTTTGAGATGTGTGAGATACAAGAAAGTAGATCCAGTGAGTAGTATGCTTGAAGTTGCTAAAGAGCTCAAATTGATTGAGAAACTCTCTTAATTAGTCCTCATTTAGTTTGTCTACTCTTAAAAGATTGCCTTTGAGGAATATAGTGATGTCTCCAGAGTTCTTGTGCTGTACCTTGTCTTTGTCTTTTCTCTATCAAGAACCCATAGTTTCGTATTTGTTTCTTCTTGATTTCATTTTCGGATACTGTTATTTTCTCGGCAAGCCAAAGATGGTAACTTTTGCCTCTAAAATGAAATAACCAAGTGTGAACACATTTCGTCTCATGTGAATGCTCTTGAAAGTCAACTCTTTTCTCCAGCCGACTAAACATATTCGCTTCTGTTAGTGGACCATACCCACTTTTTTCTCTGTATCTAATATTTTAACTTGATATGCCTTTGTTCTCTTATTGTACAGCGTTCATGGTGCTCTTCATTTCTGAGGTACGATCTTGATTCTGATTTCAATCTTGTAGACATTATTATGGTTCGGATTCCAATTCTTGTCTCCCTTTCGGCTTTGGTGTTCATTACCTCCTCCATTATAATTGTGATAAAACACATCAACTACTATTGAATTGTTCTTAGTCCCAGCCTTGTTGTGTAGACATTAGAGATCTAGATTTTCGAGAAACCCAATATACTTTTCTCCATTGCAAAACCAATGATTAGAACTATCCTCTCTTTATTTTCAGCCGTTGAGAGTGTATTAATGGAGTCTCTGTGTTTTCTCCTATTGTGCTCGAAAGGATCAGCTTTGTATTCTATAAGATGGATTGGTTGAGAATAAGAAGGCTTGGAGCCAAGACAAGGCAGGGGAACGTCAAAGAAAATGGCGAGGTTGTTCTGAAGGAGCTCGTTGAATGTTGTGATGGAAAATGCAATCCTATCAAGAACTTCTCTTACGATCAGATCATCAAAGCAACAGATAACTTCTGCCAAAGCAACCGTGCTTCCCGGATTGATATCTATTACCGTTGCTATAAAGGCATGCTCGATGACCGTCCTGTACTCGTCAAGAAAGGGAAATACACGCTTGATATGAGAGAGATTTGTCGGGACATAGCGATCTCATCGATGGTGAGCGGTCATAAGAACTTCCTCAAGCTATTGGGATGCTGTCTTGAGTTCGCTCCTCCTGTCTTAGTCTTTGAGTACGCGGAGATTATAACTCTTGGTCCACTAGTTGCGTCTGATCTGAAAAACTTGAGGAGGATAAAGATAGCAAGAGAGGTCGCAAACGCTTTGACTTACCTTCACACTGCGTTTTCAAGGGCTTTCATCCATTCGAATCTAGATCATTTCACGTTTTTCTTAGATGAAAATGGGATCGCAAAGCTCGGGAATTTCTGCAACTGTATCTCCATTCCCGAAGGAGAGACTTTTGTTCATGATGATGCATTACAGAAGTACCATGAGTTTAGGCGCAGTACCTTAAAGGAAACTCATGGACTCGGTGTATGTTACGTACCAGTCATCGATCCTGAGTACAAGTCAACCGGTAAGGTCACGACGAAGACCGATATGCACAGCTTTGGAGCGTTCATGCTAGGTCTTGTGCAGATAAAGGAAGTCGATGATGAGCTGTCTCTATCTTCAGGTATGCTGAAAGCATTAGCTGATTTATTCATTCAACCTTATGACGATGCTCGATTCCCGCTTCACCATCACGTGTCGAAGATACTGAGGAAGTTTGGGTATGCAGATGTTATAGATTCGGATATAAGTAGAGATGTGAGTGATGTACATGCTTCGCCGGTTAAGGCCTTTCTTAGATTAGCTTTGAGATGCATCGGATGCAACTTAGGAGACCCGTTGAGTAGCATGATTCAAGTGGCGAAAGAGCTCAAGCTGATTGAGAAATCTGCAAATTATCCATCAAATCGCAGATGAGCTCCATATATGACACATTTTGATTCACAGTTCATAGTTTTTGAATAGATGGTCAAACTCTCTCTGGAAAGTCACGTTGACATCTGTCTGAAACAGTAGAATTCAGATTTTTACTCCAAGAGACGAGCAAAGGTTATACAGATTTACTTCTGAAGATACCTGCAGTTTTACACTAGGTGAGAAAATTAGAGGTTTACTTAATAAATAATCTTCCAAAATGTATGATGTTTTAGATGTTTCACAGATATTAAGAAAACAATGATTATTTACTTTTTTAAAATACTTTTTGTGTGTTTATTAATTTAATACTAATTTTTTATAATTTTTTACCCAAAAAATTGTCTTACAATGATTCAAAAAGTTCTTAATGATTTACTATTAAAAACTAAATTAGATTTATTAACTTAATATGATATGAAGTTATATATAGATGACCACGGCTCCTCTCTTCTCGAGAATCCATACATCTCTTATCAGTGTATGGACAGCTATCTCTCGAGCGCAGGTTTAGGTTCGGTCTCAATGGAAAAATAAAATGGAGCACCTAACAACGTATCTTCACAGACCAACTACGAGATCACCCCTTTAGTCTATGATCTAAACGAGTCGCACATATACCTGAGTACATGTTCCCCGGAAACAGAAATATATTAAATATAATGTAAAAAATCAATCTTTGTGGAATAAAATAAAAAACCTAAACCATAAACAAAGGGAGTATTAATTAATTTAGATGTTACTCTTATTCTTTGTCTTAAATTTTGATTATTTTTTTTAAACAGAAATTATGTTAACTTCAAAGACAAACGACGAACCATATTTACCAAATTTTCTCTTAACAAATGGTAAAAAGTAAAATTTTAACTATTAATTTGGTGGGTTAAGCCAGCCCGTGCAGTAGTGCAACGCATGGGCAACTCGCGAAAGCCCATAGCAAACTGGGCTTTCTCCCTTAAAACATAGAGTTAATATCGTGTTGACCGATAATCCACATATCAGATATTAAACTGATGAGAACAGATACTACACTTGATCTTAGCCAAAAGGCCGAGAAAGGTATGAATTGGAAGTGAGGCTCGGCTTCCTTTTTATACTATCAAGTTTATGAGTAAGGCTTCTCTACTTACCGATGTGGGATATTATAAAAATAAGACACTTCAAAGTTCACACATCTATACATGAAAATCAATACGACGTCGAGCCATCACCTTACGCCTTCTTTGTCGGTGAGTCTGAAGGGTCGATACTTAGTACAGTGGGTTTGGCTCTCTGGTTTTGACACATCGTCTGGATTTGAACATTGTACCTTTAAGCATTCGTTGCAGCTCTGAAGAAGTTCTGAATTGCCTTGTCTTGCTACTTAACTTCTGATGGTCTTTTATAATTCTGCGTCTGTGTGTTCTTTGATATTGATTACAGAACTATGTAATAAACCCAAACGAGAAATTGTGAGCTGGTGTTTACTTAAACCTCAGTGATCTGCGAGCAAAGAGGCGTATCGATTTTCTAATGCACCATCTGGAAAAAATATATCTTTGGGCAAAAATCAACGAGGTTTGGGCTGGAAATTTCATCTCATAAAAGAAGAAAACAACTGGAAGAAGATGTTTGATGGAATCGATGCTACTAATTAATATCGATCTTTACAATGCAATGATTTATCAATTCAAAATTTCAAATACAAGGCTATACAGACAAGACTCCAGCATTGTTTGGTGGTGACTGGCTTCTAGTCGGTGATACGGACACTTTGTCGATAACAAGTGTAAGGGGAGAATCCAGTTCCATTTACTTTGTATTACAGACGCATTGCATCCAGTTCAGGACAGAATTCATCAGGTGTGAGGTTGCAGAGTATATCATTGATCAGGAAAAGATTGATCGATGGGCATATATAACTATGAATCAATCAAAGAAAAGTCAGTTTAATCAAGAACTTAAAGAGTGATAGAGATATCAAAACAGAACCTCTTCTCTAATGGATTGATCCACAAGCATGTCTTCTGGGAGCATAAGTTCGATAATTTCTTTTAGCAAACTAAGGTCAGCCTGAAACACATGAGGAACCATGAAAAAGGCTGAGAATATCAAGATCCTAAAAGCTACTACACTCAATGTTAAATTGTGTTTACGTTACCATCGAAACATCCGCAAGATTTAGCAACTAAAATGAGACTAGAAACAGTGTTTCTAGCGACAGCTTCTCTCTTTCCTTCCCTCCAGGGATATAGATTCTTGACATTCGCTGAGTTAAGGCGTGTGAAGCTTGTAAGCTGAGCTCAGAGTAGTTGGTACAACGGAATAAAGTGAAATCTTGAGCGCGGTAACTTCTCTCAGCTCTTCTTCGAGTTTCTCGATTCTTGTATCCAAATTCTCAACATTTTTGTTTTATTGCTTCTTCATCCTCACTTTTCTCTTTGACATCGTCACATGCCTCGTTCTCATTAACACTGCCAATGCCATCATGTGAAGCTACAATCTTCCGAGTCTTTGACTTCACCGACATTTTCACCCTCGCAAGTTCCTGGAAAGGACACAAAATGTCACGAACGGTTTCAGTGTTCTTGTTGGATGATGGAAAAACATTTGTATTAATTTCTTTCTTTAATGTTCAAGGAGAATAACAATGGACATATTCGTTTTTCTCATCCCGATGTTTCATATACATGTTAGTATCCCTTTTCTTTTTTTTTTTTTTGTGTGGATGCAGAGATTGGATGTATGTTATATGAGTTGCATCCAAAATTCGAGTGTGTAACACATATGTTAATGACATTATCGACATTCACATAATTCAAGCGTAGTTACATAGATATTTAAAAAACTGTCTTCTATTTTGATTTATTTTTCTGCTGTTTTTTGTTCCACTATTTTCTTTCAAGACCCAACAAGTTTTTTTTTTGGGGGGGCAACCGACCCAACAAGTTATTTACGACATTTACTGAAATTATACAGCTAAGATTCAAAGTTAGACTAGTAATATGGTGGGTTGAGCCAGGCCCGTGCAGTAGTGTAACGCATGGGCGACTCGTGAAAGCCCAGATAGCAAGCTATCTTAATGGGCCTTCTCCCTAAAAAAATAGAGTTAATATCGTGTGAGCCGATGGCCCACATATCAGATATTAAACTGATAAGAACAGATACTACACTTGATCTTAGCCAAAAGGCCGAGAAAGGTATGAATTGGAAAGAAGGCTTGGCTTTCTTTTTATAATACCAAGCTTATGACTCATGCTTCTCTAGCTTACCGATGTGGGACAAACTATCCTTCTATTTCTATGCAAAAATTACGTGAAGGCCTCTTTTAGGAATTATTTTCTCTGTCCGTTATTTGTGCTCCGATTCTGTTCATAGCTGCTACATACTCTATATTCTTTCCTTGGTCTCAATTTTACATTATAGATCCGAATAGGCAAATTTCCAAATAATTTTTGAGTCTGCAGAAACATGAATTCCTACTTATTAGTGTCTCTATGGGTGAGATTGTTGTTAAAGAGTTTTATAACCTCTTGAGACACTAGATACAATCCTCTATATATGAGCATATTCATCTGGTCACTTACATAGACCACGCTTCCCTAAGAAGGTCGTATCTTACATTTGTTAGCACTGCACCTATTTGCTCATCTTTCTGCTTCACCTTCTCAATTTCCCTCGAAATTGGTGATAAGGACACTTTGTCGATAACAAATGTAAGAGGAGAATCCAGTTCTTCAAGCTCATCGTCGCTCGTGTATCCTTTTCTTTGTATCACAGACGCGTTCCTCGACATTCTAGAGATGCCTCGTCCTACATCTGCAACTTTCTCTGCTACATGGACCGATGATGGAGGAATGTATGTAACAGGCGTAGCTGCATAAGGGAAGCTAACTCCTGAACATTTCTGTTCCGACAACATGGTCTGGTGAGATACAAAACCAAAAAAAAAAAAAAAAAAAATAAGGTATATAGTGAGTGAGTGCAAAGAAGAGCAAAGAGTTAAGAAGAAGGATTTTCATTTGTTACCTCGGCGTTAAGCTCTTCTAGGACAGCTCCAGGGACATGATCAGGACAGAACTCATCAGGTGTAAAGTTGCAGAGTATTCTTGTGATCAGAGGAAGACTTATCGATGGGCATACCTATAAATCAACCCAAAGAAAAAAAAAATCAGTTTGAGAGAGAGCTTAATCAAGAACTTAAGAGTTGTATAGAGATGCTGAAACAAAACCTCTTCTCTAACGGATAAGTCCATAAGCAAGTCTTTTGGGAGCATAAGTAGATCGCTAAGTTCGTTTAACAAACTGAAGGATTTCTCGCTTTCTACGAGATCACTTTCTTCTACAGAATCTCCAGTGTTCATGTCGAACATTTCAGCGAGGCATCTACACCAATTGCCAATCTACAAGCAAGAGATTATCATACCATTCAAGAGCATTAGCATCTTCTCAAGTGAAGTGTGTATCTAACAATCTGGTTCATGGGTTCTTTGATGCTGTACCGCGTTTTTAAGCTGTGCACCGGATCCAAAGCTTAAGTCTCCAGCAGGTATAGGAAGAACTTTGGAATCAAGGATAGGATCAGAGACAGGATCCGTGGGAATCTGATTCCCTGATTCCCGCAGTATAGCGTTGAACATTGCTACGTCAACTCGAGCTATACACTTCTCCATTACCTATCCAGAGAGACGAAAAAAGTAAGATTCCAGTAGCTTTTTTCCATAGTTTTTGCTACTGCCTTAAAGACTTTAAGGTGTAGAATCTGAGTACCATTTTAGCTAAGATAGGTGAGCAACCGCACTCGTGCCCTGATCCTCGCGTAGGACATAGCCGCGACAGAGCAACTTTGAAAGCGTTTTGCCATAGGCTGATTGAAAAGCTTCCTTGCTCTTGATCTCCCAACACAGTTCCCATTAGTTTCTCATTCCTTTCAGGGGATTGCATATGAGGAGTGAAGACCTGAAAGACAGAGAGAGAACAAGAACAAAACTTTGAAAGAAGGAACACTGGAATTTCAGTGAAAGATGAAGGCTTTCTTGATATTTCTACCTGCCACCAAACAGATTCGACGATTCTAGAGAAGACCCAGAATTCAACTTTCTCTAACGAGGCAGTGAAGGTTTCTCTTTCCTCCCAGTCTTCGAAAACCCGCTTGAAACCATTTGATTGGTTCTTTTTCCTCCTTAGCTCCACTGAACCAATTTGTTCACTCCCATTTGATTTAGAGGTCTGTGTGAAACGACTCGGAACATGAGACTTAACAAACGCCTGTGAAATGATCTCTCTCAAAGCAATAATGTTCGATAACCAGAAGGTCAACCTGAAACACATACAAAAACCAAGAAAAATCTCAGAAAATCCTAAAAGCTACTTCACTCATAATGTTAAACGGTGTTTTCATGTTAACCTCGAAACATCATTTCCGCAAGATTTAGCAGCTAAAATGAGACCAGAGACGGTGTTTCTAGCGATGGTAGCTCGCTTTCCTTGACTCCAACGTTTACAAGCATGGATATAGAGTCTTGAAACTCGCCGAGCAGGCGTGTGAAGCTTGTGAGCTGAGCTGGAGTGGTCAGGTACAATCGAATAGAGAGAAATCTCGAGCGCTGCGACTTCTCTCAGCTCTTCTTCGAGTTTCTCAATTCTTGTCTCCAAATTCTCAACCTTTTGTTTCAATGCTTCTTCATCCTCGAAATTATCACTTCTCTCTGTCACATCACCTGCCTCCTCACTTCCACCGCTTAGACCACCTTCGCAGGTTTCAGAACAAGATGCAGAATCCGTCTTCTCATTAGCACCAACGTCTTTGTTTTCTTCCTCATCACCATCTTTCGCCATATCACAAACCGAGCCATTTATAGTCTCTTCCTTCTCAGTTTTTTCTGTAATTCTACCAGAGTCGGACTCTTGGTGAGCATATAAAGACCCATTTGCCGCATCATCCACTGTCTCCTCAACTTTAGACAGCTCTGACTGTGTAGCTATATCATTTACGACTAGTGAGACATTAGATTCTTCCTTGGTGTCTAAGGCTTTGAGTTTTTCTTGCTCCGGAGATCTTTTAGCACCGTTCGTCTTCTGTGGCTTTTGATCTCTTTTACCATTCTTCATAGACCGATTCGACTGGACATTGTTAGTTGTTCTTCCCTTCATCATCAACCTTTTTACAAAAAAAAAAAAAAATCTCCTTGCAGTGAAAAGCAACTTTCAATTAACCCTGAAGAAGAGAACAGATGTGATCAATAGACTGACACAGAGGAAATGGACAAAAACTCGGTAGCGTATATTCCTGAAATCCAAGGCTAATTAAGATATACTAAGAAGGAAGACGACAACATTATCGGCACTTGTTATGGTTTGTCTGAATCTACATGTTAAAAAAAAACGATTTTTAAATTATGTACCAAAAAAGGGCAAAGCCCCCACAGAAGCAATCAATAGATTATCACAATTTCCTAAGTTGCTAATAGAAATGAGTGCATTCACTATCTAGTAATTCACAATAATGATTTTAGTTGATAAAAAAACCACGAATTTCAGATAAATAATATTCCTACAGCGTCTGAGAAATGGGAATTACTTAAACTGCAGATATGAAAAACGAAACAGAGAAGACAAAGAGGGAAAATTTACGATGTGGCTTGAGAGCCTCGAGGAAGAAACACAACACCGAAAGAAAACAAAAATGTTTAAGAAAACTGCTGCTTCACTTCGGGATCACCAAGAAAACTAGTTTTGCTCCTCAAATGAACTTTTTCTTTTTATCTAGAAACCGTAAAAGCAACTTTCTCTCTCTCTCTCTCTCTCTCTCTCTCTCTCTCTCTCTCTCTCTCTCTCTCTCTCTCTCTCTCTGGGCTCGTGGGTTTTAGAAAAATGAGAAGTGCAGGATTTAAATGAGAGGCATTAAAAAGGATGGATCGTGTACGGTACGTACCGTGAAGATCGTGGTCGTTGTGAATGATGCCGTTACATGTAACCGGGAAGCCTTGTCGGTGGCTCAAGTGGTTTACCGGGACCGGGAGTGGCCGGTCACATTGTGCTCGTTTACTTTTAGTCAGAGTAATGATGCCCGTAGTGTGTCCCTTTCACTTTCGTCCTTCAGATTTTATTGCCTTCCACTTTTAAACAGTGTCTGTGATTTAGATTCGGATTTTATGATTTTTACATCAAAAGAAAAAACTGTGAAAGTTATTTTATTTTCTTTAGGATTAAGGTAGAAGTAGTTATATAACTTGGGATGATTGTAACTATATTTGTGAACAAGGTTTCATCGTCTATTCGATTAAAGAAACCCTTGAAGATAATTTTAGTTGAGTTTAGGAGATTGTGGACAAGGGAAGAGAGAGTGCATGTGGCCATGGATTGTAGAGTAGATTAGACTACAGCGAGCAAATAATTAAAGCAAAAGTTTTTGCGTAGTTAGGATATTTTTATAATAGGAAACGACAAAAAAACCACTTCAAATGAGTAATACCGACATAATGCAAATGATGATTTTGGAACTATAGATGCAATATCATCAATGCAGCAGCTAGCAACAGCAATAAGTAGACCACCCATTTTTCACTGTTGATAAATAAACAGCCACCGAACATTCAAATAAGTTAATGCCGACTTTTTCAGCTTAACCAATTTTGTCAAATCTGAATTTCACTTCAGATTTTTTGGAAATCTGTGCAATCTGTGGACACCCCCCAACATATGGAGATCCAACACACAAGATTTAGGGATGCCACAGTGAAAGGTCATTAAAACATCAGAACCAGAGAACCTAGTGGACTTATCCAAGCTTCATGGTTCTAAATGGAAATGCACACTTTAGCAATCATTCCAAGCTTCTAAATTTATTTTATCACCCAATATGTTTGGAAACAAAAACATCAGGAATCTTATCTAGTGTGTTATCCTACAATTGTCACCTGATTTCTTACATGCTAGAATCTTAAGCTATGGTGATGAACAACCGTCTTGACGTTTACATAACTAGAGAACAGATGATAGAAACTTTCCATAACCAGAACTATACAGACTATACTTATACCCTCTGACAATTACTGATGATACAGGTATCTAGATAAATCTATTGCACAGTGTCATAAGATAAGGAACTAAAGTTCACACAATGAACAGAGTTGCAGAAACAGACCAGACCATAATCAAATGAATCATACAACGTGAGCAAAAACGGTTTACTAGTTAGTCCAAGTAATAGAGCCCTCAAAAATGTCATAACGACAGAAAGCTAGAGACTCACTGAAGCTGAGACATCATCTAGATAAACCGGCAAATTAAAAAGCAATCAAATTTGAGAAGTTATATAAGCAAAGGAATACAGAGGCAAATGCTTTGAAAACATAAGGTGAGTTACACATATAACCATCGTCAAGAGTTAAAAAGATCGTTTATTTCATCAACATATGTATCGACACTAACGATTAAAAAAGGAAGAGGAGAGGGAATCAAACGAAACCCTGTGTTGTTCATAAACGGGAAAAATTCCTCAAACCCCCCGGAGAAGAAACAAAGCACACATACCAGATCAAGGATCCAATCATTTCCTCTATCCAAAGATCAACAGGAGGAATCTCCGACAGAGGCGAGTTTCTCCATTTCGAGTCGCTCGAGAGCTTTCTGGTGAGCCCAGGTCTCGATCGAGAGATCGGGTTTCGCATTGAGACCGACACCGAGGATAACAATCGTGAGGAAGCTGGTGAGGTAACAGGGAAGCTCCCAATCTTCCCACTTTCGCGACTGTCCCGGGGCCGGCGGAGTCCGGTTCATGAAATATCCTTTGGGACGCATCTCGTGGCCTGCCGTCGCCCACCGGCTTGAACCGGCAGATGTGGATCCGGTTCGGAAAAGGATCCGGTTTCGGAGCGTCTTCGCTGCGACGATCAGTGGCTGCTGCGTCGACGCCATCGCCGAGTGATTCCGATTTTTCGATGTGAGAGCGACCAGACGAGAAAATAAGATTTTTAGTTACAAACGCGAGTGAGCAAAAGCTACACAATACTCCTGAAACGACGTCGGAGTTTTAGGGAATTCGCAAAAACGATGTCGTTTTGAATGAACAAAACCAAATTCTCAAAGTTGAAGAAACCTTGTGTTCACCAACAATTACATACATTCAAAATTCAAACAGATTCGTGTAAAAGACCAGAACTGAAACCAACAAACGACAGATTAGTAACAGTGGAAGGTCTAAACTCGAGAGGAACATTCCAAGCAGAGTTCAGATCACCATCTGACCATCTCAGGTCAACATTCTCGACGCTAAACCCTTTCACGTGCTCCATAATGATCCCAGCCGTGGCGCTATGGTTCACAAGACCTTGACATCCAGGTCTATAGTCCACAAGCCCTGCGCTGTAATTACTCCATCTTCTGAGAGTCAGGTTCATGTTCCTGAACTTTATGTCTGAGAGCAACCCGTTTGGAGAACCCGACAAAAACACTCCGTTTTCGGAATCGATCGTCACGTTTACGAATAGGAGATTCGAGACTGAGCCTTCCTTTGAGGATGAGTCACGCGGGCAAGTTGTTATATAGATTGGCTCTGCTCTTCCCCACCACGATGGATCGTAGTATCTTGTACTAATGTTTATATTCGAAAACGTAATGTCACTCACATTTCCTCCATCGCGTATTTGCATCGCGAGGCCTCTGTGTGATTCGCTGATGGTGATGTTATCAAAGACAAGACCTTTGAAGTCGAACCAGCTCGCGCTGCCGAGTTTAATGGCTGATGATTTGGTGCGGATCCAACAGTCCGTAGCGGTCAGGTTGTAGAGCGGACCAGTGTAAGTCTTGGGGCAAATCGCATCGTCTCCTGTGTCGATGTGACACCGAGTTATGACAGTGTTGTTCGAGTCTTCGATGTCGATTCCGTCGTTATTTGGAGTGTTGAAGTCCCCTAGAATCGACACGTCGCGGACTGATGTGTTGTCGCACCTCACTATGTGCAAACTGCAAACCAAACCAGAGGTTTATGCAACTAAGTACAGATTATATCTGAAATTGAGCAATCATCACAGAAGATCAAATTTCTCATCGACTCTACATTTTGCTAGAACTTTGGTTCATAAGTATAAAAGTGTTACTTGATCTTCGGCTAAACAACCAACAAGATTTCAAAAAGCAGAGTATAAAACTAACCACCAATACGCAGGCTCTCGAAGCGTGATGTTCCAGATTTGAACATTCGTGGAATCGACGAATCCAACAAGCCTAGGCCTACACTCATCACCCAAGCAAGCCCCAGTCTGATTCCAGCTCACCATCACGTTCTTCTTCTCGTCGAACCTCACCACGAATTCCGATCCCTGGCCGTCGATTGCTCCCCCGCCGGTGATTCCAACATCCGTGGCGTTGTTCGCCACCACCACGTACCACTCCGACGAAATCTCAGCAGGGTAATCTTCGATCCTAGGACCCCCGAGAAGCACCGCGTTCTCCGTCACATCGAGGAGGACGCCGGATCGGAGATGGAGCTTGGCGGTCAAATAAGTGCCCGGAGGAAACGTGACGCGGCAGATGGAGGAGGACGTGGTGTAGTGAAGATTGCAGGCGTTAATGGCGGACTGTATCGCGGAGGAGTCGTAGTGGATTCCGTCGCCGATTGCGCCGAAATCGGTGACGGAGAGGGCCAGCGCATCGCCGGGAAGTTTGATGTTTGGAGATGACGTGTACGAACGTGATTGGACGAGAGATAATAATAGGCTCAATAAAAATATGCTTCGCAATATCAGTGGTGGAAAGCCCATTGCGAATTTGTGGGTCTCTAGTCTGATCCAATCATGGACTTTATTGGCGTGTATGTTATTAAAAAAGAAAATAATAATCATTGACATGTATTCCATTCAATCAAATATTTGCAATGTTTAGTGCATATGTTATACAACTACAAATTTTAAAACAAAAGCATCAGCAAATCCATTATTATTGTTATAAAAAAAACATCTCAATTTTTTTGGTTTTAAAAAGATTGTAGAGAATTTTAATGGTTGATATATTGCATTAAACTATTTCAAACTAATGATTTCAAAGTGTTTTGGAGGTGTGTGTGTAAGTGTGTTCTTTTTTTTATGATCATAGGATTCGAAATCACGGTTATATGAATGATGAGAAAGCAGATATCACTGGATGAAGAAGATGTGTAAGTCCTATACATGGTTTTGGTTGGTCATTACGGCTAGATGCTGGTTTTGTTTCAGTTCATACCATTTTGGTTAAGTTTGGGTTTAGTTTGAATCACAAGTTACAAAACAAACAACAAATTTGCTTCTAAATCTACTTCTCTTTATCACCGGAGACTGTGATTTGATATTATGGATTGGAAATTCTGGTAAAATTATGAAATTTGTGTCTCTGAATCAAATGACTGATACCTTCTCAACAGATATCTAATTCTTATATATTTATAATTATATATGAAGAGAGACAAGCTTATACGATATATATACACATTCATGACCTAATAATGTTTTTACCCAAATTACAGCTCCATTTTGACCTGATTCGGGTGCAAATTTTCAGAACCCACCATTAAGTTTTCAGAAGACGCCATCAAACTGTTGTGGTCATTGCCATGAGCTTGATCCTCTTCTCTTTCCCATACCGGCTGGTTCAAGCCGTCGAAAGTCCACTGTTGAGGTGGTGGTGGTTGCAGTTGCCGGTGATGATATGACTGCTCTGTCTCCATCACTTGATGAGGCCAAGCAAGCTGCATTGATGTACCGTTGAAGCTCCCATCCATTAAAGAACCGTTCTGTGAAATTACAAAAAAAAAAAATCGAGCCAAACCCGGGAAAGATATCAGCGCAGGGATCATTCATAGAGATCTTGATCTAGTCAAAGAAGTCAGCTGTTGCTGCTGTGTAATTATTATCCTAAAAAGAACAAGGTTTAATGAGAGGGACCCTGACTATTTATTGGTGGGTAACAAGCTGTAAGAAGAAAGAGAAAGCATTTATTTTACTCTGGTCCAAAAGATTTTGATGAGAAAAATTAAATTATACGTAGAATCCACAGGTGATTATGAGATTAGATAGGTGAAAAGAAGAAACTTTGAAACAACAAGAAGTTGGAAGAGAGACCCACAGAAATTATTGAGGGATAGAATAAATTTTCTTTTAAAAAAAAAAGTTCATCAAAGCTCATCAATATACACATCCGACATAAGTCACAGAAGACGCAGGAAGGTTTACAGAACAAAGGTGGTCCGAGTTTTGACCCACTAAAGCTGTTTATGTACTGTAATTTGCACGGCGTGTGTGTTGTGTATTTATTTTTCATGAGTTTCCTTCATAAGACTAGACGTTGTTGATCTTCCTATGCTTTACTCTAAATTGGTCTAAGTTAATGTTTGTATCAATAAATACCCAAAAGTTTTCGCTTTTTGTGATAGAAGAAACTAGAAGCTACTCAAAGAGGTATATAGTTTTCTATGGTTTACTCAAATGATAAACACATGCAATGGGTTATTTTTTGCTCTCTCTGTAAAAGAGGAATCAAAAGGACACAAGTATTGTGTGAGATTAGGTACTTTACCTCTGAAGCCAATATGGTGTCGAGATTGAAGTCGATTCTGGGGTTTACCGCAGCAAGTCTCATTGATAGCATCTGCGGAAAAACAAGTTACACTTTCATGAGATTGTGGCACACAATTCTATCCATTTCCAAACTGTTTTGAGTTGACCTTTTGGTTGTGTAAGGCTATATTGTACAATATAGGTATAAAGAACAAAACAGGACCACGGAAAGTCTCACCTCCACTTGACGTTGTAAGGACTGGACATGGTTAATGATTTCATCCAGCACCAACGCGGTACCTTGAATCTGCAGGTCAAAGACGTTCTGATAAGCTTAGCATTCATATTAGGTACATCTCTCTTTGACACAACAACACGAGTTCCTAAGCAGCTACCTGTTTTTAAGATTATTCGATATTTCAAAGAGAATACACCAAAGATTCCAAAATAAACAGCAAGAAGATGACCCTTTCAATCTAAAGCTAACGTAAATGGCATCTACAATCACAGTGATAAAGCTTCAAAAGAAAGTACTCTAGTGGTTCATGGAAAAATCAATCAAATCCTCACAGCTCACCTAAAGAAACCGATTTTTTTTTTTTTACAAACACTGGTGTTTCATGTCATCATCTCCATCTCACCAATAATTGCTGCTAACTTCAAACATCAGGGATGAATTGATTAAATTAGTTGTCTGGGGGAGTGTCACATCATGTTTCCAACTAATTAGGTACGTGGGACTCAAAGCAATATCAATTTTTGTAAAGGATCCTTTCCTTTAATCGTCCTTCTAAGAGTCATTGTCTTTTTTTTCCTTGATAGATACCGAACTTGTTAGAGACGATACTACCCCTTCCTCACCTTCCATAGAAAGCTTTCAACTTTTTTCCCACTTATCATCAAAAAGATGGACCCCAAAACACACTTTGATCTTGATCTTTCCACCAAAATTTGTCCCCTAAACCCAAAACCTTAATGGCACATTACAGCTAGCATCCCCACTTCCTAAGGTCATCCTCGTTATTTATAGACTAATCCCTCAAACTCAATGAACAACACACTTTGAGAAGAGGAAAAAAGGATTCGATAAAGCTATGTCGAATCACTTCCGTGTGACTAGTTTAACCTTAAAGCTAAGTGTACCCGTGAGATATTTCTCCCCACACGTAAATAATAAAGCTGAGATCTTTAAGAGCATTACACAATTACCCCAACTGGCCACTTTGCCACACCAGAAACCACTTTTCTTCGTAAAAAAGCAATTAAGCAATCCACTTTTTGGGAGGGATTAAAAAGAAAAAGGCGTGAAGGATTAAGACCCTTAACAAAAACTAAACCATCAGAATTATATATTCTTACTTTTTTGGTGAATCTATTAAGGAAATATTCTGTCGTTAAGCACAAATGAAGACCTAATGATTGATTAGCATATTTGATTAACACGTCCGTATCAGAGAGACAAACCTTATCACAGCCTGGGACCAGTTCCTGTAGCAGCTTCATTCGTGCATTAATCTTCTCCCTTCTTGCCTATAATTCCACATTAGTGATGAATTAGCGATTAATTAGCTGATTAACAAAAAAAAACAAATGGCAATATTTGTGAGATGAAAGTTACTCGTTCTGCTAAGCTATGGCTATCGGTTGCTTGACCACGGCGAGCTCTAACGTGAACATATGGCAGCTTCTCGGTCTCTTCGGAGCTTTTGTTCTTCTTCGTCGAGCTTTTAGCCTATAAATTTAGGGTTTCATCAGTCACTGATTTAGCAATCTGACGAAACGGAGAACCGAATGTAAAACCAATTTGTCTCACCTTCTTCTCGAATTCTTTCCTCTTGCCGGATCGATTGTTCTGGCTAGGGCACGGGCTTTGATTCTCCGCCGCTTGATCAGAAACCAACCGCTGAGATGAATCGGCATCGGCAGGCTCGGTCTTGACTCTATCCGGATTAGCGCTGGAGCTCGTCGTGGTCTCCCCGGAGACGTTTCCGTTTTGTTGCTCTGTGGCAATCACCGAGAAACGAGCTGCTCGCTCCATGAGGACTGGGTTAGAAGGGAAAGTCAATGTCCCGAAAGAGTGAAGCGGCGGAGCGATATCTCCGCCGATTCCGGTGACGGCAGCCTGGGAAGACGACGAATCAGTGAAATGGAGAAGCTCCACGGCTTGGGTAGGCGGAAGCTCAAGCAACGCCGTGAACCCACCGGCGTTCTCGGGAGGAAGCGTCACCAGTGGCCGAAATTCGTCGCCGAGATGAAGCGATTCAAGCCCTGTTGATTCCCGGCACATCCCACCACCGCCGGATCTAGCTCCAAATTCTCCAGTCAGATCCATAAAAGGAAGCTCACGGGAAAAATCTCCGACGACAACACCGTCCCACGCCAATAACCAAAACCAAATTCTGAAAAAATTGCGTTGCGGTGAGATTCAATGCTTGTGAGTTTGGAATCGGATCTCAGAATCTCGAAAAGAAAATCCCCCAAACAAAACTCCAAAGAGAAAGAGAGAGAGAGACTTGAGTAGAAGAAAATTGGACTTTTGTCAGTAAGCGAGCATATCGCGGCGAAAACAGGTAGAGAAATTAACGTTAAGAAGGTGAATCAATGGCGGTCAAAGAGAGAGTGAAACCCCTCTCTCAGAAACTCCAGAAGAAGGTATTGTTTTGTTTGGAAGAGAGACTCTCTTTCTCTGTCTTCTCTGAGAGAGAAAAGCCTTTACTCCATAGCCATTTGGAGTAGGACGAAAGCAACGTTTGCTGTGGAGTGCGTCTGTTAAATAAAGAGGGCACTGTTAAGAGAGAGAAACCAATTTTGGTTATTTCATGTACGGTACGGCTTTTTAAAAAATCTGTACAATTTTTTTTTTTTTGTTTGCTGGATCCCAATGGATATTAGTTGGGCCTTTTGGGCTTTATCCGCTGATTAATTTTAACCCGTGACTATAATTTTTTTTTAATATACCACTTTTTAATCATAAATTGTATTATTCTAAATAATTTATTGAGCGTACCAGCAGATAACGGCACATATTTAATCCAATTGGTAGATTTGATTTATTCTTCCGCAGGACCAGCCTGCTGTCTCTGACCTCCTTTTTTTTCTTCTATTGTTTCAATAAATTAAGTTGAAAGAAATAAATAAATCAATAATGCGTCGTATATTATTATTATCAGTAGTTAATGCCATAAATGGGGTTATATCACCTTCTGACTTTTCACGGACTCCGATTTCGGTGTGAACAAAAATGTTAAAAAGAAACTTTTAAAATCGTAAAAGAGTTTTGTTGACTTTATTATACGTACGAAAATAACTCACGATAAAAAAAAAAAATAAGTCTCACTGCTTTTAACATTGTAATTATCTCAGCCGTAGGATGGATGCGGCGAGGTTATATATGCCTTGGACAAAATAAGTCGATATCGAAGAATGGGAATTTTTAAAGAAAATGTTGTGGAAAATAGATCTTATCGTGGATTACAGAGTAGAACCTTTAATTCTATAAGAAGAGAAAACGAAAAAAGGGTTTACAAATTTGAATCGGTTTCATCAAGCTCTTGTTTTGTGAAAGGTTTGGTGTAGTAGTAAAGTCACAATCAAAGAGGGAAAAGGTACAATCATTTTTGGCATATCCAATTTGGCAACGTTACATAATCTCCCAACGTCCATTGCTTCTTTAGAGTTGAGAAATTGATGTGTATAGTTCGTATAGCCAACTCTTTAACCAACCAAATACGTATTTTATACACATTCACGTTTAATATACGGGACTTTCCTGTTTTTTTTTATATAAAATTGAAAACTATTGACATATGAAAAGTCTTAATCAATAAGCAGAATTAGGCGGGTGTTGGTCGGAAAGATTAAAAGTACTTCTAAAATGCGTTAATGATCCATGAATAAAAGGGTGCATGATTCAGTAATTTGTACATAAATATGTTTTATGAGTGGGCCTGGATCCCCGTGCTAACCACGTGACCGTGGCCCATTAAGCTTCTCCTCGGAGTAGAGTGGTGTGGGAATTTCCCTTCTTCCCATAATAAAATGTTTTATTAATTAAATGCACCATCATGGTTCATCTTTTTCGTGTGTTTAGGAAAAGGTATTTTTAATTGATAATTTTTATTTAAATGTTCTGTACGACTTGCATTATTCGACAGCTGTTATAAACCTGATATCTATGCATGGGGTACACATATATACATATATGTATATATATTTTAAAAACATTAAACAAATATTCCGGATGGTGCAGTTGTCAAAAAAAAAAAAAAAAAAAAAAAAAATCTGGATGGTGCATAAATTTATCGGGACGAATACTAGCATTGTCTCCTTTCCACATTAGGTGAATAATATCAATTGTGAGTTATTTCAAGATTGATGAATAAATAAGATCTTTCTGAGTTTCTTTTCCCCAAAAAACATATGATATACCTTGGTAAAAAAAACATATAATAGAGTAGAAAGTTAAATTTAGGTGGTGACACAATAATAACACACTAACATAAAACACTCAGTTTTTTAGATCAAAGTTTACCGTGGTTGAAAAATATAGAATAAATATTGTTGTGAAAAGCGTTAACACTACTTAATTTAACCATGGTTGTGGAAACATTTTACTTAGTCAAGAATATGATACCATGTCCGTACAACCAATGCATCATAACATTGAAGGATAATTTGAACATTTTTTTTTTTTTAAGTTCAGTAAGTAATAATGTACACAACTGTTGATGATGATAATTATTTTTTTGGATTTAATCGTGTTTACATACTTAATACATCATGGACGCACTTCAGCTCCCAACCAAAAGTCTGTCTGTCTCCTAAATTTGGTAATGGATAGCAAAAAGCTATACTATCAATGGTTACGAGGAAGATACCTCTACATTATTTTCTACGGTATACGTTTACACACGTACGTATAGGATTTGTCGTATCTATATGGCACAATGATCGATACTGATACAGTGATATGTAATAGTAACTACTTTATAGGTAAACGAGTGATGTGCAGATCGAAACACTTATACCAATCATTGTTCATATAATAATTTCGTTGGACTCAGCTGATTTTCTTATAACAGTAGTCTGTACATTCACCTTTGACATTGAAACCGTATTAATTGTACCGTTGTACGTAAGATAACTTTTTCAGCATTGACTTAATCATTTAACATGCAAAATACAAAGATAAAAATTAATCGATTGTCAGCAAACTCAACATATCTAGTGGCAATGGTAACTCATGCGAATGCTTAAACCAGCTTTTGCAACATCATTTATTTAATAGAAACCAATTCACATAATTCTAATTTATACACTTAGGAAGATTAGGAAAAACAAAAGAATTTTTATTTGGATCGAAATTTACTTTAAAGATCCAAAGAATAAACACACCATGTAGTAACAATGATAATATACATATGCGCAGGTGACGATTGTAGAAATTAGAACATACAAAGCAAGAACAAGTTTTTAGAAAAGCAACAACAAAAAAAAATGCAAGAAAAAGTTTAATTTAATAACGCGCAGATACATACGATGGGCCCAGAAGACAAGGACCAAACATGTGGGCCCATAAGATAAGGACCCAAAAATGACTTGTGATAAAGTTTAGGCCCACATGAAAAAAAATCCTAGAAGCTCGAGATAATCCCCTGTGAAACCCGAAGGCCACAGGACGTACCCCTTCCCGAATGATGGGTCCTACTAAACAAGTTGCACGGCGAGTGATGTGTTGGGTCTAGATGGGCCGTGAAAACGAGACATCTAGATGGGCCCTGCTTATTCAATGCTTGACAGTCCTCTGTGTTTGTACCACAAACGGCAGGCTGTTCGCGGTAATTTGACTGCAATGCTTGCCAGTTTTAGGAAAACGTTCTGACACGAAAAACTTTTTGTTGGGTTCCAAAATATTAATATGGACGAAAAATAGCAGTATGGTACTGTATTCTAACAGAAATTATAAACATCTGTGAGACACTGTAGACTTTATGATTATTAGATGTTTTCATGCAATGATAAAATATAGTATATTGGAATTATTGGGATGATAAAATATATATTGGAATTAAAGATGTTTTCATGCAAAATGAAACGCTCTTATTCTGATGGAAATAAAATGGGTCTGGGTTTGGTAAGCTGAAAGTTGAAATAGAACCTACGCAAAAGATGCGGCCCAAATAAGCGAAACACAGCTGCGCCAAAACGGCAGCGTTTAATGATGAGAGATTGAGTAAAGTGATTGTTCGGTGCGACAGAGAAACAGACTGATGGATGCTTCTCGCGTCTCTCAACAGGTTTCGTCTATAAGTTTTTTGTTTCATGACTTTCATCGCATCGTCGGTTAAAGATTTGAGACCTTGTTTTGTCCAATTCTCACCTCGTACAGTGACCAAACATCGGTTTCTTGCTTTGTCGGAAAATCTAACTCTTGAGTGAGTACACAATAAATACCCTTCAGGTATTCTTTGCTTCGCGGCATTCTAATCCTCTCTATTCACTCTTTTCACGTGTGCTCTCTAGATACTTCTCTAGTCACGTATACGCAATTGTATCGTTCTCTCTGCGTTTATTCTCTTTCCCTATGTTTGAAATTTGTGTTCGTCTGTTTTCTGGGATAACATTTCTGATTTTCGAATTGCCTATTTATTCTAGTCTATTATTTTCAGTTCTTGCGCTGAGATTATAACTAAATAGCTTTGCTGCTTTTGCGATTTTTGAAGTCCATTTAGATATCAAGTAATGATATTTTTTTTGTTTTTGTTTCTGGAATCATTTGAGCTATATAAAAGACTTTGAAAATTGCATTGCTTCTTTGTGTAGGTATCTGAAATCTCTCCTGAACTTTTTGAGGAGGCATTCGAATTAGATTCATAGAAAAGTAATGATGAGTTGTTACTCTCCAATCACAACATGTTCTAGGAATGCTATCTATATCAAGAAGCAATTAGGCACTCACCTCTCCGGCGTTGTGGCTCAAGGATCATACAGTTTCCGCTGTTACAGTCTTTTCTCAGGGATTTCGAAAAGAGACCATACCGGTTTTAATGTATCTGTCTCTAATAGACCTTCTGGTTGGTCGGATAAAAGACTCTGTGGGTCGGTATTAATCAATCGATCAACCGTTGGTGGTGGTCCTCCTAAAGGGAAGCTTGAAGTTTCTTTCTTGAGCCCCGATGCGAAAATGAAATGCGATGAGATCAAAGCCAACATGAGAAGTCTCTATTGGTACTCAAGATTTGCTTATACAGGTGTAATTGTTAGCCTGCTTGTTTGTTATTCTTCAACTTCACAATCAGCATATGCAGAAGCTTCAAGGGATAAAGATGATGACAACAGCAACAACAAAGTGTATAGCAAGTCTTGTGATGGTAAATTCCACAATGGGAAAAGAGTCTACACAGATTACTCCATCATTGGTAAAGTCTTGTTCAGACAAATTACATTTGTCATCACTTTATCTTCTTTTTTTTTTTTCTGGTTGTTGACATTTGTTGAACCATGATCTTGTAGGTATACCTGGGGATGGTAGATGTTTGTTTCGTTCAGTGGCTCATGGGTTTTGCTTACGCTCTGGAAAATTGCCTCCAGGCGAGAAGATACAGAGACGACTCGCTGATGAATTGCGTACTAGAGTAAGTATCTGGTTTAAGAGTTTCTGTTTTTTTTCTTTCCCTCTGATTCAACAAAGCTCAAGTCTTGAGTTATGTCCCATTTCATGAGTTTATCTTGAATATGACAAGGTTGCTGATGAATTCATCAATAGGAGACAGGAAACAGAATGGTAAGTCTTTCCTTATCGTACCATTTTCATTAAGCCAGCCATTATTGATTCATGGACCGGTCATTAGACTTTCCGCAAACTATTAGGCTAAATCTTTTTAATTGCATCTAGTCACTCTGATGTTTCTCATCAGGTTTGTGGAAGGAGATTTTGACACATACGTCACACAGATTCGGGAGCCACACGTGTGGGGAGGTGAACCTGAACTCTTCATGGCTTCACACGTCCTCAAGTAACTTCCTCTCGCCTTGATTTGCATGACTTCAGTTTCCTATCATTAATCAGTCTTCAAAAGATTGATGCTTTTTGTTAGAAAAATGAACAAACTTTTTTGATGATCATATATAGGATGCCAATCACAGTGTACATGAAGGACGAGAAGGCTGGAGGATTGATAAGTATCGCCGAGTATGGTCAAGAATACGGTAAAGAAGATCCGATCCAGGTCCTATACCATGGCTTTGGTCACTACGACGCCCTTTTGATACACGACGAGAGTAAAGCTCCTTCTCCAAAATCCAAACTTTAGCAAATATGTAAAAAGACTGGAAAGTTCTTGTTTCTAAACCAGAATTGGGTATTAGTAGTTTACGGAAATGCCCTCCGTTACGGTTGTTGTTGAGGACCGGAAGTGGGAACTTCACATGCATCTTTGTGTTCGTAACTTTTGTCAGGTGGTGATGATGATTCAGTTTATTTTTATTTTTTCTTTCTTATTCTGACACAACCACAATCAATGGACATGTCTTGTAGATGGGTTATCTTTTGTGTACTTTTTACTTTTAATTTGAACAAATATTCAAATAATATTCTCGTTCATAATTTGTCAAAGCGTGATTATACGGAACACTCTTATTTTATTAATAACACTTAATAAATAAATTAAAAACAACAACCCTATTACATTGATTTGTTTTTTGTTTGTGACAATACAAACATTCTCCAATCAAATTATAATTTTTTAATAGGAGTACAACAACAAATACGTCCACCAGCAAGACGATTGGCAATACATTTACCTGTAAACGCTACTGGAAATTCAGCCGCTGAACATGGAATTTTACAATCTGCGTCGGTTTTGCAGGGACCTCTGATATTACACTGACTTATGTTGAATCCTACTATGGTTCACACACACACACAAAGAAAAGAAAAATAAATTTTTAGTTTTATATATTTTATTGAAAACGAATTTAGAAAACAAATCGAATAAAAAAAATATAATTAAGAACAAAAAAACACAGGGAAGAATTATTAATAAAATATTTACGTGATGATTGGACAGTCAATAGGAGAGCGCATATGATGAGCAGAGTTCCAAATTGAAACTTTGACGAAGCCATTTCGTCTAAATAATAAAAAAATTTAGTAATGAAGTTTTTATGAACGAATGTGAAGATCTTGATTAGAAAAATAAAATGAAGAGGATGTCTATTTATACACATTAACTGATTAACATACGGAATAGTAAAAAAAAATGAATTAATGTGCTGAGTTGGTATCAAAATTCTCCTATAACAAAACTTGGTATTATTATAAAGATAAAAGTTGGAAACTTCTTTTCATGTATACATGGACAAATCTTCATCCTGGCATTGGATTAGTTTTCTTTTTTGTCAGTGAATTTGATTTTGTTTAAAGAAACAAATCATAACACAAATACAGATAAAGATTGCGGAAAAAATCTTACTCTGATCACAGAAAAAAAATTAAAACATATGTCTGTTTAATCCTTTAAATGATAGCCTAAAAGATAAGATGATGATATTAATTAAACCTTATTTTTGGCTGATGACAAATAGCCTTAATCACCTAAGATAAGTAGTAGTATATACCTTTTTTTTTTTTTTTTTTTTATCAACTAGTATATTCCTTCTTTGTTTTTCTGTCTACTAATACAAATCAAATTTCAAATTTTTTCGCAAGTCTCGACTTCCTCCAGAAATGAAAAGCCTGCTCGTGTCCATTTTCCAACAAAAACCAAATCCAATGATCATCGACATCATCACCACCTTCAGCCAAAACATGAAATTATAATTTTAAAATAATCAAAAGACACATACATAAATAACAACCCACCTGCATCAGTCAATGACAAAAATGTAAAAAACATTGGATTGTCAGATCCATAACCAAAAAAATAACATTATTATAGTATTATTTTTCAAACTTGTATCCCAAACACATCTTCCAACACTTTATTAAGCACTCTCACAGGAATTCAAAAAGTTTCCCATTACACCCACGTTGCTATATTTGGAACCCATCACCCAAAATTCTTCTCCTTCGTCTTCTTCTTCTCTGTTTCTCTCTTCGCTGCATCGTCGTCACTTACATGAAATAATCTGTAGAATAAAAAAAACGATATTCAGGAAGTCTTTATCGAGAAAAATGCAGCTTTTTCAACTTTTTTCACTTCTTGTTTCTTCCTTCTTTCTCTTCATCGGCTTATCCTCGTCGCTAAATCAGGATGGTTTGTCTCTTCTTGCTCTGAAATCCGCCGTCGAAAACGACCCGACCCGTGTGATGGCTACCTGGACCGAGTCAGACCCGACTCCGTGTCACTGGCCTGGAATCATCTGCACTCGCGGTCGAGTTACCACGCTTGTTCTCTCCGGAAGAAGACTATCTGGTTACATTCCCTCCGAACTCGGACTACTGGACTCGCTCGTAAGGCTCGAACTCGGTCGCAACAATTTCTCGAAACCCGTTCCGACTCGTCTCTTCAACGCCGTTAACCTCCGATATATCGACCTCTCTCACAACTCAATCTCCGGCCCAATTCCGGCCCAAATCAGAGCCCTGAAGAATCTCACTCATCTCGATTTATCCTCCAATCTCCTCAACGGGTCACTCCCCGAGTCACTCACTGAACTCGGAAGCCTCGTCGGCACACTCAACCTCTCTTACAACCGATTTTCCGGCGAAATTCCACCGTCGTATGGCCGCTTCCCGGTTTTCGTCAGCTTGGACCTCGGCCACAATAATCTCACCGGAAAAATACCTCAGATAGGCTCTCTGTTGAACCAGGGACCAACCGCGTTCGCTGGAAACTCTGTTCTCTGTGGTTTTCCGCTACAGAAGCTTTGTAAAGAAGAAACTGCAAACCCTAAGCTCGTCACTCCGAAACCGGAAGGCTCGCAAATCAGAAAACCAAACCCGACTTTCGTCGACAAGGACGGAAGAAAGAATAAGCCGATCACCGGATCCGTGACGGTTTCACTTATATCCGGAGTCTCCGTCGTAATCGGAGCGGTTTCTCTATCCGTATGGCTGATTCGAAGAAAATGGAGCTCCATCGGATGCAAATCGGAGAAGAACACGGAGGCGCCGATGGAGTTTGATGAGGAGGAGCAGGAAGGTAGGTTCGTGGCGATAGACGAAGGATTCGAGCTCGAGCTCGAGGATTTGCTGAGAGCGTCGGCTTACGTTGTGGGAAAGAGCAGAAGTGGGATTGTGTACAGAGTAGTTGCCGGATTGGGATCGGGGACAGTGGCGGCGACGTTTACTTCGTCCACCGTCGTTGCGGTTAGAAGGCTCAGCGACGGAGATGCCACGTGGAGGCGGAAGGATTTCGAAAACGAAGTGGAGGCAATCGGTAGGGTCCACCATCCAAACATCGTACGGCTAAGAGCTTATTACTATGCTGAGGACGAGAGGCTCTTGATCACTGATTACATTCGCAATGGAAGCTTGTACTCTGCTTTACATGGTAATGCTAAATCTTCAATAGTTAACCACTAATTATGATGCTAATTTTATTTTATTTCCTTCTTTTTTTGTTTAGTCATTTTGCCTACGTTTATAATGTTTGTGAATTTTGATATTAAAAAAAAGATACAAGGTTGAGTTTATTTGGGAGTTAGTGCTCTTGAACTAGTTGAATTGATGGGTGGATCTATATAGATTGAGTTTCTTGTCTTTGTTTGATTCAATTATAAAAAGTTAATAACTAAATTTATTGGCGTTTTCTTTTTGTTTCTTTTTCATTCTGAATTCACATGTCTGGGAACTGTTATTGTTCGAGACAAAATTGGATCTTTCTTCTTGTCGAAAGCAACAAAGTAATCCTCTCTTCTATTTTTTATTGAGATTAGTTTTGAATTAGGGAAGAACAATGTTGAAAGTAGTGGTGTAAAGGTCTGTTTGTCTTATCTTACACGAGAGAACATATTTGGTTTAAGGGGTTAAGATCTGGATTAAGGTCAGTTTAAACTTTAAAGAGTGTTCAGTGAGACATTACAGATGTCAGATTAAGATCTGAGGGATGTTTGTTTATCCATACACGGTTGTAATATCGGATTTGAACATAAAGTTGGCATTTTGATTTTGTTTGTAGGAGGACCTTCAAATACTCTGCCTCCACTTTCTTGGCCTCAAAGGTTACGTATTGCACAAGGAACTGCTCGCGGGTTGATGTATATACACGAGTACAGCCCGAGAAAGTATGTCCATGGCAACCTAAAATCAACAAAAATCCTGCTCGACGATGAACTAGAGCCTCGCATCTCAGGGTTTGGTCTAACACGTATAGTCTCAGGTTACTCCAAACTCAACGGTTCGCTGTCCGCCAAAAGGCAAAGCCTAGACCAAACCTTTTTGACCTCTGCTACAGTGGTGACAAGAATCGCATCTCCATCGGTTGCTTACCTTGCACCCGAGGCTCGAGCTACTTCTGGTTGCAAGTTATCTCAAAAGTGCGATGTTTATTCGTTCGGGGTTATCCTAATGGAGTTGTTGACTGGTCGGTTACCTAATGCTTCCTCTGAAAACAATGGTGAAGAACTCGTGCGTATTATGAGGACTTGGGTTGAGGAAGAGAAGCCGTTGGCTGAGTTTTTAGACCCCGAGATTCTAAACAAAGGTTATGTAGATAAGCAAGTCATTGCAGCCATTCATGTCGCCTTGAACTGCACGGAAATGGATCCAGAGGTTCGTCCCAGGATGAGAACAGTGTCTGAACATCTCGGCCGAATCAAAATAGACTGAGCATGTTCGAGAAAGTAAGATTTGTTTTGCAAATCCGTTGTGTGCAAAGTTCATGCACCATCATGTTTTGTTCTCTAGGGTTTTTTATTTTTCTTGGCATGTCGTAGAGTGTAGGGTTCCTAATCATCAGGTGATCTCTCCTTGTGTTGTCAATGTATCAGAGGTTTATTGCGACACAAGTAAAGCGGTTTATTGTTTCTTGGTTTTTCAACCTTGACCTTCTTCTATAATCCACAAAACTGTCACATTCGAACTTCTCGAAACAGATTGTATATTTTATTTACTAATGCAAATGCAAATATTAAATCAGAAAGCGTGTGTGTAACTGTATAATGTGAACATTTATATAAACGTAACATACACTTTGAGCTTTAATTGAAAGAAACCGCATCAGTGTTGTGGCAACCTTTTACTTTTTTTTTTACGTGCAGTTTGAGCAAATTGGCAATGATGTGTGTGTTTCATGAGAAAACACACAACGTTACTTAAGATGGCGATTTTTTATTTATTTAAATATGCTATGAAAAACAAATGAAACACCAAGCTAGCTAGCGTTATAAGTTACAACAAAGATTCTTAAATTCCCTATAAGTATGAAGTAATAGTCCTACAAAATGTAATATAAAGACATATGGCTTCCCATAAAAAACTCATAACTCTTGTAATACTATCTCTGTTCCTGAGAGTAACAATATCTCAATTATATATACCTCTCGAAAAAGAAGGTGTAGTAATCGGTAGGGATATACACAATTGGTTTAGTCAAATAACTGTAATGATCAAAAATAATATCGACAGTGGTTTGAGGTTATACTATAGTTGTCAGTCACGAAATTTGCCTTTTCACCGAGAAACTGCAGCAGGAGATGATGGATTTGTAGCTCAATTCAGAAAAAGTTTTTGGGGACGAACTCGATGGTCTTGTACTTTTGAATTTGGTGGTGAAACGCATCGTTTTGATATTTATAAAGATAGCAGAGATAATATCAAAAATTATCAGTGCAAATACTGTTTATGGTCGATCAGAAGGAGTGGACCTTGTGCTCTCAATGCCCAAACCGGAAGATATGATATTTGTTATCCTTGGGATAAATAAATAACAAAACTCATATTTTTAATATGTTTTGTTTGTTGTTCATCTTGACAATAATAACAAAGTTTGTAATGAAATTATATAATAAAAAATTTAATTAACGTCTTATTAACTTTTAATCCTTTTTTACAGTTGTTCTGATCTGAGAAACACAAATTTAGATCCAATATTTAAGCTTGGAGTAGTAAATTCCAAAATCTTAAGATTTAAATATATTAATAACAAAATTTAGTAATTACTTCAACGATTACACGCAAGTGTCGTCTAAAATTTATGGAAACAAATCTTCCGCAGAAGATTACTCCCTAAATATTTTTCTATAATTAACGGTCAGATCAGTTGTATACATGAACGGTGACGATGCGGTTAGTTTAGCAAAGTGCATGGGAACTCAGATAGGCTCGTATGCAGACAACATTTGCATTAGGTTTGAGAAGGGTAAAACTGTAATCTGAGAGACTAGGAGCGTTAGGTCTTTTCTTCTGTCCCGCCTCTGGTGAAAATTTGAAATCGTTTCCCACACATGTGAGAGCCGCTCTCGCACGTGCCAACGTTTAATTTCTTTCCCCAATATAATCCCGCTCAGGAGACGTCCTTCAAAGATTGCCAGATCGTCAATCTCTCCCAGAAAAAGCTCTCATTCTCTCTCACATTTCGTGGCCGCTTCGAGCTCAGTTCATCAATTTGGTTGAAGAAGATCCTCGCGAGGTGGAAGAATCTCTGGTTTTATTGTTTTCTTTTTCTTTTTTCTATTAGATTTGAGTAGACATACGACTGGGTTTTTTTTTTTTTTTTTTTTTGCTGTTCTTGTGACTTGATTCGATTGGGGCGTTTTCATATATGAATTTGGGTAACGAAGATTTGTGATCTCTTTTCTGGAATTGGTTTTCTCCGACGAGATATCAGTGATTGATTTGATTTTTTTTTTAATGCGAAATGAAAAATTCAAGTTCCGACTTAATCCCTAGGGTTTCGGATTTCAATCGGTGATTTCGCTAATCGATTGTGTCTTCTTGTTTCAGCCAGTTCATAAAGATGCCAGAAGCAAGGGACCGAATCCACCGCCCAGTGGACTACGCCGCCATTTTCGCAAACCGTCGCAGTAACGGAGTGTTGCTCGACGAGCCAGCATCGCGGCTCGGTTTGATTGAACCGCCAGCTCAGAGATCGCCGTCGGATTCAGAGCCTGGATCCATCGGCCGAGGATCTTTAGTTGTGAGAGGCAATTTCAGTTCATGGAGGCCCGGTCATGGCAATCGGAGTGGTCAGATTCCATTTAGATCCCCACAGGGAAGAGAGAATGTGGCCATGGTGACTGCTAGGCGTGGAAGAGGCCGTGTTTCACCCAGTGCCTTGCCTTCTTGGTACCCGAGAACGCCTCTCCGCGATATAACTCATATTATGCGGGTAAGTTCACCAAACCCTTTTTGTGTTCTTTACCTACTGTTCCTTCTTCTGCAGATAATCAGTTCTATGGATTGCGTTTTGCAGCTTTCGCTGAATGTTTGGGGTTCTGTTTTGTTTGGGTCGCACATGGACAATGGGTTTCGCTGAGTCTTAGTTCTTAGTCCTTCTTTTCAGCTGAATTAGGATTCTGCTACTGATAGGTTTTGTATCTGATTAGTCATTCAAGGCTTGCTTACCCTTTGTGCGGCGATTGATTCTGTTTACTCTCTCCCAATTTCAGGCTATTGAGAGAAGAAGAAGAGCAGGGATGGGAGTAGAAGGCGATGGCCGGGAGATTGTGATCCCAGCTCAGGGACAAGTTGGTGAAGACAATTGCTTAATGGTGACTCCTGGTCCAGCTTTGGGATTCAAGCGTGGTTGCCCACCGTCAACTGCGAGAGTCCATAAGATGTTGCTTGACATCAGTAAAGAGGTATCTGAGGAAGATGAAGCGGGATTCATCACACCCGAGAAGAAGCTGCTCAATTCTATTGACATAGTGGAGAAGATTGTGATGGAGGAGATGCAGAAGTTGAAGAGCACTCCTCAAGCAAAGAGAGAAGAGCGGGAGAAAAGGGTACGGACTTTGATGTCAATGCGATGATCCGCACTTAGGAGGACAGACCACGGAGCTATCACAGATACAGAGTGCCTGCAGAGTGAGACAAATCATCTTCTTATGATATCAAAGAGGGGTCTATGGATCATATTCTTATGATATCTTCTACAAATTCTTAGGCATGTTATCATCTTCTGATGATTTTACTAGAAGGGACAATCATCTTTCTGATGATTTCATAGGATATTATATCATTCTGCTGATGATAGAACAGATCACGAGTTATCTGCTGATGATAATATCATAGGAAGGACAATACTTTTGACAGTTCACACATTATGTAGAAGAATTTTTTTTTCTTTTTTGTTACGTTGAATATTCGTACTTGGAGTTTGTATGTAAGTAATGAATTTTGCTTTTTTAGCAATTGGTGTTATCTTTTTTGCCTACTGTATTCCCTAGACCTTCGCCTGACATTCGATTCTCGGTCTTTTTTCTGCTAAATAGTTTCATAAGTTGGCAATTAAATTAGCCAACAGTTCAAAGGGAAAAAAATATATAACAAGGATTTACGTTTCTGTGCTCATATTTTGAAGAGTTTGAATGAAAAATACAAGAGATTTTTTCAACGTGCAAGTGTTAGAAATATATTTTCTTTGGTGACAAATTAGATTAATTTGTCCTGAGAAGTGAGAACTAGTAAAACGGTAGATTTCACATGGTGGAATAAGTACACATAAAGGACCAGAGAACATGATAATGTATATATAGAGGCAAACACCAACTGAATCAGTACCATGAATATTAACAGTTAATAGATATAAAAAAAAGGATTTTCTTCGAAAATAAAAGGATTCTAGTATTGTCTTAAGGTGCCAAAATGAGGAGTTTTCAATCACCCGATGACATTTTAAACACAATCACAACGAGACAGGACCACAAAAGATTCAGAGTTTGTCATCAGTTTTGGTGTTTCCTTTTTGAGGTTTTAGACAATGGGAGGATACTGCTTGGACTGCAGCTTAACCCTTTTCTTGTACTCAACTGGGTCCTGCATATTTTCATCAAAACGGGAAGCTCATCAAAATCGAGTCACAATCACTTTGGTTCCTATGTTTCAGAGACTATGCCATCATGAGCTATTGTTGGTGAGTGTACCTGAATGAAGAGATGATAACCATCGGTCTGTGCAGGGTCAGCGGGATTAGGCGTGTCAAGTAAATCCTGAATACCGACAAGAATCTGCTTCACTGTGATGGCTGGTCTCCATCCCTATCGACATACCATAACAATCGAGAGCTTGAGAAATGATGAAGATCGATTTGGTCATGGAGAAATGCAAAAGGAAAGGAACGAGAAGAGTACTTACGTAATCCTCGTTCAGGATTGAGAGACAGACTGTTCCAGATGGGTAGACATTAGGGTGGAAAAACCCTGTTGGGAATTTACATTTGGGAGGCTTGCTCGGATAGTCCTCGCTGAAGTGCATCGTTAATGGAAAGAATCCACCTTCCCAATCAGTCTGCAGTGTCATGTAAATTTCACTATGAATAAATGGTTCAAGGAATGATATAACAAGCAATTTCTCTTATTAACCATGTTGCAAATATCGAAAAGCCAGTTATATCAAAGTATGATACACAGAAGAGCTCAGCTTCAACGTCATTTACTTGACCAGTTTTTTGAACTCACAGTTAAAAGATAAACAGTTAGTTGACGTCTACTCTCTCTACTAACATTCACAAAGCGTAATGGGAAGAAGCCAGGTCGAAAAGCTAAGTAAGGTACAGAGCAAAGTTCAGATTCAATCAATATCTTCATGACCAAAAAATGTAAGAACCACTTCAGAACATCACAGTTCACAACTAAAGTTAAACAAGGAGATATACACACAGCTACTCTTTCTACTATTTGGTTTCTATGTGTGATGATGATCATACAAGGGTAACAAACAGGATCACAAAGAAAAAAGTTAAGCAATTGCTGGAAGATGCCGAACTTACAAGACATCAGCATCGGAAAATGACAAACATCCCCCAAAAAAACACAAACTTTACTGTCCAAACCAGAGATGTAAGAAAATCAATCAACCCTAATCTCAACTTTTTTTGTTTGTTACTCTACTACTAATCAGAAGCTGACACACATAAGTAAAGCAAAACAGAGGTATAAGAAAACTCATGAACACTGATTTCATGTTGAACACAGTTTATACTTACCCCGGCTTTACCAGGAATAGTGCAATGCCACACCATTAGATTCACAGCCCCATCAGGCCCAGTCTCCGGCTTCGCCACAAAACCCTAATTTCACAATCAACAAGAAGAAACCCAGTCAGGTATCAGAGACTATAAATCATCAACGAAGAACCAAAACTTAAACCCCAAAATCAAAAATCAAAACTGGAAGAAGACAGAAGAAAATACGGACATGAGGATGATTCTTCCTCCACGATTTCCTCTCCTCCGCTAAACGACCACGAGCGATTCCACTAGCCATTTCTCTACGATCTCTTTTTTCTCGGTATGTCTCGCTCTTTCTCTGAATGTCTCTCTCTCTCTCTCTCCCTCTCCCTCTCGCTCTCCAATCTCTTTCTCTCTAGTCTATATAAGTCGAAGAAGACAGAGGGGTTGGGGAAGAAGAAGTGAAGTTACAGATTCGCCCCTCTGTGAAGCCGTGAAAGGGTAATCGGAGTATCGTACGGTCCAGATTTCGCGGCGAATAAGTGTCCTTTCGTCCTACTTACTTTGGTCCTTTAATGAATTGACCGGTCAATAATAAATAAAAAAGAAATACGAATAATTAAAAAAACGATAAATAAAAAGAAGAGAGGCGTAAAGAAAAAGTCAATGGATAATGTGGCGTGAAACCTACGCGATGAAACCCAAAAAAGCTACCAAAAGATTCTCTCTCTGCCGTAACGTATCCCATTTTTCACGTGGCCCATAAAACCAATTCTGGGCCCATTAACTTTTGTGTTCTTAAGCTTTCCTCCATCAGTTATTTCTCTCCTCTTAATCGTGGGTACAGAATAAAGCATCTCAAAACAATTTGGTTGGTTAAAAACAAAAGACATTTTAATGATCAAAAACTGGTTTTTGAAATGAAATAGTACGTAGCAAAATCATCTTGTATCTTCTCTATATCACTGTTTTATCTGGCGTATGTTCCTTCCAATTACTCTCAAACCAATTTTATGAATGTCTTACAAAACTTGTTGGCGTATGTTATGTGTCTTTTGTTGACCAAACCTCTCACCATCGCAACCAAACTCCCAAGAATATCAAACAAAAGACGAGAGAGGCAGAGACTATGACTAAATAACCAGAACAGAGAACATCAAAACCACACAGAAACTTCTTTACTACTTCAAACATGAATTTTCAAAACGTCTTAATAATGTTAAAACCAAACGAAGACATCATAATAACAAACAAGAAAAGAGTCATGACTTTTAAACAAGGACAAACTAGCAAGCCTGGATGAAATTTCTTTTGAGATGAGAACGAAAATCCGAGAGATAAAAGAGAGCAGTTTTTTCTTCTTATCCCAGGTCAGAGCATGCAATCAGTTCTTGCAGGAAGCCTCCTGAAGAAATTGAGAGGAACTGATGGTAGCCTGTACCTGAACCTCGGGTGTCTCAGGACATAGATTCCGATGAGAAGCGCCACAACCTGGAAAGGTGTCACATAGAGAATGACAGCAGCGATCAAGCAGAACAAGACGAAGAGAGCAGTTGCACGCGGATCACGCCAGCTCAGCAAAGACTGAAGCCTTTCTCCTTGCGTTGCAAGATCACCAACCACTGTCTGAATCCTCCCAGCGATACTCCTCAACCTGTCATACCTCATCCTGACAATGTCAGATGGTCGGGAAGTAGGAAAAGTGTCGAACTCTTCATCCAGCTCGTCCGGGTGGGCTGAGTCAGCGTGAGAGAGACGTGTGTCCATGTGTGGAGGATGCCTCGGTCTCCAACGGTAGTACCACACACCGATGAGGAAGAGGTAGAGGAAGATGGTGGGCAAGATTAGCTCGGGATAGAGCACAAGGATGATGAACAAGAGATGGATCAACACCGTTGTGATGGGATTCTTCCAGTTGCAGATCTGTTCGAACCATTTTCCCACTGCGATTAACCCGCTCAAAACCCCCATGATCCTGAAAAAGTTCGCTTTGCTTCTCCGCATACTCCACATGTGAGAACCCACATCAAGCATGTACTCGACCACTTCTTTCCTTAGAGGCGGCTCTGCTCTGGTAAGCCTCATCGACACAATCTGAGTCGCTTGGTGCCTCAGGTTATCAAGCTGGCTAACTGTCAGTGGATGGATGTAATGCATCTTCGGTAGGAGAGGCAGCGAGTACATATACATCATGTTGAGCAACGAGGAGCAGGTGAATCTCACAGCCAAATGAATCTCTCCCATCTTCTTGACTCCGTTTGGATGAAGAACCAAAAGAGGGTACGAATGTGTGTAGACTCTATCAGTCTCGAGAGTAGAGAGCCGTATCCTAACCTTCCCAACTCTCGAATCTTTTGCTCCTCCGTTCTTCTCACCTCCATGGAGATGGCAGTTGTCAAAAACTCCAACAGTAACAACAGTACACGGATCGAAAACCTCCCAAGTGTATTGCTCGTTCCATCTTGGTGTAAAGCTGTCAATGATTGTCCGAGTTCGAATCCATTTCTGTCCGTACTTCGCCACGCAGTAAGCATCTGTGGTTCCTCGACCATCTTTAGTTTTCATAGGCATCAGACCCGTAGCATTCAAGATCCCCAATTCCAACACACCTATGTTAGGCTTCCATAGCTGCTTCGCGGTTGGTCTAAGATCGCTGCTGTAGTGCGTGGACTCGTCAAGCACGTGATACCCTCCTTCCAAACAAATCCTCATGTGAATCCTGCTAGCGAATTTGGTCTCCTTCTTCTCTCCATCGACTATGATATGCTTCTCGAGGTTATACCACCTGCTGTTCACCGGTTTGTGGTCGAACCTTCTGTCCAGATACTGCAACGGGATCGCGCATCTCCCCAAAACTTCATCTTTGTTTGGAGCAACTCTGTCTTCCACGCTGAGAATCAAAGGTTCCTCAAACGGCTCAGCTGCTACAAACATCAAATCCTCATTCCACATAGGGTTAATAGTCCTGCTCTGCGAGACTCTAGTCCTCAACGCCTGGTTTCCCACTATAGCCTTCACATAAACCTCAGGGTATCTCCCCTTATCACTCGGCATCAAGTCTTGAGCTTCAATCACATTAACCCTTAGGTACCAAAGCTTAGGAGAGAGATAAACCTTGGACCGGATGTTGGCAAGAGCATCAGTTCCACTAACTGTCGCAGCATCTGAGTGCCAAGCTTCAGGGAAAGCTTCATCAGCTTGAGTACCAAACCAAACAGCCAACATAAGCTCTCCCTTGACTTTATCTCCTTTCCTATCCTCGAGCCTATACCATTGCGGCGCCAAGGGACTGTCGGGAGGAACTCTCTTAGGTACCTCATTCAAATCAAACACAACCCGACCAATCAAATCATCTTTCACAAAGTCCTTGTCCTTCACAGTAGCTTCAAGGAAAGAAGCTTGAATCCTGTCTTTGGAGAAGGCGAAGACTTGGTTCCACTCAGGATTCGATTTCTTCTCGAAATGCCTTGTGGTTCCTTTGTAGTTTCCGAGCTTAACCTCGACGTAAGGGTCACAGCTTCCAGTCATGTCCTTCCCAGGCAACTCCTTTGCCTTCACCACACGAACATAGAGATACTGCATTTGCTCGACAAGGTCATAAGTGCTTGTAAGCTTGTCCCCAGTGATTTTCCCTCCACCGAGATGAGGTCTCGTCTCCTTCAAGGAGAAATCTTCAGGAGGTGGTCTCTGCATCTTGTAAGCTTGAGAAACACTACACAACACACAAAGGCAAAAATGATTATTAAAACATTCACATTCACTTAAGCTAAAAACGGCAACAGAGATCAGACTTACAGATTATGGGTTTTGAACAGATGGGTTTTAGCTACTACTCCACTTCAAAGCACTAGATCTGAGACAAACACACCATTACAAGGAGAGTTCAGAATTAAAAAAGCTAACCGGAAAAAGTAACTAGCGGAGAAGAAGAAGAAGAAGAGTAAGTGAAAATCCAGGTTCTAGGTAGGTAAGGAAAAATGCAGAAAAAATAAAGTGGATTTAACTTGAAAAAGATTCTCGAATATCGCATCGCATTTTCTAGATCATAAACAACCTCGTTAGCATCTCCGAGGCAGAATCTAACGGCACAAAATCGTGAATCAACAAAAAAAAAAAATTGGAATAAATATTTCATCGTTTAGTTCAGTTCATCGAGAGAACACAACCTTTTCATCGGAAACAGAAACCAAAAATTATGACAGTACGCGAATTACGCTGTTCTGAAGAATTTCTTTATTTTTTTTTCTTCAGAAATGTTTGAAATCTCAATCTCTTGTTTCAATTTTTTTTTTCCTCGATTCAATGAGAGACACCAAAACAGAAAACGACAGACAGAGAGAAAGAAAATAAAAATGAAAATAATTCCACGGAAGAAAAAAAAAAACTGATAGCATGCGAGTTGGAGAAAGCAAATCCAAAGAGTAACAGCGAATCAAACCACTAACAAATATCTACAATGCTCAAAATCCATGAAACAAAAGAAAAGCAGTTATGCGATTATTACAAAAGGAATGGATGAAATCTAACAATACACACCTCTTAGATCTTCGAAAAAAACTATACAAAATCAGGGATGAGAAAGAAACGATTTACGCAGGCGAGAAAATCTCCATTCTTAAGTAGTAGAAAGAGTCATCTCTCTTGTTCCTCGTTTTTTTCAACACAATAAAGAAAGAAAAATTAAAAAAAAAAAAAAATGAAGAGCAGAAGGTAGGCACTGGGAAAAGGAAACTTCTAGAGAGAGAAAAGATAAAAACATTGAAGGAGGAGAGGGAGAGAGTTTTTTTGTGGCTCTCTTGTTTGTTGTCTTCGTCTTCTTTTCTTTGCTTTTTCTACAGTTTCCACTCTTTTTTTTTAACTGACGATAAATAAAAGAAGTATAAAAAAAAAATACAATAAAAAGACAGTAGAGACGACACACGGCACTGTGGCACTACAAAATCGAGGTGGGTTCCACTTAAAATCACGCAAGACATACCTCTCCGTTTTGAAATCCCACACGTGTGGAGACGACGGTTTAGCGTAATCTTTCAACGGCGGTCGTTTTTTTTTTTCCTCTATAATAAAATGTTTTTTCGTTTTGTGGCCAAACATATAATCTTTGTTGTTATTATGCAATTTCACGGTATAATTGTGCAGATTAATTTTGGTGGCCAGTGAAGTGTGTGTATTGATGCATAATGCAAATGTGTTTAATTAAATTAGGAAAATGATTAAACATTGGATTCCTTTATGTTCTGTGTTCTCCCGTTTTGACGAAGCTTACGTACGTAAAAGGCCAAAAAGCCGTATTTCGCTTTGGCTGAAGCCTGACTAATTTTTTCACAATTTACCTAAAATGTCTAAAATCATAATTTCCACATATACGTGAATACTGAATACCATGTGCTTGTTCTTTTTCTTGATAAAGGATTTGTCTTTCTCATGTGCTTGCTGGTCACTACTTTTGCTTCTTTCTAAATTTTTGTTTTCCGTTTTAGAAAAAAAAAATAAACATCATAATGCCTTTAGGTGGAGAAAGAGAAGAAGAATATCATGTGTAACGTTAAATGCATTTGTTTGGTCTAATATACAGAAATCTGGAGATTTCATGATCAATGTTATTGATCTTGGATCAGTTCTTGTTGCAAAATGATCTATTAGGTCGTCACGTGTTTTCTTCCTTGAGTTACTTCAGCTAGAGATGGAGTATCTAAGTTTAATACACGTAAAGGAAGCTCTTCAGTTCTGGTTTAGGTATTTACTTGATTAGGTAAAACTGGAATATGAAAATCATTCAACACTTTCGGAGTTGTTGTTATAAATATACGACTATCTTTTTTCTAGCAACTAAAATAACTGGTTTGCAAAACTAAGTTATATGAATCCAAATTGGTATACGGACAAAATGTCTATATCTATTTCCATTTGTCCGCTAGTTTTTTTATACTATTTTATGGAACAAGGATTCGACGTAGATTGTAGTAGTTCTTATTATTCGATTTTTTTACTTGTTGTTTTGTTTGCTCGACTTGTTTTATACTCATCTTTAAACCTACGATTTTTAATGCCTATAATACGTGGAACCTTTAACTTAATTGCGAAGAGGCCATCTTTTTCTTTTTCGTTCCATCTTTTATGATGTGCCACGCGATAAGCGAATGCTTCTTCTCCAAGTATTTGGAAACAATTTAATCAAAAGTATCTGAGATAATCCACACCAGAAATATAACCTTTTTAACATATAATAATAATTGCTTTTTTTAAAAAAGGAGAAAAAGGGAAAAACTTGGTAATCGTTGCAAACGACACGTGTCGCTCATGCTGCTATCGGATTCGTTGAGCTCCGACTTGTAGATTTCCCAATCCACCACCGTTTACCACCGACGACGATATTGTGCAATCAAAACTTGTAGTACGATATCGATGTGCACAACAACAAAAAAAAAAAAACTAGCACTACGTACTAACAATTTGATCAAAGTAGTATATAATAAGATAACGAAATTGCTAAAATAATATCTTCAAGTAGTATATGTGTTGAACTTTTGTAACCAGTTATCAAAATACTGTGCTTCTCTTACTCTAGGCTAAATACAACATTCACCGGTTATATTGTTTCGTTGCTATTTGTAACGAATCATGTCACCATTCGCATTGGACTGCAACCATATCTTAAACGTTCACGCTGCGAATTCGTGGCCTCGAAGATTATCCTCTTAGTTATATTTATATACTGTAGTTATTGATTACCTCTTAATACTCCATAATTACTCTGTCTAACTGATTAAATATGGTAACCCAACAATCCCAAAGTTGATACTCCCTCCATTTTATAATAAATTAAAATATATCTATATTGTAACTGAATGTATCTGGATGTGTTTTGAATTTAATACATTTATATATATTGTAGATATATTTTCTTCAAATGACACTTATGATAAAATAGAGAGAGTAATATTTTGCATTCTCACTGTCTTACCAAACAAAAAAAACAGTTTTCGTTTTGATGAAAATATTTGATCAAGTGTTCCGAAATTTTTGGTTTTTTTCCTTTTTATTTCAAGTTTTCAACATAAACCTCTCATAGACATATTTTTTAACTTTTGACAATGACAAAAGTTACAACATAATTTGGTTATCAACGTAATTCAGGTAACAAAGTATTTTTGGCTCCTTACTAAACTACTACTATAGGTTTATCAATTATGATTACCACTTTTTACCTTTTTGACAACGATTATCACCTAACTTTGCAATAATGCCCTAGCAAAGAAACTAAAAATTAAATGCGAAATGCATTCATTTCAAGGGTCCTCTTTTATTAACTTTTTTTATCAACGCTCGTCTGACGTGTCATATAGCTCAGATCAAAGGTTAAAATCTACTCGTAAATCCAACGACCAGAGAAACGAGGCGTAGGTTAATTGCATACACGTGCGCGCACTATAGCCGTGTCTCTCTCCTCTTCCCTCTTCAATGAAAATTATTCGTCACCCAAAGAAAAGATCTGCAACTTCACCACCGGACCAGTTTCTCTCTCTCTCTCTCTCTCTATCTCTATCTCTATCTCGCACGAGGAATCATGACTGAAGAACAAGACCTCATCGACCAATCACCACCTCCTTCAGCGCCCGACCCTGAACCCAAATCGAACCCGAATGCGAATTTGGTTATCCACCCGAGACGTGTGTCTTTCGAGCACGGGCTCCTTCCGATCCAGAAACTCGTTTTCACCGACCCGATCCAAACCCTAGCTCCTGTCAAGCAGAAGCTAGCGGATGCCGCCTCGAACAACCGCGTTGGATCGGCTGCAGTCGCCGACGTTCTCCAGATCTCCGGCGAACATGCGCGTCTCGTTCTCGAGACTCTCGGTTCGGTGCTTCATTCCGAGTCCGACCCTCTGGTTCGAGCGAAACCAGAGGAAGTTGATTCCGCCGGAGCTGATTTGCGGGATCTAATCCTGTTTCTGTACATTCAATCGTATAAGAAATTGCTGCCTAGGACGCACAAGGACTCCGCAGCGGTGGCTGATGTATGGCCATCGACTTCTGCGTTCGATGGATACTTGTCGGCGTTATCGCCAATTCAGGCAAGTTTCTTACTTTTTTTATTGCCTCTAATTATTATGTGCCTCAAGTACATATTCAATGATCCCTGCGCGTAAGATCTATTTGCCATGGAAATGGAATTGTAGTAGCTGGAATATGGAAATGGAACGTAGTATCTTTATTCACAGGGTTAGAGAATCATCTCTTTTCCATTTTGCATTGAATTCAACTAAAATTTGGCAATGCAAGTTAAAGTTTGTGGTCTGATTTACCTGAAACTTAGAGTTAGTCAAAGTTGAAAGTTTTAGCGGTTCTTTGAATTGATAGTGGATGTAGTATTTAGATATTGTTGACGAATACGATGTTTCTGTTAGTCATCTTGTGGTGGAGGTATTTCTGTAACATGCTACATCAACTAAGCATGCCAATGTTAATGTTGCGTTGTGTGGTTTAATTCTGTATGTTTGTCTTTGTACCTTATTACGGGTTGTCCTTACACATGGTTTAGTTGTGTGGTTCTTGTATTTTGACTTTCAATCTCCGCTCCTCTGAAATTTTCATTCTTGTTTGTGGTAGAGCTGGTCTATTGTGTCTTTTAGAATACTGTCATCTAGATTTAATATTGTCAGTGTTTCAACAGTCACTACTCTTCTGTGTGCTATTTTTTCCCACCACATGGGTCTAAAGTGTTAGTTATATTTCCCTTTCATCACTTTGCAGCTTGTTCGCAGCAACAGCCGTCGGTTTATGCCATCGCAAGCAGATGATGAAGCTCATCAGTTGTCATATCTGCAAAAACATTTAGCAAACATGATTTCTCTCCTTGCAGAGCCTGTGGAAGGAGAAGGAGAAGAATCATTGGTATGTGCTAGTCTTTCTTTATTTTCTCGAGAAGAGTCGCTGCTTAATTCACGATGGTTCAAAGTTCAAACCAACTAATTGTTATGCTTGCTCAACATCCTTCAGGTTATCTCTATGGAGGCTTTTGAGCACCTGGGTTTTCTTGTCCAGTTTGGTGATAAGGGATCTGATGTACCTCCACTGAGCCAAGCTACTCCTTTTTTTGCAAATTCTGATCCGGATATGCCCGCTGTTCCAGTCCCTGCTTCCCAAGTGCATGACTGGCTTCTGCAAAACATAGCTTCCGCTTTAGAAAGCATTACTGAGAGAATTTCTGGGAAAGAGAACGGGCCTTCGAATGCCTCTGATCAAGATGATACGATGTCAGATGCTTGTGCTGCTCCGAACAAGGTTGTACCTAGTGGTAGAGGCCCGGTTTTAATCGAAGGAGTTTCCAAGACTTCACTTGTTAAGCAGGCCTCCGATCTTAGGGGTAGATCTGTAAAGGTTCGCTGTGAACAACTGACTTGCGTTTTAATATAGTTGGATTATTCATTGCTCCATTTCTTCTTCCAGTCACGTACTCTCCCTGTGCACTACTGTGAACTACATGTTCTGTGTATTTTGCAGGTTGTCAATTGCCACGATTCTGTTATTTACCTTTTAGCACCATTGAGATATGCAACTGTGCATGGATGTTCTGATACCACCATAGTTCTGGGAGCTGTGGGCAAGGTATGGACACAATAATCCATTCGTCTTTATCTTTATCCGAGATATTCAGGGCAACATTTCACAGGTTATAATATCTGCCAACTTTTACTAGAAGATGAAGCCAATCGATTTTATTTTATTTTATTTATGCAGGCATTAAGAGTGGAGCACTGTGAGAGAGTTCATGTGATTGCAGCTGCCAAACGAGTGTGCATCGCCAATTGCCGTGAATGTGTATTCTTCTTAGGAGTCAATCAGCGACCACTGATTGTTGGCGATAACCACAAACTGCAGGTGAAGCATCGAGGGTTAATTTACAAGTTTTATATCAAGCTGCATAGTGCATACGCAACTCTTATTTACCTGTATGATACAAAGCTAGAATTATTGAAGTGGCTAGACATATTACTTGCAATAGTTTGGTAAATACATGCTCTTCTGGACACATGAACTGAGTCTAATGGAACATCTTCGCTTCGAGGTGCTATCCATCTCACTAGTTTATGGTGGTGTTGATGATACCTCTAAGTCTGATGTTTGATTCGAGAGGGTCCCAGAGGTTTCCTTTTACTAGTGAGAATGCAAACATTGTCTGATATGTAGTGGTTCTAGTAATTACAGGCTTCTTAAAAATTTGGTTGATTTTGTTCCAGGTGGCTCCATATAATACATACTACTCTCATTTGGAGGAGCACATGAGTGAGGTAGGGGTTGAGCCAACTATCAACAAATGGGACAAACCGTTGGCACTGGGAGCAGTGGATCCACATGACTCACTGTCACATCCTGCCGGTGTCGCTGATGCACAGGCGGAATCGGCTGCTTGTGTAGACCCTGACCAGTTCATTAACTTTTTGGTACAAACTCTTTGTGTTGGTTTAATTCGACTCCGATAACTGGTGACTGCTATTTATGAATCATCTAAAATTACATGTTGTTTCTGTGGTATCAATGTATATGGTGAAGATCCCAAACTGGTTTAGCGGCGAGGAGATTGGTTCGACGAAAGACAATCCATTTCCATTGCCAGATGCTTATATGTCAGCTCAGCAGAGAAACGTATGTTTTCTATGTTTCTCGTAAGTAAGGATTGAAGAACTTGTAGGCATCTTCTTAAATCCTATTTTCTTGGTTTCATCAGCTTATAAACTTTGAAGAAACAAGACGATCGCTGAGAGAAGCGCCTCTGGAAGAAAACCGGAAAAAGGAGCTATCGAGCGCACTCCATGTGTATTTCAAAGACTGGCTATATGGTAAGAACTTTCGAAATCAATCCCCAAACTAGTTTATGTGTTCATATCATTAGGTTTTGACTGTCTCTGTTTTCTCCTGTGAATTTGACAGCAAGTGGAAATATAAGGCAACTCTACTGCCTACAAGGTGACTAATATAAAACCAAGTGGAAGATGTCTCGTTCCTGTAGAGCTCTCTCGATCATATTTGGCATATTGCTAGTGAAGAAGAAACCCAAAAAAAACAGCAAGAGAAACCAGCCTGATTTGTAGTTTGGAACCAATACGCACCTCGTAACTTATCTGCACAGAACACTCCCCTAAAGCTTTCCTTTAGATTATTTGTTTTCTTTATTTTGGCTTTGGTTGTTCCTTTTGACATTTTCAGTCCCTCGTTTTTGTCCTCTCTTTTGAAAATCTCATCTTCGGGACAGATCAAGACGTGGCTTTCTTGAATTGTTATAACATATAAAGCATAAATTGCAAAACTTCTTTTTTGATATTATTGTCTTGATCCCAAACTAGTTCGAATCTCCAACCTATTAGCACATTGTGTGATAAACAGAGTTGTCTCAAAAGGTTTGAAGATTTGGAGCTTAAAGCATTTGTCGTATTTGCTACAGCTACGCAATAAATTTCATTATTAGGAGAAAAACATGAGAAAGTGCAGGGCATATAATTTTCTTCACATCTCACAGATAATACAAAACAAAAGGACATGGAAGATCTTAAGAACTCAGGATCAGCTAAAAATAATGTGTTCTTGCTACTTCTTTCACAAGAGCTTTTCGTCACCATCAGGGTAATCAAGAATCAGCTTCAGCTCTCTTCTCGACGGTGTATGGATAGTATTCTCTGCCCGTGTCTACTCTCGTGGTCTGGCCACCAGAATCGATCAAAGCAGAGGTGATTGCAAGAGCAGCACCTGCAGATATTGCGGTTGGGATGCTCCTTGCTGTAAACACAGGAACAAATGCACCAAAACCCAGATTACAATGGCGTACAAGCAAAATGTACTTTCAGATTTCTAACAAGAGTATAGCCAAAACCTCTATAGATATGCTTCATTTTCGATTTTGTACATCTATGACTATCACCAGACAAAAGCTACTATTCTTCGGCAAACCAATGAAGCATAGAGCAAATTCTGTATAGTACTACTAGAGTCAAGACTTAAGAGTGACAGATTCTTGGAAACAATTGAGTTTGTTTATATTGTTTCTAGTTCCCTCCTCCATGAATGTCTGCTCAACTACTAAAACCTACGGATCACAGATGAATGCAGCAACCTAACAGATAACTCAAAACATGGTCTCAATCCCAAACAAGAAGGAATCATTGAGACACGCTACTTCTATACTGATACGGCGAAGAAACGAATCAGAAGAGTCACCTTTGTAGCCAAGAACAGAGGCTCCAGCAACGAAACCACCGATGGAACCATTGAAAAAATCCCTCTTAGCTCTATAGCTCTGCACCAGCTGCTCAACGCCGATGAAAACGCCTCCGATGGCAGCAAACGTCAGGCCGTGGCTTCCCATCATCTTCAATGTTCTGATGAGACCTGGAAGAGCAACGTTTCTTTCGACACGAGGCACGTCTTTCCATGTTGCCACGACCGTCCCGTAAATAGTCCCAGCTGCAAAACCGGTCACAGCACCTTTGATCGTCTTCATCATCGCTCCATCCTCTTCTTCCAAGTATCTCATTTCAGAAGCGTCCATGATTTCTTCTACGGTTATAAGCACGGAACACATTTGATAAAAATACATCCACAGACAGAAACTGAAGAAAAATTATCTGGAAAATTCTATGAAACTTCAATTTCAGCGTCACTTAATTGGGTTTTTTTATATTGCAATCAATATTCGATATCAATAAGAAAAAAATTCATCAGGATCACAAATAGGGAGGAACGGATCATAGAAGGCGAGATTTGAAGAATGTGGAAGCAAAACTTAAAGTCCTAGTTTTGAAAACGTAATCCGGAATCAATCACTAATGAACAGTATGGATTTGCAAAATCAACGACTAAAAAAAGAAAAAGAAGAGTGAATAGATTCGGAGTATTTTACCTTAGAAACTCGAAGAAGCGAGAGACGCAGAATGTTGAAACAGATGCAGCGGAGGAGCAAAAATGCTTGTTTCCGATATTCTTCAGAGAGAAGACGGTATAGAGTCAGAGAAAGCCTAATTAGGCCCAACGAATAAGCAAGCCTTAACTACAACTTGTGAATATCTCTTTTTGGGTCCCATTCAAGCCCATTAGTTATTCTCTCTTCTCTCTCATTCACCCTCTCCGGTCGGAAGCTCCGTCGTCAATGGCAGAACCGAAGAGAAGCCTGACTGGGCTCGGAGGGGAAACAGCGAAAGACGAAGAGGAAGAGAATGATGACTACATGGGAGACCTATCTCAGTTTATTTCACCTGAGCTTACCCAGACCTCCAAAAGAAAGGTATTTTCAGGTCAAAGTTTTCAACTTTTTAGATAAAAAACTTGCCCTGAGAATAGGCGCAAACATAAAGTTCGTTAATTTTCCGAATTTAGATTGGTATCTGAGTAAGATTTCGATTTGGGATTGTATATTTCAATTCGATTACCCTAGTTGTGGAGATGAGTGATTTTGATTTTAGTTGTAAGTCCAGAGTTCACTTGCTCATCTTTTAGAAAGATAATGGATGTGCTGATCCATCTGAGTACTTTTTCAGGAATCTGCAAAGAAAAGTGTAGTCGTTGAACCATCTCGGAAGAAGTTAAAGAATCTCAATTGGCACGAGAGGAGAAGACTGGAGAAAGAGAGGAAGCAGATACAAGAGGATGAGCAGACATTGGCTCGTATAGAAGACACTCCGATTGGAGAGTCTAACGTAGGGTTTAAGCTATTGAAGCAAATGGGTTACAAGCCAGGCTCTGCTCTTGGTAAAGAAGGGTCAGGTAGGGCTGAGCCAGTGACCATGGATATTCGAAGATCAAGGGCCGGTGTGGGAAGAGATGATCCACATAAGGAAAAGAAGAAACGAGAGGAGTTTGAGGCGGAGAATGTGAAGAGAAAGGTTGAGGAGATGTTGGAGGATTTCGGGTCTAGGCAGAAGTCTCAGTGGCGTAATAAAAGAGTTGTGATTAACTTTAAGAAGGCCAAGGCGGCTCTTGATCAACTTGAGAATGTAGAAGTTGTTCCCGAGAAGAAAAACGAGGAAGACGAGGATGGTAAAGCTGATGACAAAGAGGAAGAAGAGGAGGAGATCACTGAAGAGGTATGTTCTCTAGTAAACAAGAATTGACACAGGTTTGGTGTCAAAACATTATATTCTTTATGTTCTTGAGGGTGACAATTTTAGCTTTACTGGTTGCAGGATTTGCAAGAGATATTGATGAAACTGAGAGATGAACATCGGTATTGTCCTTTTTGCGGGTTTCAGGTAATTGAATGCATTCTCAAGTCTTCTTTCATCAGTCTTTATTTTTTGTCAATGCTAATTATTGAGTTCGTTGAAGTACACTGACAAAGTTTTCACGATATGTGAATCAGTATGAAACAACTGAAGCTCTCCTTTCCAATTGCCCTGGCGTAAATGAGGATGATCACTAGAGATATGTCACGGTGCAGAAGCTTCGAGTCATGTTGAAAATCCTCTCGTTATGTGGCTGAAGAGGAAGCAAGAAACAGAAAAAAGACTCTGTTTGCAGTTGCATAAGCATGTTGGTGAAGAGATACACACGAAGAATTTTAAGGACTTGCTAATTCCCATATTACTCTGCTTTGATAGATAGTAGGATGATAAAAGCATGTGGAACTCTGATTTGATTAACAGTATGTATATTGAAGATGACGTTGCTGTTTTTTATCTGATCCTCAAACTAAGTAAACGTGCGTTTTCTGTTGGATGTAAACAAAACAAAGACATCATCACTAAAATCAAATGGCTTAGATATAAAGAGCCAAAACCCTTAAAATAATGAAAGGCCATTATCTGGCATCAATGTCTGGTTTTAAGTAGCACAAAACATAAAATTTGATAAGATCTTGAGACCTCTTAGTAACAACCTTCCAAGAAAAATCTGTAAATGGTGAAAGAGAAAAATTCTCAAAGAGACCAGTTGAAATGTTGAGCAGAAGAGTCATAAGCTCTTGTATTCTCAGGTTCCATGTAGTGCCTCAGAACCTGCTGATGAATAGACAACTCGAATCCACCCATTGTGGTGCCATTGCTTATCTGGAAATCAACTGGCTCAGAGATCTGACTCAATCCTAAAACAGGAGACAGATAATGTGAATTGCTCTTTTCGCCTGCCATGAATTCCCAAGTTTGGTTAAGGTACTGATGCTGGTTTGATACGGGCGGTGGCTGAGCCATTGTAGCCCTGTCTGCGTTCGCTGAGTCGAAACCTGAAGATGGTCGCCATATATTAGTTGATGTCTGAAGAAGTTGCTGCTGCTGATTTGTGTTTGAGTTTGACAGAAGAGAGAGAGCACAGCTTGAGTCTGTGCCATTACTGTTCATCATCTCTGGACATGTTGTAGTAAAGCTTGAGCTATCGTGTGAGAAAACATTCATCAGTTGATGGCTTTCCCTTTCCGGGTTAATCTGCCACGGTGCAGACCGACGCATCACCGATCTTGCGGTTGACCACGCTGTAGGATCTCCCAAAACGCTTCTTATCATCGCAGTATTAGCATTTCCTGTCACCAAAACAGAATCAAGAACATGTTTTTAAGGGCACATTGAGCTGAAAAAGAGTAATTATAGTTTTAGAAAAGGCTGTGAAGAAAATTGGATCTAACCGTAAAGAGATGGAGCGATTCTAGAGTAACGAGAAGTCAAAAGAGACGTTGTAGCTTGTGGCTTTCTTCGTCGTTCGTTATGGCAAGCGAGTCGTCTTCGACAACTTCGTTTCTCCAAGTCAAACTCAGAAAGCTGATGAAACCTGAATGATATAAAGTGAACGAAGCTTCAACGAAAAGCAACACAGTAATTGATATAATTATCTCCGGATACAAGAGACAAAGATCACATAATAACTAGCTGTAAAGTTTTATAAGACTCTTCAAAGACGTTAAGAGCCAAAGCAAACAGAACAAAAACAAAAAGGCTCAAAAAGGGGACAAAACCAGAAAAAAGCTTAAAGCTTTAGTTCCCTTATGACTCTTCCGATCACCGGGAGTGGCAAAAAGGAGTAAATAAAAAAAGAAGTGGTGAAAATGGTAAAAAAAAAAAGAGAAAGAAGAGAAACCTGCTACATTGCTGGCAAAACCTTTGATGAAGACCAGAGACGATGACTTTAGATGACTTAGAGTGAATACAACAAACTTTGTGTCTCGAGTAATAAGTTTTTACATTGCTTAGATCCATTCTACAACCTTCCACTTGGCACCTAGCCGTCCTCGACTTACGACCCGTATTAACCCGGTTCTTGTTTGACCCGCCTCCGGATCCGGATCCATCCTCAAAGTAGATCTTCTGACCAAACCTGAGTCCACCACTGAGTGAAGATGACTCGGTAGAGGAGGAACCATATGACTCGGTCCGATTCTGACCCGAACCCATTAATAACTCCATAATGGGTTTTGGTTTCCTTTTACTCAGACAGAGAAAGAGATGATTTTGCTCATTTCTTTCTCTCTCTCTCTCTCTGTACTAAGCCTGGAAATAGAAAGGACGAAGGAGGAAAAAAGAAAGAAAATGTGGTTTTGCTGATTTCGGTTGTTGCTATCTTTTAAAAGATCAGAGAGCGAGAGAGAGAGAGAGAATCTGACAAAAGAAGAGACACTCAAGAGTGATTGATACTAGGCCACGACAGCTACGGCTTTTAGCGTTTGCGTTTAGGGGATGTTGGTGCGTTTTGTAATGAACATATATAAACAAAAAAAGTGATCAGAGTTTACTTTTCTCTTCTTTAACGTACAAAATGATATCCTTAAATGAGACCAGGGAACATAAAATAATTATTTAAGCAAAAGACACTATTTTTTTTCCTTAAACAACGAATACATTAGCCTAATGATGTTGAATGTTGACCTATATTGTAGTTTTGAAAATATGAACAGAGTCAACTGACCACGGATCTATAAATGGATGGTTGGTTTATTTATTCTTGTATACACGAATACAATAGTTAACCACTTTTATTACTTGTTAAAGAGGGGCAGAAACAGTCATATAAGTTAGATATAAGATTGGAGTCACTCCAACTTATAATCACAAAATGATCAAGAGAATTCCAAGCTTATGGTGCGGAATGTGGGATGAAGTCGGAATGGAGGTGGAATTGAGATGATTGACTCGCTCAACCAGTGGGTTGACTGACTCGCTCAGTCGGTGGGATGACTGACTCACTCAGCCGTTGGAACTAGTCTTGCCTGAATCACACAAACAAATCTATTCCAAGAATCAAAAGAAACAAAAGAATCACTCTATTGAATCTAAAGACAAGTTGTTTTAAAACAAAGAAGACTCTTTGGAAAAAAAAAGAACAAAGATTTTATATTTTCTTAGATAAAAATTGGTTTTACAAATGAAACAGCAATGAGCTTATATAGGCTCAGTACACGTCCTAGGCAATAACTCTAAAGAGAGAATTAAGCAAAAATCAAAGAAAGATCAAAAGAAATGATTAAAGGGATTTTTAACCCATTTGATGAGTGATGGGGGATTGGCTAGAATCAAGGGATTCTTTGCTGACTTTGTATCTAGATGGCTTGAGGGTGTAGGTTAGCTTCTGTAGGACGATTTTCCTTCTCAAAAAATCATTCAAAAGGCTGATGTCTTGGCTAAAAAGTAGCTGTTGTGATTTGAATGAAATCTGTTCCAAATAAGGCAAGTTGGTCAATGGTGGGATCCGCCTGATCCTTTGGTTGCTGGTGCTGGGAACGGTTATAGATGACTCTCCTGATTGGTGTATTAACTCTCCTGAATGGTTTGATGCTTCTCCTGGTCGCCAAAGTTTGGTTTGCAAGTGACTAAACTCGCCAGCTGCCAAATAAGGTAAATAGAGCATCCTTCGGTTTAGAAGTTGAATAACTTTTAAACCATAATGAATTTTGGCGTGAAACCAATTTTTCTCGGTTCTATGATGAATCAAGTTTCCAAAACATCCGGGATCGTTGCTTGGTTCATCTTGGTTTGGCCGGAATGATTTTATTAGTACTCGTATGTCTCCATCGGGTCCATTGAAGATCTTCCAGCTTGTATCTTCAATATCTTCTTCATATGAACTCCTTTTTGGGTGATTCTTCTTCGTGATGAACCCTGGATGAGTTGATTATGCTCTCCAAGTGTTGGTTAACCTTGAATGTTTGATATCAACCTCCATTTGGGCTGAACTCCACTCGAATGCCTCTTTAGCTCTCCTCAGCTTCATGTTCTCCACTTCATGACTCCTGGATCCGTGCTCTATGGTTGATGATGACTTGATGTCCACATCATACTCACCCTCTTCTAAAGGTTTCGACCTCGAAACTATATCTCCTGTACCAAGAAAGAGCAAGTTAGTTTTCATTATATTTTGGGAGTTTAGAGTCTTACCTTGATGCATCTTTGGTTTGGTGAAATGTGGAACGTCTGGTGGTTCTCCTTTGAGCAGGAAGGATGTGATATCTCCTATGTTCTGGCCTGGTTCGTGGCTCCTCTGTTTTGTGGTCTTGATAACCTTGGTCTTTTCCACCTTTGGTGGTGATGCATGTTTGCTTTGGTTTAACAACAAGTTCTCCTCTTGTTGAGGGTCATCATGTTTTATGTCCTTAGTACCTGAAACAATCTCAAATCTTTGGACAAGGAACAAGTGAATTATGGGTTTCTTACAAAACTTTAAACTTGTTAAACCTAATTTCTTTTGTTGCAATTTTAAACAAGGTATTGAGTTCTCACTTTTTCTCAGTTCTAGTAAGTTCATTACTTTTGAATCTTCAGAAATGATTTTAGTATATAAATGACTTACCTGAGGAACACTCCTAGTGTTTTTGTTTCCCAAATCTGTGAAGTGATACAATGTTTGGTCTGGGGGTTTTTCTTTGAGGCTATCTCCTCTCTCAGCATTTTGGACATGGTCTATACCTGAAAAACTTCTCAAGGACAAAAGCAAGTGCATCATATCTGAGTTTATAATTATAGAAATAGGCATTGAAATATTTAAACTCACAGTGATGGTATTAGCTAGTTGTAGCATCAATTGCTTTTTGTTTACTTGAACTCCATGGTTGCTGTTTTTCTCAAGGCTAGAGATGACTAAGGATTTTGCAGGACTCTCAGAATTTTGTTTAGAGTCTTGAGCTTCTGACTGATATGAATTAATCATAGTTAGCTCATCTAGGCGTGCTGGTGTTGACATTGCATCTGATTGCTCTTCTCCTACTTTCTCATCCTCCATTGGACAAGGCAATTGTTGAATCTGATCTCCTTGTAGCCTTTCTTCTTTGCTGCTTTCCTTTTCTTCTTGTCTTATTCCTGGATCAAAACTCTTTGGAAAAGACAAGTGCATAAGTCTAGAATTGGGAATTAAAAATTCAGAAGAAGATAAACTATCACTAACTCTAGATTTTTCTGTTTTCTCTTCTAGTGAAGTTTCTACCAACATTTTCTTAATAGAACAATTTGCAGCAAAGTGTCCTCTCTTATGGCACTTATAACATGTTGGTTCTTTAGATTTAACAAAGTTAGAAGACTTACCTTGGGTTGGTGGGTCTGGTGACTTTGTTATAGCCTTAGAGCTAGATGTTGTTGACTTGGGTAGAACTTCTCTTTTCATGGGTGCATCTTTGGAGCTCGGTTTTTGGGCCATTGCAAGGTTTACTTGTGGAGCACAACAATCAGCTTGGTCTGTTCCCTCTTTGGTACCTAGGCCTTTCCCAACTCCTTTTGACAAAACCAAGTGTATTGCTTGTTCAAGTAATTGATCAAGATTTTGAAATATTGTTGAGGTACTTACCTCTGTGCCTTCTGGTTGATCTCCTTTCTTAACACTTGCTGTTGTTACATGATTTTTATGCCTTGATCTCATGTAGGATGTGGGTTCCTTTCTTGGGACGTCCTTAGCAATCTGTCCTCTGTTCATACACTTATAACTTGTGAGTTCTGAAGGATTATTAGGGACATAATACTTACCTTGGCACTTGACTGATTTGGAGTTTGTGTGTTGCACCAGATTAAGAGTTTGATAACTAGGCATTGTTTGCCATATGATGGGTTGAGATTCAGCTCTCCACGGCCTGGTCCTCCTTCATATACTCTTTGGGAGTTTTCATCTTTACTCAAAGACTCTTCCATTGTTTTGTGATCTAATTCTTCCCATCCTCTTCTTCTTCTTCACACCATGTTGCATTGGGGCAGTTTGTATACCAGTCTGGGGGCTCATGATCAATCTTCTCAGGACATGGGGTGCCTTCACAGTCCTCTTCTGAACAATACCACGTCTCCACTGCTTGTTCTGCTTCAGAACATAAATATTGGCTAAAGATCTCATCTTGACTTGAGTCACCTTCATGTGAGTGCTCATATGAGTCTTCTTCTTCCTCTGTATCATAATCCATGATCTCTACTCTATTGTGAGTACCTTGTAAACACAAAGACAGAGAGATTATCAGAATCAAGTTCACTTAAAAATTATAAGCAAATAATCTAGAAGAAGAGAACAAACTGAAACTAAGAATGATTTCAAATGAACAATTTTTTTTTTTTGAATGAAGATATCAAATAACAAATAACTATAAATTTGTTTGATTTTTTTTTTTTAGATTTAATAGATGCAAAATAAATCAAGAACAAATTGCAAATAATTTTTTTTTTTTGAATTTTCGGATTTTAAATTATGCAAATAAAACAAGACAATAATTTTTTTTTGATTTTTAGATTTTATGAATGCAAAATAAATCAAGAACAAACTGCAAATAATTTTTTTTTTTTGAAGAAATCAAATAACAAATAGCAGTAATTTTTTTTTTTTTTAATTAATGAAAGAAAACAAAAATAATAAACAGAAAATAAGGATAAAGGTTGGAATGACACAACCTGATGGGTAGGAGCTTTTGAAGCTCTGATACCAGATGATATAAGATTGGAGTCACTCCAACTTATGATCACAAGATGATCAAGAGAATTCCAAGCTTATGGTGCGGAATGTGGGATGAAGTCGGAATGGAGGTGGAATTGAGGTGATTGACTCGCTCAACCGGTGGGTTGACTGACTCGCTCAGTCGGTGGGATGGCTGACTCACTCAGCCGTTGGAACTAGCCTTGCCTGAATCACACAAACAAATCTATTCCAAGAATCAAAAGAAACAAAAGAATCACTCTATTGAATCTAAAGACAAGGTGTTTTAAAACAAAGAAGACTCTTTGGATAAAAAAAGAACAAAAGTTTTATATTTTCTTAGATAAAAGTTGGTTTTACAAATGAAACAGCAATGAGCTTATATAGGCTCAGTACACGTCCTAGGCAATAACTCTAAAGAGAGAATTAAGCAAAAATCAAAGAAAGATCAAAAAGAATGATTAAAGGAATTTTTAACCCATTTGATGAGTGATGGGGGGATTGACTAGAATCAAGGGATTCTTTGCTGACTTTGTATCTAGATGGCTTGAGGGTGTAGGTTAGCTTCTGTGGGACGATTTTCCTTCTCAAAGAATCATTCAAAAGGCTGATGTCTTGGCTAAAAAGTAGCTGTTGTGATTTGAATGAAATCTGTTCCAAATAAGGCAAGTTGGTCAATGGTGGGATCCGCCTGATCCTTTGGTTGCTGGTGATGGGAACGGTTATAGCTGACTCTCCTGATTGGTGTATTAACTCTCCTGAATGGTTTGATGCTTTTTCTGGTCGCCAAAGTTTGGTTTGCAAGTGATTAAACTCGCCAGCTGCCAAATAAGGTAAGTAGAGCATCCTCCGGTTTAGAAGTTGAATAACTTTTAAACCATAATGAATTTTGGCGTGAAACCAATTTTTCTCGGTTCTATGATGAATCAAGTTTCCAAAACATCCGGGATCGTTGCTTGGTTCGTCTTGGTTTGGCCGGAATGATTTTATTAGTACTCGCATGTCTTCATCGGGTCCATTGAAGATCTTCCAGCTTGTATCTTCAATATCTTCTTCATATGAACTCCTTTTTGGGTGATTCTTCTTCGTGATGAACCCTGTATGAGTTGAGTATGCTCTCCAAATGTTGGTTAACCTTGAATGTTTGATATCAACCTCCATTTGGGCTGAACTCCACTCGAATGCCTCTTTAGCTCTCCTCAGCTTCATGTTCTCCACTTCATGATTTCTGGATCCGTGCTCCATGGTTGATGATGACTTGATGTCTGCATCATAAGTATATTTAGTATTTTAAAAATTACTAAAATAAAAGGAATAGAAAATTATGGGCAGAGAGACAGATAGTGTTGGAACTCAACTAAAGATGTGACTCTTCAAGGGAACTAGTAGGTTATTGAACACTTTCAGGATTGATTCAGTTCTGCTTTTTCTAAAGGATTACATATCTTTTTTTTTTTTTTTTTTTTTTTGCAATTAGATTTATTGTTCTTTTCAATTTTCACAATATCCAATGCAATATCTTTCTTGATAAATTCAACAAAAAAAAACTATTCTTTTCAAAAGAGCAGTATGGGAAATTCGATTCATGGTCATGTATCCATCAGAATCTGTGTACTTATTTTTTCATTGGGTTGTGTGTATCAGTTTGATTCTATTCCTTTTGTGTTTTGCGTCATTTAGTAATTGATTTGCAAAATGCGAAGTACTACAATAGTACTTGATACAAAAAAGCCTATAGCCACTAATCTCGCTTGACTAATTTCACAAATCTTCTTGATACTTTTGTCTGGAAAAAAAAATAATGTTGGAAACTTTTCTTGTTCTGTTCTTCTTCTTACTCTGAAACTTTTCTTTTTCACTTTTTACAGCTCGTAAATGTTGCATTTTCATAGCCACTAATAGGCACTACTACTCTGTTCACAAGAGATAGGCACTACTCTGTTCACAAGAGATAAGAGTTTCAAAAGATCAAAACTCAGACAAATGGCAGTGTCCGAAAGATTGAAAAAAAATTCTGATTCCTTGTATGAAACCAAAACGCACCCGCATTAAACTCAGGTCTCAACAACAAAAGTGATTCAACAAACAAAAAGAAGAAAAAACCAAAAAGGCGGTTTCAAAAGCGTTTTAAGAACACCTCTTTTCAAACCCCATTACATTCAACAACAGCTTCTGCAGCTCGTCTAGGTTTGTTTTTCCTTCTGCTCCCATTCTGTCTAAACCCAACAGACGATGACTTCACTGAATCATCTGTGCTTGATTTCGATCCTAACCCATTCTCTTCCTCAGTGATATTGCTCTCTTTAGACTCTACTGGTTTCTTCCTCTTCCTCCCATTCTCTGTCACATCTTCTTTACTTGTCACTGAACCATTTGTATCATCGTCCTTCTCTTCTTCCTTCTCCACGATCTCTTCTTCTCCTTCGGTTTCATCTTTCACCGGCTTCTGTGGCCTCCCTCTTCTCCTGTAAGCTGGCATCTTTTCTTCCTCACCGCTTCCACGATCTTCTCTAGCAGTTGCATTCTGCCTCTTGCCTTTTCCTCTACCTCTTCTCATAACTCTATCCAATTCTACGAAACTCAAAAAAGCTTCAAGCAACCTGCAAGTAGAAAAAAGGTTGTTTCTTTTCAATCCATTTTGTTTATCTGCATTCATTGAAAGATACAACAACACAACGAAGGCGAATTAAATTCAAACACATACTGAAATATTGGGGATCATTCAATCAACAGACACTCTATTTCGGATCACACATATACATGAGGAACTATATTCACTGAACAAACAGGATCAAGCGCAATCATAAACATGAAAACAAGATTTTATTTCATGGATTTACAAGTAAAGATGCATTTGACAATACCTAAACACAATTTCTTTCCAAAAAATGGTTTCAACAAAGAAACGTCTTAAGCAACACTTCAGTCACTAGAGAGAGTTTGATCTCTTCAAAACTTATCTTTTCCAACTCAACAGTAAACTCAAACTAAGCTACAAGCAAGTTCAATCGATTATCTTCCAGGAAAGCTAATTGCATGAGCAGTCCAAAGAGACAAAACAAGTTTCCTTTCAGTCTCTTCAAACTTGTTCAGAACAGTCAACACAGGATTCACTACTACCAAGAACAAAGAGAGAGAGACAGAGAGACTCACCTGTGAACCCATTGCTCAGACTGAGACGAAAAAACCCAATCAGAAACCCCCAAAAGTCTATAAAAGGTTTCTCTTTCTCTAATCCTTCGAGAGGTTTCGATCGATCTGGTCACCAGTTTTCTACAACCAACAACTAAAGTTAGCAGAGAGAGGAAAACCCAGATCAGAAGAACACACAGAGAGTTGTGAAGGAAAGTGATAAAACCCAAACAGAAGAATCGAAATCAGAATCCAAAGGATAAGAGTTTAGAGAAAGAGATCTAAAGGAAGGAGGAAACAAGAGAAAGAAAACGGAGAGAAAGAGCAACAACAACAACAACAACAACTAGTGTTGGTTGAAAGTGTCGTTGAAAGACAAAAAGATGATTGCTTTCAAAAGGGTTTCTTTCCTTTTCTAATTTTTTTTTTCTTGCTTCTGTAAGAATGACGCTTTCCTCTCACTTCCACCACCACACTGACTCAAATGGATCTTAAGCCCGTTGAAGATGGATACGGATTTCTCCCACGCGCTTCACTCGGCGCGTGCTTTCACATTCTACTCGTTTTCGTCTCGAACTGGTTGGATAAGAGTCAGTCAAGTCATAAAGACAGCTAATAGCCGCGTGAATCAAAGATTTGAAACACATTGTTTTTGTCTGGGCATCTTATTATTCTTTCAGATTATGGGCTTAGGCCCAATCAAACTCTCGGATCCAAAGATGTCACTTATAGTAATAATTAAAAGCCCATTATTCAGCCCAATTATATCTTAAAAGGTACAGCTGGTTCATCGGCGTTTACTTTTTAACCTCCATGCGGAGGGTTCGAAGCTCGAAACAACATGATGTTAAGCTCTTTCTCGGTTTGAAGGACATGATGGTCAAAGCTCATGAAGACATAAACCCTACTGCACAATAGAGAAAAACCCTAATTTCGGTTCGTAATTCATTTTGTATAATCGTTTCCTTCAATTCTTCCTCTTTCTAATCAATTTGATTTCTCGACACTCGCACTTCTGAGAAAGCAGAGATTATATTGAACGAACCCAGGTTGTATTATTGATTGGGGATTTTTCGTCTGTGTTAACGAGGAAGAAGAAGAAGAAGAAGCATTGTTGCAAGAATGAGGAAGAAGGTAGACGAACGTATCAGGACTCTGATTGAAAACGGTGTCAAACTGAGACACCGTTCCATGTTTGTCATCATCGGTGACAAGTCTCGTGACCAGGTTAGGTGTCTCTGTTCTGCAAAGTTTCTTACTTTCGACTCATATCCTAAATTTTTACTTTGGATTTTAACCCTACAACCTTTGTGTGTGTGTGTGTGTGTTTCTTCTCTAACAGATAGTGAACCTCCATCATATGCTGTCAAAGGCAGTAATTAAGTGTAATCCGAGTGTCTTGTGGTGCTACAAGGACAAACTGGACATAAGCAGGTTCGGTTCTTGATGCCAAATTCTGAAGCTTTTGATATTAAGTGTTTAGCTTTTATGCTTGGAGTGTGGTTTTTAGTCTTCCTGTGGAGGGTTAGGACTGATACTTTGAGAATTTAGCTGGGCACTAATGTAGAATGGAATCCGAAACTTCTGATAGTCATGAGTGAATTGAAAAAGTTGATAACTTTGGTGAGCTTTGCCTTCGTCGTTTGGTGAACATAGTTTGACCGGTGAGCTTTTGCATTCGTCGTTTTGTTTGCAGTCATAAGAAAAAGCGCACGAAGCAGCTGAAGAGATTGAGGGAGAGGGGACAGGTGGATCCAGAGAAACTTGACGCATTCTCGCGTTTGCTTGATGTGGGAAGAGTAACTTATTGCTTGTACAAAGATTCTGAACGGATTCTGGGAAATACTTTTGGCATGTGCGTCTTACAGGTACTTTTTCTTCTTAATGTTAAAACTCAAGATTTCTGTCACCTGGCTCAGTTTCATTTTGTAAGCAGTAGCTAATATTTCTTCTTGCTAAATTCAGGATTTTGAAGCTTTAACTCCCAATCTACTAGCAAGGACAATAGAGACTGTGGAAGGTGGCGGGATGATTGTTATGATATTACGGTCACTTGCATCGCTTACTAGTCTATGCACAATGGTTATGGTATGTATCGTACTTTTATTCTTACTTCTTACTCTTAAAAAAATGGGACCAAAACATTATTTAACTGCTGTTACATGATAATTGTTTTTCATATTAGGATGTCCATGACAGATTCCGAACTGAGTCACATTCTGAGGCTGCCGGTCGATTCAATGAACGTTTTCTGCTATCACTTGCATCATGCAAAGCATGTGTTGTCATGGATGATGAGTTGAATATATTGCCGCTTTCCTCGCATATCAGGTCTATTACTCAAGTTCCAACAGAAACGGTAAATTTTATAACCAAGTGAATTTGGCTTCTGTTGTGAGAAAATGTATTCCAAGATTCAATGTAGTATTGATAACTCTTCAATATTGTGTGCTACCAAAGGATTCTGAGGGGCTCTCTGAGGCAGAACGGGACCTGAAGAATTTGAAAGATGAATTAAGTGATGATTTTCCAGTTGGTCCTTTAATCAAGAAATGCTGTACGCTGGATCAGGTTCAAAGTTATCAATTGTTTGCTTACTTCTTTTGCTAATGTTCTTTCTTTGAAGTTAACGGAGATTCTGCATTTTCTTTTTCTGTAGGGTAAAGCTGTTGTCACTTTCTTTGATGCAATTCTGGATAAGGCTCTTCGCAGCATAGTTGCTTTGATTGCTAGTCGAGGGCGTGGAAAATCTGCTGCACTTGGTTTAGCTGTTGCCGGTGCTGTTGCTGCTGGGTATGTAAACTCCCATATGTTTACTCTCCAGTAACTTTTCTCTGGGATGTTTGTTAAAATTATCGGCATATGATTTATTTTCTCTTAGGTACTCAAATATTTACATTACTGCACCAAGCCCGGACAACTTGAAGACATTCTTCGAATTTGTTTGCAAAGGCTTTGATGCACTAGAATATAAGGTAAGCAAACCCATAGTTATTTAATATAGCACTTGTTCCATTCCATTGAGAAGAACCTGCAGAGACTTGCATATTTACTGAGATAATCATTGAGTTAGAGCTATGCTAGCTCAAGCAAAGAAGAACAACCCATTATTCTGCTTTGCGATTTGGTCATATATGTTACTTAAATACCTTTCACTCTCTCTTGTAAAGGAGCACCTTGATTATGATGTTATAAAAAGTGCGAATCCTGACTTCAGAAAAGCTATTGTGCGGATAAATATCTTCAAGCAGCATAGACAAACTATCCAGGTTTGTTCATTCCTTAATTCATGATCTTCTTCAAGCTGTGATTTTTGTCATCTCTGACTTGTTCGATGCTCTTGATTTTTTCATGCAGTATATACAACCGCACGAGCATGAGAAGCTCTCACAAGTAGAGCTGTTGGTTATTGATGAGGCGGCAGCTATTCCTTTGCCAGTTGTTAAGTCTTTGCTCGGTCCTTATCTAGTTTTCCTATCGTCAACTGTCAGTGGGTATGTGAAACATAATTTAATGATGCTCCCGTAATATGGCAAAGTTATATTTATGTTCTGATCGTAATTCAGGGATAATCATCGTACTGAATTTTACCTGTTTTTCTTTTTTTTTGTTGAAAGCTATGAAGGCACTGGTAGATCTTTATCCCTGAAACTCCTGCAACAATTAGACGAGCAAAGCCGGGCTCCTGCTACTGGTCTTGAAGGCTCTCTTTCTGGTATTTAACTACTGCATCTTGCTTTAATTCTTGGATATGAAAAGTATTAGGGAATATTTTAGAGAAGTTTTTTAGAGACCCGTATATCACTCTTAAGGGAATATAATTATCTTTCTTAGAATCGTAGTTCAGATGCACTATGTATTGATTAGGAAGGAAAAACATGTGCTTCCAGCATTTGTGTATAATTATTTCGTGAGTTCAGACCTCAATTGTAATGATCGAGGTGGAATAGTCACTTGAAGGCCGGTTATCATAGTTTTGAGGAATCATGCAAATGTTCTATTTATAGAACGTGCGCTTTGTTTTCATTTTTTCCCTTAAGAGGCCTGCAAAGCTTAATCTAATTTTCATACAATGTAACCTGCTTTACTAGTGTATCTGATGAGTTTCATTTACTCTTTGGACAGGTTGCCTTTTCAAGAAGATAGAACTTAATGAGTCTATCAGATATGCTTCTGGAGATCCAATAGAATCCTGGCTTAATGGCTTACTTTGCCTTGACGTTGCTACCAGTCTACCTAATCCTTCATGGTCTGCATATTTTACTGATATTTTATAATGTCGAGTTGTCGACCTCTCCTTTCTTGCGGTATTAATCATCTAGAAATGTTTTTTTCTTTCTTCTTTTTGTGCAGCCATCCTCTACCAAGTCAGTGTGATCTCTACTATGTCAACCGAGACACACTCTTTTCATACCACAAAGATAGTGAATTGTTTTTACAGGTAATTGGGGTTGATTGGGATCCTTATTTTCCTTCCTTACCTATATTTTGAAAATATACTAATATAAGTGCATCCTACAGAGAATGATGGCGCTGTGTGTCTCTTCTCACTACAAAAATTCCCCTAATGATCTTCAACTGCTGGCTGATGCTCCTGCTCATCATTTGTTTGTGTTACTTGGTATGCAATTTTTCCTTTTCCCCCACCTAGTTTAATTTTCAGAACTATGCCTAACTGCTTTTAAACACAGGTCCTGTTGATGAGTCCCAAGACAAACTTCCTGATATACTCTGTGTTGTCCAGGTATAGAGTGTTGGTTTTTATTCTGATCCGTAGAATTACTATTAAAAACTGATAACTAACTTGTTTGATCTGTCGAAACACCTAACAGTAGTTTGATTTTATGTTCACATTGACCTAGGACAGCGAATTATCATTCTTCATGAAAATGGACACTAAAGATGAAATTATCAGCTATCAAACTGTTTTAACTGCTTTTTTTTTCCCACGTTTTGTGAAAAATCATAGTTTCTTGTGTTGTTTAATGATGTGTGTGAACTTAGCATCACTGTAATTGGTATTTTCAGATCTG